GGTCCCCCTCTTTCCCCCCTGTCATGCAATGTCGGGGTGGAAACCCTCGGACTTCTCTTGGCCACACTGGACCCCCTGATTACGCAGCTGCATCCAGCAGCATTTATACACGTGGATTTCCAAGTGGGGACTTTGGGGCAAGATTGGATAAAGTCCTTATAACAAGATCGTCCTCACTGGTTGACGACATTGGCGAGGCGGGTTGGTCCGTATACGGACCGGATCCGAGTGTATCGGTGCCGAAGTCTGGTTTGCATTACTAAGGGCCTGAAATGCGCCACACATATCCTTGAAAGGTCTGCTGATTGGTCGCCGACGTATACTAGTTGAGGAAGAGAGCAGCAGCGTGTACTAGTAGTATTAACAGTAGCAGCAGTAGTAGCACTAATAGCAAAGGCAGCAGACGTCTGGAAGGTTACTAATAATAGTACTGATAATAAATAAATGGAGCTTTTCATGTGATAGATCTTGTACGAACTAGTTACATTAGTAATCGCTCTATTCTATTAGGCTATAATTGCCCCTTTCGTGCCTTTGGCCTCATATTGTGTGTGTGTAGAGCTTCTGCCAAGCGCGACTTTCACTTCAGCGGCCGGCCGGCCTGCCAAGTTACCAACAAACTACACCTCAAGCCTCGGTCCCGTAGGACTCTGGTGTCACCGACGTTCCGGTGCCCAAATTTACTTCACTCCATGGTTGAACTGAAGTCAAATTCAAAATTTGCTCTGCGTTATCAGGTATTCTATACTGTATTGACAGATTGAGTTGTGGTATAGGTAGGAGGTGCTGCGTATCGGGCTTTTACTATGCATCAGGTGAACTGCACTTGACCACTTATGGAGGTTTGGAGCGGTTGTATTCATCAATAAATACTCCTTTCTTTTATTCACAATATTGAAAGCGCGTAGGGCATGATGGGACTTTTGCGGTGCGGTGACTATACAGAACACCACAACCATCAAAAGCAACACAAGATTCCATGCCAATCGGTGTACGTGTCATACTGATCGGTCCAAGAATGACTTCAATCGTGAAGGTCAAGGCCTCCGTTCAGTCACAACAATACACTGATCCGGGCAAGTAGAAGCTCCCGATCGTCTTGTGTTATCACGTCCAAAGGTAGATCATAGAAAGGCCCTAGTTCAATCAGGCAAAGGTAGGTATATGTGAGAAAAATAGAATTATGTATGATCTGTCTCTGGCTCTATCGTCTGCTGGTTTATATCTCTAGCTCCTGATCAGAAGCTAGGTTATTCCGATCGGGTGCACGCATTCTACCTATTCTGGGCTGATCGCCCCGCCCTACTCCAATATTGGACTAATAATGGCTGTATGATACTTTCTGTTGTCTTTCTCAGTACCGGCAGTTGGCGTTGGCGGTGCCTGGCTGTCTTTGGTCGAAGAGAGATCTTAGAGTCTATTTTTGCTTCTGTACATATCTGGGCCAGGGAATTTTCGCGTTTACTGAGGTCCTATGAGCGTGAAGAGGCCCTCTTTGTCGGTTTTTGCGTTAGCCGAGTGACCATCTTCCTCGTTCCTCGGACTTGATTGTTACTTTTAGTGGTGTCAACCCCTGGGCTCAAACATTGTTGTCGCACTTTGCGTCATATTATATTTACTTCACTGACACACCTATTGCGAATCAGACTTGCCTAGGGGCAAGAATGTACTTCCCCAAGTACGTACGTATGTACCTGACTATGGCTTTGAGGTTTGTATGTTTCAACAGCATATGAGTTACAGACTTACAGTAGCCGCAGAAAACTTTCGCAAAAGTTGGAAACTACTTCATAGAAAATCACGCTCCGTTCGAAAATCGGTTTTCTGTGTCAGCGGTGCAAAATTTCATGCGCTTCGACTCTATGTCCTCATACGCCGGTAAAGCCCACCTCTTCACCCAAGCCATATTTGATACCTCCGCTGCGTCTGGGACACCGTCTGAAGGAACCCCAGCTGCTGGAGAGGTTGATCTTTTGCCAGAACGGACAATAGGCTCTGACTCTAGAGCACCAATCTTGTCATACAACTAATCCACCGAGGGACCGTTGAAAGAGGGAGATAGCTGAAGAAGGGGGTTCCCAAGATGAGGATCTAAAGGAAAGACATATTTGAATTACCATAGAGGCGGCAGTAAGAGTGAAGAAGCACGTACATTCATGGGCATATCCATGCAGTGAACAAGAGAAATTCCGGTGGCAAGCTGGGAAGCTAGAGAGCGGGAGACATCAAGCTGGCAGTTGTTTAAAACTGCATGTATCTCATTTCTGGGTCTGCTGCTCATTGTATTGAGAATATGAAAATGAGAAAGGAAAGTAATTCACTCGAAGAGTTAAGCACATCCGTCGCCTTTTAGAAGTTTAATCCGGTATTCGACTTGATTCTAACGTTTATTCTATATTTATACGACTGCATCTGTCTAGGATTATTAGGAAACAAGGATCAGTCCTATTGGGGCTACGAATACCAACGCAATTGATATCAGTAAGAACTATCACCAAAGCCTCATCTGTAGTACAACTGTAGTCTATAAGTTCTGTAGTAAATCAAGATATAACATCTATTTCCTGTGTGTCTCAATATATATTGCTAACTTTGATAACAATACATTTATCGTCTACTTGCTAAGACTAACTCATTTAATTAAATACAAGTTATTTCTAATCATTTATACTTGTATACTGTACGGCATTGCTCATAAGGACAGTAGTTGAGTTAGATAGATCATGATCACGTGTGTTAAATAGGCTCATATACATACATGTACGTGAAAACATAGGGTTGAATCAAAGTATTATTCCCCGACTGTCCTTCCGAAACAGCGGTCTTGGCTGTTGTACAGTGATTATGTGCTTGGCTATATGTCGTGAGCGAGTTCTGTCTGATTGTATAAACAATTCCTACCTAACAACCAAGTAATAATATCTAATATGGCAACCTTTATTTGTAACCTTGAAACGTAGGACGTCGTACAATCGAGTGACATTGAAGTTTTAACAACCTACTGGTAATTGCTGAGTCTTTCCATATCTATAATTTACCCACATCTAGATTCTAAGGCTAATATAGGAAAGTAGGGAATACTTGAAAATAGGCGAGGCTGTGGTGTTGAAAACGTATAACTTGATTAACACAATCATAGTAGTAACACCCGTCACAGGAGGATCTAGGAGTACTAGCAACCCGTCTGTAGGATCTTGTCCCAGTTAGAAGAAAAGTTGCCACTACTAGGACGACAGTATAGAAAGCAAAAACACCGTAAGCATAGTAGAGGGGGAAGAGCCCAGGTAAGAAGAAGTTCATGTAGCTAATGTCATCGATCTCAGACTTGTCAGTGGAGAAACTTTGCTTCTATCGTTTGAGTGAAACTGCTCGGCGCTAAAGAGGACGGGATTCATATCCTAAACTAGAATCTCAAAGAAACAGAATCGAGGCTCACTTCACAATCACCCGAAATAATAATTATTACACCCTATGTAATTATCAAGCTATTTAAACGTTAAATAGTTTCTCCTAGACTCCGAGACTAGTTGCTAAACTAAAGTAAGAACTATGGGTACGATTTCTACCTCCCTGACAAGGTTCCAAAGAACTAAAAGTGGCTACAGTCAATGCAAGCTGCAAGTGCCTGGCTTGGCCTGCTGAATGGGAACAGACAGGCGAGTCTCAAAAGCTCTGAGGATATGAAAGCTCTTCCCAATGAAGTTGGTCGTCCCAGGGGCATCACACCCACAATGCTGCGTGCTTTATATGACCCTTTGACTGAGAATCCGGAGATCTGTAGACAAGATGATGGTGCTTTTCTGCGAAGAATTTGACACTCTGGTGGCGGCCTGGGGCATTCGCCGTGCTTTGGCTTCGGCTGGTGGAGCAAGAAGTAAAGAAGCAGCAAGAAGCAGTCTGAGCCACAGTAGTTGCAGAATGAACCATTATTACGATTCTGCTTCTTTCGGCGCAATATGGCAATTACATGACCATGGGCGTACGTTAGGCTTGATTATCGAAATTGCTGCGAGAAGCGTATAAGAGTGTAGGCTGGAGTTTAGCTGACTGATGTAGTATGAGTTTGAGGTGCTACCAACGCGTTAGGTGTAGTTTAAACATCAATGTCACATAAACGTATGGCACCCAGTGATTAGCAACAGCGACGTCGAAGCCGAAGGGTGCAATAGTCACATTGCCTACTGGAGTCGGACGAAGCGATCAGACGTGATGAGGGTGCGTGCTTCAGGAGATTTCTTTTTCGTCAAAAGGTTAGACAAGCGTTAATCAGGGATGATGATACGATATAAGGAGGGAGACGTCTCGTCCTGATCAGGCTGGAGAGGGATGGAATACTTCACACATATTTTTACCCCTATCTTCGACTTCATTAAACCTATTTAGAGCCGTTTACTTATGATCTGCAGTTGTAAGTAACAACACAAGAACTCTGTCAGTTACATGACTCGAACTATCACACACCTCGTATTAACACAGTCACAAACGTGAGAATCAACAGAAACCGTCTAAACATTCCACGCCATCGCATCGTCTACCGCAAGACTTGAAAGCAGGCATGGCCAAATGACACTGCTGCTAGAAGATCTTCGCCCAAGCCCACACGGCTCAAGCACATCCTGACTCATGTTCCTGTATTATGGGGGTTTGGGGGGGTTCTGTCAAGTAGGGGTGCGGCTTCGGATAACCGTTTCCGGTTAATCAATTGCCAAGCGACGGTTGGAAATGGAAATGATCGCACGGCAGTCAACCGGAACGACTTTCCACTCCCTTATCTGGGAGAATCGGGAACAATAAGCACGCCGTCAGCCGCAGATCCCTTTTACATAAGCGGTGAACGTCATTTGCATTAGATTAGGTATGTACTATACCGCGAGAAACGCGGGCTACCCTCGTGCGCGTCGTTCCAACAAAGTGCTTATGCTTCCCGGCTATATAAACGTTATCCGAGTAGTCACCGTCATTCTGCCAACCAGACACGGATGCTCAGGAGGCCGGCCCTCTCATGCCAGCTCGCACTCGATGAGGCTTTCCACGCCCTCCCCCTTGGTCCAGATCTTGACGATTTTGAGCCCCGCGGGCTCCAGCAGACAGCGCCACTGCTCCTCCGTCCTCTCCCTTGCCGAGAAGAGCGTCATCATCATGATGTCCAGCGCCGTCGTCTGCCAGTTGGCACCCGTCGGCGGCAGCACGTTCTCGTTGACCAGGAGCTTGCTGTAGCCGGGCTTCATCGCCGCCGTGATGCGCGACAGAATGCTCTTGCCCACATCGTCCGTCCAGTCGTGCAGGACTGAGTGCATGTAGTAGGCCCTGGCCCCCTTGATGGGCTGCTCCGTGTGGAAGTCGTACGCCATTGGCTCGATCTTGCGATCGATGTTCTGCACCTGGGCAAGGACAGGAGGGAGGTCTTGGAGGATGTGCCGGCCGGGTGCGTTGGGGTGTTTGCGGCAGAACTCGTCGAGGTCGTGGCCGAGGCTGCCGCCGATGTCGACGAGGAAAGCCGCGTCCGCGGAGGTGTCTGCGCCTCGGATGAGCTTTTCGGCGACCGGGAAGAAGCCGTCGTCCATCCAAGACGGCCTGCCCTGCCTGTATCCGGCCATGTGGTTATTGAACTCGCCGTTCGGGTAGTTGGCCATCATGTGCTGGAAGAAGTTCTTGTCCTTGCCGACGACGTCCTGCAGCGGACCGTCTGCCGGGTCGGCCGAGATGGACCAGTCATGCTTCTTGAGGTAGGCCGGAAAGTTGCTAAACGTAGGCCAACAGCCGCCGACGCTGCACAACGTACGTCAGATATCGTGTTCGAAAACATCGTCCCGGACCAATGAAGACCGCAAGGAAGCCTTACATGCAGGTATAGCCCCCTGAAATAACGGGCAGGCTCAGAGACTTGGAAAAGTTTGTGGCCTCATACTCGTCCGCGCCGACTTCCTTCAAGTATCCCATCGACCCAAGATGACGCATCGCGCGAGCAAGGACATCTTGATCGAACCGAAGTGCTTTGCTCACTTGATCTACCCGCTTTGGGCCGGGGTTCTGGGCCAGATAGCTGAAGAGACCCGACTCGATGCCCGTGGCGATGAGAATGTTGGCGGCGGGCTGGACGACGAGGGATACGTAAGCGTTCTGCATCGCTTCCCCGGACGACTTCACAACATACCTGGGCCCAGCAATGTTTGATCATGGTCTCCCGCGGTGTTTCGAGGGCCTGCAACAGAGATCTCGCTTGCTTCAGGAGCTGGAGGCGGTCCTCCTCCTTGTTCTGGGAGTACCCTTTGCCGAGCAGGCCTATGGCGTTGCACAGTTCAGCCACGCTCTTGGCCTCATTGGCTCGAGTAGCGACGGAGATGTCCAGTGGAATGCTCTCGGGGATAGATCCCATCTTTGCTCATTCAGGATAATACTTCAGTGATGAAATGATTTCAAAGTTTGTTCTAGCCAGCTAGATCAACATCTCTCTTTTAAATAGGACGAAGAGTGCCCTTAAGTCACTCGTCGTATCTTTCAGGGGCTGCCAACCCGAAACATGCTCGGTCATACGGATCCTTTCCATTGCCCAGGACACCACCGTATTCGTCATTGTACACTGGAGATCAAGCCCATAGATCATCGGGTCTATTGACTTCAGAAACGTGTTTGGAGGGTCTTCTGCAACACACTGCACCAACGGGTCTTTGAGCTTCCCTGGTCATCTTCTTCGGCATTTTCGGCTTTCCAACCCAAGACCTGTCAGTGGAGTAAAGGACGGCGGTCCGCTTCTGAAGGGCGAATGAGAGATGGGTGTTGGTCCAGCCTTCGTCGCGATACCCTAGCAAAGCCTCGCTTCATCCCTGACCGAGGGGACAACCCCCCTTCCGTTTTCAGATGTTTGGGGGCAGAAAATTAAATGAACGTGGTACTGGGATAGATGCACTTGTTTTCTTCTTGGCTCGATGTAACATCGACATATACCTGCCGGTCACCAGATGTCGTAGCCGAGAAGGGACAAGGTGGTGGTTGTAGTCGGATCATCAGGAGAAGGGCAATCTGGTCCGTTGATCAATTTTATGCATGACTGTCAGTCAACCCGGAGCCGTCTAGCTGCGCGTTGCCGGTCGATCTGCACTCGGTTTATCTAGGCGGCGGCTGCCGCAAGCGCTTTCTCGTGCAACACAGCATTTCTTATTCATTGCCATATCACTTTGTGGTTTTCGTAATCAATATATACCCAAACCGCTGCGATGTCAGCACCAGTTTCGGCAGATCGAGCCACGGAGAACAAAGGGCCTACCACCCTTGGGATTGTCACCTCCATGTCGATACTAAGCACCCTCATCACGGCAGCAAGACTCTTTGTAAGGGGCAAGATTTTGGGCAAAGTCCATCTGGACGACTACCTGATCGTTGCATCTGTGGTGAGTGGTCCCCTCCTGCAAGCCAAAATCCCTATCGCCTGATATCTTGCTTACCTGACTGATTCCTCTGCTCCAGATATGCGGTTGGGGCAATGTTGGAACCGCCATTGCCGCCGTCTCCTACGGTAATGGGCGGCACTTTGACCTGCTGAATCCCGAGCAAAAGTCCGGCGCCATTCTCTGGACCATCGCCGGCTTCCCCTTCGGCGTCATGTCTTTCGGTTTACCCAAGCTTGCCGTTGTCTCTTTGCTCAACCGCATTATGAACCCCACAAGGAAGCATGCGATATTCATGTGGTGCCTGTCGATCTTCTGTCTATCCAACCTCATCGGGTGCATCATCATCCTATTCGCCCAATGCGAACCCTCGCGCTCGCAATGGGACTTCTCCATCACTGAGAAGACGTGCTGGGACAGAGATATACTGGTTTACTTCGCGATATATTCTGGAAGTGAGTCTCCTGGCTCGCATACACTGGCGCGTGCGATTGCTGACCGGATCAGTTGTTTGTGCTATTGTCGACCTTTACCTTGCCGTGTACCCTGCCTGGGTGCTTGCGAAGCTGCAGATGAGCCGGAAGAAAAAGATTGCTCTGAGTACTGCTCTAGGCATCGGATCCATGTAAGCTGCCCATATCTAGGACCACCTACTGTAGATTGGCTGGCTGGATAACTGACCTCTTGATGTACAGCTCTGCGATCGTTGCCATATACAAGTGTACTCGACTTCCAAGTCTTGCCAGCCCGGACTTTTCATGTAAGTTCCTTGTCTAGCCTTACAAAGTCTAGCTAACAAGTCATCTCCTTACAGATGACACCTCGGACTTGGTCATCTGGACAATGTAAGCAAAAATCAACACCGCTATTAGAATAGATGAGCCAAACCAACACTTGTTAACCGTGTCGCAGCGTCGAAGGCAGCACGATGATCATCGCCGCCTGTATCCCCGTGCTCAAACCGCTCGTCGAACTCATATTCGGCAAGAGCTTGCTCAGCTCCGGCGGCGCTCGCTACACATATGAGAATTATGGCTCGGGACCCAGCGGCCAGATGAAGTCTGATATTGAAATGAATGGCTCCCGTAACGCCAAGAGACGTGCAAACAAGTCCGATGCCGATGTCGGCAGTCTCGGAAACAGTACAGAGACGACAATGCCAGCGAATGGAAGCCAGGAACTCATCCTCAACCGTCAAAACACGGCAGGGATGATCGTGAGGACTGATGTCTACAGTGTCTTGGTTGAGAAGAAGCCATGAACACTGGGCAATGGGGGAGTTGAGGGATATCGTTGCTGGAACAACGCAAAAGATTGTGACGATTTCATCAGAAGGATCCGCGGTTATTATACCAATGGCTACAGCATACAGGAAGAAAAAAGCATGAGGAAGATGGCGACATCAATGACGTATTAGCGTACATTCAAATCCTGAAAACGGATGGTTTGAACTGTGTAGGGTTAATCAGGACCATCAGAATGTTCTGGCCCAGAAGGGACCAGGTGCAGGTATTACTGAGGTACGTGATAACAGTATGATAGTTCAACGATAATTAGAATCCGGGTAAAACTCGAGAGTCATCTCATCGAATATCAAGTCTCCTTGTCATGAATTCGTCAGTGGTTAGGATATTAGAGCACCCTTCACTCGGGATTGCACTTTGATTGTTAGCTTGACACTATAATACCAAATCCCTAAGCCACTCCGAGTTAATACGCTAGGGACGGAAGCCGGACCTTGTTCTCTCCTGCGAACCCAACACTCAAAAAGTCGTGGAGGACTGGCTCCATCCCCGCCTGAGCCGCCGCTGTCAACCACTCATGCAGACCGACAACACTATACGTCGTCCTCAGACCATCCTGCTCCTCGAGAAACTCCTTCAGTTGACCGGGCCGCAGTTTCGCATCGTTGCAATGATGCACAAACCTGACCGTCGCCACACGCTTGGCGTGATCCGTATCAAGTGCGACGTTGACAAGCTTACTTGACACTTGCTGCACCGGGACAAGATCGAGAGACCCTTCCATCTTTCCCTCGAGTGCAGGCACCTTGCCCAAGGCCCGAGAACTGTTGAGGATCGCCGCCATCCAGTCCAGTTTGGGCGCGCCCGCTCCGACGATGCTGGCCGGCCGATGAATCACCACGGGCAGGCCGCGCTGGGTGCCGAGCCTCTCCAACACCTGTTCGGCCACCCACTTGCTGTCTTGGTACCCGTTCTTCGATTCCGGCTCGGGCATGCGGTCGCTTGCCGACTGCTGCAAAAGCGTCGGGGGCGGCGCATCCCGGTTGTTGACCGTCGGCACGAGAGCAACGCCGCCGGTGGACACGAAGTGAAGAGGGATGGATCGGACAAGTGCCATGCGGCAGAGCTCGACCGTGGATGAGACGTTGGATTGGCGCAGAGACTGGTAAGTCTTGAGGAACGACACCTGGGCGCCGTTGTGGATGATCATGTCGGCACGCTTGCTGAGATTGTTGAAATCGGTATCCGAAAGCCCCAGGAGGGGCGATTCCAGGTCGCCGGCGTACTCGACGATCTTGTCGCTTTGGACCGGCACGTGGCGAGCCTGTCCGTCGGCGCTACGGATCGCGATACAGTCCACCTCGCGAACCCGGTCATCGTCAACAAGACGCTGCGCGATCGAGCTTCCCAGGAACCCCGTGGCACCCGTAAGAACCACGACCAGTCCGTTCGGCTTCTGGTGAGAAGAGACGTCATTCTGCGCCGGGGAAGGGGTGTTAACGCGGGGAGGGAGAGGACGTGATGCTTCTTTGCAAGCATCATCGACCTCCTTGCTCCAATCCACACGTGTAAGTTGGCCGTTCGGGTCAAGCTGGGGGCGGTTGTCGTCGGATGAGGCAAACAGGGCCGCCATCTCGGCCAGAGAGCTGTGGTGGAAGAGCTCAGGCAGCTGAATCTTGGCAGTCGAGAATTCCCTCTCCAGCAAGAACCGAAGCTCAATCAGGTTTCTGGAGTTACCGCCGAGGTTGAAGAAGTCGGTATTGGGGTCCCAAATGCCCGAGGCCTTCTCCCCCAGGACCTGCTCCCAGATCTCGGCAACTTGTCTCTCCAACTCGGACAGGGAGACGATTGAATTCTCGGTGCTTCGGTTCGATCGATTCGACCGTTGCAGCTGGGAGGACGGGATGGGGTATTCGTCGATGGCGCGCCTGTCCATCTTGCCGTTGGGGTTGGTTGGGACTCCGTCGATGGGGATCCAGACCGAGGGGCGCATGTATGGCGGCAACGGAAGCTGTTGACCGAGCTCATGCGTCGCCCATCCGAGACTCTCTTCGCTGGCGTCTCTGCGCATAACGATGAGAGCGGCGAGTATCTCGGCATCGGGACGCCACGACACGGCGGCGTTGCTGATGATGCCGTTGGAGCAGCGGACGATGGTGGCGGCAATCTCGTCAAGCTCTACCCGCTGGCCCCGGATCTTGACTTGGCTGTCTTGGCCAATGCGGCCAAGCACCGTCAAAGTGCCGTCTTCTGCGGACAAACGGCCAAGATCGCCTGTTCGGTAGACGGGGATGCCTGGGGGCAGGGCGCCGCCGCGAATGAGCTTCGAGTCAATGAACTGGCGCTCTGTCTCCTCGGGCCTGTTATTGTATCCGCGACTGATGGAGTATGGCGAAGAAATGCAGATCTCACCAGGAAAGCCAGCCGGCACAGGGTTCAGCTTCTCGTCCACAATTGTGAGGTTGTAGTTTGGCAATGCCCGAATGCCGTCCGAGTCACTCATGATGTCCTCCTCCGTTTGGTAAGGCATCGGACCTCTGCCACAGGTTACAGATGCCTCTGTTGGACCGTAGGCGTTCCACAGCCTGAGTTCGGGAAGAGCCAGATCCCGGAATGCCCGGCGAAGTTGATGCGTGACCTTTTCGCCTGCGACATGAGCAGTACGCCACTGACGGCACTGCTTTAGATATTCGAGGCCATGTTGATGCATCATGTGAAACTCTGAGGGGACGATGCAGGTGTAAGTCACGCTCTCAGTTAGCATCAGCTTGGACAGATGCTTAGGATCACCTCGGCCGTGTTGCCCAACAACAATCAGCTTGCCACCGCGGGTCAGGGCATCGAAGATTTGGCCAAGGGCGATATCGAAGCCATGAGACGTTTGCTGAAGAACCACCTGACGCTCGCCTATAATGTCTTTGCACACGTAGATCTGATTCAAAAGACCTAGATGAGTCACGCGGACGCCCTTCGGCACGCCAGTCGAACCACTTGTGTACAAAAGAACGGCATCGGCGTCCCTACTGCTCAGGTTCGGCGTCGGGACCGATGCGGAGGGCGCCGTTGGTGCCATCAACTCTGCCAAACGCAACGGCTCAAGCTCTGGATTCTCAGGACGGGCAGCTGCTACCAGCTCTTCCGCGAGAACGCCGGTGGCATCAGAATGAATGATGTGACGGGGCTTGCAATCGGTAAGCATAGCCGCGAGCCTCTGTCGAGCATTACGTGTATCGAGCGGCACCCAAACCAGGCCTTGCTGGAGAGCGGCAAGAAGAGTGCAGATGGACCAAACGTCGGGCGTTAGCAGAACGGCAACTCTGGACCCCGGCTGAATCTTGCTGGCTTGGAGACCTCGACAGATCTGATTGGTTGTCTTGATCATGTCTGAGTATTTGAGCTCGTTGCCCTCATCATCCTTGATAGCGATCGAATCTGAAAACTGTGCCGCGCTTCTTGCAACCTGGTCTATAATAGTACCCTCCCATTCGATGTCGACTGTAAAGCGTCAGTATGTAATACCTGCTAGCTTTTGTTTGAAAAAGTTAAAGGAAACTTACCTGTCGGTCCATGACCCAGAGCGGCAGCCTTCCGCATCTCTTGCGGATCAGCGAGCGAACAAGTGCTGACCCGGACAGACGAATCGTGCGCAAACGACTTCAGCATGTGTGTGTACCACTTCATCAGCATCTTGGTATCGGCCGCGCTGTACATGTACCGTTGTGTGGTGAAGGACAGTATGCAGGTACCACGAGGAGTATCTGAAACGTCGATCGCTAGGTCGTACGAGTTCTTTGAGGGCACCGCGCCGGTCCATTCGATCACCCCATCACCCAAGGGGCTGGATGAGGGAATCCCCAGTCTGTAGTTGAATAGAACCTGAAACAGCGGATGATGTGTACTGTGGCGAGGTACCTTGAGTTGGTCCAGCAGCACCTCAAACGGAACGCCGGCGTTGGAAAGGGTCTTGAGGACGGAGTCCCGCGTGCGCTGGGCGGCTTGGTCGAAACTCTCGTCCTCCTGGAGCTTGGATCGGAGTGGTAAAACGTTGACATAACTGCCTAGGGCCTGCGCGTCACCCTCATCCGGACCTCGGTTGGAATCGACGATGCCGATGTTTATGTCGTCGCTCGTACCGAGACAGCGTGCGAGAAGGGCATGGAGACCGGCAACGTAGAAGTGGAAGGGAGTGATACGGAGTTTGGAGGACTTGCTCCGGATCAAGGAGCATAGGTCGGCGTCGATTCTCATGTCGAAGGTCTCGAGGTCATAGTCGGAAAGTGGTTTGCGGCTCCGAGTCTTCGCAAAGGGAAGTAGAGGTATGGGGCCCAGAGGGCGCTCGTGGACCTTCTTCCAGTAGGAAAGTTTATCTGCCAACTTGTCTGGGACACATTTCACTCGCATCTTGTTGGACACGTCAATGGACTGGGGTGGGGACATGCCGAGAGGGTGCCCGGCGTAGGCCATCGTCAACTCAGTGAGAAACACAACTGTAGCTTGAGCATCCATGACGATGTGGTGATGGACGAAGACGATATAATGTAGGCTGGGCTGTATTGAAAGCACCACCACGAGCATCAGTTTTCCCCTTGCAATGTCGAAAACGTGCTGGCGTAGTTGTTGCACATGGGCGTTAACATCCGCTTCGTTGTCGATATCTTTGTGCACAACCTGGATCCCAGAGTCGACACCCACAGCCTGGACGGCTTGCTGAGTGCTGGGGTCAACGAAGTAGGCGCTACGAAGTGCCTCGTGACGTCTGGCGACGTGCTCCAAGGCGGCCTCAAACTGGGCAATGTTCAAGTAGTGTGGATATCTCCCATGGAACAAGACGTTTTGGCTGGATTTGTCGGTGAGATACTCATGGAGGAAATAGAGAGCCTCCTGGGAGTGAGACATGGGCCCTGTGCGCTCGTAGTTGTCGGTGTGCGCGGGGTTCGGGCAATCTTGAGCATTCTGCTGAGCCGCATTGCCATCTGCCGATGTCCCAACGACAGACGGGGCGGTGGTGCTATTCGGAGAACCTGTGATGTCAGGCCATGACTCGTTGTTGGCTTCAACGTCGGATGAGGCCTCGGAGCGTGAAGTAGAGGACGCCTCGTCACGCTCAGGGGTGATTCGCGGTGTGTCAGGTCGTCGAGCCGGGGCCGGCTCCTCTGTCTTCTTATCCGCCTCGGCCTCTGTGGAAGCTGACCGCTGTTTGCTGAGAGAGATGTTCAGTTTGGACTTCACCTCAAAGCTGATATCGGCAATGGAGGCATCGCTGAGAATTCTCAGGGTTGGCACGTCGACAGCAAGCTCCTTGAGGAACCACGAACGCAACTCGACCGCAACCAAGGAGTCAATGCCCAGCGAGAGAAGTGCCGTCTTGGGGTCCATGGGAGAGCCTGTGTCGGCGAGCTGCAACACCGAGCCGAGCTTGCGTGAGAAGGCCGTCTCAATCGTAGTCAGGACCTCCTCATCGCTCTTCGCATCGGCAATGTGCTGCGACACGTTCTTGTCTGGCTCAGAGCCGACACCAGTCGAGGTGATAGCTTGGCTCTCGGAGGGCACAAAGTGAGAGAATCGCGGAAACCGCTTCCAGCTCGCCGTGTTGGACATGGCGAGACCTGTGTGCAGCTCCGGATGGAGGCCCTTGTCAGCCCGACCGGCTTCGATCGACTCCGCCATGATGGTGTGGAACTCGGGCTCGGAGATTGACATGTATGCCGCAGCCTTCATCTGGGCTTCCAGGATCTCGCCTGCGTTACGCCACATCCACCCGAAGCCGACAAGCATGGCGATGTCGATGACCGAAGCGGACACACGGCGTGCTCTACGCTGGGATGCCAGACTGGCCATGAACATGTTCGCAGCAGCATAGTTGGACTGTCCGGGGTTGCCGATCACGCGAGACAGAGACGAGAAGAGGATGAAGAACTCAAGAGGGTCGGAGTAGAAGAGTCTATCGAGATACTCGCTGCCGCGAACCTTGGGGTCCAGAACGACATCAAAATCTTCCAATGTCATGGCGCTGAAGGGCTTGTCTCGAAGCACCATGGCACCGTTCATGACACCGCCAACGGGTGGCATCGTCTCGATAATCTGCCGATGAACGTCGCGGAGCATCTGTTCATCAGTGATGTCGAGCGCAAACACGCGAACGTTAGCACCCTTATTCGCCCAGTAGTTGAGAAAGCTTGGGTCAATACTCGGCTTTCGACTAGAAATCGCCAGGTGTCGTGCGCCGTTGTCAATCATCCAGTTGCATAGACCGAAACCGAGCTCTCCAGTCAGACCCACGAGGAAGTATGTCTTGTCGTTGGAGAACAGGTTGCTGATGTCAAGGGGCTTCACAACGGCCACGGCTTTCTCTACGCACTCCCAGTCGACTATCTCCAGGGGCTCCGAGTTGTGAGGCGCTGTTGCGCGACTCGTGGGCAGCTTGTCAACGGGGATCCCAGAGGGAATGGTGCTGGCAGCAGTGCTGGACTCGTCCACCAGGGATTTGGCTGTGCCTTTGAGAACTTCTCGTACCTCGTCGAAGCTGAGCGATAGTTTGAGATGGCCATGGCGGTTAGTCTGGCTTGTGAGGTGACAAACCTCGGCAATATTGTCCAGACCGGAAGCTAACCTCTGATAGAAGCCAGCAATTGGCTCCTCTCCGAGTGTCAGGAGACAGAGGATATGCTCTGGAACCTGGGAACGAAGCTCTCGTTCTGTGATGAAGGGATGGAGAACCCGAGCAGCTCTGTCGCCTGCTCCATGTGATCGGGCGCCGATGGTACTAGAGGTAGTCCAAAACAGATCAAGGCCATGAGCGGATGCTACTTCGGAAGCGATTTCAGCAACTGACGCGTCGGCGACGTGCAGCCAAACTGTGCCCTTGACCTTTGCCAGAGGCTTGACAAGGCTTTCACAAATAATACGAGCGAGAGCTGCCCGGAGCGACGCTTGAGGAGAGGAAAGATTGCCTGGTGTTTGAGGAAGTGTGATGATGTTGCCGGATGAAACTCTGATAACGGAACCGTTGATGGGAGTCAAGGCGAGAACCGTTTGTCCCGACTCGAGGACCTTACCGAAAGAGACGAAATACTGCTGGCCTTCTTTCGTGATCACTGGGAAGAGAGAGCACACCTGAACCCGTACTTCAACCCATCGTGAAGAGTCCTTGCTACCAGTCATGACAACGGCGGAGGTCTGCTCCAGCCAGCAAACGCCGCTGGGCGACTCCCTCTTCAACGTGACTGATTGACGCGAGGGATCTACTTCACGTTGGACTACTCGTCTCGCGGAGTTGATCCTTTGATTGGAGGCTTCCTCGGGAAGGATTCTGGGGATGTACGTGTCGCCATCTTGAATCACGGTCTCTGTTTCACTAGACCAGACCACATCTTCAAAGTCCGGACCGTCCGTGTAAAGCATACGAAGCAGCATGTTGGACAGTTGAACTGCAGACTTGTCCGTGATTTCAAGGTCCAAGTCGACAAATTGAAGGTTCAAGTGCGTGAGCTCCTGCATCACTGACCGCCCAAGACCGACAATGATGCTGGCGTACGGGTCCTCGACGCGGCACCCTCGGGTTGCCCATAGGATGCTCTTGGAATTGTTGAAGATGCTCTTGAGATTTTGGAACTTTGCGGGGTTCATGTTGCGGAAGGTTGCCTCGTGAAGGTCGACGAGCGAGACGACGGTACTACCCAGAGGCAGAATACCATCTGCCAAGGCGGGGTCTTGAAGTCCTTGAGCGACAGTGACGTTGTTTGCGAACGGGGAGAGCAAGTCTTTCATCTCGTTGACGAGTACGGCGACTTCTTCTGCACCATCAGGACTGATGAGAGCCAGGTGATCGATCCTGGGAGCAAGGGGCTGGTTGGGCCCAATGAGCAGAGGGTCCCTCAGCGCCCGAACCCTGTCATCCAAAGCCTGGGTTGTGAAGACGGAGAAAGTGTATCGGTTCTCATCCTCAAGATCACGACAGTGGACGTCGACACCCGAGAAGCCTTGGCGGCGCAGAATCCCTTGCCATTCGTCGATGGAGACCGTTGGGTGGTTGATCCGTCCCTCTTCCTGGCCGAGCCACCAACCCGAAAGTGACGAAAAGATGATCTGGATCCACAAAGCCTCACTCGTAATCTCCAGCAGGATCATCCGGCCGCCAGGTCGAAGGAGCTTGTGACAGTTGGCGATGGTTTTCTCCAGGTGCTTGGTCGCATGGAGCACGTTGGCGGCCATGATCACGTCGAACGAGTGCTCTTCAAAACCCTGTTCCACGGGATCACGCTCGATGTCCAGTGTTTTGAACACAATCTTGTGCGCATGACTCGAAAAGGCGGAAGCGGCCTTCTCGAAGAAGCCCGGTGAGATGTCCGTGTAGGTGTAGGAGGCGAAGTTGGACTTGAGACACCTTAGCGCTGTGGTGGTGGTCCCTCCTGTTCCGGCACCAATCTCGAGGATGTTCATCTGCGGATAGCGGTGGGCAAGCTGTCCAACGAGCTCGCCAACCTGGGTGTTGGCCGTCTGCCCGCCGATACAGTCCTTGTAAAGTCTGTTCAAGACATTGTCCTCCATGAGTATCTGCAACGGGGGCACGTTACCACGCACAATGTCAGGATACGCCTCTCCGATGGCGTGGACTGCGCGCAGACTGATTTCATCGCCAAACTCGTCGCGCCAGCCCTGTACGTCCTCTTCTCGGTCGAATGCCCACTCCGCCTTGACTCTGGGATGCTGGCCGTTTTCGATGGAAGGCAGTAGCCGGTCGAACACCCATCCCAGGGAGGCCTTGTAGTGCCAGGCCATGTCTCCTATCTCCGAATCCGAGATCTGCTCCCGCAGTCTCCTTAAGAAGAAGTATGAGGTTCTCTCCAAGACCTCGTACAACCTCGAATCGTCATGACTCGCTTTGATGATTTTGTTGTTCTCAATGCCGCAAGATATGTCCTTTCTCCAGACCGTACGGGAGAAGAGTTTCCGATCCTGGTCCGGGCTTTGTGTTGCAAACGAGGTGCAGGTAAGGCCCTCAAGCTGACACTCGAGACTACCAGCGGAGGAGTAGATGTCTACGTCGGCACAAATGATCTTATCAGAGGCGTCGCGCAAGATACAGTCAGCACTGAAATGTCTTTGCTGCTGTACCTGCCGCTCGCGCCCTTCGGCCTGCGTGATCCTGATGCGACGAATACTAGTCGGAAGGTAGGCAGTCCACATGCGTCCGTCGTTCGGGTAGCAGAATGCGGAGAATACGCCATGGAACGAAGTGTCGAGAACCGCGGGGTCGATGAGCAAGTGAGTTCGGTCATTCTGGGACATGGTAACAGCGGCGAAGCCCAGACGTCTGGAGATGGAGTTTGCCAGGAAGTCTCCGGAATATTCAAGACCAATACCGCTCACGCTGGAGTAGAACTGGTCGAGATTCACGTCGGTGAGTGGAAGCCGCTGCTCTCTTCTAAGCGGCTGCAGAGTTCCGGCCTCCTCGGCTGCTGCGTCCAGAGCACTGCCAGCCGCATTACTCACGATGATGGTAGCTAACCCAGTGAAATTGCAGTTGCTATTCTCATCGGATCCAGCGTCCGCCCCGATGCTGAAGCAAGAAAACTCGGCCATGGTGGTTGTTGCATCTTGCTGGCGCGCGTGGATCACAAAAGTGACCTCGGTGCCGGTGGAGGACTGCTCGGACAGCGTGATTGCTTGATGGATCTTCATATCGTTCAGCTCGATCACCTTGGTCTTGTTAGGCTGATCTGGTATCAAGTACGACGCCGCCTCCACAGCCATGGATACGTAGCCCGCTGCCGGGAATAGGACCTGGTTTTGGAACTTGTGCCCACGGAGCCAGTCCATCTCGCTAACCCTCATGATCTTCCGCCAGTGCACCTCTTGACGGTTGCCACTGACGGTGGGCAGCCCGAGTAGGTCGTGTTCCGGCTCCCTGCGACCTCGCCACAGCTTGGATACTCGGGATTCCCACATGAGGGACTTGCTGTGATTCCATGGGAATGGGGGCAGAGACTTGCATACTTGAGGGTTAAAGGATGCGGGATTGGGCACGCAGGCTCGACCGAATGTCTCAAAATCGGGCAAAGGCCGGCTCTGGAAGTCAACTTGGATATGTTTCCATACAAAGCCTAGAGCCTCCGAGAAAGCGACGAAATCGTCCTCGCCCCTCTTGAGCACACCGCTGTATGGCACCGCAACACCGGCCAGGTTCTTGATCAGATCGCTAGCGGGACCGCGCAGAGCCGGGTGAGGGCCTATTTCGAGCACGAGATCGAGTCTTTGGCTTTCTTGAACAGCCCTATCCAGCGCCTGGGAGAACAAGACTGGTTTGACGAGGTTGTCCACCCAGTACTGGCCGGCATAGCTTTCTGGCTCGTGTGTGTAGCGTCCAGCAGATCCATGGACGCTCGAATACCAGACGCAGTCACCGCCGACGTCGGTTCGGGGGACTTTGATGTTGCAGGCGCGTAGCGATTCCAGGTAGGGTCCCGAGCAAGGCTTCATGTGATGAGAGTGATAGGCCTTGTCTACTTGAAGTGCACGTGCAAAGACTCCTTCAGCGTCAAGGACTTCTTTTGCCTCTAGTATGGCATCAGCGTCTCCAGAAATAGTGACACTAGATCTGGCATTACTTGCAGCAACCGAGATGCGGCCGCGGAACTGGGGACGCTGGCAGAAGGTTTCTGCGTTTTGGAATGACAGCCCGATGGCCATCATTTTCCCGGGTTGACCGGTTGGTGAAGAGGAGAGATGGGAGTGCAACCCGCGGTAGTAGGCAATACGGATCGCATCTCGGGCAGTCAAATATCCAGCGGCGTATGCAGCGGCAATCTCTCCAGAAGAGTGCCCAACGACTCCATGGAAAGAAACACCCGCTACCCTCAGCAGATCAACGAGGGCGATCTGTACAGCTGTGCAGATGGGCTGCGCAATCTCGGCCTCCTTGACGCGAGAGCTCTCAGCAGACGCAAATAGCTCAGAGCGGAGGGACCACGACGGGCCATCAGGGAGATCATCCAAGGACTCTTGAAGCTGACTGATGGACTTTCGGAAATAGGCTGATTGCCTGTGAAGCTCCGCACCCATTCGCGGCCATTGTGCACCTTGACCAGTGAAAACGCCCAGAATGCGAGCCGGGTACTTGTCGGTTACTTTTGTGGCTTTGGAAGACTGTACCGAGAGTGCATTTGAATCCTTGCTGATGGCGTCCAAACGTTCAATGAGCTGTTTTCTGTCGACAGCAGCGACTGCAACTCGGACCGGGAAGTGCTCACGTCGAACCTGTAAGGTCCAGGCCAGGTCTCGTAGGTTGAAATCAGGCTCGGACTTAAGCGCTTGAGACAGATTCGACACAGCAGCCAGAAGTCCCATGTCAGAGCTTGCAGAAAGTGTGAACGGCCCCAAGTGCTGCTTATTGCTATGAGCCGCAACATTCGAGACGACATTCGAATCCCTTCCATAATCTGAGTTTCCCGAAGAAGGCCAGCTCTCGATAATGGCATGAGCGTTTGTTCCACCAAAACCGAACGAATTGATACTGGCCCTCCGTGGCACACCCTTCGGCAGCTCCGGCCATGATTGAAGGCTGGTTGGAACCTCGAGATGATCGTAGAATGGCTTGATCTTGGGGTTCAAACGGTTGAAATGGAGGTTTGGGGGGATCTGGCCATGCTGAATGGCCACGGAGGCTTTGAGCAACCCGGCAAGTCCGGCTGCTCCCTCTAGATGTCCGATGACGGTCTTGACAGACCCGACGTACAGAGTGTCTTTCTCCAGTTCCTGTTGAACGTTCTCGGGGAAGAATGCGTCACGAATCGCGCGGGCTTCTTTAGGATCGCCTGCTTGGGTGCCCGTCCCGTGTGCCTCGAAGTACTGACACCGATCCTCCGTCGTTCTCCAGTCTAAGCCGCACTTGCTGTAAGTCGATCGAATAAGTGCAGCTTGGGCTTCGGAGCTTGGAACGGTAAGTCCTTCCGATCGACCGTCTTGGTTTACCCCCGTCTCTCTGATGATGCATTCGATATGGTCGTTGTCCGCTATCGCCTGGCTGAGCCGCTTGATAATGACGGCCGCGAAGCCTTCGCCTCGAGCATAGCCGTCTGCCTCAGAGTCCCACATCCGGGAGCGTCCGGTTGGTGACAACATGGAGAGCTTGCCAGATATTAGTTACAACGATATCTCAACTGTGGTAATGCCCGCGGGGGGTGACTGACCTGGGACTCGTAGATGTACTTTTCAGGCCCGAGAATCAGGTTGACTCCGGCCGCCACCGCCAAGTCGATCTCACCGCCTCTCAGCGCTTGCACGGCTTGATGCAGAGCAACCAGACTCGAAGAACAAGCCGTGTCGATGTTGACAGAGGGCCCTCGCCAGTCGAAAAAGTAAGACACGCGGTTGGCGATAATTGCTCGGCTCGATCCTGTGGCTGTGTACTGCGGGGCGCATTGGACGTCCTTATTCAATATGTCGTAATAATCGTCCGTCATCTGACCGACATAGACGCCGGTTGGAGACCCTCGAAGGTCTGACATGGCATATCCAGCTGCTTCAATGCCTTCGTAGACCGTTTCGAGAAGAAGCCGTTGCTGGGGATCCATGCTTTCGGCCTCTTTGGGATTGAGGTTGAAGAAGCCATAGTCGAATTCACCCACGTCTTCTTCTAGAACGTACGAGTGAGTGACGTTGGAAGTCTGATCGTCTCTGTTAGTACATGTAGCTCAGAGGCAATATAGCAACCTCCCAGGTGACCCAAAGGAGGCAAATTTCGGGGCGGCAGCTGAGGTGTAATAGCCTGGTCATATGCCACAGCAACTCTTCGGTATCTACCTGACTTGTCGCTCTTGAAGAGAAAAAGTGAAACTTACACCATGACGAACACTCTCAGGATGGTGAAACGAATACTGGTTGAACTTGGTGGAGGGAATCTTCTTTCGAAGATCCGGGGGATCCCGCAAAATCTGCCAAAGCTTCGATGGAGAGTGCGCGGCGCCTGGGAAGCGGCAACTGGTCCCCACAATCGCCACTGGCTCGGTCTTCCAGCTTTCTCTACGAGCCATAATTTGACGGGTAACCAAAGTTTTGAAAAGTATTTGGCTTGAATTGGAAGCGGCTTGATCGAAGAGTGCCGTGGATGGAGTTGTATTCCTTCCTAGGGGAACGTCTTGATGCCGGGGAAACCAGAATGGAAGGTTAAAATCCGAGTATCAATGCCTTGAGATTTGCTCCATGTAACAACGAACAAGGAGCTGGCTCTGAACTGTTTTTTTTTTCTTCTTTCTGATATCAAGTGAAGCTACCAACACTTATCCCATCACCTAATATCAAGTTCGCGTTGTACGTAGTGCAGACAGCCGCGGTGGGTTGAAGGCAACCTTCACAGCAATACAAGCTCGTAACTTGGCCAATCATGGAAAATTGCAATGTAATCTTTCATTCGTAGCCGGGTACGCAAGCTGGACCGGTAGAATGCGCCCACTCGGTGGCGGCGGTGGCGGATCGGTAGAGACACGGCGTAATCACCATTTACCCCGTGCTAGCGAATATGCACCGAGGTCGGCATATTTCTGACATCCTTCACCGATGGTTCGATCCAATGTATTACGCCAAAGAAATTGACAACCACCATAGCATAGTGCTTTTCGCATCTAAGCATGCCCGAGTCCTTCTGACAAATTTCGTTGATAGGACAGGTGAGCGCGTGGTGATGATGTTGTTGTGAAGCCTGCCTAGATCGCAGAGTTGTCCTTCCAAATTTCCAATATCTCAATTCGTATCAGTGTTCCAGAAATGAGCGTTAGAAAGGCACTTGTCGGGAAAGGACCCGGCGAATACGAAATCATCCACGATGGCCCTATACCTGATCTCCAGCCAGACCAGATGCTATGCAAAACCCACTCAGTAGCCCTGAACCCGGCGGATGCGAAGACTATCGACAACTCCCCGTGCCCGGGTATCGGCGGCTACGATTTCTCCGGCACCGTCGTCAAGGTTGGGAGTTCGGCCACGCGGTTCAAAGCTGGTGATGATGTCTTCGGATTCGTTCACGGCCTGAACTCGGACAATCACGATTCTGGTGCATTTGCAGACCACGTAGTTGCAACCGCCGACCTCTGCTGCAGGATGCCCTCATCCATTACATCCTACCAGGCATCCACAATGGCGCTGGCATTTGGAACCGTGGGCTACGCAATGTTCAAGCAGCTCGGACTCGCTATGCCTGGCACCGAAACCGGCGAGAGGCCGGGGTATGTTCTTGTTGCTGGGGGCAACACGGCGTCTGGCAGGATGGCGATCCAGCTCCTAAAGCTGTAAGTATTCTATTTCTAGAGCCATCCTAATAAGGTTTTTTAGAGCTCCAGCTGAAACGTCACTTAGATCCGGAATCAAACCTGTCGTCACTTGCAGCGTCAACGTCAGCGCCATCATGAAGGACCTCGGCGCTGCAGAGACTTTCGATTATCGATCCAGCACGTGCGGTCGAGAAATCAAGAACTTCACCCGTAACAAACTGGCACATGCTCTAGACTGCGTCACGTCCGCCGATACCATGGCTTCTTGTTTCGAGGCTATCGGTGCCAAAGGGGGGAAATACATCGGACTTGAGGCTCCTCCGACTCTTGTAAAGTACAGTCGACGAGACGTGACCGTCGACTGGGTGCAGGCCCTGTCACTCTTTGGCAAACCTGTGAAGCTAGATGGCGTGTATGGAAGACCCGCCTCGCAGTCGGATCGTCAGTTCGCCGCTCAGCTGTATAGGGCGGCCGAAAGATGGACCCAGGAAGGTTTGGTACGAGGCCCTGAATTCCAACTTCGGGAAGGCGGACTGGAAGGCATTACTGAGGGGATTGATCAAGTTCGCAAGGGCAAGGTTCGAGGCTTTAAGTTGGTGTACCCGATAGCTTAGAATACGGCACAGACTAGCAGTCTTTGAATGAGACAATAGTTGTCCTTTGAGTATGGCCCAGATTCGTGAACCTGTTTACAATATCATATGGACGCGAGCTAGATGCCAAGCACCGATAGATCAGATCTTATCGGTTTTTTCCAGATCCAGTGACGGTACAGAGGAACCGTATTGAGCATATGTCGTAAACTTGTATGTAGCCCCCCATGGCTCGACATTCTGGAATGTCGAGTCTAACTGACCGACCTGGTTCAGCTCGGTCAGGGCCATACCAGTGAGCATTTCATCTCTAACCCAGCTGAAATCATCGTAGCCTCGACCGGAATTCACCGAAATTCAATAGTTTCTGACATACGCCGCTTCCTTCGTCAGCCCCCATTTCCGATACCAGACACCAGGGTGCGGCCTTCACACCCCTTCGTAATCCTGACCCCTGGCTCAACCCTGCGCCTCTTCCTCGATTTCGTTGCCTAGTTTTCATTCGGACCGGAAAGCCTGGAGTTTGATCAAGGCTAATCCATCCCGCTGTCTACATGTATATAAAGAGGACTGAATGTGCGTGTCATGATGATGATTTCTAGACCAGGCCATTCTCTTTCCGTTCTCATCATCGCCAATTCTCACTTTCAGGGCGCATTTACATATAGAGCCACGTTTTCTTTCACACAAAAGACCTTTCCTCTCAATCACCAAAATGAGGCTTCCCTGCATCGCAAATGTCACCGCCGTTGGCGTAAAAATGCTGCTGTTCGCACGACGCCGTCAAGACCTCACCCCCACTCAATTTCACGACTACTATGAGAACACACACATGCCTCTCCTCAAAAACCTCTCGGGAGATGTTTTTCCCTTATCCCACACCCGCTCTTATGTCATTCGTGACGAGCCCGACTTCTTGGCCAGAGTCGTGCTTGGCGAGCAGTCCGACTTTGTCTTCGATTCCATGGCCATCTTGACCTGGAAGGATGAGGCCCATTTCAACGCCACTTTTACGGTTTATGGAGACGACAATGTTGGGAAGAAGATCGCGGAGGACGAGGAGAACTTCATCGAGTGGGGAAAAGCTGTTCTTGTTGCTTGAGCTGTGTCGCGCGTTCAGCTGGTCCACTATGTGCTTCCCGTGGTTTTTCTTAGAGTTTGATTCATTGCCATATTTACAACATTCGAGCCTCGCCTACTGACAATATTGTCACCAATGACAAGCATATATATATACATTTATTTGCCATAGCCTTGCATAGAGTGATACGAACTAATCCTAGAGAAGGACAGTAGGGTAACACAATCTAACTGCTACCACTACTACTACTACTACTGTTGTTCTTGATAGCATGGCTATAATATGCGCATTACGCAGCATCCTGGATTCGATCATCGATTTTATCTTGCCCTTTCTCGTCAATGGCGTATACTCTCTACCTTCAGAATATGATATATTCCCATCCTACCTTTGCATGACCGGCGAGAGATATACCTTAGCCATCGTTTACCATGTGTCTTTGACGTTTCCATGTATGATCTCATTCGCACAGCCATTTGGCTATTTCTCATTTGAGATATGATCGGAAGTCCTTCATAAAAAGTCCTCATATCTCAATATCTTGGCGCAAACGCATTCAATGAGAGCCTTCTCATTAACAAGAGAAGTAAAAAGCATTTTTCTTTAGTTTCATATCTTTCATTTATTATCCAATATCTCGTCACGTCACCAGGCAACACACAGTTCCTTTTCAGAGCTGAAAATGCTGTTCAGATCGGTTGCTTTGCAATCGGTGGCCTTTGAATTCCGAAAACCTCGTCCAGCCACGAGAAGACCTTCATTTGCAATCGAGAAACAGCCCCCACCTTGGCCTGCAGCGAGCCTTGCCCTGGCCCGACCGGATCCCACAATGTTAAGCCCTCCTCGCTGCCCCTATACTCAGCAAGTTTCTGGTAGGTCAGGTGCGTCTCGAGGGTGTAAATTGTATCGCGGGCACCCATGACCATTACGGGACACTTGACCTTTGCGCATATAGGTTTTTCTCCTGGTGCCTCCAAGGAGATGCTTCCGAGCTTGCGTAACGCATCGATGCATGATTTGGTGCCGAAGACCATGCGCAGGTGACCAAATTCGAGCTTGTGCTGCATGTTGAAGCCAGAAGCCCATTCCAAGATCGCATCGGCCTGGCCATCGGTCAAGTACTTGAGAAAGAACGGCGATCGCAACCGGACCTGTGGCCCGAAGTCGTAGAACCCATCACAGGAGATGCAGGCTTTGATGCGAGGATCGGTGGCGCCCCGCAGGGCAAAGTACGCGCCCATGGCCATGCCCATGATGCCGATTCGGTCGAGATCGATATTCCACTCGGGATGCTCATCAACGAGCTTCCAAAGGCTATCAAGAACCGCGGAAACCACGACTTCCCAGTCCCTGCGGATCGGAGGCTGGCCTGGGCGGCGAAGGACGATGCCTTGTCCAGGGCCATCGAAGGTCATGACAGCGTAGCCTCGGGACGCGGATCCTGATGCGATGAAGAAGTAGAGTTCTTCCTGTGTGGAATCGAATCCGTTCATAGCGAGGAGCAAGGGCACCTTCTCTCCGCGAGGCTTCCCTCCGGACTTTGGCGTAGGCAGGTACATGTAACCGGGCAGTTTGGTGTTTTCGTACGGGATCTCGAAAGTTTCGACGGTGTTGTCGAAGAGATCGCACGCACTGCGGAAGTTGGACACTGACTTTTCCATGATGCCCAGCAACCGAGTGTCGTACGGGTTAACATGGAGCATACTATGCAACGCCCTACAGTCAGCATCATTCTCTCGCCTTTGCCGGCTCACGGCTGTCGAATGGCTGACGCGACATACTATTCGCTTGCCCGTCTGTAATTGCACGCCCTCAAAAAAGCCCATCTTGCCGCTTCCCTGTCTCCAAGTTTGAGCGCCGTGTCCGCCGCCTCCTCGGCAAGATCTGCCGCCTCCGCCCACGCTTGGTACCAGATTTCGGGATCATTCTTCTTGATTTTGGAAGCCGCCTCCAGGCACTCACCCACGTCCGCGCCGTGGGTGGGAGCCATGGAGAGCACGCGGATGAATTCGAAGTTGAAAAACTCCCATGGCAGGATGTCCATCGTGATAGAACTGATGATGATGTGTCAGGCGATGATTACTGTCTGTGTGTCCGTGTGCGTGCTGAACAGTGTCTTAACTACTCTATCCTCGTGCAAATTATCACATATTGTGCTCCCCAATTGATCTCAACGGAACCCCTCGCATTGGCTTTTTCTGACCTGCTGTTTGTCGGTCGACAACTACGCGTCGGGTCCTTTCATCACAGACCGGGACGATATCGGTGGAAACCGTTCGGTATGATTACCTTGGGAACACCGGACCGGCATAATAATTCCAGGCCTTCCGAAGTGTACGGGCCGTAGCAACGCTAAAAGGACGGCTAAATGGCACGATGATGCACTCCGCGTTATGCGGCTTACATGTGTCGTGGGTGTGGCCGATCAAGCCACAGGTGCTTGTTACTACCCGATATAGTTTGGACCGGGAAGCGGCCCGCGCCTGCAACCGCTCCAATATTATCGAGTTTATGTTGGATGGAATGTGGAATGGTTCGCAAGGATTCGCCAAGCCAGGCTGAGCCTGCACGTCTGCTGCAAATGGACGAATTCGAAGTATCCTCACGCAGGAGGTGGTCCATGTAATTTCGCACATTACGTACTAAGTATTGTATCCCTGGTAAGCGAGAGAGGTACGGAGTACAAGAGGCAAAGTTGACAGAGAATGGAACGGTATGCGGTTATGTTTTATTTTGCCTGAACGCCGCCTATTCAAGGTTAGGCAAAGTGGCAAGCTACATCAATCCCCCCGTGTCACGACGAACCGGGAATAAAGTCGTCTAGCCGCACTGTGATTCATTGATCCAAGAAGAAAGATTCCAGATTCAAGTTACGCAAGCAATCACTGCTGGTCATGAAAAAGGGTTGAGGAAATCTTCATGTCAGAAGGGTCCCAAACGACTGGTTCTGTTTGATGGTTATGCGACTCATCATCCATTTACTTGGTAATAAAAAGTAAAAAACCCCCTTCGATATCTCTGCCTAAGTCTACATGTCCTTCTAACCCTCATGGTTCTCAACCATGGTGGTGTTCAGCTCAAGGCCTCCAGATACGACTCTGTTGACAAAGTCTGGACCCAAAACCCCGGCTGTAAGGCATCCGCCCTTGATGCCCCTTGGCAAGTTCCGGTCGTAGAGCAGCGTAGCTGCAGCTTGAGCCATAAGCAGAGCAGCCAATGGATACCCCCCGTTCGTGTATCTCAGTTCCACGAGGCAACCTTTACCCCGATTCTTCTCCACCGTGGGGTCAGCCTCGACGAAAGCTGCAGCGGTCAGGGGCGTGCTCTTGAGATCTTCCTCGGATGGTCCGGTGCCCAGCTCCCGCGCAGAACGCAACACGAGGTTTCTGAACCACTGGTACTGGACCAGGGTAAGCACCTTGAGCACAACAAAGTAGCGGACCATATTGAGGATGGCGCCCCCGTATGAATCAGCCTTCTCGTACTCGTTGTACTGGAAATTGGGCCCCCAGCTGCTATTAGGGCCGCCGAGAAGACCCCAAGATCTGAGGACGAGGCCCCGGGTTTGATCGCCAGCCGGAGAAGAGTACGTTAGTCTCCCGAGCAGTGGATTCTTGTGGATTCCTCGAACTGTTCGAAGGGTATTTGTGTAAGGTATTGGCGACAAGTACGATGGCTGTGCCGCTGCAGCGAGGGCCGCCGACCCTTCGCTTGCGAACGAGACCATTGTTCGGACTGTACCACCACTCACGTCCGTCCTGTATGGTTGGTTAGCGTTGTGAGCCAAGACGGTCATCGTTGTTTCTATACGCACTCGGGAAGATCAATCCGCATCGTCATGTTCCCCATCTGCGTCGACCACTTCTCCGCAATCTCGCGACACGCATGAATGGCGACGAGATCCATTATCGCCGACCTGAATCCGCAAGATTCAACGAGCTTTGTTACGGCAAACGTCAGCTTGCCTTTGTTTCACAATTTCAAGATTTCACTTACCGCAACGCCCTTTTCTTTGGCTTGCTCGTCGAATTTGTCGATCCAGTCGCGACAAATGGTGGGAACGGCGGCGCTGCCAACGGCGGTCAGATTTTCTTGGTCTAGTGTGAGGCGAATAAGTCTAAAGGGGGGGAACAAACCAGTCCACGTAGTCGGTTCCCTGCTCGACACACGCCTGTACGATATTTTCTCCGTCGACGGCATAGAGAACGGTGCTGATGCACACCTTGGCTCTGCCGATTACCTCCCCAAGCCTTTTGGTATCATCGGGCGTGACGATTTCGAGCTCTGGTCAGGGACAATCAGCATTGGCATCGGTCTCTGTATATCCGTTGACAGGAAATAGTTACCTGGCTGCACTCTGTCCGGGTATTCCTTTTTCAGCTTGGCCGCAACCTGCTCGAGGCGCTCTGCTGACCGGCCGGCGATTGCCCATCTGAGGTCCGTGGAAAATGTGGCAGCGATGTGGGAACATACCAGACTCCCCGTGTAACCAGACCCTCCGACCACGACGACGCCGTATTTCCGGGAAGCTGAGTCGTCAGTGACGGCCATATTGTAAATGTATGTGGGTTTAGGGTCAATATCGATGAATTGCCACTGCCGTGGCAGCTTCAAATGAGGCCGCCCTTTTATGGTCAGCGTTTGGCGGACATTCGCATGCGGGATGAAGGCCAAGTGAGGCACAGGGCGGAGATCAACATGCGGACTTTTTGTCTCAGGCGGACTTTTGGCGCCGGGTAGCATCAAGAACGTTGGACATGGCCGAGGACGGCACGGATTGTCTTGCCTGCATGCCTAGCCCACTACGCGTGCAAACGTGGTGCCACCTTTCAACGTGCATAGAACAGGCCAATAATAAGTGCGAGATGTATTAAACCGTGCCTCCCTTAGACAGGCTGGTGGAGACTTCGGCGAGATTCCATGCACAAGGGGATATTGGCCGTCCCGCGCCTCCAATAGTTTCTCCTCCCGGAGCTGTTTGTGTTTTCTCCCCTTGTTCTACGTAGCCGGACGGCTGATTTGAGCTCGACGAGGGGAATGACCGTGTCTTGATCAACGGTTGGAAAACTATCCCTATACACAATGAGATACGCAGTATTATTTCAAGCATTTTCACTCAAACTTGCACTATAACCCCCAGGAAACTCGTGAGACTTTGACTTGGCGAGCAAATGGTTCTTCCGGGCAATTCAATCTCTGTTTTATCTTATAAAGAGTCCTTGTTCCGAGTCAAGTCCCGGATAGCCTGTATATGAGCCTGTAGTTGCGGGTGTTTCCCATGAGCTCTGTGCATCATTGTTGATATCACACTTGTTGAGAAACCCAAGGATGAGTCAGATGGTATCGAGAGGCTCTTGATCGAGCCTTCTGGGCTCAGATCCTCCGGGCTTGACGTAGCGCCATCGGCGACCAGCGCGGTAGCGAGGAGCTGTCTCTGGGCGCGGTTCAGCTTTTCAAAGAGATAGTTGATCAACTCGACGGTCATGACGGCGCGTGCATCGGACATCTTGTGATCGTCCGCATTGCTGCTGCTGCTTTTGCTCCCGCCGCCGTTACTAGCTTGAGTATGGGTCTCAAGCTCGCTGTGAAGTGCGGAGCAGGCGTGGACAAATGCGCTGTAGATCTGCTCGCAAACTGAGACTGCGTGAAGCACTAGGCTGATCGACGTCCGCGAGCCGTGATCCATAACAGTTTGATGGTTCTGTTGATCTCTGTCGCCGCCGGTCATTGAGCCCTCGTTCTGCTCCAGCCGTACTGTTGCCGCGATTCGCTCCAGAACCTTTAGCACTGACTGTGTCATTGCGAGGAGCTCATCTGTAGACGGAATCCCGGCTTCTGTTATGACCCGATACGCCCTAACGCTCAGTTCGGTCAACTCGCGCATGTCCGTCTCCGTCGCATCTCTCATGTTGCTCGTGTCCTCTGATCTGGGGCTTTCGGCAGGCGAAGTCCGATCCGCTAAGAATTCCAGCCCGTGGTCTAGGGCAATATTAGGCTCAAAGGAAGGCCTATTGACTGTGTCTACCCCGTACTGCATCAACTGGTCCATTGCTTGGAATGAAGCCATCGACCTTGCGTCCAGCCAGAAGATGTCATTGGAAAGCTCCGAAGAGCTTTGCAACGTTACATCAGGGCCCGTAGGCGTGCGAACAGGCCAGTTTTGAGTTGATCCAATGTTACAAAAGTCCAGGCTCAGACTTGTGCTCGAATTCGACCGCGCGTCTCTGGAGGCGCCATTCGTGGATAGTGAGTTGTTGGTCGATGGGCGTCCGCTGCGTCGACGTCCTATTCCCGTGTCAATGTTCCCAAGTAATTTCGGATGCGTTAGGCTGCGAGCAAAGGACAAGCAACAGCATGAAAACAGACATAGAGTGGCGTGTAACCTACGGTTGTGTATACAACGAGCCCCGGCCTTCAAACAGCGTACGCAGCGGTTTGATGAACTGCGGGGGTCCTTTTCGCATCGGACCTTGAGATCTCGACATCGGTCACATGTTTGTCGGAGCGGCATGCCAGTAATATCAGCATCGACGTCGGACATTGTGTACATCTGCACTATCAACTTCTTGAGTCAAGTGTTGACAACATGGGCCGCATGCAAGGAAGAGCGGACACCACGGTCAAAATACTACCAAGTATCTCAGTCTGGTCCCGCACCAACTGTATTTAAGAGCTGAACTGAATGACACCTTGGTAGGCGGGCGGGTCTGGACAGGTATCTTCATGGAGTTTTGTTGCATTCTTGCAGCGGCTTGACATCGGATTGGCTAGCTGAGACCGGGGAAGTTGATACACATTAGGTAGGTAGAAAGGCTCATGCCATTGTAGAAGCTTGACGAATGGAAACTATACAGGGCTACCTATAGACCCCTGCAACGTGTCGGGCCAAGATATATAGCAGCGAGTCGAATACGGCCAGTCCGTCCCGTAAGGCACACCAATATGCATGACAATAAGACTTACGTTAGACGGGAACGTCTTTTTGTATTTATTGTACCCTCGCTAAGCTGCAGTAACCCTTGCTCATCCTGTCTTGTTGTGGCATCCCATAACGGAGCATCGTTTCCAGAACTAATTTATCAGTTCTGGGGCGCGTCGACGATCTCTTTGTTTTCAATGTAAACCCTCTCGTACCCGACCATAATCTCACCCTTGGTGGAATCAATCCACTCCGCCTCTACCGCTCGACCGAGAGTTTGATACTCCGGGTCGCTTGTAATCGACAGCATATGCTTGAGATCACGTACCCAATAGGTCAGGACCGCGTGGGAGCTAATCACGGTCCAACCCGGGCGGACCTTTTCTACCGTCTCCGCGAGACCCGCCGAAACGTCAGACGGGCAGAAGGTCTAGGTGCCCCAGACTGTCAGCCAAAGCCACTAATGCAAGGGAGCCATGCCTGACAAGGCAGAGAGAGACAAGGGGGTGGGTGGATGGATACTGACCACAGTGTACCTCATTACGCCATGCTTCTTCACAAGCTCCGTCCAGGCGGGGTTTATGGTTTCGTGGAAATGCTTCTCAAACTCCTCGTCCGTCTTACTAGGATCCTTGTAGTGCAAGGCCGAGACCTTGAGGACATCTCGAGAAGCCATTCTGAGAGAGGGGTACTAAGACGTGAGCAAAGTCTTGTCCGATTAAGGGGAAAATAATCGTATGGTGGTGTGATTTACTATGTGGGATAACGAGAAAGGGCTCAATGCCAGGGTGGCCCTAGGCGAGGCTTTGTATTGTTTTCCTCCTCAAACCATGGCTCATGCAAGACGGCATATTCTGTACCAGGCAATGTCGCAGAATTCTGATTTGCCACGGGTACAACGGCGGATTCCTATTCATCCGACTTGAAGGATTCGTGCTCACACCACTACGGCCAGCTTGGTGTGTTTCCACCGCCGTAAGATGTACCTTGCTGCAAGGGTTCGGATGAAAGTCAGCCTCGGCCCGCTGCGGAAGGCTTACATTACGGGTAACGAGCCGATCCCTTGAAAGAAGCAACGCCGGTGAGATGCTGCACAAGAATGGAAAGATAGCTTTTCGAGCCAACCACGACCATATGCGGAAAGATCAAGACTCACTCGTTGAAAACTGTTATGACTACAGAAGAGCGCTTTAAAGCAGTTTGCTATGTGGTCACTGGGACCACCTGCAAGGAAAACAGGGTAACCTGGATAACTAAAGATACATCAATATCTAATTCAATGTAGAATAATACGCGTGGTTACCTACATTTCCGGCCTGTTTTTCGAGTCATCTGACAAGCTAATAATGTCCCCCCCTTGTTAGCCCGAGAGTACCGTATACTCCTGTTTTCTTGATGATGACCTCCGCTACTCCGTACGATTCCTTATCATAGTCCGACGGCCGAACCTTGTGGTCATAATCATTCGACGGCGGAATCCGCATCTATCCCCCGCGCTTGCAGAATCGGCATTGTATATAGAGCATAAGACTGGCCGCACTCGTAAGCTCGTCAGAGGATTCGATTCCATCCTTCTGTCCTATCCCTTACCAACGCCAAAAACTTGCGGGTACTACCATCATCGAGCGACTCCTGCTTCCAAAGACCAACACCTCGCACAAGTCTCAATCATGTCGCTACTGTATTTCGTACCTGTAGTCTCGTCTACTGTGACACTGTGGCTCGCAGTCGACCAATACTTGTTTTTTGGAATATTCCTGAATAAGAAGGTCGAGCCGAGCACCAAAGACGTCCTCACGCCTTACTGGAACAGGATGATCGAAACTGTCGTCCCTGCCATCATCGCGCCCCTCCTCGTCACTGTTGCCTCCACCACCGCCATCCTCAGCACCACCTCCGAGGAGCTCCTCCGCGAGAAGGGTTCTTTCCCATGGTACATTGCCAGCACCGCCCTCGCCGCCTCGCACTTCGCCTTTGTGCCGATTATCCTGCCCAAGATCAGAGGCATACAGAATGGGGCGCTGACGCCGGGACTCAGACGATGGATGCGCATCCACATTGTCCGCAGTGTGACGGTGGACCTTCTTGCATGGATTACCTGTATTGTCGCCAGTGCCAAGACACTGTCGGTGTGATCGAGGTCGGGCGATATTCCATCTTATTGGCGGGTGGTACGAGGTGCAGGGGAAGGGCTTGGGGATGGGTCTGTTGGGGGTCTCGAAGGGAGACAAAACTCTTGGCCTACATTGAATGTCCTACTGAGACCATAGTGTCTCAATATTGCGACATCAGCTGAATATCCACGTATGGGTGTGATAGAATGGGCTGTTCGTACGGCGGTAGGTGTCGGGTAATTAAGTCAGCCATTTTGACGGCAGTAATCAAGTCTTCAATGTTGCGATCCCTCGCGCATTGGCTAAGTGACATTATCCTGCTTATGCTGCAGTTTCCTCATGATATGAGATAATTTTCATAAATAGAGTGGACATCTTTGTATACTGCGTCACCATCAACTGAAGTCTTGTTAGCTAACGGGGTTTCCCAAACATTGCCAAAATCCCCATTGATCTTGTATTGCGTACCATAAAGGCGTTGACCTCATAATAGTTTGTACGCTACATCCTATTCGAGAGAGTCCTTCGTAGTCTCCACAGAGCGCATCTCTCTATCTGGAAGATGGTGTATGCATACAATACACACCTTGGATGATGGTGATAGCGGTAGCCATCTTAACCCAATAAGAGGATACGTTGAAAACTCTCTAGGGTTTTCAAAGACAGAGACCGACGGGAACTTATTCTAGAGCTTGGGTCCATCTCATAATTGGTATCTGTAGCTTCGAGGAGTCATCTTCTCTTGAGCCTTGGGTCATTCTGTCGACATTAAATACATATCATTATTGGCCGTCTAGTCTAATTAGCCGACACCAGCCCACTGTTAACAGCTTCCCCGCCGCTCCAGAACTATCGATTAATGAAAGTTGCATAAATTTTTGTTGAGCCTGTATAAGCACTAAGGCAAAGCACCCACTTTTCGGCACCCCCTGCATTTCGGCCACCTTTTCCCACCAAAAACAGCTAAAACTAGCTATTTATATCTTAGTACTCTTATAGATATTAAATTCTAGGAAAATTAGTATAGATATATAGTATAAATAAGAAGTCTTAAAAAAAGTTTCTACTATTTTTATATAGTAGATATAGAGAAATAGTACTATATATATAGCTGTTAAGGTTTACTAGTAATTTACTAGTAAGTACTAATATTTTAAAATCTTTAATAACTTCTTTATTTATAAGCTAAAAATATAAAATAAAGAAGTTTTATATATTTTATACCTAGAAAAGTATATATATACTACTATATAAAAGATATTTATAGCTAATTATAAAGTTACTAGTAATATTAAATTTTACTAGTAAAATTTTCTTAGTAGTAAACTTATTTTCTTAATAACTAAGTATAAAAAATACTTAAAAGAATAAGAGCTTAGTATTTATAGCTATATTATTTTTAAGTAATTTATTATTATTTTACTATATATATAGCTCTTTTCTATTAGCTATATTCTTATATAGTATAAACTTTTAAAGGCTTTATATTATAAGTTTATATTAATAATAATAATATCTTATTAAGCTTATAGTAATAAGTAAATTTTCTAGACTTTATATAGAGAAAACTAGAATTATATATCTAATAGGTGTATAGATATAAGTAGCTGCTTTTAGCTGTTTTTGGTGGGAAAAGGTGGCCGAAATGCAGGGGGTGCCGAAAAGTGGGTGCTTTGCCTTATCATGATATGCTTGTCTATTATATATAGAGCTCCGCGTTCCGCTCCGACAGAGACACCTGCATAGTAGGCCTCCGCCTAAAATCAACCCCGCCTGATAGCAATTTAGTATTGTTTGTCGCCATTATGCAACCGATCCGCTTGTGGATGGCCGGTAAGTTCTCGGCAGGCATAATTCGCCGAAGGACTCGTTCTTATTTATCCTCTAGGTCCCAAGGAGTCGGCCGGCCCGAACCCATGGAAGGTATGCTAAACAGCTGCATCAAAGTGAATTTTGCTCAGTATCATGCCTTCTTCAGGTCCTTTTTGTTCTGGAAGAGCTTGGCCTTCCATATGAGCTCAAAGTAATACATATATCCAAGGTCAAGTCACCCCCTTTGACCGACCTCAGCACCAATGGTCGAGTTCCAGGTACGTTCCATATGCGCGTGGCTATCTGGGAACATGTGAAGCTGATAAGCACGTAGTGATTGAGGATCCTAACCGGGATCTCGTCCTTTGGGAATCGGGCGCTGTGATTACCTACCTGGTGCAAGAGTACGATAAGGACAAGAAGTTGACACATGCTGAGGGGAACGAGATCCATCATCAAAATCAATGGGTCTACTTCCAAACCAGTGGTCAAGGTCCTTACTTCGGTCAAGCAGCATGGTAGGTCCTGACTCCTGTACCGATACCGTCCCAGCTCTTTTGCGAATGACTCCGTAGGTTTAAGATACACCATCCTGAGCGTATTCAATCTGCCATTGACCGGTACTTGAACGAGATTCATCGTGTCCTGGGAGTTTTGAATAAGGCGCTCGAGGGTAAGGAGTGGCTTGTTGGCGAAAAGATGACGTTTGCCGATATGGCCTTCGTGCCCTACAATAGCCTTCTTCACCTCGCGTTTGGTTGTGACCCAGACGAGTCGTTGAAGGACTATCCCAATGTAGATGCTTGGCATAGACGCATGTTGTCGAGAGACTCGTGGAAGAAGGTTATGGAGTTGAAGAACACCCTGGAGATCAATACGTAAGTTCTTGTTGTTAAATAGTGTCCACTGGAGACGAAACCGATGTGGGCCCGATATCGAGGCCATCACGTCTACATTGATCTGTGTCACTCCAAGTCGCGGTGCCTGCTCAAAAGCGTTTTGCTGCTTTAATCCAACGTGCCAAAGCGAACTAAAACCAGTACGGGAAGAGGCTTTGTGACGACAAGGTGCTGTGCCAGAGATAACTCAAGGTAGGAGTGATGATGATCACATCGTTGCGTCTATACGCGTTCTTGATTAGCATCGGTTTTACATCTTTACGCCCTCCATTATATTTCCTTCCGATAATTTATGAAGAACGCTTCATCCAGACACCGGGGTTTGAAGCTATGGAGAAAGAAGAGCTCCAGCTCGTCATCGCTGCCGACAAGTAAGTCTTAGTCACCCGGACTTGTTTTCCCTCATCTTTCTAATATTGTCTATGTCAGGGTAACGTTTTACCTAGCAAGATGACTCTGAGGCTCCTAAACGAGACAAATAACGCAAGAATGCGGCCGATGATCGCCAAGCCAGAGCTTGCGTGACGACTATCCCTCGCAAGAGCTTTTGGCGAGAACAAGAAGCTGCCTGGAACCTTATGAACGCGTTGTCTGGTAGCAAGTGCTAGAGTTGCCAAGCTTGGCAAGCAATAGAGACTGTGCTTGGCGATGACCGCCGCGGCGGCAACAACATGTGTATTGGAGGGTTTCACCAGCCCAACATGCCTCGCAACCACTGAGCCTCCCAAAACTTCATATATATGACTTTCGGGGGCCAAAGCTGGAGGATTCAAGCGCAAGAAACGTTGGAGGCTGTGTTTGGCGGTGGCCGTCACAACGGCAACGGCAGCGGTAGCTGTTACCACAGCCGCAACTACAACATATATACTGGAGCATGCTCGTACCCTAAGCCTTAGTCTTTGTTGACAAAGATTAGTTATAGGCTTGATCTAAACATCAAATTTGCTAACAAGGCATTCTGGAAGGGTAATATCCCTCTTCACATGCTTGTTTGGGACTTTCTGGGCACCTATGACTGTAGATGGTAGGGTATGAAGCCTAAGATATTGCCGGTCTTCTTAAGCCGGTTCGACAGAAGGACTACCCCGGCTAGACGCTCTTTGTTATTTTAGAGGCTTTTAAGTATCTTTACAAACTAGTCATGCTCTATTTCTCTCCCAGGCACTATGGGAAGGAGAGTTAGAATAATACACACATTATTGAGTCCTTTGCTTTCGGTCAGCAGTACAGTAAGAAGGGTGCCACTGCAGACAACATCAGAATCCCCAACAATAGCAGGGAGATGACTATTGCTTAGTACTTTCATAAGAGGTACGGTTTCTAGGACCTAATTAGTTGATGCAAAAAGTTGATCTGGCGTATAAGAACCCGTACTTCCTCTAGTGTGCTGTTGTCTTTGATGATTAGATGGCTTGGACGCCGGGCTCCCTGCTTGAGCCTCCTAAGATCTAGTTTACGAAGAACATCACGAGCGCGGCGTTTTCCGGCTGTTGTGGCTTGCGGAGCAAGAGTATCTAGGGTTGTAAACGCTAATAACTTCAATAGGTGAATACAAGTAGCGCTCAAATACAGGAGCAGGAGACAGAAAATGAGGCTAAGTCTTAGGGAGACGGAGCTAAGCTCTTTGAGGAAGAGGCTAAGAGGAGCGCGAAAGGCGGCAATGGGTAAAACGAAAAACGAGGCAATCCAAGAACGAGATCAAGATCATTCATTGGAAGGCACCTAGGAACAAACGTGGACCGTGTGAGAAACTAGCTTTGCTGTGTTTGTAGTGCATCTGTATTTCTTACATCTGCTTGCTCTATGGCACTTTGACTGGACTCTTGACCTTATTACTTTATCTCTCTTGACAGGCAGACCTATAGTGTGCATATAGACTATGAATTAGGCACAAGAGACTGCCCTATTGTAACTCTTGTGGAATTCAAGGTTGGGTTATACCGTGTATACATGAAAGAATATATGGATGGATGAGAGATGTAGATGGATTAAGGAAGGTTTATCTATGGAGATGAAATGAAAAGATAATGTGCCAGTGTGCGAAGTCGTATGCGTAGATGCTTATACCGTTTTCTCTTTTCATTGGTGGTTTACGACTCGCGTTTAGGAATGCTTGACGAATGGACCTACTTGGCTTTGGGGGTAATCTGGCGTTTAGAATACGTTGAAGAATAAGGCAAGGGTTATACATTACATAGCAGGAAAGGATGACTGCATTCAATGGCAAACAAGTTTCATCTTGACTCTTATATAGTGACTTCTACATGCATTGACTTCATACTATGGACATACTTTTAAGCATAACATACAAACTGCCCGTTTCAACTCTACTAGCTGCGCCAAAATGTGTCTCTAGGGGGGGGAGGTGCTCATGCTATCCAGGTCTCACAAAAGACTAGACAGTACTGCAAAGCGAATAATTTGCTTCTTGTCCCCGCAGCTACGTATTACTTGCTTATGCTTGAAGTGAGAAAATTGACAAGCAAGGGAAGAGCATTAAAATGATAGACAAACAAGCTTAATAGTTGGTTTATAGTCAAGACACAGAATAACCTACAGTAGATGTTGCAGAAGGGAGACGTCAAGATCTGGTCATCGTCGTCGATAGAAAGTTTGCCGAGAGCGTCTTTAGGAAAGCACTGTAAAGCTACGTTGCTAGGGTTAACCCATCTTTGATGTTTCCCCCTCTCTACATTTGTCGTATCGTTGTGCACTATGGATGAGGAAAGGCGGGGTCCTGACAAGACAACGAATCATGGAGGCTATTCAGGTGTCCACTCAACAGTTCAGTTGAAAATACCTACAGCTCCAAGCTCTCGGCCCCGGTCATAAAGAAACTAAACCACAAGTACTGGGTCTTCATGGAGGACGTGCTCAAGTATGCAGCAAATAAGCTGACGAACTCCGGGAAGAATAGGATCGCATGGGCAGAACTGATGAAGGCGCAGCATAGGGTAATGATATCCACCTCGGCGTACCAATGATCTCTGGACCATTACGAACAGGATCTGAGCAGCCTACGATACACAGACCGTGACAGCAGCCCCTGGCCTGGCATGTGCAAATGCAGCTAGCGTCCCCCACTGATCTGGGGATCGGCGCGCATGTCGAAACGAACCTCGGCACTCGGTCAGCTTTGCCGATCTCCCGACGTCAACCGACCGGCGGCGTCAGCGTTGCTTTCAGCTGCTTTGACAGGAAAACGCGTCTCAGAAATCCGGACATCCGAGTCTCCATCCGTCCGGTAACTTCAACGTCTATTCAAAGCCATTGTTTCCCCCCCCTTCGCAAGCCTGTCATCCCATATTGGATCCAAACTCTCCAGGTCTTGACACTAAAGAAAGACATAACATTGTCGAGATGGTCACCGTCGCTAGAAACGCGTCCCGCGGCGCCACCGCCGCGCCAAGCCAGACGCTCACCGTCGTGGACAACCGCACCGGCAAGTCGTACGAGGTATCTTATAGTACTGATTCTAAAGTAATACCCCTATTAATCAATCTCATATTGTGAAGCTGCCCATCGCCAACAATGCCATCTTGGCGACGGACATCAAAAAGATAAAGGCGCCGCGCGGCAACGACCGTCCCGAGGATGAGACCGATCAGGGTCTCCGCGTCTACGACTCCGGATATATCAACACCTCTGTAGTTCAGAGCAAGATTACGTACATAAATGGACAGGATGGCATCCTTCGGTACCGCGGCTATCCCATCCAGCAGCTTGTCGACAAGTCGCATTTCCTTGAGACGGGTTTTCTGCTCATCTACGGCGAGCTGCCCACGCCGTCGCAATACAGCAAATGGCAGGATGAAATCATGCACCACACCTACATCCACAGCGACCTCGAAGGCATGTTCAAGTCGTTCCGCTACGACACTCACCCCATGGCCATGCTGCAGGCCTCCTTCTCCTCGCTCGGCGCCTTCGCGCCCGAGTCGAACCCGAGTTTGCAGGGGCAGAACCTGTACACCAATGCCGCCAACGGTGACCTGAAGGCCTTGGAAATGATAGACAAGCAAATCCTGCGCATCATCGGCAAGGCGCCCACGCTGGCTGCCGCCGCCTACCGCATGCGCCAGGGCAGGCCCTTCAACCGCCCCGCTCAGGGCCTCAGCTACACGGGCAATTTCCTGTACCTGCTCGACCACCTGAGCGGGCATGAGTACCAGCCTCACCCGGTCCTGGAACGGGCTCTCGATGCGCTGTTCATCATCCACGCCGACCACGAGGTGAACTGCTCCACGGCCACCGTCCTGCAGGTCGGCTCGAGTCTCGTCGACCCCTACAGCGCTGTGTCGGCCGGCTGCGCAGCCCTCTACGGGCCCAGTCACGGCGGCGCCAGCGAGAGCGCGATCCGCATGCTGATGGAGATCGGCAGCCCCGAGAACGTGCCCGCCTTCATGGAAAAGGTCGAGAAGCGGGAGCGCGTGCTCGTCGGCTTCGGCCACCGCGTTTACAAGAACGTCGACCCCCGATCGACCGCGATCCGAAAGCTGGCCGACGAAGTGTTCGCGGTCACCGGCCGGAACCAGCTCCTCGACACGGCGCTGGAGCTCGCCAAGTACGCCCGCGAGAGCGAGTTCATGACGAAGCGCAACCTGTACCCCAACGTCGACTTCTACTCCGGCCTCATCTACCAGGCCATGGGCTTCCCCCTCGACTTCTACCCCGTCCTGTTCGCCGTGCCGCGCTGCGTCGGCTGGCTGGCCCACTGGAGGCAGCAGATGTTGCAGAAGGGGGGCGTCAAGATCTGGCGGCCTCGTCAACTGTACGTCGGAGAAGGGGAGAGAGACTACGTCGAGTCGGAGAAGAGGCAGGAGGCGCAGAACAAGTCTGTGTTTGACGAGCCTGTACAGGTCAGCCACGGTGGCGACAGCAAGAGGAACGAGCTCGCAACGTTCAAAGACGAAATGGGCCATGCTTGGAGGGGACGTTCGAAGCTTTGAGACTGCGACCGACAACGGTCTTTTCGCTTGGTGGCGCAAGGATCACGGGTATCATGATGGTGAAAGGCATGCGTGTTTCGATTAGACTGTTGAATACGACCACATCTCTTGATTACTTTGTCCCATCCTTTTGGGCAACGTCTCTCACCACGTTTTCCAACTCTGTTTCAGTCAAAGTCGTCAGGCCGACCTTCTCGTTCCAGCTCATCTCTTGAAAGCTCTCGCTTCCCCCATACCCCTTGCCGTACATCATCTGGTGGTAGAACTGGATCATGGCTGACGTGTCGCCGTTGGCCAGCTTAGCTTTTGCGTCCTGGTAGAGCTCCTCCACGTTGTAATATTCCACCGCAAAGCTCAGGCCCGTCACCTTCTCGGCGAATTCGGTCATCTGCTTCTCGGTGACGGCTGCCGAGTGGATGTACACGGACTTGTTCCCCGCCTCGGTGTACAATCCATTCTCGTCGCGAAGAATCTTGGCAATCGTCTCGGCAATGTCGACAAGCCTGGTTGTCCCGATCAGGTTATCTCCGCCGTTGTGATATCTTGCCGTATGGGTCCGGAAGTCCGGGCCTAAGCCGCCGAAGCCCAATACGAGTTCGAGAAACGGCCCATTGTTAACGCTTGTCCAGCTCAAGTTACCTCCGGACTTGGGGACCTGCTCCACGAGGTATCGGCGCGTCCGGACCTTTCCGGTGACGATGGGGAGGCCCTCGGCAAGGGGCGATTCGAGGTTGGTGCTGAACTCGGAGGGGAAGATGCGCTTGACGCGGGCGGCGATGGCAGCATCGATCCATATTTTCTGTTCCTCGAAGACGATGGGGTCCGGCGCTGCCGAGATCACTGCATCGTGACCTTTTAATCCGGAGGCCAGAGCGTTAAAGTCATTCATATCGAGCTTAACGGACTTGCATCCCGCCGGCGCCGTCTTCTCAGACTCGGCCCGCTGTATGGCAGTAACCTCGAAGCCAGACTCAAGCAGGGTCTTGGCTATGACAGAGCCCAATTTACCCGTCGCCTGGACAATGTTAGTTGTTGTGAAGTCGTAGGCAGCTTCGGGGTGAAGATTGGTGGACTAACGCCAATAACTGCAACTTTTCGGATTGGAGATGACATTGCGATAATCGTTGTCGCTACAACTTGTTCAGTGTGAGGTTATGTTTGTGACAATTGCTTCGTAACTCGAGGGCAAAATGAAGGCTACAGTTCTGATGACACTGTCCGGTGTCGGTGGGTGATGACAAGCACGGAACCCCTCATAGCTGGCACGCATATTTGACCTTGGCTTTATGCACGATGACATACTATCGAGTTGGACCCAACGCTTTGCAAGCGCTGCACGGGGGCGAATTGGAAACGCCACCTTCGATAGGTAAAACGTCCGAGTTGTCCGTACGTCGCCAATTGTTGAGAAGTTCGCACATATATGCGCGTCCTGGTATCCCTGTTTACAGGGGAGCTGCCCCATGAACGCTAGTGTTGGAGGATGAAGCTAATCGACTGCGAGGATAGCTTCAAGGAATCAAGGTCGTGAGGCCGGCCCATGTCGCGTTCGAGCAATACAAACTCTATCTATAACCAGCGATACAGAATTGGTGTATTTAAACCGTGTTGGTAGACTTTCCTACTCAATGAACATATATTTCGATACAGCGGCTTTGTAATAGGTACAGCGACCATTTATTAACGTCTCGTTTAGCATGCGTACACTGCAGTTAGTATTGAAGCTCATGCGTTGGATGATTTATATAACCTTTGTAGGATGATGTGCCCGTCGGGACCGAGGTATCATTTAATGTTGGCGACATCGTTAACATCAAGAAACGTACCACCGGTGTCCGTGGTCCAGTTCTTTATCGAACAAAACCGATCCTTTTGTTCGCATTGATGAAGGTGGAGCGGTCGCTACTTTGCGCAGCGATGACAGCGTTGGCAACGCCTAGGCATCCGAAAGTGAAATTGCATCATGAAATACTACATTGAATGAGCAGAACTACGTAATGTTGTTCATTACCTTCAGGCTGGGCTCGTTGTTCGTTGTTGTGAGGTTCTTCTTGGTAACCGTCAAGCCGACTGCATTAGTAACTCCCTGGGTAAGTGGCTCAGTTGTGACTTCAATACCCTCATTCTCAATTTCGGGGAGAGCCGATCATGACAATCTGTCTTCTCGGAGTGGTATGATTTCAGCTCACCAATAGTCACGTTCTTCACCCCAATGGCATGCCTGAAGAGGTATTGCCAAAGACAAGCATGTCATAAGAAATTCCCAGCTCCCTTCGTACGTCGTCACGATGCGTGAAATGGGAGTCCGAATACCGTTAGTATGAACGCCAGGATTACGGTTAATGTATTCGCGGTTTGAGGGAGATGTTATCTCATGACATTCAGGTTAATAGCAATACCGATTGCGGCCATGCCCACGGTAGAAGTGCAATAACCAAACGCCAGTTTCCACCGTATAGATACAAGAATACGCATTGGTTAACCTGACGTGGATCAATGCTCTCGGGAACTTAGCCCAGATTTACGGCGCATAATATCCGTACGTTGGTGACGACGCTCCAGACTTCATTGTGAGGCTCGGAGCTATTTCCGGCATGCTGCGACTCGATGTGATTGCCTACGCGGTAATGCACATTATGGTTATGGGATGCAGAGCTCGAAGTCCATGTTGACCGCTCTTTGGGGTTCCACTACTCAATATAATCTCTACTTTAATTTCACCTTGGTTCCTCCAATGTCCATTTCATAGAGGCAGCTCTCAGTTTGTCAACTACACACGGGATATGAACTTGAATGAAAAAATCGTATCCTAATTCGACCAACGACAAGTCGTATGTACACAACAACCAACTCAAGCAGGTAATCCACGGTAAGCCTGTACAGCCCTGCATATCTCCAGTATGGATACGCCCTAATTGCAGCCTTACATGGCGCGAGCGGTCTTCCTATTTGCTGGATGAAAAAGCAAGCAACATCTTAACATAAGAGTTATATCACCGGGGGAAAAAGAAAGTCAGAAAACCTCGGCCAAATGCCGGGTGATCATGTGGCGGGTGCGGAGCAAGGTGTAGACAGCCGCCTTTTTGCAATGCCTTCACCTCCCTGATTGGACTTGGAAGAACTGCAATCATGGCATGTCATCCTCCACACCTTCCCATTAGGCGATGGCTGGGTTAGATACAGCCTGCAAGGGGCCTTTTGGCGAGCGAATCGAGACAAGCAACGGTTGCACTGGCATTCCCAAAGCAGCTAAAAACCCGAGCCGCTGCCAGCAATGATACCCAATGCGGGAACCAACCGACCCCGCGTTGTTAACTCACGGAGACTTTTTATCTCGTACCGGTAGTTAGCCGCAGGCTATTAAAGATGAGATGTGCACCGGACCAAAGAGAGGAAGATCTCCAGAGCATATGTGCCAACGTTGATCTTCGACACCAATTTCCCAAACGCCCAAGCCCAATCTTTCCCAAATCCACACAGCACAATGAAGGCTCCGACAGTTCTCCTTGCTCTTCTCGCCACCGGGGTCGCCGCTGGGGACTTCAGTCGGAGCTGCACGGATGAGCACATCGATCCCTCAACCGAGATTCTGACCGCAAACTGCAACACGGGTGACGGAAAGGGAACCGTGGCATCGACTTCTCTCGACCTCAACAGCTGCTTTGCGTATGAGGGAAATTCGATCAAGGTACGTAAGAGCTTGCGTGAGAACGAGGACCTGTGATACTGCAACAGTGGCCCCGATGATCCCCGATCAATTTTAACACACCACATGCATTAAATTCATATGGCTTGAGGCTTCTGCTGACTCGAGATTGCTTTTAAAAACACAGTGGTCCAGCACAGGAAACTTCGGCGAGGCGTGCAGTGATTGCTACGTCTACCGTCTGCCCGACCCCGTGTATGGCCCGATCTTCGGAACCACCCGAGCATGGATGAACTGCACATGCAACGGGGCAGAGGCTGCCATCAACCTAGGTAAGCCCCATACATACTCCCGGACTCATATCCGTTCCCTGGGGGGCTTCAAGTTACACGATCTTGCTTGCTGACATGATTTGGCGCACATAGACATCACGTCAATGTCAAACAGTTTCGGAACTTTGAGCTGCACTTCATGAAGTTGGAAAGCGCGGGCAAATTTGATGATTTAGATTAATGAGACCAATATGACGATTAATTATGAGCCTAATTTTGCTTGGTAACTGGCCTGCTAATTGCGCTTTGCTCCCGCTGTAATGGTGACAGTGCTCAATGAATTAGAGGAGCTTCTTATGTTAAACGTATGTGGCCAGCGAGTGTAAGCGATAATTCATTCCATATCCGTCGCCTTTTTGCGAGAGTCTAGATCTTCAGGCCGAAGATTATAGCTTCAATGGGTAAAAGGTATTGTTACTTATCACCAGGGTGGTGATGCGGTTAACCGTACGTATCAATAGGCAGTGACGAATAAGAGGGGTAAATACCAGTTCTAAATTATCCGTAAAGAAGAAAACTACCATGGGATTACGCAGTGAATTCACTGCGTAATATACCCATAGATCCGGTGGATCCACGGTGAATCGGCCGTAGTTATTCCAGCCATTTCAGCGTTAACCCATACCGCCAATATCCAGGCAATAATCAACATCGCAACAGGTAGACTTACTCCCACCAACTAACAAATATACAGTTACATCGATATATAGAAAGATTGAACGAGTTAGAGCCCACAGCAGAGCAAAAGAAAAGTTTGCATACTGATGAGAAACTGCTGTAGGGCCGTATGAATGACTACATACACCTGACTATATGGTAGCAAACGTGAAAATCAGCACATACTCATGCCGAAACGGTAAGACTCGATATGAGACGCTCATTACAGGAAGGCTTCGCTCATTCATGCAACATTAAACCACTGGATGCATTTCCCTTCTTTACCGCTAGGTAATTAGGATTAGGATGTGCTAATATATGTTGATGAACAAGGGCTTTACTATGCCGGTTAAACACACGTAATCATCAATCTATTACCAACGAAACCCTCTTTACTCTCCAGCGAGGGATTATATCTCTCGACGCATCATACGAAAACCTAACCTGCTGTATCACAATGATGAGGGGCGTCCTTCAAAGCAAAACTAGCGATTTGATGCTGAGGTTGTTCCCCGACGGGGTGGAAACGGCAAGGTTCGACATCATCCTCGCGAGGTTCGGCAGCGTCTCCCAGTTGTACTCGTCTTTCCACTGGTTGCCGAGCTTGGCCTCCAGCACCGTCTCGTACAGGTTCGCCATCTCCTGGCTGTCCCACATGCCCTCCCTCCTCTTCATGCTCCGCAGGACGTCGATGATGCGCCGCTCGAGGTCGACGTTGTCGCAGAAGGCGCAGACGTACGCCAGCGAGGGCACGATGTCGGCCGCGAGCGCGAACTTGGGCCGCGACCGCTCCTCCTCGCGGGATGACACGATGTCCTCGGCCATGTCGACGTGGCGGTGGAGTTCCGCCATGTCGTATCTTTTCAGGGCGCATGGGCCTTCCTGCTCGGTGAAGATCATCCAGCTCTTCTGCGAGAATCGGAGCGCCTTGAGCTCGTGGAGGTCGGCTGGCTCCATCTTTTCCGGCAGGGCCTGCTGGAACAGCTCGAAGCGGGCGCACCACGCTTCGAAGCACGCGTTTGCGGCTTCCCGCGCCCCGTCGTTGGTCCCCCCGGACCCCGACGGCGGTGTAGCGCTGCCGCACGACGGCGTCGAGTGCCAGCAGCGGTCGATGCTGCAGTACCAAGAATCCTCAAAAAGCTTGCGCGAACATGCGCTCCACGAGTTGGAGGCATTTCCGCGCCTCCAAAACGCTCGAGAACGGCGTGGTCTTGCTCTGCTTCTCTTCTGGCTGCGTGAAGAACGTCAGGTCGGGGATGACGTCGGCTTCGATCAGCATGGAGGCATCCATGCCCATGGCGACGAACATGTTCGTGATGTCGCACAACTGACTGAAGTGCTTCTGTACCGTCTCGGCCAGGCGTTTGTCGTACGCCGAGAGCGACTTGGGATCGGTCTGGCTCGTCAATGCGGCTTGGTGAAGTGACTCAAGGACGCGGGACCCCGCTCTCAGGTGTTGGACGGCCTTGTCGTACTGGCCTCTCACAATCTCGAAACAGACAAACACCAGACAGCTGATGAGGGTGATGCGGATATTGACAGGCGACGGGTCGGCCATGATTTCTATCGTCCCCGTGACGGCTTTCCGGTACTGTTCCTCGGCCAAGTCGCCGAGCGCCACCGCGGACATGGAAGGGTTCAGGTCTGAGAAGGGGTTCTCCAAGAACGCTCTGTGGGCAACGCCCAGGGCGATGACGGCGTGCTTGATGGGATCGGAGTAGTAGCCCAGCGGCAGGATGTAGTTACTCCATATCTTGGCGAGGGGCGTCGCGAGTCCAAAGTCCGGCACGGTACACCGGTGGACATGATGGAACATGAGCTTCTCCAACGTCGTGCCAGAAACATCCCAATTCACCGGGGGGGTTAGTTGTGTCACCGACGTGACGGGCTGTTCGCGAGTTGACACCAGGCAGCCAGGGCTATGACGTCGTTTTGTTTGCAGATTCTCGGCGTATCCATCACACTTGCGCTTATCCTTCCTGCATCTTTTACAGAACGGCTTCTGTTCGTCGCATTTGACATGACGGGCTCTAGGCTATGGTTAGTATCTACGGAGTGAGATGGTCCGAGAGGCAAGGGATGATCTCGGTAAATGATAGGGGGTTAAAGAGGCAGAACGGCCTTACTTGCTAACACCGTAGCAAACGTCGTCAGTCTAACCACTCTTGAACGGTCTAAAGTGGCATCAGTGTTGTCACAAACCATGTTAAGCATCCGGTCCTAACCTTTGACGCTGATGCCCGGGTTCTTTTGGGTTTCTTGGCAGCGGGGTCCAACGAGAAGACTGCGGTGCCCGGGATCGAGCTATCCAATGCCATTGCGGGATGAAACACGGAGGACCAGATTGGGGTTGTTTCCAGGGCAATCTGAGCTGATGACCAGTTTTGGCTATGATCCTAAGGGAAAAGGCTTTCTTTCTCGGACGTCGGGTCGTGCGGGCGCGAGAACTCGGGCAGGGGATGTCAATGCCAAGATGGGCAGTTTGGGCGACGTCCACTATATAACACCAAGCTGTCGGATACGGATGGGCGCGACCCTCGGTCGCCGGATGGCCTTGCTTGTCCCCTGCGACACCTGTTTCTCCGTCGCGTACCAGCATGCGTTTGGGGATAAGGTTTAGTGTTTTACGACGCAGCCAATCATGGGCTCTCAAGCCGAGTCTTTTCATATGAAATATGGAGCTCTGGAAAGCGATGCTGTTTTGACGTCTCCGCGAAATGCCGGAATGGCTCGACTAGGATGCACACAGCCCCTGATGAATCATACGGAGAGGCATCTCTTATATGGCAAACTGTTTTCTCAGCCCTATGACACCAACTACTGATCCCAAACAGATCAAGAGGGTGATTCGATAACCATAGAGCTAGGCGCCCTGAACTGAATGCACAGCATGCTTGCTTGGTCGAGTGTCACTTGTTCCTTGCCAGATAAGGTCGGCATAAGTTGCCGGTCATCTGTGATAGAACCGAGGCGCCTATTGCTTTTGACTGACACAGTGTCCCGCTAATGCTCCGTGCCCCGAATGGTGACACCTGTCTAATCAAGTTAGGTAATCAAGCCGGAGCAACCAAAGGGCCGCAGAGTGGTACTGCGATGCTTTAAGGTTTTCTCTTTAGATCCAAATCAGGTTAATAAAGCCGCAGCAACCAAGGGGCCTCAGCGTGGTACTGCGATGCTTTAAGGTTTTCTCTTGCCGACCCCTGAGCTGGACCGTGGTTCCGGTAGTCTACTTAGCATACATGACAGGCCAAATCGCGGAAATGATCATACTGACTCGTCCGGCCAAAGTAAATCCCCGCATCTCCATCTCCTTTCAAATGCATCACTTGATTACCAAACATGCCAGTAGACTCAAGAAGGTTAGAGTCGCCGCTGTTCGACGAACCAAGGCATTCACGTGCTGACACTGTCGGCACATTGCCGTTATCGAAGCTCATATACGTTTGCGAGGTTGAGACGATGGGCAGCTGGCTACTGGTGCGCTTGGGAGAGTGCTATCCTCATAAAGCTGGTAAAATGATGGCGGCATTATGTCTGATAGGATAGATTGACGTCCAATTAATACAGACCCATCCGATATCCTTTAAACTGAAGGCAAAATAAACTTAGATGACTTGGGGCCTGATCGGCACCGCCGCTATCATTTGACACTTTGGATAAGGACCGATAACGCAGACTAAGCACCACCTATAACAGCTATTAAAGCCTAAGATTTACTAGATTAGGAATATAACCATGCTGTATCCTCCTGTTCTAAGCCAAGTGTACTATAATTTGAGTTTAAATAGCACTTATGGCTGATGCTTAGTCTGCGTTATTGGTCCCTATCCGAAGTGTCAAATGATATCGGCGGTGCCGATCAGGCCCTTGGTGATAGATTGGAACCAACTTTAAGCGATTGGCTACGGAACTTTATTATAGAACAGACAGAATAAAGTGAAGATTGATGGTTGTGCTGCTGAGTTAGTGCAGAAGGCTGACAGGTTTTACCACGATAAGAGCAGCTATTGTGCTCGATGACAAGGGCAAATGGGTATCAAACATCTTGGATGATCCAAACTTGAGCCCAACCCGACGCGTCTAGATGCTTTCCAACCTGATGGAGGCTACTTTGGCCCTGCGCGGAAAAGCCAGCCGAACCTTCCTCTGCTTTAGTTCCCATCCTTTGTTCCTGCTTTCAGTTACTCGTTTTCTTTCACCTCGAACAACGACAGTCCTAAGCACCGATGAAGATGAACCAACCTTCCACCCGCGATGTCTGTCACATTGCCAACGGAACACCAGAGCCCCTCTCCTTAGGAAGTAGCAGTGGCGGCCCCGAGGAAACTAGAGCGAGCGAAACCAGTCTGGTCTGAACGACCCCAACCACCCCGGAGTGGAACGTGTTAGGCCAGCTTGGGGAGGAATATGTGCGCGCGGTTTCCCTTGGGCAAAAGTTCACTGTCTCCGAGTTGGAGCTCAACACCACTCAATGTGTGAATATGTACCAGTTTCAAGACCCCACTGGCAGGGCAGCCCGCGCTGGGGGATCCGATCGCGTCGGCCAAGCCTACTATATTAGAGCCAACAGCATCACCGGGCAATTGGTTGTTGCCGATGGCATAGCAAAGTCATAGCAAAGGCAAGCAAAGGCAAGAATCACCCCAAAACAGATGCCGACTTCACTGGGGCCTCATTCGTCGGGCATCACCGAGCCTTTGGGTCTGGTGCTGAGGTGCCGATCGGAGGAATTCCTGAAAGAGAAGTTCTTGAGATTATCCACGGCATGCTGTTACCATGGCTGATTTCGAGAGAATTCTTCCTTCTTCATGGCCTGGATCTCAGTTGGAGTGGCGTTGTGACGAATGAGAATGAGGCACTAGAACACAAAAGTGGATCCACAATTGCCGTGCTGCAATTATGGCCTATATCACCTTATAACACACCCCCTTAGATCTGCTACTATACGTTGTGGCTAGTCTAATAGACTGTTTACTTTTTAAACCTTTTGATTGGGTACATTTCGCCGAAATCTAGGTGGTACATCTCTAGCAGTCTGTCTAGAGGACTTTGACGGGAATCGAACCTGTAGGGTAACACTGTCTTGTGATGCTATACAGCACGCTTAAACTATTTAGGCACAGAGTCAGGGTTAAGTAGAGCTGGGCTTATAACTGTCACGAGCTAGAGCACACAGCAGATAGGGAGATACGAATAAGTGAAGAAAAGGCTTGAATTGTGTGAAGACGAATCCCCCGGGTGGAGGGCCCATATAAAGGGGGCCCTCGAGCTCGTTCATGTGACATGGCACGTGGTGTGGCTGACGGCAACCGCCACACATACATGAGCCTCCTGTGATAGGCGTCTACATAGATACCAACAGTTCTCACGCGTTGAGTCGTTCCCTAAGTGCATACTGCCTGAATCCTTTGAGTGAATCCCTGGGCTGGGAAACTCGAGGCCTGTCCGATAACGTTCTTAAAGGCGTTCTTTGCAACCCCCGCGTCCGCTGAGAGGTACGGACGACATGTTGTAAGCCTGGCGGGGGATGAGACAATTGCGCATGCCGCTTGTCGCATTTGGGAGGTGGGGGTCACTGCTAATGAATGACCGAGTACGGACGCCAAACCAACAACCCAGCTGCATCAACATGCGAGCAGATGGGGTGTAAGGCGTGCCCGGATGGTCACGGTCCGACGAGGCCAGGCCAGGGCATGCGTGTGTGGGGAAGCTGGCAAAAGGGGGACGATGTGACGCTGGCGCCGCGAGTCCGCCAAGGCAAGGCGAGTTTCTTTTTATTGACGTGCCAGGACTTACTTGGCTTCATTTCACGGTCATGCGGGTGAGATTGTCGAGAGCTCTTCACGAGTCTGCCTGCTGCGTGTCGTGCGTGATCGGGCTGGGCGACTGCGGTCAAGGCCAGGCGGAGAGGGCTTGTGGAGACTCGTACCGCACGTCGACGTCGGATGGTACCGCAAATTGAACAAGTTGCTTCTCGTTCCTGCATCTGACCTTGTCTTTGTGCAGGATTCAGGCGAGGGGAAATGATGATGCAGAGAGAGAGAGGGGAGAGCGACAACAAGAGAGGGGAGTAGGTATGATATCTTTCGGTACGTACCGCTCGTGTCTTTGAGCTGCCAGATAAGGTTAGGGCAGAACACACGGACCACCAGCTTATCGCGTTTACGAGTGGCGCTAGTGACTCGCTAGACGCCCGCAGCTGTCGACAGACGGCGCCAGACGCGGCTGATGCTGTCGTGTCTCGGTACTGAACGGAAGGCGCTCCGTCAACCCTTCTTGCCTTCTGCGAGATTCATCAAGCCATTCTAAGCCATTTCAAGCCACCATCGATATTCTGCAACTCTCCTCCAACGTCCTTGTTTCTGTCGCTTGACCTTCACCTACGTTTCTATATTCGTGCAAAGGTATGGCCAATGTCTCAATGGCTCCTAAACACCCAAGGCCAGCTTTAACATTGGGAACACAGAGGCTTTGGCCCACTACCCGCGCCATGTGTGTCCGGCGGATGCAACCTCTTGGCCGACCTTGCAACACCAACTTCTCGGCGCGGTAACGATGCGCAACCGTACGAGAAACACAAGAAGAAGAAAAAGCGAGAGAAACGGACGCGTAACCAAAGACCTCCGGGGACTTCGATACCACCCCTCCGGCGTATCGGGGGGCCACGATAAGATGGTGAATAATCCAACATGAGCGACGCGGGCCGCACGCCATTCGCACTATTGGTTTCCCCCCCTAGGCCTGCGCCGTGTCATCTATTGCGTCCCAACGAGGAAGCTGGTCTATGTCTTGGCGGCTCATCGCTGGTCACCAACGTCCGCCGCCACGGCTCGCTATCCGTCGCCGCTCCCCTGCCGAAATTGCTCTGCAGGCAGTCCGTCTTATCTGAACATTGGCGGCCCTTGCATCGCGGTCTGCAGCCAGCCCGCGACCCCTTGCGACCTCTTCGCTTAAGCATGCAGCTAGCTATGCAGACAAGAAGACAAAGGACAGCTACCTGCTAGCTAGCTAGTTGCGACTCCACGGTACCGCGGCCAATAACCATGGCATTGAGTCCTGGGCATCGCGTCTTTGGCAAGGGGGGATGGGCTGGTTGGCTTTTACCCCCTCTCATAGGTACCCTTCTGCATGGTGCACTGCTCACATGGCACCGCTGCCCGTATGTGAGCTGTTGTAACGTGCTGGGAACCTCGCCGCCGGTCGTCTGAGCATCCGATCGATCGAGAGCTCCGGGGCAAGGACTACTTATACCTCGCTCTCCCCGCGTCGTCGCCATATCCTGCTCTCTTTCGGTAGCTTTTCGCTCTGCCACATTCGTTCGTTACCAAGGCAAGACCCAGCATCCGACAAGATGCGCATCTCGGCCACCGTATCCGCCTTCGCCCTCGCCCTACACCTCGGCGGTGTTACGGCCCTCAGTCCCCGCCAGGAGCCCGACAGCAACACCGCCAAGGCCACCGCCTTCGTCGCCAAGAGCTTCATCATCGAGTATGCTCCTGTGAGTGCCCGCTGCGCGTGGCTGCCGCCCGGAGAAGCCTTTCCCCCAAGGTGGTCGTCCCCAGCTGACACTCACTTCCTTTGACATGCAGGGGTCCAGCGCCCGTCTCCGTCGTCAGAACGTCGCCTCCACCGACGGCATCAAGGTCGTCAAGGAGTTTGCTAGCGACGTATTCTCTGGCGCCAGCATTGAGACAGACACCTTCACCATCGACACCCTGCAGGCCCTGCCTGAAGTCCTCAACGTCTGGGTGAACGAAGAAGTCAAGCTTGATCCCACCGAGCCCCAGGCCGCCGCCCCCGAGGACGCCCCCACGTACTCGACGCACAACGCCACCGGCGTGTCCAAGCTGCACGCGTTAGGCATTTATGGCAAGGGAGTCAAGGTCGGTGTTGTTGACACCGGTATCTGGTACGACCATCCTGCTGTAAGTTCATCGTTCCTGCCTATACCCTTCCGGGAAATCTTGGACTTACACGCTCTCCTCAGCTCGGCGGTGGCTTCGGCCCCGGCTTCAAGGTCGCCGCTGGCTACGACTTCGTAGGGGACGGCTCGTACCCAGCCAGCGGCCCCAAGGCCCCCGATGATGATCCAGTCGACACCAGAGGGCACGGCACACATGTCGCAGGCATTATTGCTGGCAAAACCGACTCGTAAGCGCCTGTGCAGTGTCTCTCTCCCTCAAAACGGAGCTAACTGCGTCGCAGATGGGTTGGCACCGCGCCTGAGGCTACCCTGCACGCCTATAAGGTCTTCTCGAACGCCGCGTCAACTGACACTGCCACGTTGATCGAGGCCTTCCTTGCTGCCTACAGTGACGGCGTGGACATCATCACTGCCAGTATCGGCGGGGCCAACGGCTGGTCCAACAACGCCTGGGCCGAAGTCGCCTCTCGTTTGGTCGACGAGGGCGTTGTCGTCACCATTTCTGCCGGAAACAGCGGTGCCAACGGCCCCTTTTATGGCAGCTCCGGCTCCTCCGGCAAGAACGTCATTGCGGTGGCATCTGTCGAGACTGAGGTCTTCCCCGCCATCCCCTTCGAGGCCACCTTTGGCGGCAGCGAGACCAGCCGCGTCGGATACCTGCCCTCCGCCGGCTACTTCCCTCCCACCGTGGTTGACTGGCCTATCGTCGCGCTTTCCACTGATACCAGTGCCCCGGCGGACGGGTGCACTCCCTACCCCCCGGGTAGCCCCGACCTGACGGGCAAGATTCCCCTGGTCCGCAGAGGAACTTGCAACTTCCAGGTCAAGCAGGAGAACCTTGCCGCCCTCGGAGCCGAGTATATTCTTATTTATAATAACGAGAGTCCGATGACCACTCCCGGGACTGGTAATACCGACACAATGATCGCTCTCATAACCGCCGAGTCCGGCGCCTCGTTTATCAATGCCATCAAAGCGAACACTACCGTCACCGCTGACTTTTCGGTTAACCCCGAGATTCCCATCGCACTTGATTACCCGGCAGGGAATAGGCCCAACATCTTCACTAGCTGGGGTCTGCTGTATGACAACCAGCTGAAGCCCGACATTGCTGCTCCCGGTGGCAACATTTTCTCGACCTACCTCGACGGCGAGTACGCCATCCTGAGCGGAACGTCCATGGCCTGCCCGTACGTCGCCGGTGTTGCGGCCCTCTACATTGGCCAGCACGGCGGTCGCTCCGTCCAGGGCAAGGGCTTTGCTCGCGCTCTGTCCCGCCGCATCATCTCGAGCGGTTATGCCTTGCCCTGGTCTGATGGCACCGCTACCGACTACGGTTACACTGCTCCTCCGGCCCAAGTCGGTAACGGCCAGATCGACGCCTGGAAGGTGCTCAACTACGGCACCCAGCTCGAGTTCGACAAGATCCAGCTCAACGACACACGCTACTTTTCCCGCTACCACGACGTCACCGTCACCAACAACGGCAAGTCTGACGTGACGTATAAGTTCTCTGTCCAGCCCAACGCTGGCGTTGACGCGCTTGCCTGGGTCCCCGCCACGGGCGGCCTTCCCGGCACGAAGCGTGTCAAGACCTTTGCCCAGCTTAGGCCCAAGACCTACACCCCCGAAATCAGCTTTCCTCGAGACTTCACGCTCAAGCCGGGTGAGAGCAAGACCGTCTCGGTCAACTTCAAGAACCCCGACAACCTCGGCTGGAATGCCACCGGCCTGCCCCTGTACGGAGGCAAGGTCATCATCCAGGGCAGCAACGGCGAGCTGGTATCGGTCCCCTATGCCGGCGTCGGCGCCGACCTTCGCAACACCCTCGGCGGCGTTCACGAGGCCGGCTGGCCTCAATCTACCTCCACCGTCGACGACACACCCATCGCCGAAAAGGCGACGTACTCGTTCGACCTCAGCATCGAGGCCCAGGACTTCCCCAAGATCTTCCAAAAGCTCATCTGGGGGACCCGCCAAACAAGGTGGGACGTGTTTGACGCCAGCTGGACGGAGCGCCAGTGGGTCTATCCCCCGGTCGAGGGTCAAAACGGCTACATCGGCTCCGTCGCCTCGTGGGTCGGCTCCGGCGAGGTGCAGACCTTCGACCCGGCGCAGTACGACCCGGACGAGACGTTCACGTACCCCATCACCGACGTCTACCGCAACGCCGGCGCCCAGTACCACGAGCACTGGTGGTTCGGCAAGCTGGGTAACGGCAGCCAGATCGCGCCGGGCGAGTACCAGTTCCGCTTCGCCGCCTTGCGCCCGTTCGGCGACCCCACGCACGCGGACAACTGGGACGTGTACAAGACGCCCAAGATCACCATCACCGGGCAGTACTAGGTATGGGGGGAAATAGGGGTATGTAATAGCTTGACAGCGGGGGTGGATACAGAGTCTGTTAATGACATAATACATGATGGATCCCGCCATGGGAATACCAACAAGTCCTTTGCCAACCTGCTTAAAAGATATATGCGTGAATGTGTTGGTCTGGGCCATATTAGGTCGGCGGCTGTTCCCCCTTGTCCTACATTTGGACTGTGTCTCTGCCGCTCGAGTCGTTGAAGCACGATGGAGAAGGCAGGTCCGATTTGGTGGTTCTCGATCCCTTGCTGCAGTTCTCCCCCAAAGACATTCTTCTTGAAGTCGAGCACATAGTATATGTCACCGCCGATCCTGCATCTCGTCAGCAACCAACTTTGTGACGTCTCCCAGTTGTCGTGCGGTCGGTTTTGGTCAGATGGTCGGTGGTTATCAAGCAGCGGGTTGCTGCTTGTTGAGAGACAGTTTCAGTGTTGATATCGTTGTTACGGAGGTGGCAGCGGGGGAGGGTATGATGGGCCAGACGGTGACGGAGGACCTTCTCAACCGCCTGTTGATGACCACCATGAACACGATTCCTGTCGTCTCAGCTTCGAGGAACAGATGCGGAATGCGCCGCTTTGTCCCACCTTTCCTTGCATGTTCTGTTCATATACCTTCCCCTCCACCTACTCGGAATCGCCCGCTGGTTTCTTTCCTTCTTCTCATCCTGCACTCTCTCGTCGGATAGTCCCGCGGTGAGATCATCCCGTTAACCGCATCTAGCGATGGTATCTCACAGAAAATCAAGAAAAACGCTCTCAGGCATCGAGAGTGTATATGCTAGTTAACTAGCATGTGCTTTGCTCTATTGTGTGATGGTATCTGTAAAGAAGGATGAAATATCGATAGTCTATGAAGGTTAACCTTTCTGAGTGTAAACACCCTACGACCTGCCTTGGTTCTCAATCGCCCACAGCTCGCCAAACCGGCTGCCCCTCGTGTTGACCAGCTCCGGGGGGCTGCCCGTCTCGATGACCCGGCCCTGGTCCATGACAATCACTGCCTCGAAAAAGTCCACGACAAGCTCAAGCCTGTGCGACACCATGACGATCGTGTACTGCGCGAACTCCTCCTTGATGATCTCCTGCATCAGCCGGTCCGTCGCGTGGTCCACGCTTGAGCTAACCTCGTCGAGCAGCAGGATACCTCCCCCGCGCCGTTTGGATCGCGCATCCTTCATGCGCCGCCGGAGGATCGCCCGTCCCAGGCTGAAGAGCTGCTTCTGCCCCGCGCTGAGGCTGTCGGCGCTCATGCCTTCGTGCAGCCCGCCCTGCTCCTCGACGAAGCCGGCGAGCTGCACCGCGCGTAACACCGAGAGACACTCGGCGTCCGAAGCTGCCTCGAACGGGTCGAGGTTCGACTTGATCGTGCTACCGTCGGGGAGGAAGACGGCGTCTTGGGGCACGGCGATGATGCGCCCGCGGAGCGTCGACCGGTCGATGCGGTGGAACGGGACGCCGTCAATCTCAATATTCTGCGAGCAGGTCGACACGGGGTCCAGAAGGCGGAGTAGGAGAAGAATCAGCGAGGATTTGCCGCTGAAGCAAGTCAGTAAGCCCGCCTTCGGCTATGCATAGATTGAACGCCGGGGCACTCACCTTCCGGTTCTCCCACAGAGGGCAACCTTCTGGCCAGGTTGGACGGAGAAATTGAGGTCTTTCAGCGCGAGACTCGGGGGCGTCACAATACCTTCCGATGATGTTTGCTGTTCGTTGCTTTTGCGATAACCCAGTTAGCGACGCCCGAAACACATCACGGGGTTTCGACTCACCTATACGAAGCAGACACCCCCTTGATGTCAATCTGACCGTTAGCCGGCCACTCTTCCGGCAGATCGATGTCTTCACCTTCAAGATCCTCCGGGGTGACCTTTTCGGAAAACGTCTTGATACGTGCGATGGCGCCGATGGACGTCTCGAGCTGGGTGTAGCACCGGATGAGCCACGCAATGGTCTCGCCCCACGTCATGAGGGTGACCAAGGACGCTCCAGTGAATCCGGAGCTAGCCCTAAGTCCGACGGCGAGACCGACGAGGACGACGGCGATACAGGCAACCATGAGCTGCATCGTCACGACGAGCCACTGTTGAATCATGGCAAGCAAATACGCGGGCCGCTGCGAGGTGTCGAGCAGGTGCTGGTTAAAATCGATGTTCTTATCCGTCCAACCGAATGCACGTATGGTCGCCACACCTTTGATGGTGTCGAGGAAGTGGGTGTATAGGGGGCTCTTTGACTCCAGGTCCAAAAGTCTGAGCTGACGAGACGTTCGAAGGTAAAACTTCTGTATAATCCAGCAGAAGGCGACCAGGAAGGGATAGCTGACGGCCATATACGGGCTTCCAACAGCAATCACCACCCCCATGCCAATTGCCTCAAAACCACTCATGACGGCATTGAGTACACTCATTGGCAATTCTGAGTCGATCAGTGTCATGTCCTGGGAAAAAAGATTCGTAACGATTCCCGTATCTGTGTTTGTGAAGAACGTCAGTGGTGCGTGGATGACGGTTCGCAAGGCTTGTTGATGAAGCGCTTCCCCGGAGCTCGTAGTCATGTAAATAATCAAAGCGACACCGCCCACCACGAGGGAGAGAAGCTGCAACGCTTTGAAGAAGCCGAAAAGCCCAGCATAGTACTGGCTGCTCTTGCCGAGCGTATCTTCGGCCCAGTACTTCAACCACATTGTCGGGAAGGTATTCCAAATGGCATAGGAGGCGGAGCCGAGCACGAAGATGACGGTGGCAGGGATGCTCAAGCTGCGAAGATAATGGATATAAACTTTGAAATCGCCCGTTTGCCTTGACTTCTCCATCATATCTTCGGAAATAGCCGGGGTACGCTTCGCTTTCGGTGGCGGCAAAGGGTCGGGCTTGCGGTCTGATATGCTGCCGCTTTCTGAGTCCGTGTCCGAGTCTGTTGCCTTAACCCCGAGGCTGGCAACGTATTTGTTGTCCCGCATCAGGTCTTCAAAGGTGCCTTCTTCAACGAGTGTGCCATCAGGCCCGAGGGCAATGATGTGGTCGGCTAGAGGGAGGTGTTTGATTGCATGTGTGCACAAAACGGCCGTTGCCCTACGCCGGCGGATGATGCCATCGACCCCAAAGACCTTTCTGAAAACCTCAGCCGAAGTGTCGTTGTCCAACCCGCTCAGAATGTCGTCAAAGATCAAGAGGTTGCTATTGAGGTAGAGAGCACGGGCAAGAGAGACGCGCTGTTTTTGGCCACCGCTGAGCATGATGCCGTTGCTCCCGATCTTTGTATCATCGCCATACGGTAGGAGTAGCAAGTCCTTGGAAAGCATGCATGCGTCGAGTATCTCATCGTACCGTGCTTGATTGAATGGGGAAAATCCGACAATGTTGTCTTTGATGGAGCCGTTGGACAGGAACGGGTTCTGTTCGCAGTATCCGATGGCAGCATTGCGTGAGAGGACCGAGACCAGACCGCTGCTGAAGGGGACCTCACCGAGGAAAACCTTGCATAGTGTGGACTTACCTGACGCCACAGGACCAACAACAATTGTCAACTGCGATGCCGGGACGGACGCCGTGATGTCCTGGAGGACCATCTTCTCTGCTGACCAGCCGAAGCTGCCATCTACAATAGCGATGGCAGGACCGGAGGCGCAGCGTTCCGAGCTTTGGTCGGCCGCCTTGCCGACCGACTCCAGAGGAATCCCTTCCAAGCTGTCCCTGTACGCAGTTTCCTCGGATTGCTTATCGTTCGGTGCCGACGAGTGGGCAGACTGCCGGAAGTCGACGCGGGGATCCGCCTCGAGGAACTTCTGGATGCGTCCAAGACAGGTAAAGCCGGCAATCAGACCCGGGACAGCTTGAAAGAGCATGCCCAATGGGGCGTTAAGAAGAACCAAGAATGAAAATGACGTGAAGATGGTGGTAACGTCCAGACGCGACTGCGCAAAGGCAAAAGTTACGGCCGGGGAAACTATTGCAGGCGATAGTGCACCGAGTGCACTAACAATAAGGAGCCAACGGAACTGGTTTCCAATCCGCATCTCTTCGACCCTCATTTTCTGGATTAAATCGCCCACGATGCCTGCGAGCCCAGAAATACGCAAGTGCTTCATATTGCTGATGATGTTTGAAGTGTGCCCCACGCGCTTCTGTATTTGGGCCATCCAGCGAGATTGCCGCTCCCCTGTCAACTTTGCAGCCGCGGCTGTGATGCCGGTACATACTAGAATCACGGCAATGGGCGCGATGAATGCTATCCCGAGTTTTTTTTGAAGCAGCCAGCAGCCGAGAGCTATTTCCAGGAAACTGGCCCAACACTCGTGAAGAGGGTAAAATCCGCGTATTATGCGCTCGATGTCGGTGCTCATGAGCGTTACTGCGGCAGAATCATCACCGGCCCCTGAGATCGAGGCCTCCGTGGTCTTCTTATAGATGACTGCCGCCAAGCAACCCCGAGACATGTAGAGAACTCGCTGGTGGAAGTAGTAGTACAGAGCGGTGGAGACGGCAATGCCCGCGTAAATAAAAAAGGCGGCGCCGATCAGCCCGTAGCCCATGTTTTTTGGCGTTGTTTCCGGGTCTTCTTGGAGATAGACCAAAAGAGACTGTATAAAAAACGGTTGACTGTAAGAGAACCCAATGAGCGCGAGCCTCGGCACCACTGGTAACATGAGCGGAACGGCAAGCGATTTGGCCAGGGCTCGGGCGAGCCCATGCTTTCTGCCGCGATACGTCCCCTTATCGAGTTCCTGAGCCAGGGTGACTTGCATCGTCTCCGCTATCATGCCTCGATCGAGGGCGTAGAGATCCTTGATGGTTAAAACCTTTTTGTAGCCGTGGAGGAAGAGGCGGTTAAGCCAGAAGTAGACGCTCAAGCTGAAGAGCCCGCTCGTCTCCTCGGGGCTGTGCTCTTCTGCGGTCCAGCGAATCCACCTTGCCTTTCTCTGAGCCTCGACAAGAAGTATGACGACCTTGACAGCCAATGAAGCAGTGAAAAGCCTGGCGAATAGTTGGGTCGAAAGTGACGTTCTGGCCATCAACCAAGAGGTCCTAGCCTGCGCGACATCGAACAGAATCTGGAAGAATATATAGCCCGTTAAGAGCATACTCGGTCTAGGCGCTCTGGAGTGCTCGGCAAACGACAGGCCGATCATGAAGAGGGAGGCAAGGAAACTGAGGGCGGATGCCGCGGCAGCGAACCCATCGAGCGAGCCATTGGAGGTGGTTTGAACAATAAGTAGTGCGAACTGAAGTGTGGCAAACACTGTGATGATGGCCTTGACAGACTAGATGTTAGCACTGATCAAGAAGAGTGCTCGCGATGCCGCCATGGCCCGCCTACCAATTTTATAGTCTCGATGCTCTTAGCGCTCACTATGCGAGGCTTCCGGGAGAGATAGACAATGCGGGGGAGTGAGACAGCAGTAAAAACGGCAGCCGGGATAATGGAGAGAAATATGCTCTCGAACCGGACAGTAAAGTCAAAGTCATCACGGCAACCACGGACGGCGGGGCCAAACGAGTCGTCGTTTAGACAAATTGAACCCATGGTCCGAGTCCGTCTTGGCCGCGGGCGACGGTGCAAAACTCGCTCTTCAGTGCACGATCAGTGGATCCGGTGTTGGGAATCGACGTTGTGTGAATTTAGTGTGTCTCGTGCTTGGCGACAAATTTGGGTCGGTTGACTCGAAGAGTAGCGACGAAGGATCGTAGTGTGAGAACCAAAAGAACGGGTTGAGCTTGTCAAACAAGCTTAATATGTTTATTCTTTGTTCGTTCTGCTGACATGACGTGAGACTAGGAGCTGGCGCAGCACATGGATGGAGTTGAAGGCCGCACTTGATTTCCTCAACAGGAAAGGCTGTACGCAATCCGGCCAGGGTTGGGATGTATGGTTATCGGCAAGCAGTCGTGGAGACCAATGGTGCCTGTAGCCGTGACGAAGCATGTCGGCGAGGCCGCGACGTCGCGCCGTAGAGTCGAATACGCAGGCGTAAGCCTACCTAATCTTGCTGACAGCCATAGGAAGAATCGTATGTCGCACCGCGCCGTTGGGACCAGAAACGCGGCGTAATGAAGCTCCGGCGGGTGCCAGACGGCAGGGATCGGTTCATGCTGGCAGGACTAGGACTAGCGGCCAGCGCGTGAGGTCAAAAGCGGAAAGTCCGATCGATACAATAAGATCCAGCAAAGGCCAAGGCGTTTCCCGCCCGCTCAACGCCAACGAGAGATCCGAAGGGACGGCCATGAGCGTACGGGGGACATTGTAAAACAGCGACCCGGGGCGCAGGATTGACATGCTGCGAGGAATTGCAAAAAACGTGCGCCCTCGTAAGTTGTTGCTTCGCATTGAGAACTTGGATATTCATCCAACGGCCCACCAGCGAGGGTCCTGGTAGGTACTTGCTTGTTGGACCTAAGTAGGTACGGTAAGCGAATGCGGTCCCCCAAGAATATCCTGGGCCAAAGACACAGGTTTAGCGTACCAAACTTTGCTTCGCCGAGGAGCAAATGAGTAGTGTATCAAGACTAGACTAGTAAAGAGTCAGAGGTAAGAATGGACGCGTCGGCTTGATGCAATGGCATCTCCGCAGACCACGACGACGATGACGAGGCAAAATGAGAGTCATGCCGGAAACTTCTGCCAAGCGCCAAGCGGAAAGGGTCTGGTTCTGAACAGCAGGTGGGTCGTACATTTCCGAGAAGCAGAAAGCCATTCACGTTGTCGCTTGTTGGCGCTTGCTGGTCATGCTGCTGGATGGAGTAGGAAACCATGGATTCGTGGGAATAATGCAGCCAAGTCCGGGGTTATCCAATCCTGATTACCTAAGGAAAGTGACCAGCACGTGCAATCATCTTATGTAATCAAGACGGAAAGACAGACAAATCGATCCACTATTAGCACCGCCACCCAGCCTCACCAGCCTCAAGCATTCCGCAGCCACCAACAGCCACTTCTCGGCACAGCGAAGAGGTGAAGTTGCCCTCGAGTACCTACCCAGCTACCTTAGGTAAAGGTAGTAGTAATAGTAGGTAGGTATGCTGTCACACTTCGGCCGGCACCGGCTCGGAGTGGAAAGGAACGGCCACGGCCAAGCTTCAGCCTCATACGATGCATGTCGCCCCTCCCCCCAAGACTGAAGGAATGCTATGCTTGGCTGAGCTGCGCTGAACTGATCCTGTTATTTTTGACTCTCAGGGTGGACTGATTTCAAATTCAAAGACATAAAAGGCCACGGAAGTCGAAGGGGATCGATCCCGTCTACGGACTCGCTCAAACGCACAACACCCGAACCCGCCCCCCAAAATACCAAGGATATCCAGTCACATACATCCACGTCAGGTGATCGATTCATACCCAATTCGACTGCTAGGGTTGGAACCGACTTCGTTTCAACACTTGCTCGCTGTAGAGTCGGATAAAGAAAGCCATCAAAGAGACTCCCTGTCGAAATCACCGAGCAACGAAAGGGAACCATTCGACGCCCAGACCTCTAAGGAAAGAGGCCCCAAAGTCTCTCGGCGACTACTACCATTCCAGGTTACACCACGTACCAACGCCCAACATGTGTATCGTTCTCATTACCACCGCCCATCCGGATTACGCGCTCATCGTCATCGACAACCGAGACGAGTTCATCCTGCGCCCGACATCCCGCCCGCACTGGTGGTCCCATCCTTCCGGCACCTCGGTTCTTTCCGCCCGGGACCTGCAAAGAGCGGAGAAGGGAACATGGCTGGGCATCACCAAGACAGGCCAGCTCGCCGTTCTCACAAATTACCGCGAAACCAACCCCGGAGATGCCAGTCATCCGGTCCACGCCGTTCGCAGCCGCGGCGGCATGGTCACGGCCTGGCTGGGGTTCGACCCCGCAGAGCCCGTCGCGAAATCGGTGGGTCGTCTCGTCAAGGACGGTGGCGTCAAGGGCGTCGGCGGCTTCTCCATGGTCGCCGGCAAGCTGAAGCGAAAACGCGGCAGCGACTCGAAGCCCGAACGCGCGCTTGAAGGCATCGCCATTATCTCCAACAGGTGCGATGAGCTGCAAGACGTGCCCTGGATCGCGGAGCAGCGTGACGAGGTCTATGGCCTTAGCAACGACGTCTACGAGGGTCGTGAGCCATGGCCCAAGGTCGTGAACGGAAAGCGCCTCATGAAGGAAGCCATCCAGGACGCCGTCGCCCGGGGTCTGGACGAGGATGCCCTGGCCGAACGACTCTTCGAGGTGCTCGATACCGACACTTTGCCCAAGCACCCCGACATGAGCCTGGCAGACTACATCAAGGAGTTGAAGCAGTCCATCTTCGTCCCTGCCCTAGGGGACGAGGAACACCGCAAGGCCATGCAGGAGGCCGTCTCGAGAGGGCCGGGCCAGTGGCCTACCGACGATCAAAAGGCGGCCGAAAGCCTTCAGTTGGGCGAGCGGCCTGATCCGACAGCGAAGACCAATATAGGATACGAAGTAGGCTTATACGGCACGCAAAGACAGACAATCCTAACTCTCGATTGGGACGGTAACGTTACGTATCGCGAGAGGGCCCTATGGGATGGGAATGGAAACCCGATCGAGCGGGGCCAGGGCGACGAGGTATTCAAATTCAAGATTGAGGGGTGGGAGAGCTGAGGGCTACAAGATGCATCGCGCGGTCACGGCGAGTGTGCATTGTGTACCGAGAGCAGGTATCTAGCTATCTACCCACCTGCCCAGATGGGCCGGTAACTGACCGTGTACTCGAGGGGGGGGTTGGCGGGGGCATCGGTCCCTGCATCATGATGCGACGTAGGTAGATAATGAGTCAAGATACCAGAGGGATATTTTCATTGTTCAAGGGAAGAGCATCCGGACGTGACATCCAGCGTCCTCCCTAGGTAGGCACCTCATGGGAGGTGGTACTGTGTTATTTCCTGCATAATCGTCGATGAAGCCATCACGATGCTGGCGTTCTTTCGGAAATGACAACAGGGTCAATTACCAGGAAAGTCGTACCATTATGACCTTTCTGTCCGAGATGAACACAGCATTGTCTCGGCAGGGACCCGATGCATATAAGCCTTGACCAAAGGCTTTTCACCAACAGGCCGTGCAACGCGTCCTCCAAACGTCCATCCAGAAAACATCAGAGCACCTCTTTTCATCTGAACCTCACCTCCAAGCTCAGACTTGTCGTAGCTGCAACTCGACGCTCCCGCTCCTTCACCCGGGGCAGGTTGCATACTCTGAAGGTCAAACGCATTTTTTCTTTTCATCCCGAATCGATACGAGGGCACGCAATTCACCCACCTCCGCTTTCTTCTGCCCCGTCCTCTTTATCTTCCCAGCAATGTCCTCCGTCGAGCCCGGTTCTGGCTCGTCACTTGGCTTGGTCCTCCTCGCCCACACCAACAGTTGCTTCGTCACAATTGTTTTTCATTGCGTCAAACTCTTCCACCTAAACCTACATCTGATCTCGCTGTGGTTCAGAACTTTTTTCATTGCAGCTAAGCTCTTTCTTCTCTCCGCCGTGCAGTCGTATAACATCGTTTCGGCCTCCTCCACCAACACCCTCGACGCTTGGCTGACATCGCTCGACATCATTTTCCGGACCATTCCATACACTGCTTTTCTCGTCTTCATAATACCCTGTGCCGTCATTGTCGTCTTCCTGGAAAAATGCGAGACCGCCTATCTGCGTCTTCGTTCCTTCCCCTTCGAAGCCGCCGCCCGCGAGTTTCTGGGCCTGACGCCTCTCGACCGACTATCTCTGGACCAGTCGGGCCCGTCCGTCACAACGGTACGTCGAATATTGAACGTGCCAGAGAAATCACCGTCGTTCCGAGCATCGAAAAGGCCAAGCAAGCTTGCCCATCCCACCTGCAGTCGACGCAACCGCGCCCAGAGGTTCGTCAGGAATCTCACATTGTCTCTGCTGTCGTCGATCCAGGAGGCGGTAACCTTGGCGCTTCCCAGGCAGGAAATGGAGGCAGAACCTACGTACAGGACGACTCGGATCTCACACAATGCTCAGAAGCCGGTCCAACTCACCCTCAGCAACCACCCGTACGGAGTGGCCCAAGCAACAAACTTCATTTCGGCCGTCAAAGACGCGCTGCTGTCAAAGATCGTCGAGCGCTGGGGGAGATTGCCCAACCCAACACAGACCTCACACGCTTTCCATCTCCAGACGGATCCCCTCTTGACCAACAAGACGCAAACAGAAACCAAGAAAGCCAGCCCATTCCACCGTCTGCCTCTGAACTTCCGTCATCAACCTACGGAGCACGACGCTTCTCTGCCAGCTTCTCCGGAAGAGGTCCCCTATCCAGCAACCCCACAGTCGCCAGCTCCAGCATCACTGCTACCACTGGAATGGTACCGCTTCCGACAGGAAAGCACCGGAGAATACATGCATCCAATCACGGGGAAGACATGGGATCCGATGCTTTACGCTCCTCCGGGAGCAGCCCAATCTTGGGAAGCTCTAATCAGCAGGCCCGATTACTTCAGCAACACCCCCAAACCCAACCTCGACCCCCCAGTCGAGAAGGTGCCGACAAGAAGCGGCTCGCCAGGTCTCGCACTCTGACAGTGCTGTCCAGCCTCACGGCCTCTCTTTCCAAGTCATCGCTGACCAGCTTCACTGGGAGCGAGCGCAAGGTTTCTCAGCAGACGGTGCCGTCTCGCAAAACCAGCACCTCTTCAACCTTTGGGTCTAATGCCCCGACCAGAACCGTGACGCCGACGCCGACGACTCCCGACGACAATCCTGTCATCATCAACACCGCCCAGCCATCGACGTACTGGGCGGGTCGTTTCCTATCCTTACAAGATCGCTTTCAAGCCGAAGCCCTGCAGGAAACGACCCTGTCGACTTTGGTCACCGCGCACGCAATCAAGGCTACTCTCCTATCTCAACAGCGCGAAGCCTACAAGGACCGCGGTAACCTGCCCTTGAGCACGACCACTGCGCTCGACCGTTATGGCACCGCCGCCATTCGCGAAGCCAACCTTCTCTCGGACGAAGATAACCGTTGCCTGCGCATATTCTTACACCTCGACGCTCTTTGTGGTACCCCCGAAGCTCAAAAGAGTCTGCATGCCTGGCAAGAGGCGTACGCGCGCAAGAACAAACGCGATGCTCTCTTGCCGAAAAGCACAGGCGCAGAAAGGGGATTCGTGACACGTCTCTTTAGTGGAAGCAGCAGACAGGGTACGGGTGGCTCTCGATCAGGCAAGGAGACAACAAAGGGCAAACAGCTTTTGGGTTCTTTTTAAGGGGGGGGAGGGGGGGAATGATCCCAGGGGGGGGAAGAAGGGAGACTCGGCCAGAAGAAGCATCATGGTTATCGGCGTTTTTGTTACATGTTGGAATCGGACTGGAGAGATGCAGAATCTGCACTATTAGCCCATTGTTACCCTCGGAAAGGCAGGGAGAGTCGTTGTTTGTACACGAAGCTGGTACAAGGGATACGCTATAGGTATCCTTGTAATATGTCTAGATGCCCGTTACGAGAGATGAAAAACTTGGCTGTTAGGACCGGATACCCTGTTTTTACCTTTCTACACTGGAGCGCGACCGTCTCCGTGTCCATCCCCAAACGCCTGCTAATGCATTCCAGTGACCCAGTGTGTCGTGGCGCCTCGCCACTTTCTATGCTCCTCTCTCTCTCTCTCTCTCTCTCTCTCTCATATAACAAAACGTACAGGCACCATCGCCCTAGGTCTAATCCTCCGCCTTCTTCCTGAGCTTGAGATAGTCCCTAATCTGCTCGTGCTTGCTCGCGAAGAACATGCCGAGCTTGTCGTTGCGCCAGACCAGGACGCCGATCTCGGCGGCGTAGCCCGCGATGTCGTCATACTCGCGAGGGCTGTCAAAGTCGCGGAACAGGAAGCCGCTCGTCGTCGTCATGCGCTCCGTCTCGAGCTGCCACAGGCGGATCTGGTCGATGACGGTGGGGGGCAGGATGGGCCGGCTGCGGGCGGCGGCCATGCGGTGCATCTGCTCGTGGGCGTGGGCGGCGAGGTACGAGATGATCTGGTCGGCCGTGATGCCGCGCTCGACTGCGTTGCGGATCGAGTTGCGCGTGAGGCGGCCCGACACCATGTCGGCGAAGCGGAGCTTGAGCTTGCAAAAGAGGGAGAGCACGGCGATCTGCAGCGGGGTCTGGCCGTAGGCGTAGACGCGGTAGTTGGTCTCGCTGAGTCTAAACGGCCGTACTCGGATCATTAAATGGGAGGCGTATGACTGGAAGAATCTGGACGACTTGAGAGCTCGCGGGTTTGGACTGATTTGCGGACCCAAGCTTTGGGAATCTCATGAAGATAACGAAGGCTGAAACCGTCCATGAGATACTGCTAACGGAAGCTGCCAAGCTTCCACGTGTTCCCCCCGTGAATCCAGGCGTCGTGCGTTACCTTATCGCTTTGGGGTTGTTTGCATCCCCCCCTGCCCGCAAATGGTTTGCGGGTGCAATTCTTCAGTACACCGTTGACCTGGTAGGGAGTATGACTAGTTGCGTGCAATGTCTCGGTGTTATCTTGTAACCGTAGCCGACGGGCCTGTCTCCAGTGGGTCCATCGAATTGGAAGGCGGCTTTCCTAGAAGGTCGCGACAGCTCGAATGGGCCTAGTATCACTGGGTCCTAATTCGCCCACGAGTAGCTGGCGAGAATAAACTACTACTGTGGATGAAGCTCGGTTTAGTATTTTTTGCATGTATGTGACGACTGTATTTTCTTTCCGGGCGGAACCCTTTTCCGGTAACTTCCCAGGCTTACCGGCCCTCCAGCCGCAATCCCTGGGGACGGGTAACTTTGTGATACCGTGGGGATGAACGGCCCAAGATAGTCGCCCTAATCGTATACCTACCAGTACGTTTCTAGCATGGTAGTGCAATGTGCTCAACGCTGTCTGGGTCTACAGGCCACATAAGTCGCAGCGATCTAGGTGCTGACACAATACGTCCATCCGAAGGAAACATACGTCTCTGAATCTCTGCAATGAGCGTAAGAGAGGGCGCTGGAGCTGCTGGTCAAGGTGGTGGCGAGGCGGGTGGGGAAGTACTGCTGAGGCTTGTGGGAGGGGATATAGATGAGGCCGAAGTCGAGGAGGCTGGGGAGCATGTTGCGGCGGGCCTCGGTGAGGGCGTTCGTGTCGTAGGGACGGCCGAGCTCAAGGCTGGCGAGAAGGAAGAGGAAGCTGAGCATGTCGGTGCTCTCCATGCCAGCGGCGTCCTCGGCGTGATCGGTGGCCTCAAGCCACAGCAGCAGCAGGGTCCAGACCTGGGCGTTGGCCTCCTGCAGGAGAAAGGTGAAGCCGGCCTGGGTGATGCCGACGGCGGAGCCCTGGCGGCGGACGAGCTGGCCGGCGACGAGCAGGTTCTTAACGGACGACTTAGGCCCGCCCAGGTCGGCGCCGCCGGGGTTGACCGTATTGACGATATAGTGCAGGATATCCTCCCATTTACGGCGGGCGTAGCGGTCGAGAAAGGGCACGGTGATCTCGGGAGGGGCAGGGAGGGAGGAGGGCACGCCGAACGAGTTGTGGGTGCCACCGCCCTCGAGGGCGAGACGCAGCGAGTTCTTGAAGTTGGTGGTGAGCTGCATCTCCTGGGGGCGTTCCTTGGAGGGCACGGTGATCTGGAGGATGTGGAGGCTGCGGAGGGTCGAGATGGCCTGGTCTTTTTGCCTGCAGACGGGTGTCAAGGGATTGAGTTAGTCGAGACGATACAATTGGACTCTTTCAAGCGTGCGCACCTTCGCGATTCTGGTTTGACCCAGACATCCAGGTCCTCTAGCAACATGGGCTTGGGCATATAGAGAATGGCCATGACTATGGTCTTTGCTGGTTGGGCTCCGGGATCAGTAAATCTGCGTTCCGACAAAGCACGATGAAAAACCCTCCCCCACGCACGACGCGTGCGCGCGCACGTGTCGGTCGGGGAAGACGGGCTGCTGCTCACCCAACGGCGGAATCATTCTTCGGAAGATGGCAAAGGCCGTCGAGGGCTGCAGGTAGAGCTTCCTGAAGGTCGTGCCCGGCAGCTTCTCCAGGTAGTCGGCCAGCTGGAGCGATTGACCCGAGCTGACCGACATGATGGGCAGTTTTGCGCGCTGAAGGGGTCTCTCTTTTTTTGTTTTCGGCGGGGGGGTGGGTGTTTATCTCATGCTTCGGGGGTGAGAGGAGCGCAGGTTCGGGGTCGACGGTTCGAATCCCGGGGGAGAGGGAATCGTGGAGATGGTTTCGTGGGGTTTGGATGTGTCGAGGAAGATCAGCAAGTCACGATTGTTTGCGACAGACGGCGATAGCGGTCATGGTTCAATGATTGATGACTGCAGGGGTTAGCGGAAGTTTCCGCCTCAGGCAAGGGGGTCAGGTACGTATCTTATCCTGAGGTACGTCCTTATCCTTATCGGTCACGGTACGGATACGTACCGCCCCTTCCCCAACGAACGTCATCCTCAGTCGCGACTCCCTTCCGGTCGTCCCAATTGCCGAAGCTCGCCCGAGCTCTCTCTCATCACTCACCTCATTCTCATTCAACTCACCTTCACCTTTTGTCTCTTATTCTCCCGGTCCCTTCTCAAGTCAGATAGCCATCAAATAACCCAAGATGCCTCCAAAGTTGCCGCCCTTGCGCTTCGTGCGTTCAGTGAGTCTCCACAGAGCTCTCGCCAGGTGAATTAGTATCGTATCTAAAACGAAACCCCGCCAGGTTCTCAACTCGTTCGCCAAAGACTCTGGTCTTGAGCCGAGGTGAGTGAGCATGTATGCACCGGAACTCATGACATTTGTTCCAGTCTTCGGTGCCTACGATATATGCATCTCACATCCAAGGCACTGACACATGTCAGATTACTCGGTAACAATGTGAGATGACGCCCCGTTCATTACTGGGAACCTCAACTCACTCGCTTCTAGTTCCGGGTCACCGGCGCTTCGGTGGGCAAGGTCGACTTTGAGCTGGCCATCCAGAAGGAGCACACGGTGTGTCTCGCACCCCAGTCGCTGCTAGTTGAGCAGAGCGAGGAGCCTGGCTAACTTGACCAAGAACCGTCTCTCTACAATTCACGGCGGCACCCTTGCCAGTCTCGTTGACCTCGGCGGTTCGCTCGCCGTGGCCTCCAAGGGCCGCTTCATGACCGGCGTGTCAACTGACATTAATGGTATGCGGCAGTCAACACCAATTGGATGAGCCTCGATGCGTGTAAAACTACCGCTCGCCAACGGCATGCTGACCATCGCAGTCACATACCTGAATCCGGGAGGGAAACCGGGCGACATCATGACGGGCACTGCCATCTGTGACAAGAGTAAGCTTCAGCCCAGCCGGCGGCGGTATGGGAGATGGTTTCTTACTGATGCGCCCGCAGTGGGAAGAACCCTGGCGTACACCACGGTCACTTTCTTCAACAAGAAGGGAGAGCTAGCCGCGCGAGGCAGCCACACCAAGTGAGTTCCGATGGCCCGGCCGGGCCCCAGTCGCCATTTTCTCACTGACTTCGTCAAGGTACATCGCAAAGACGTGGGAAACGGAGGACTTTGTCGCGCCGGACGAGTACGTTGCCGAAGAGGAAAAGTAGAAAAGTACGTCGAAATCCTCCACAGTGGGATGAGTGAACCAGATGTAAGAAAGACAGGGCCTAGAATAGATATATGGGGGGGGGGATATGCCCTGATGGACATATACAAGTGGTATTATCACGCTCTACATTAGTTAAAATCAAGAAGGAGTATCTCCGTATCTAGTGTCACTGTTGCAGCCCTAGCCGTGGCCGTAGTCGTCATGATGGTCGTAAACTCTGCCGCTCCACGTCCCCCGAAGCAGAAAAAGAAAACAAGCCCTCCCCCAGTACATCTCTTTCGCCGTTTGTCTCCGCGGCGACTCGTGTGCTATTAGACGAGCAGCAAGCGCATTTTCCCACAACAAGGCTCCCTAGACAACAGGCTGCTCCTGCTTCTGCTCCTGCTCTTGGGGCTGCCACACGGCATACTTGTCCTTGGCTACCAGCACATACAGGAGTACGAGGACAACAAACGTCAGATAGATGTCGAGCAAGACGTCGAGGATGATTAAGAAGCACCCCAACGGCTCGCCAGTGTAGGCATAATATGCCAAGTTGGTCAAGAGAATGAACAACACCAGCCACACGACGTGGATTAGCCAGAGAATTCCGCATGCGAGCAGGTTGTTCGAGGCCTGGAGATTCCCGGGATCAGCATCTGGCTCCGATAGACCTTACTCAACACAGAAGCAATCTTCAAGAAACGGGAAGTAAAGGAGAAGAAGAAGAGAAAAACAAGCATATTATCCCGGAAAGAAACGTACCTTTTGCAGCGGGGTACCAAGGAGTTTCTTGCGGGCCTTGACAATGTAAACCAGGACGCTAATGGCGCAGATCAGGTCTGTTACGTAGAGTGCTATGTCGAAAACGAAGCTGGCCAGGCTGCGGGCGGCGTAGGACGAGGTGAAGTAATCAAGGCCCACAGCCCGCGGAGCCCAAAGGCTGATGGAGAGGCCCATGGAGGTGATGCTGGCCAGGCACACCCAGACGAAGGCGCCGATAGCCCACTTCTGCCCCTCACGGAGCCCCCTGGATGTCTCGTCGGACGGGGGACGGGCGAGGACCCGGGTGAGGTAGAAGAGAGAGAGGAAGACGGACGCCGCCCCCACGTGTACGAAGGGTATGCTGACGCTTTGTAGGACCCATCCGGCCAAGTACTTGGAGCTGTAACCCTCATAAGCCATGCTAGTAAGTTCGGCGTATAGGCCCCGGACGGCTATCGACAGAACATTGCCCCTAGAGACCTCTTATGTTAGTACATGGCAGCCACTAGGGGTTTGGCGCTTAGACTTGGGGGACGGAAGGGGAAAACCACAAAAGACGCACAGGGTAAACAGCCAGAAGGCGAGTTTGACGAATTTCACGAATCGGAGACTGTTAACATCGTTGCTCCCCGGTGTGTGAGAGTAGAGCCTGATGGTAAGAACTAATGCAGAGACCGCGGCGAGCCCAATGAGCACGGTTGACACTATATAAACAATGAAAAGGGCGCTCATGTACGAATACATGTTGAAAGCCGGTTCGTTTTTCTGTTCTTCTTCGAGGGAGCTGCCGCGATCGTCGTGCGGGATGTGTGAGTGTTGGAGGGACTTGACTTGTCATCCATCACTCATGACCCCCTCGGGATAGCGTCTCCATATATGTAGATTCGCAATAACCTCACAAGACCTGACGATATTTCCCCGACGACCCCGCTGCAGTAGTCCCCTTTGGAGTGCTGTGAAAACGCGGATCGTATTCATCCCTTCACTCCCACACGCTAAGCGGGCGAGAAAAAGAAAGAGGTTGCTGCCTGCTGTGCCTCACGCTGTGCCGCATTCACTTAACCCCCCTTCACGAGTATATCTCCACTTTCGGGCGTTCAACCCCCATGGAACCAGACTTCTTCGCACTTGGTTCGCTGGCGCAGGCCCATCCATTTTGCCGCCCAGTCAGCAGGCCGCCTTTCTCAACCTTCACTTACAGGGTGGCTACCCCCTGGAGGAACATGACCGGCGTCTTCAAAGGGGAGAAAACGCCTCCGGTGGGAGTCACAAGACATGGGCTGATTCGGGTCCTCATTCTCCATATCGATTGTGATAGAATGCTGACCGCCCACTGACGCGTGGACCGTTCCTTGTCTCGTGCGGGCGATGGTGGACCCCGAGGTGCGTGAGATGGCTTTTCAAGCTTATTTTGATCTCTACCCTCAAAGTAGCCAAGTTAACCAACGACATCCGGTGTCGTCTTTTGTATTTATCAATGCCCCTAGGAAGGCTCTGACGATATGGATGATGATGATACTACGTAGGTGTCTTGGTGACTGGAATCCAATGTGGCGTTCACGAACTTGCTTGCGACCACCGACAAGACAGCCAAGTTCGATAGAGGCTGGGTCTCTTGGGGGCTTCTGGCTGCGTCAGTGCCTTGAATGGGAGATTTCTGCCGCTTTTGAAAACCGGACTAATGCAAAGTAGAGTACGGAATCGTCGCGACATCGAAGTGGCAGTGTCTGCTGCGGCCGTGCCCGGCAGCAACTTAGCGGCTGGGCGGTGGAACTACGTAAGCATCTCGTCCCATTTGGGATTTTATTCGGCCGCGAGTATGCAAATCCTGCCATATGGTTAACAATCTACCACACCCGTCATGTCAAATCGCTGATGAATCCTAAAGCACGGGTCGAGGTCAGTATCCACGACCATGATTCGATGTTAGTATAGCAAAGTCCCTTATCAAACGATCATTTGGGAGCATCGTTATGATGCCCGTGGTGTCCCATGACCAGGGCGCGTGACGCACCACCCATTGCTCCGCCTCTATCTTGTCAAGTCTATCCCCCCTCCAATAGTCGCGGCCCTAGGCCCTCTACATGACGATTCCTCTCCGTCGTCTCAAATGCCACAAGCAACACCCCTAGAAGCATAGTCCAGGTTGACGTTGCCGTCGCTGCTAGCACCGGCGGCCTCCGTCTCCCTCGCCGCAACGGCCGCTAGGAAAGCAATCTCCTCCTCGCTCCCAAGTTCGGGCACCCACCCTCGGCTGTTGTTTATCAGCCCTTGTTTCTTTTTGCTCTCCTGATTCATTCTTCTGTGTTATTATTCTCGAGGACCAGCATCTGCAGCGTACTGGTTGGACCTCAAGCTTCCTCTGCCGAATGACCCAGTGGAATTGGTCAACGACGTCGAACACTACGTTCCCATTCCACAACCCTTCGTCCAAGTGGGTAAAGGTTATTCGCAACACCCGATCATGGCGGTCGACTGGCACCTCTCCACTTTCGACGCCCGCGCGGAACGTTTCAGCCCTCATGGCTCGCGATGCTGATGACCAACGTCCGAATCCCCCGTTGCCAATATGTCTGGGCTTGAAATGCGGAAAATAGGACAGGTTGCCGTGGGGCTGGGCGAGAGTGCTCCCATCTCAGCCGCCGCATGACGCTTGAAGCATTTCGCTTCCCCGGCCACGACAAGGTACCCATGAATCTATCAAGAGGCCGGGATATATACCATGTAGGTGATCTTCATTTCGGGCTGACTTGAACTTGTTGTATCAATGTATTTGTATATCTTTATATCTACACACGCACATATATATATATATGGGTTCTAAAGTCTGCCTTCCTACTTTGGCCAGGGAGACTCTGTCCTATCTACTTTAACCCATTCCCTCATGGACCTGAGCCGTACTTTGGCAGCCCACTAAGTCATATGCCCAAGATGGTCGACAAGCAAGACCTCTAAAGTTCGAAAAGTTGAAGAATTGAAGAACCGAAAATTTGCAGGCGGAGGCGGGGTGGATTAGGACTCAATTATGCGAAGCCAGCGTAACGCTCAAGGCGAGGCTTCTAGACGCTCTGATCACCACGACATGCGTGGATGTGCATGCCGGCACTGGCAGAGGCAGACCGACTATAAACTATGGCGGCGACCTCCCAACGCCACCCGTGACGTGAAACCCGATATGTCGTGGGCCCCCTTGCCTCCGCTCCTCATCCAGGTCGACGTGCCTTGTCACATCTGTTGACACGAGCACCCCCTTCCCCGAATAGTAATGGCTTTCATCTCCCTGCCCCGTCGCTAGCTCTCCAGAGCTGCTTTTCCAACTGCCGGGTGAGCCCTTCGGCCTGGGCCACGCCTCGATGAAGACCGTGCGGTTCGTCGCCTTTGCGCGCACCGATGCCGAGTATCCGAGAGTGTTGAGACCGATCTCGTTGCCGTCGTGCATCAGACGAGAAACCGACGACTGCTCGTCCGATATGGTGCGCGGCGGCTTGTCGTCGCCGACACCGCCTGGCGTCGACCGCAAGACCTGGCTCGAAGCGAGAGAGCCCTTGCCCGACCTGGTCAGCGAGGCGTGCGTCACCTTGACGATCCTGGGGACCACCATGCCCCAGAGCTGGCGCGTGCTCGGTAGGCAGGCCACTAAGATGCCCACGCAGAGCTCAATGTGAGACCAGATGGAGGTCTCGTATGTGTTGGCTAGGAACACGGCGTTAGTCGCAAGGCTACGTTTGTGAAAGCAGAAGAATGGGTTCGGGGAAGCTCTCACCTGTGGCGTTGAATGACACCGCAAATGATGTAAGTGCCCGTATACGATAGGCGCTGACTCCCACAAGGCTATCTCATAGTTAGTGACGGGGAGGTTTATTTTACTTATTCGGAGGACAGTCCGACTTACAAGATTCCGACGCCGAGCATGAGCATCACGCCCATCTTCTGCTTCGGGTCCATCTTCAGCTGGTAGATCTGCGATATGGGCAGCGCGAGCATCCACACGTCCAGCGCGACGTTGATGGCGCCATGGCACAAGCCAAACACGTTCACGTCGATGCACTTGCCCTCCGTCTCCTTTGACCACCCGATCCAGAAGTACTCGACGGGCTGGCAGGACGCGATCGTGGCGGCTAGAAAGGATATCAACAGCAAGAGGTTAAAGAGCTGCGTGTACCACAGGGCCCTCCGGAACACTCCCTCGGGGAAGACGCGGAGGAACAGGAAGAGGATGGAGGCCTTGATGGCCGCGAGACACGTTACGTAGCATATGGCGAAGATGTACACTATCTTTTTTCATTCCGGTTCCGCAGTTAGCTCACGAAGACTTGGACTTTCAGAGAAGCGTGTTGGATGAGACATTGCAGTCTTACCAGAAGTGTGTTTGTAATTTCTTGGGGCGTGAGCGTCCATATGTCTCTGGCGCCACCAGACACGGTAACTATGAGATTGATGTTAGCATCGCAGTAGCGGGAGGCCTAGAGGGTGAGTAGCGCAACTCACAGAGGTAGTTTGCCGGCATAAACGCCGCGAGGACGACCTTTATATACGGTTAACCAAAGTCCGGAAGTCGGAGAGGGCACGGAGTGGAGGTAAAGACTTACATAGGCGACCATAATGGTCGTATCATCATGGCCCCATTGTGACAGCTTCAAATATTTGCTGGCAAGCCGCGCGATGATGAAGAACGTTGGCAGCGCGAAGAGAATGCCGCGCAGATACTGGAAGACTTGGTCGTGCTGGACCACGGGCACTCCGCAGGCCGACATCGTCGCGTTCTTGGCAACTACAAGGGCATCGCCCGAACGGTCAATACCCAAAATCCCCATTCTCCCCCCTCCTTTCCTGGCTCCGATGCGAACTGGCCCCAGGAGCACTCACCTAGCGCTTCCTTGACGGTGCATTTGGCCGCCACGCATGTCTCGACCACGTTCATGAAAGCTTGATCGGCGCACAAGCATGTTTGATTCGTGACGGCGCAGTTTGTGTGGCTGGATTCCAAGATGATGCAGTTCAACTAATGCGCGTGAGTCCGGCTGTCCACGTCGAAACCGCAATTCCTTGGTCTTTGTTGGATATTTCCACTCACGGCGCAGCTCGGCAGATCTGACGGCGACAGCTCCGTCGCCGCATGAACGATGCTTCCGAGACCGAGGAAGCAGGCGAGCAGGGCGAAGAATAGTCGGGCCGCGGCGGCCATCCTGGGCGAGCGTCTGCTTATCCTTCCTGACCTGGCAGGTCTCTCGCGCGATGATCGGTTATGGTTCGTCGGGCCGTTGTCCGTTGATTCGCAGTTCGACCTCCTCCCGGGCTATTTGACAGGACGCAACATTGGGCAACGATCCGCGGCGGTCTCTAGTATACATAGTAAATGATATATATCTTCGGGCATCCTGTGTTCTCCCAATTCGGATCAGGGTGTAATTACTCATGGGCGAACCACAATCAGCAAGGAAGATCCATCCACCTTGATCGGTTTAGGACGAACAGAAAGCGTGGCTCTCCGCTCCTTGTGTCAACTGTGGATGTCGCGCTCAGTTCCACGATGCTGCATGCTACGCTGAGGACCAGGGCTGGTGAGTATGACTCGCGGGCCCGTAACGGGCGAAGGGAAGTAATCCGAAGGTAAGGGTCCCATCAACTAATCAAATACTGGTTACCAGTAAATTGACGGCCCCCTTTTGGTATTTTGACGGCCCTCTAGCCACTGCCACCACAGCACACCCAAATAACACATTCCATCACCCTAACATAACCAACTAACCCAGACCCTAACCACTAACCCTACACATCTTTTATATATGCCTTTTAAGATGCGTAGGGTTAGTGGTTAGGATGGTTAGGGTCTAGGGTTAGTTGGTTATGTTCGCGTGATGAAATGGAATATAGTATTTCCGCATTGACCAACTGAAGAAAGCAAGTGACTAACTGGGATAGGCTTAGAGGGCCGTCAAGATACCAAAAGGGGACCGTCAATTTACCGGTAACCCAAATACTGGTGCCGGCCCGGAATGAACAGAGGCTTATGGGTCCAACGAGAGAAGAAGGTAGCATCCTAAGGTCAATGATTTGACATAATACTGGGGTAGCAGCAAGGATGGCCGGAGGCGAACCAGTCCGTAGCTGCATTGCTCCTCGGTGGCACCAGGAGCCTTGACGGGTGGTGCTAAGGAGGATAACTGTCTACTGCAGAAACATAACAGCGTTGGGTGTATCGAGGTCAGTGGAAAAGTGAGATACTTCGTTCGATGGGCTGCCACGTTATCAAAGACAATAGACATTTCGAAATCGGTGGATTCCCGCATCCTTATCACCATCTTAGCTGCGTGCAAAAATCTCAGTGTTACGTGGACGAGACAAACTGGAGCCCACTACGACTGCACATTGCAGGTCATAAGCGTTACTAGGTAGTTACAGGCTGGGCCACGTGATACAGGCCACCGAATTGTTATCGGGCTCCGGCAATCATGTTTAATACTACTACGTAGCGATAAGACGGTCGACGCTCGGATGACTCGACAGGGTATCATTGATGGATCCCCAGGTGAACATCAACGTGACGCTGCATTCCTCAGACGGTGTATACACATGGGCTCGGTCTCAGCAACAGGAAGCGTGAGTTCGTCACACGGAACCCTCACCTACGTTGCTCTTGGGTGTTCTTTGGAGACCAAACGGGTGCCATCCCCCACTTGGCTGAAGTGAGCCATGTTGTGTGCTTCGAGTCGAGGAAGCGCCTCCCCTCCTTTGAGTCGATAACGGTTCCATCTTTCCATGATCCGAGCACGCAATCAGGGCAGCCACGTGGGGGGGGATACACGCCACAGGTGCCGCAGATATTGATTCGGCGGCGGTGTTGTCGTCTTGACTTGGAAAAACCCAGCTCTTTGACCCCGTCTGTGCCACTCCATAAGAGGATGAGACGCCGGGCCGGCCCACTGTTCGTTTGCTGTTTTGCCAAACCTCTCAAGGCATTGATGAGGAGGGGCAGGAGGGGTTGATGTACACTTCACATGCTTCACAGTAGTACCCGCAGTAGCCGGTGTGATGTCCGTGATGTCCGCCCATCCCATGCAGAATCGAGCCAAATTTACCTCCCTCTGGGACGCTATTAATACGCGTCGCTCGCATTCACGACCCACGTGTTCGCTTGCTCCATCCCCTGTCAAAGGCTTCGCCCGGTCCTCTTACTGTGCCCCGTTGAAGACCAAGACGTCGCCCGCGGGACATTTCCGCGAGCAGCACCGAAGACGAAAATGATATCTCGTCCGGGCAGCGGCAGACACCAACGGCCATGGCGCCGGTTTGCGGAGGGAGGGGGGCAGAAGACCGAGGAATCGGTTTTGACGGTGGGACGGTCCGACTCTAACCTGGACAGGAGAGGGCTTCACAAAGGAGTCGTGGGAATATAAACACCCAACACCCTCAAGACCCATGACATGACGATGGGAAAGAATGCTGTTCGCCCCCCCTCAGCAGCACGATTAGATGGATCTAAAACTCTATCTAAGTTAGTTCATCGGAACTCAGGCCCCCCCACCTAGCCACAAAATAAATTAAATCCCTACAAAGAACGACAACATTACGACATAGGCCGGATTCCCCTTCCCTTCAACTCGCTCGGGGCCAAAGACGGATAAGATTCTATGTCACCCACCATCTGTGCACACAAATCCAACCTCAACACACTGCTCACAGAGCGGTGCTGGGAAACTGAACCTGAAGCCCGTGCTGATTTTCCTGTGGTGGGACGAGAGGGAGGGAGGGAGGGAGGAGGGGTTGCTTCCGTTTCGCTGATGGGGCCATGGATGATGCCGGGACAAGAGCCAAGTGATCTCTATCACGACGGCATCGAGGTGAGCGTGTTTGGCCACATCCGGCTGGCCCAAGACTCCGACATCCGCCGGACGGGGGTGCTCCTTGCTATGTCGACACAGTTGGAGAAGTGTTGCTGAGTTTCGACGAAAGCGGACAGAAACAAACTTCCTGAACGGGACCGGACATGCATCATCACACTTAACCTCCAGAGACAAGCTTCATTAAGGTTATAATCGTATAGGTTCATTACTTCGTAAAACGGCGCCCTCTATAAAATAACGATACCGAACATTTCATCCCAATACCAAAGACGACGGCAGACCGTATCGCGAGACTTGGGCTGTCCCCCCTCAATAGCTGCAGATGAAACTGTCGAGTTGCCATCTGTCGTGGCCGGATTGCCTCATATCTGTCAATATCTTTCCAGATTCCCAGCGCCGACAGTATCCTTTTTTTTTCTATTGGGGAATAAGTAATAATCATTTCGCCGCGCCAAGTTCCAAATAATCCAGACAAATGCAACCCGTTCCGTATCTCCCATGAATGAGGTCTGCAAATCGTTTTCTGTACATTCAACCAGCTCATACTGGTTGACAAGTGATGCGCTTGAGACAGACACCGCCCTTACGTGAGTGTAGCCAGCATGGCGCGCATAAGCTTGGGAGGAGGGCCTAGCGTTACCACTGTTAGTCTGCGTTGGTGCATGGCGGGGCGACGACGGAGCGCACCTTAGCGGTACTTTGGTACGCTGATGGACATCCTACCTTTCTTGTCCTTCTCGATCCGCACCCCGCGCCGTGGCTCTTCGACCTTTTCGACCCTCTCCTCGAACAGGACGACGGCGCCATCGGGCATCTGCTCCGCACGGACGAGCTCGCGGTTTCCGTGGCGGCGGCGTTCATGTAGCTGAGCCTCTAGCGCCTTGATTTCGGCTCTGATGTCCTTTCGCGAGCGGGAGCGGGAGCGGCTGCGTCGGCGCTCCGCAACGGCCATGGGTCCGATGGGCACCTCCTCGCTGTACTCACGGCGCTCATAGATTGTCGGCGCCGTGGACGTCGTGTAAGATGTGCTGCTGCGGGCAGGAGAGACATCACGGATAATGGTAGTCTTGTTGACAACCTCCACTGGAGCCGGTGGCGGGGGCGGCGCTTCTAGGATGACAGTAGGGGCCGGGGCCGGGGCCGGAGCCGGAGCCGGAGCCGGTACTTCGACAACGGTTGGCGGCGCAGGAGGCGGCGCTACCGAGGCGGGAGCAGGAGGCGGCGCTACTGAGGCGGGAGCAGGGGGCGGCGCTACTGAGGCGGGAGCAGGGGGCGGCGGGAGTGCCGCTGGTGGAGGGATGGTGTAAACCTCCTCATGGCGTTCTTCAAGATGAGCGGCTGATGAGCGAGCGGCGGCAACCTCGAGCTCACCTAATGAGAGTCAGCATGGATCAAGCCACTGTTTGACAAAACGTATACTTACTTTGCTTGTATTCTTCGCTGAGCTTCAGCAGTTCGTCAATGTTCTCCTGGCCAAGAGCCTTCAAAATGATGACGGTGTTTCCCTGGATAATGATCAGTACAAGTCTAATACTAATGCAGTAACTGGGGTCCGCACCTCTTCAATGTAGGGATATCCCAAGTCGATGATAGCTCGCTTGGAGACTAGACGGGCTGGGATACGGGTCTTTCCCTTCTTGGGGTACGTGCTGCGAATGGTGGTGGTGCTTTTGCTGCTGCTGCTGGTCGTTGTCCTGCTGGAGGTGCTGCTCGACCTCGAGCTGCTCCGGTGTGAGCTCTTTCTGGTGGACCTCGATACTCTGGACTCGCGGCTGCGGTCTCTGCGGCGGCGCGACGTGACGACCTCGCGCTCTTTGACTCGCTCAGGCATGCCGCGGAACTCCTCATCGCCGTAGTAGCCCGGCTCGGCAATCTGGATCTCGTCGTAGCGCTGAGAGGGCGCAGGGCCCAGCTGCCGGGTGCGGGGCAGAGGGATCGGAACGTATGGGGGTGCTCGGTAGTCGTCGCGAGGGTCGCGAGGGCGGACATCCTCGCGGCGAGCTGGCGGAGGGTACTCTTCACGCTCGTAGAAGCGGAGCGGGCGGCGGTCGAACGTGTCCAGGGACGACTGGCGGCGGACCATGGTTGGGCGGCGGGCCGGGTACGGATCCTGGATTTCGCGCTGGGGCATAGGATCCTTCTCGAAGAACAGGCGACGGTCAAACTCGCGGTCCAGTGGCTCTCCTCGACGAGGGCCGTAGCGATCCTCCTCGACGTAGCGGCGGTCTCTCACCAGGTCGTCATCAAAGCCGCCGCGGTGTCCGCGGTCATAGGGGCCTCGGTCGAAGCGCTCGTCCGAGTGGTCTCTACCACGGCGGGGCGGGGGATGGTACTCCTCACGCTCCTCATAGCGGCTGCGTTCTGGAGGGTAGCGAGGGGCGCGGTCGTCAGGGTAGCCGCGGTCACGCTCCCGCTCGTACACGAATCGGTCGCGGTCCCAGCGTTCAGCGCGGCCGGCCATTGTGGGTGTATCTGAAACGTATGTGTATGTATGTGGAAGTAAGGTAAAGTCGATCTCGGGTATCACAAAAGTAGCTCAAAAACGTGGTTGTCGTGCAGCGATGTTTCGGGAGATGACAGATTGTTTGGTTATTCCCGGGGCGTGTTGTGGGATAGTCGGGTGGTGGCAGGAGTTCGTGGTTGTGAATGTGGGAGAAGTTGCTACTATTGCGAGATGCCGGATTTTTGAGCGATGACGACACCTCTATGGAGAAGAGGAGCGGAAAGAGGGAGAGAAGAAAGAGGGGAAAAGGCGGCAATAATGTGTGTTGCCGTAGCAGGGTAGCGGAATGGCTCCCCCCCTTAACTTACTACTACGCGTGTGTGGCTATCTATGGGTACACACCCCAGGCCAATAGCGCCGGTAGTGTCGGTGAAGACGGTTGACCCGCCCTGGGCCCGGTGGGTTGCTTGGGAGTTTGGATTGGATAATGGAATTCGTAGCGGCGCCGCGGTGGGCGGTGCGTGGCGTGCGAGTGGCTTCTTCCAGGGTTTCTGAGACTCGGCTGTGAGACTGCAACACTGGCTGTGTATGCGTCTGGTTTATTTGCGGTGCTGTGTGTCTGGTCGTGATTGCGCTGAGGAGCAAGGGGGGGTTTTGGAGAGAGTGCGAGTGACGAGATGCCCTCTTCGCTGACTGATGAGCGTGATGACGAGTGATTGTGATGTAAGGTCGGACTCGACTGGATGACCGACTGCACTCCTAATGGGCCGTCTTAGTGTGGTGACAGTCGTGTCTGGTTGGGTAGGCGTGAGTAGTAATCGGCCTATGAGAAGACAAATGAAGCCAGAAGGTAACCCAGGAGTCTGCCAGCTGACCTCACGAAACTGGGCCTGTGACCTAATAGGACCCGAGGACGGTCTTGGGTATTTTGTTGACGCTTCCTGACGCTGCCGTGCTGCTTCTGCGACTGCTCTTGTTGTTCCCGAGGGATGGTGCAGTCCCGTCGCACTTAGACTGAGAGGCAAGTCTGCTTTTCAAGGGCTCTTGGGAGAAAAAAGAACAATCCGTGAAACGCGGTGGCCAGGCGAGAGGAAGAGGTTTTGTAGTTTGGGTCGTTGGTACTGGGCGGAGGGTTGGGGTGTGTGGATTAGGAAAATCAGGCTTTTTCCGGCAAGATGAAAGCCAGGACAGGGTCTCTCTCTTTTTCTTTTCTTCTTACGGTTGAATCGGCCGAGGAAGATGGTGGTGTTGGTGATAGCGTTTGAGCGATGATCCCAGCTCGCCTGGCGCACTTCACTTGGGATGGTGCCAACGGCCGTGGTAAACTTAGTGACGAGATGGCGGCTGTTGGTTATGCCACGGACGGGTGTTCCGCTGCTCCCCCGCATGCCAAACAATACACCAATGGGGAAATAGAAGTGCGCCCGAAGTTGAGGCGCAAAGCCTGTTTCCCGTGCTGGGCAAGCTCTCTGGCTGCGGCGTGGACGCTTTGCCTTTTTTCCATTCACAGCTCCTTCTTGTGATACCAGAGTGGTGGTGATGGAGAGGCAGACAGCGAGGGCTGTTGTTGCTACAAGGCTATTCCTTGTCGACGGCACTCCCCGACGTCTGCAACGCTGATTCTTCGCGCTGATTCCACGCATGTGGCCATCCTAGACCTGGTCCAGGGCATCATTCTAGCCTCAGTGGCCCCCAGCCCAGCCCGCTTTTGGACTTTTGAACCTGACTGTCGCCGCTTGGGCAGCCATCACCAGGGAACAGACTGGAAAGGCACGGCCGTGAGCTCCGTTTCGGACCATACCTCTGCCCCTCGAATACAGCTGGGTCCGCGTCGAGAGCCAACAAAGGCCACCATGGCTGCGCTATGGATCGCGGTCCCGTCGTTGGGCCTGAACGGATCAACGGGGAATGGAATTGATGGGGGTGATGGGGATGCCACACAGCGATGCCACACAGCCGGATGGGTGGGTGGAAAGAGGTTAATTCAGTCGCCTGTGGGATGAACTCCCAAGCTCGCCGCTGCCGTTCGCTGTTGAGTCTCTCGGTTTCCCATCTGGTCTGGCCTGGCCTGTACCTTTGGCATGCCATCCCACGTTCACATGTTCACCCGTCCCGTCCCGTCCGATTCCTTGCGTTTCTCTCGTTCCTCTGCTTTTGCTGAGGAGGATTGATGACTGGATGTTACCGTGCGTGCCTTCGTCACTCTGCGTTAGGGGGGAACGCTTGTCTGTCTGGCTTGCAGGTGCTGTGAGCTGAGTCCGTCTTTGCGCGGGGGTTCGCTTGACCGCCACCAGCCCTGTTCGATGACGTCGGGCATCAAATCTGGACCAGTCGATGCCCGTTGCCCAACCAGACGCCGACCCTAAGCCCCTTACATACCTAGTAGTCGACGGGCGGCAGTGAAGGGATGCGTAAGAGGAGCCCCTGCTTCTCCATGATAGTGTGTTATCCGGATAGTAAGGGGACAATTGTAACTCTCCACCGCTGGATCGAGACGCAGCTTGGGTGCCCGATGGCGGCCCTATTGGTCTTCGGAGTGCTTTCGAGCCGGGGTGATCCTGCCTCTGACGATGGAGCATTGCAACTTTGCGCTCACGTTGTTCTTTTTGCGTCGGTCGATTGGTGATTTGTCAATTGAGGTTTCGTTTCGTTTTGGTATTCCGTGTTCATCATCCGTCATCCACATTTTTGAGCCTGGTAAGAGATGGATCTGAGAGCGGTACTAGAAACTGGGAAAGGGCCATCTGTGCCTTCCCTACCTAGGGAGTATTCCCTTGGTTCCTGCCTGCCTGCCTGCCTGCCTGCCTGCCTTAGGGAGTGCATCCAAGAATCAGAGATGCGTTATCGGTATGAATGCTTATCTGCTTATGTAATCGAGATGAGGCCGATCGCACGTGAATGCCCTCGTTTCACGGGACCTCAGGTACGTACCCAGCCACATACGTATCGTAGGTAGGTATCGTGCTGTGCCGTGGTAAAAACATGTCAAATCACCACTCTTCGCTCCGAGGTTCCTGGCCTCAACTGCACTCCCAGATCGATCGGCATCCATCCATGCAGACCACACTCAACTGCCGGCTCAAAGGACGAATTGCCTGGTCGTCATTATCATCCTTCATTTTAAACCTTGCTCGCGGTCACCGGGACATCCCTTCAGCACACTTAGGTGCCTCGAGTCAAGAAGTCGTCGGTCCATCATGGTGTGTGGCTGGCTTCCACCAAGCCCCACAACAACGCCTGCAGCAGCAACGGCAGGACGCGCATGCACACGATCGGCTTCCAAGGCCTCTGTCCGTTTAAACCGTGCGGTTCACGACTGACGAGCCTCGAGGCGACATAGTCTGGCTGCGAGTTCTCTTGCGGGCCACGGCCCATACTTCGTACCCTCAATAGGCGGTTGAACCCATGCCGTTGCCGCCATTAAGCTTAGCTTATTCCGGAGCTACCCCAGCTTTCAGGCCCCGATGCGTCTGTCTATTGCTTGTTCCATACCAGTAATGCTGACGGTATCGCGACCTGAGCCTGTCGTGGAGGTCCCCTTGCTGCCATTGCTTCCTTCTCCGAGGTTGGCCTGCGGAGTACTGAATGGCACATGTCGAGCAAGGCGCTCCCGGTCTATCGAAAGGCATCAAGTGCGGGTTGACGGTTCGGAAGACCAGCGCCAATGCTCATTCTTGTCGGGAAACAAAGCATGCCTCTTCCGAAATCGGGAGCGGCCATCTTCAGCCGCATCAGATACTGGGCGTCTCTCCGAGCCTCGAGCGTGGAATGGATTATTGAACAATGACATCTTCATCAGTTTGTTGTCATTCATAAACCCTCAGGAGCGAATTATCCGAGCTAGGGATTAGCAGTCGAGCCCCTTGCCACTAAGTCGGCAAAAGTGCTACTGATAATTATTAACCCGGCTTCCTGGGTTACAGCGTTATCTTTCGGAACCTAGGGACAGGGCACCGGCGTCTCCTCTTTCTGCCATCGACAAGCCGCGACAGACTGGAGACTGGGAATCCACTAGACTGCATCTTGAGGACCCTGACTACGACCTTGGAGCTGAAGCGTCGTCATTTTGACGGTTTCCCGCCGTAATTGTCTACTATCCTCTCCAATCTAATGGGTCTGTCAACGGGTTTAGGGATGGCACCTCTTTTCAACCCAATGCGGTCCTCCTGTGGTCGAGACAACATATGCCGCACTGGCCCCACGCGCACACACACACACACACATGAACCACTGATGGTGCTACCTACACTGTCGCTCACGGCTCATTGATCAGATGAAGAGACCTGTCTCCGTGCGTATAGCACGTTAGAAGCTTTTACGCGCTTGCTGAGGAAGATTGCCGACGTTCGAGACGAGACGGGAATGTAGCATGATCTGCATTTCTTCCCAGGTACCCCGAGTCGCGTCCAGTGAAATGTGATCAACTCAACAAGAAGCTATCCGACAGTGTACAAAGTGAAAGCGGTCGTCGTCGTCGTCGTCGTCGTCGTCGTCGTCGTCGTCGTCGTCGTCGTAAAAAAAAAAAAAAAAAAAAAAAAAGAGATGCTGACAGAGTCCGCAGTTTGGCTGCAATCTGCCATTCTGCTGCGTGGTCATCCGCATCGCTACGATGGCTTCTGTCCAAATTCATACCCTCAGGAACGACGCGTAAACATATATCCATCCACCAGCGATCACGTATCTGTTTCTGTCCATGAAACCAGATGCGTTGCAACTCTTGAAGTTGGTCAAGCTGCCATCCCAACACGATATTGGCAAATGGAACGACGTCAATGGCTGCTTCAGCTCCGATGTGGCAAGACAATGGATCTGCATCCAGGGCTATCCTGCGCAAGCCGAAACAATTGGCCTTGGTGCCGAGCTCACACCCGAGGTTGATATCAAACGACGCGAACATTTGGTTTTGGTGCCGCTTGCCGAGCTCAACCCGAGGTTTAGAATATACAGCGGCGACAAAACAGTGTGGATATGAACGGATAGCCCCGCGTTGCAGTCTGGGATAACAAATTAGTGCCTCCACCCGCAGGCAGAAGGGGGGGGGGGGGGGGGGGGGGGCGGGGGAGGGAAAACGACAAAGACTATGGTGAAGTAGATATAATAACGGGCTTGCAGAATCTCTTTCTCATCATCGATTCACGATAAATACTTGGTCGAGCAAACAAAGACACGGCATCATTCCGTTCGCGACATACGCCATTGTCAATCTTCCGAGGTACACCATCCCTGTTATCATCCTGATATCCAGCCCAGGCCAAACAAGGTTTTCACCAGAGGGAAAAGAAAAACAAGAAAAAAAGATACCCAGCCCAGCGGCACAACGGTTGTTCCTCACGATGAGCGACGACAAGCCCACGGTCAAGAATGCCGGCAAGATCGCTGCCGACATGACACAGAAGTCGTCAACTGAGGCGAAGGACGACCCAGAAAAGTAAGACTTCGCTACCGGCGCGCAGCCAGGACGGCTTGGCTGACTTCTTATGTAAGGCACGCCGAGCAGTCTCTCAGTTACGATCCGGCCGTTGAAAGAAAACTGAGGTTAAAGATTGACCTCATGATCGTCCCCACCGTCGCCCTGCTGTACCTCTTCTGCTTCATCGACCGGGCCAACATCGGTGCGTCCTGTTGGGTAAACCACATCGCCACCTCTCCAGCTAACACTCCCAGGCAATGCCCGTATCGCCGGTCTCGAGAAGGATCTCGGCATGAAGGGTCTTGACTACAATGCCACCCTGAGCATATTCTACATCAGCTACATCCTCTTTGAAATCCCTCTCAACATCCTGTGCAAGCTGATGGGGCCCGGCTGGTTCCTGCCTCTGACCACCTTGCTGTTCGGCATCTGTTCCATCGGCACCGCCTTTGTGCATACCGTCCCGCAGCTCATGGGCGTCCGTTTCCTCCTGGGCATCTTTGAAGCCGCCATGCTGCCCGGTATCGCATACTACCTATCCCGCTGGTACCGCCGCGCCGAGCTCGCTTTTCGCCTCAGCTTATACATCGTCATGGCGCCTTTGGCCGGTGTCTTTGGCGGCCTCCTCGCCTCCGCGATCCTCCGTATCGACCACTTTGGTAGCTTGCACTCCTGGCGCATGATATTCGCCATTGAAGGCATCATAACCATCTGCATCGCCCTCGTGGGCTTCTTCACCCTCACCGACCGTCCTGCCACGGCCCGCTGGCTCACGCAGGCCGAGAAAGACCTCGCCGAGGCCCGTGTCCGCTCCGAACGCGTCGGCCAGAGCCACGTCCTCGATAAGATGGACACGCGCAAGCTCCTCCGCGGTATTCTCTGCCCAGTCACGCTGTCAACTGCGTTCGTTTTCCTCCTCGACAACATCACTGTGCAGGGCCTCGCCTTTTTTCTGCCCACGATCGTCAAGGGCATCTACCCGATGTCGTCCGTTGAGCGCCAGCAGCTCTTCACCGTCCCGCCGTACATCACGGGCGCCGTCTTCACGGTGCTTATACCGTTTCTGAGTTGGCGTATCGACCGGCGGCAAATCTTTTTCATCATGTCGGCGCCCATGGCCATGGTGGGCTACATCATGTTCCTCGCCTCCAAGGACCTCTCGGTGCGCTACGCCGCGACCTTCCTCATCGCGTCATCCGTTTTCGCCCTGGGCGCTCTCACCAACGCGCAGGTCTCGGCCAACGTCGTGTCCGACACGGCGCGCAGCTCGGCGATCGGGACGAACGTCATGTTTGGCAACATTGGCGGGCTGATCTCGACGTGGTCCTTCTTGCCGTGGGACGGCCCGGACTACCCGATCGGCAATGGGCTGAACCTGGCGACGTGCAGCATCGTCCTGCTGACCTCGACGCTGGCCCTCATCTGGATGAAGCGGGACAACCGCAGGCGGGAGGGACTAAATATCCAAGAGGAGCTGAGCGGTCTGTCTCAGGAAGAAGAGAGCGAATTGGACTGGAAGCACCCTTCGTTCAGGTGGAAGGCGTAATCGTGGTCATGCAAAGGTGGCGTTGCACGATGTGCCAGAAGGGACGCACGCGATAGATTCAAGTATTATATGTCATAAAGTTGAAACTGCCATCTCGTCATAGGTGTACATGCATCTAAGTACTGGCGACTTTTGTAAAACGTGAGACAACGCCATAACTCTCTCTCGCACTTATCCATATCGTCAGCATTCCCACCCTGCCCACCCTATCCTATTTTGAAGACGGACCATCCCCAAAGTCTTGGCCCTCACGGAACCGGACCAGCTAGCTCACAGCTTACTCTTCCCCGGCGCGCAGCACGACCCGGCCGGCTCGGAGAAGGCCAGCTTGCTGACCCTGTCCGTCGCGTCCAGGACGCCCTTGTTCCCGGCGGCGACCTGGCTCGGGGTGCTGCAGTAGCTGGGCGGCACGTCGAGGACGGGGTTGCTGGCGAAGAAGTTGCGCGGCCGCAGCAGCAGCGTCATGTCCTCCCTCGGCATCACGGGGAAGTCTTCCGGGGACGGGATGTGCGTGACGCCAAAGGTGTGCCAGAGGACGATGTCCTCCTGCTCGATGTTCTCGGAGCCGTCGCCGATCCACTCGGGGAGGCCGCGCGAGGGCTCGCCCGAGGTCTGCGGGACGTGGCGGCCCGCGGGCCAGAGCTCGTCGTCGCGGTCTGTGGGGGGGGGAGGACGTTTCGGTTAGTTTTCTATGTCTTGGGGCTCTTGGGACGCCAGATCGACTTACACTTTGTGACGTGGACCGCGTGCCTCGCGAACCCGGCGCGCTTCCACACGAGGGAACCCTCCTTGGGCAGCAGACCCGGCACCTCCCTGCTGACGAGCTTGTACGACACCGGCTTGCCGCTGTAGGGGTGCAGCTTGTCCGTGTTGGCGATCTCCCAGGTGCGGCTCGTGGAGGCGTCGTAGTCGGTGCGGGCCTTGCCCGTGGTGTCGAGCTTGGTGCGGCGCGCGTAGAAGGCGTTGCCGTAGAAGTTCTCCGGGGAGCCGACGGGCGCGTCGGAGGCCACGGCGTCGACGGCGAAGACGGTGTTGCGCGGCCCGTCGACGTTGGCGTCGATGCGCAGGCAGAAGAGGTGCTGGTGGTTGTGCGCGTTGACGCCCGGGTACACCTGCGTGCCCCAGCCCTTTGTGTCCTCGCCGGGGTTGATGGAGTAAGTGTTGAGGATTCCCGTCAGCTTCACCTCTGGCTGGATTGTTCCGTCTTGCTGAAAAAGGGAGAAGGGGTGTTAGTGCTCGTCTGTCTCGCATGGAAGGGGAGGGGGAGAAGGGGGGAGAAGGAAAGACGTACGTGGAAGACCCATTGGATGACGTATTCGTAGTTGGCGGCGGTGAAGATCTGCTGGATGACGAGCTTGCGGCCGCGCGTGACAATCACCGAGTCGTCCCGGAAGTCGCTGTGCTTGAAGAGGATGCCGCTGTCCTCCTCGTGGATGCAGATGGCGTTCTTGATGGTGCGCACGCCGCCGGCGCGGGTCGGGAACTCGGCGTCGAGGTAGTGGATCTCGCCCTTGCAGTCGCAGCCCAGCGACAGGCTGTTGGTCATGTAGCCGGCGCCGTACTCGCCCAGGTCGAAGGCGTGCTTGCGCTGGTGGGGGTGCTCCGGGTTTCCGTAGGGCACGACCATCTCGGCCAGCGACAGGCGGTAGAAGACGGGCCGCACGTTGCCCTTGTCGTTGAAGGTGATGTTGCTGAGGACGATGCCCTCGCGGTAGTTGAAGCCGATGTGGAAGCGCCAGTTCTGCCACTCGATCTCGCGCCCGGACATGCTGAACGAGACGCCCTGCGGCTGGGTGATATTGATGGGCTTCAGGTCGCGGCGGTAGCCGCCCTGGCGCTCGACGGCGGCCGGGTGGTAGTCGATGGGCGCGGCCTTGCTGAGCGGGCGGCGGACGTTGGGCACGTCGATGGCGACGATGGCCTGCTTGTCGGCGTCGTAGATGGGGCAGAAGTCGAGCGGGTACTGGTACTGGCAGGTGTCCGGGTCCGGGCGGTAGTACATGAGGGCCTGCTGGAGGCGGACGGTGTTGCCGTGGCGCTCGTCGTAGCCGATGGTCCACGGGTCGCAGTAGACCTTGTGCATGTCGGAGGCGGGGATCCCGGAGATCTCACACTGCTCTATGACCTTGGGGTCGGTGCGGCAGATGTGTTCGACGAGCTGCAGCTCTTCCATTGTGATCTGGGAGGGGAGGTCTGTCAGTCGTCCGGCGGCGGGATGGCGGGATTTCGCAAGGGAGGGTGGGAAAAACCCACAATCGGCTGCACGCCCTCCATGAGCTCCCACTTGGTGATTGCGCCAGAGGCGATATCAACGAGACCATCGTATACCTTGCCGCCCTTGGCGATCACCACAACATCGGCAATGCGGCGTGGGAGGGGCGTCGTGGAGGGCGAGGCGAGCCATCTGGTCAACTCGGCCTTGCGGGGCTCGTGGAGGGAGACGACGTTGAAGAAGACGTGGCCGTGTGCCTCTTTGACGACGGCGATGGCCTTTTCGATCTCGGCCGACGAGAGGGGGTCTAGGGGATGCGGCGGTGCCATTGTGTGAGTGTGGGGTTGTGGTGTGTGATTTCCGGACAAGTGACGGGCTTTGGGAAATCAAGAGGATGAGAACTGAGGAACATCAAGAGTTTGCATTTGAGGGTTGGGGGTTGTTGAGCTGTAGATAAAGCTTGCATCCCCGACAAGGCCTCTTAGCCAGACGGCGTTGATAAGCGCGCTCCATCTCATGCTGTGCGCCGATTCATCCGCCGTAGACGACCAGCTCGGCGACGCAGCTAGCAGAGACATACGGTGCGTCATTGCAATGACCAAAAGAGTGCCGTATGTCCCAATGACTTCAGTAAATCCATTGGAGGAGGTGGAGATGGACCAGGGGGATGACAACCTCCAGGATATGATTCTGATAAGAGCTCGAGAGGAGCTTGGTGTTATCCAAGGCCGCATGGCTGTATGGTTGAAGCTTCGGCGCGGTCTCGCTCGGTTGGACCCGATAAGGATGGTTTCGAACAGCTCGTGCATTAGCCTGGATTCTGGCTGTAGCATCCCCGAGCAATCGCATCAGCTCAAGCGCGGGGAGACGGCCAGACAAAGAACGGAACGTGAGGTGGGGAGGGGGAAGGGCGAGACGAGGGGCTGGATGGGGAAAACCTAGACGATAAGCTCTGGCTGCTCCGGCTATCTTATCAGAAGCGGGGCTGGATGGACCCACATGCCGGCACCGGAGACGGCATGAAAGTGGGGCGGCCGGGCTCAGTATCCGGCAAGCGGTATCGCTCTTGGCCACTCAGAAGATTCCGGGTAAAATTACTACTTCAGGTTTAGATTCGTTATCCTCTCTCATCCTCGTGCCAACACTTGACTGTCAAGGTCTGCTGCCGCTATCTAACACCGATCACGGCAAGCAGTCTCCGCCTTGCTTTGAGTGCGAAAGTGCGACCACGCAGAAGAGTATGTTGGGGGCTGGAATCGGGATGGCCCCCTACTGAGGGGCGTCTGGAGTCTTGAGTCTTTTCAACTTTTTTTTCAATCAGTTCAATCTTTCCATGCAATCTTCATTCAGTCTTGTCACTCGCCTGCAGCAAGTGGAAGACGGTGTTGCAGCATGCATGCAAAGGCCGAACAATCGGCGTTAAGCATTGTCAAGATGATGTCAGCAAAATTTCGGCCGGAAGTCGGTGACTGCATTTTGCTGCTCCCTCCGTTGGCATCATTAGCCACACCGTCTGACCTCCATGCTCTCTGTAGTGGGATCCCTGCCTGACACCAGCCTCAATACGGTCTCTACTTTCAATCTGCCCGGGGAGTTTTTGTTGGTTGGCTCCAAGTTGAAGCCCTCGATCATCATTGCCACCAATACAGCCTCATCGTGCTCCTCTGGAGAACTGTTGTCTCATCCAATAAGCACTCAACACTAGCTCTTTGTTGAGTGACCTGAATCTCTAGTAGGCACAGGACAGCATAGGGCTTTTTCTCTTAAGGTCTACACCTCGGGTTGAGGCCTCTCTCACCCCTGCAGGTCTCCAGAAAGTTGACAACCGGTCATGGCCTCCTTTGCAACTCCCCTGCCGCAGTCAAGCCGGTCCGAGGTCCTCGAGTGGCGCTTCCCGAAACCGTACCACCAGTATGTCCTGACTGGCAAATCACGGGCGGCATGGCATACCTCATTCGTCATACCTCAGCTCAACCTCCTCCTCGACGCGGGCCTCGTCGTCAACAACCTACGGCCCAAGCACATCTTTATCACGCACGGCCACGCCGACCACTGCTTGCTCATTCCTGCCTTCACCAAGCGGGAAGATCCGCCAGACGTCTTCTGTCCCGTTGAGATGAAGAAGGCCCTTGAAGACTTCATCCTGGCCAAGACGCTCCTTAACCGTGGCGGGCTGTACACGAGCGACGATGCAGAGTCGCTAGGGCTGCCGTTAGATGGCAAGGGCGTGGACGACGAGGGGCGCACGGAAGGTGAGAGGGCGTTTCTGGGCACCCACAAGACGACGGCCGTCAGGCACGGAGACGTCGTCCCACTGCGGAGGCTCAAGGGCATGGACGCCATGGTGATCCAGTGCGACCACAACGTCCCGAGCGTCGGCTATGTCTTCACCACCACGACCCACAAGTTGAGACCCGAGTACACCGCCCTGCCCGGCGCGGAGCTGAAGAGCCTCCGGCTGTCGGGCGTGGAGCTGACGGCGCCCGTCACAACGCCCGTCTTCGCCTTTCTCGGCGACACCACGGCGTCGACGCTCGCCGCCGAGCCTGAGTGGCTGCGGCAGGGCATCCCCGTCGTCATCACCGAGTGCAGCTTCCTGTACGACGAGCACGACGCCCAGGCCGAGAAGACGAAGCACACCAAGTGGAAGGACCTCGAGAAGGTGGTGCGCAAGTGGCCGAAGACGACGTTCATTCTGACGCACTTCAGCATGCGTTACAGCAATAAAGACGTCGTGAACTTTTTCAAAGGCCTCGAGGACGCGCCGACGAACATTGTAGTTTGGGCGGACGGTCAGCTGGAGTGAAATGATCATTAGACTAGCATCATTAGACGGACCATATTTCTGGCGAAAAGCGACCATTGCGAGTAAACGTATAGACATATACAATCCCCATCAAAGCATTGGCGAGAATGCGGCTTTTGATGGATAGTAAAATATTGCACACAGTCCAGAAACCGACACAATGAGAAATGGCCAAGCTCATAATACTCTGCCGGGTTATCCTACCGCCTCAATGCCCGGCCATCTCGGTTACATGAAATCCTTTTCCATCTCGTTCCTCAACGTACCTGCAATCCCCTAAACACGTCGCCCATCGTCGCTTTCCACAAATCCACGAGGTAGTTTGTCCTTGGCGCCCAGATGCCCGTCCCGAACTTGGGCAACACCTTCATAGAATTTTGCAAGTAGGTGGAGCTGAGATTCACCGCGACATGCGGCTTCATGTTGAGGTTCTCGGGCTGCGGCGTCACCGACCTCGCCCCCTTCGCGTCCATGGCTCGCCACAGCCTGACTAGGTACGAGCTGGTCGCCTCAGCGCCCAACGTCCAGGAGGCATTGGCGTACCCGAAGATGAATGCCATGTTCGGGACATCCTGCAGCATGCAGGCCTTGTAGGAGTACTTTGTGCTCACGTCCACGGGGACGCCGTCGACGGATATCGAGATGGAGCCGGCGAAGCGTATCCTCAGCCCCGTCGCCGTGATGATGATGTCGGGCCTCAGGGCCGCTCCGCTTTTGAGGACGATCTCCGAGTCAGTCACCCTGTCGATGGTGTCCGTGACGACGTCGGATTTTCCTGAACGCAAGGCGGCATAGAAGTCGGCGTCGGGACACACGCACAGCCGTTGGTCCCAGGGATTGTAACGCGGCTTGAAGTGTGGGTCGACAGGCACGTTCGGCGGAAGCTGCAGCTTTGCGGCGCCCACCAGGAGTAGTCGAGCGGATTTTGGAAACCATCGGCAATAGTAGTAGAGGAGGGTGGTCAAGATGAAATACTGTATTCGGAGAAATCGGGCCGTGAAGGTCCGTGGCAAGACGGACATGAAGAACCTCGACAACAGTCCCCTCCGGGACGGCATGCTAAAAATGTATCCCGGGCTTCTCTGGAGCATGGTGACGTGGGCTGCATCTGTGGCGATATTGGGTAGCAAGGTGATCGCCGTGGCGCCGCTCCCGACGATGACAACGTTCTTGTTGCGATAGTCAAGGTCTTCCGGCCAGAATTGGGGGTGGATGACTTGGCCCTTGAAGTCCTGGATGCCGGGTATCTCCGCAGCCAAGGGTTGTTTGTAGTCGTAGTACCCGGTGCCGAGGACGACGAAGCGAGCCGAGAATGTCTTGACCTTCTCGTCGCCCGTCGTGACTTGCAGCGCCCACCTGAAAGTGTCCGAGTCCCAATCCGCGGAGACGACCTGGTGTTGGTACCGGATGTGTCTGTCGATGCCATGCATCGATGCCGATTTCGCTAGGTACGAATAGATATCAGGGCCATCAGCTAGTGGTTTATCGCCTTGCCACGGATTCCATGAGAACCCGAATGTGTAGATATCGGAATCCGACCGGATACCGGGATACCGAAATAGATCCCATGTCCCTCCCAGGCGGGACCGTCCCTCCATAATAGCATATGTGGCATTTTGCGGCCCATTTGCTTGTAGATAGTATGCTGTGTTGATGCCTGAAATGCCTGCACCCACGATGATGTAGTCAAATGTTTCGTCGACAGCAGACGGACCGGTGTTTGAGATTGACCCCATGATAGAGGCGAGGAGGATGCCGATTGTGTGCGTCCTTTTGGTCAACTTGATGTAAAGACGGGCAAACAATAATTTGACAGCCCCTAAAGCCACGCGAGGGTCTCCGGGGCTTTATTTCATTGATCATTATAATGTCATGTGCTGCAAACCATTAAACTATTCATACCCTCTCTACCCACCTTCGGATTCGGAACGTTAAATCTCCTGATACAAGGCGAGCCGTTGACAGTTGCGTTTGAGTTTTCCATTTCACGTCTCACAATAAACTTGCCGAGGTTGTTTGTCGATTTGGGACGAAACTTCGAAACGCGATCGTTGCTGCTCTCGTGTTTTTACACTATGCATGGAGAGTCGCACTCGGTTCAGGCCCGTGGTCCAGCAGCGAATCCGACTAGCAAAGTGTGTACATCCTAGACACAATTGCCTCGGACTGTCCCGCACAACGCGCAGCTCCACGATTGCCTCGGCTGATCATCGTCGTCGATCGAGGCAGATGAGCCATCCAGTGGCCGTCCGAACGCCGCTCAGCCGCCCTGGAATCCCATGTGCAAGTCATGTGCGTGTGAAAAGTGTATTCTGACAGGAGAACTCTTGGACGACAAGTTAGGTAGATTTATGGGTAGAAGAGCTGCTAAATCAATGAAATAGCATCACGACTGAAGTATCTACAATTGATGTGGATGTACAGCGTATCATAGGATTGACTCCTGTCGTGATGTATATTGGTGTGGTTCATAATGGTAGCAACTACGAACCCACTCTTGTTATCCTAGCTACCGAAACTCTTGGGAAAACGCCGAGTTCTTCTGCATGACCTGAGATCGGCCATCCAGCCCGGGGTGACGGGCATAACCCGCTCGGCCCAAGGTGGCGGGAATAACCCATCATCAACACTATTACAACTTATTTACATAACTAGGGATATTGTGCACTTCGACGAAGCAGTAAACTTACCAAGCTGTCGGGATGCAACCGTGTGTATTAGATTTAGAAAGCAAATAGCCTTTGTAAGAGAATGCATTATTTTTCATAACTGTAAAGGAGTGGTATTGTCCTCGTTTCGTCTTCTCGTATGTGGCACCTTTCATCAGTGCAAAAGTGTCTCTCCAATTGTGAAGGAAGAAGAACAAAAGGACCAAGATGTGCATATTCTATAATTATGATTAAATAAACGGCCCCGGCCCAAACTCTGGAGAGAACTGTCTAGACATCCACAAGGGATCGTCAGGGAGATCTAGGCGGATACCATGTCCAGACGCCCCTCGAGTTACCTGCGAGAGGATCTGGCAATGTTAACCCACTCCCGGGTTCGATAAAGATAACTGTGTCCGTCATTGGTGGCGAGAGTCTGGTCGGAGTTGTCCAGTGTTGTTTATAGAAGAAGAGTCAGGCTGAGTATGTAGGTCGCCGGCCTCTGGGTATATCCGTCTGTAAGTCATGATGTAAAAGTACCGTATTAGAAGCAAAAGAGTTGACCGAATTTTCCTGTCTCATGGCCTCCATATTCATCCAAGATGCGGCTTTCCAATTGGACCGTTCTTGTTATTCAATATGAAGCCCCCCTCTCAAGATGACATGGCAACAGCTATCGCCATTCCGACGATGCTGTACAGGAGTTTGAGCTTGGATCCTGACTGGAGTTCAGCAGCGTTGACGGGCGACGAAGTCGAGAACGGAGTGGTAGTAGGAGGAGGGTTCCATCCGTCACCTCCACTGCCTCCTTGCGTAGCCGATGCAGGAAAGGGTGATCCGCCACTTCCTGAATGCGTTGCTGACGCCGTCGCCGGTGATGATCCGATGCCAGAGCCCGATATCGCGGAGACGAATGATCCAGAAATAGTTTGACCGCCGATCTGACCTGCTCCGGCACAACCGCATACTTGACGATGGTTAGTTACCGGTCTAAAAATCAACACAAAGCATCGCCGCTGCTCAACGGCCAAGAAGAATGGATTTAACGACGAGACGAAAAAAGGAAACAGATCAGTCGAGGCAAGCCTACCAGATGATGCTCCGTTGATGACGGCCTGGAATGACGCGGCCGGGCATCCCGTCGCGACGCAGGGTTCAATGGCAGCGTAAAGAGCCGCTTCTTTCCCGCATTGACAAGAGAAGTCGAGACTGTCGCAGCCCACAAATGAAGCGCCCTCCGTAAAACAGCTCTGGGCGCATGATGGGATCGCGGTAACCGCAACGCTTGCGCAGTTGTCTGCCGCCGTGGCACCGCCCAGAAGCAGCGCTAGGCCGGTGGCGATGCCGATGATGTCCCTCATGATGATGTTTCTTCCTTTAGTAGCCAGGAGTAGGTGGATGAGCGACTGGGATTCGAATGGATAGGGAATTGGTGAAACGAGAAATGCTTCAAGGGGTCTTCGTGGACATGGAGATGGAGCATCCAATTCGTTCCGGAAAGTCTAGAGGCATGCAGGAGGAGAAGATGACGAGCTTATTTTGCTGTATAGGCCAAAGGAAAACCATACATAGCAGAGGGGTGAGAGCGGAAAAGGGGTTATAGGAACCGGGAGTCACATTGCTTTCCCTCACCCTTGATCCAGACTTAACACTAGCTATTAAGCTCCCTTTTGCCCTCTCAGCTAGACCTCACAGCTCAGCTGGCCACCTCGGCAACCAGACAAATTCCCCTGATCGTACTTTTCACATGTGCCCTTCTAGCCGACAGCTTGTCGGCATGAAATCATGTTTCTGTTAAGCCATATGGGGAAGATCATCGCGAATACGACACTAGTTGGAGAGATACCACCCACATCGCACCGGAATACCAGTCGACGTTTGCTCTCCAATTAGTCAATATCTCGGCAGGTCTTTCCTCATCGACATTTCCCCGCAATTACATCCGGGAGGTTCGGGCGCTGCTTGCCGGTATGGGGAAAGGCGCGGGGAAACTGACAGGGATATCAAGGGTGGATGATGCTGATCCTTGGCCTTGATGCTACCGCAGGTACTCTTCTGTCAAGCCTTTTGGTGTGGACGAATCGTTTGTCCGACGTGGCCGTAGATGGACGGCTTTCCATTCAAATGTCGGACGCCGGCCAGACCAAAGGGGCCTTGTTACCAGGCGAGGGGTGGCAGGGAGTGAATGGGGTTCGAACCCTGCTGATGTGATTCGACCTGCAGGTTCTTGACCACGAGGTGGTAGCGCTCGCAGAGAGAACCGAGGTTGCCTAGAAGTACATGCGACTGATATGTGATTGTGCTTGAGTTTGGTTCCCAGCTCGTATTGATGGGGGGTGTGGTGGTGACTTGAACAGCGACATTTTCTGGCGTGCCAATCGAATCCACACGAAGCCTCTCGGCCTTCATTGAGCTTGGACTCGTGGCAGTAAGGCGCACCTAGAGTTTAGTCACTCTGTTGGTTGCTAGTGGCAGCCCTCGCCAATACTGGCCTTCATAACCAATCACTCGTGTGAAGCGCCAGGACTCTGAAATCGACCTGAAGACTGTGCGAGTACCTCGTGTGCGGTTGGATACCATCATCCTACTTAGCAAGAGCCAAAACGAGCCTAAGACTACGAAGACTAAGGAAACTCGGTCGTTTTAGACGCGCAGTACAAGATATGGCAGCTGGTAATTGAACGGTGGATTGTGAAGGTGTTGAGAAGTAATAATTATGGAAAGTTCAACGCGGGAGCCTTATTCATCATTCGTGATTCTACTCGGAGCCCCACGAGTTCAATTTCATTCTCATCCGAGAATGTTGGTCTTTGGTGCCTTATCGAACCTACATGTATAGTGAGATGGTCAACATGGTTCCATGGTAGAACGATGATTTGCTGTCTGCTGACTCGTGACGCGTTATATTGGCTTATAGTCCAGGATTCCTGGTCGACCACCACTCACCCAGGGACTCGCCTATGACTGTGTCGTGTGCAAGCTCAATCGCCGATATGTTCCGTAGATCCCATCAGTCATGTCTTATGTCAATTTGGGCTACTGGAACCTTACGCAGCGTCCCAGTCACTCGCTTTTGTATTGTGACTTATACTGTGTTTTCCCATTGAGGTTTTGTATCTAGATCTCTGTTCCTCTCAGTTATCATCCTGCTTGGGCTGTTACATCATTATGAGTCCTGCAACTGGGCAATCTATGCTGCACTTGGTAGTCTACGATCTGGCGTGGTCAAGAAGCTCCATACGGCGGATGTTTAGTCGTCAATCCGGCGTCCATGCCGCAGCAATTATCCTTTGCTTTGATGACAGTCTTGTTGGTCAACGTATCTCGAGACGGCCGATTCATTGCCCCAAATGTTCAAGTTTCTTTAATAGATTTCAGAGTTCCTGCCATTTGTTCCCACAAAAGAAACGCGCTTGTAAAGTCGACGCCCAATCCCAAGTCTCTGAATCGGCTGCATGCTTCGGAACTCGAACTCAAACCGTGTTTCTGGGCTGGTTCAGGGACGTCTCTCGATGGTTTTGCTCACTGATTTTGATTACTATTTAAAACATTATCTAATTCGCGGGGAACGCCGGGTGATTCGGTGGGCGGGTTGAAAATTTCACCACCACTGTTGTCGTTATTGATCCGCCTGGGGCGTAGTCTTTGATGATCTGCAGTCGTTCTTCCGGCTGCATGCTTGGCATAGAAAAGTCGGACGTGCAAGGGGTCGTACTGCTGCTAGCCCTGCTGTACGCAATTTTGAACTCCCTTTCAACCATAATCATTTCGGGTGCTTGTGTCGAAAGACTAGATCCCCTCCCCGCCTCCAGATCATTGAATCCATGCCAGCTTTTGCCTTGCGATCCTCTTGATATTCGAGAAACAGTGTCGCTCGGGGACGAAGCTGGAGTTGACAAATGGTCCGGGAAGTGATGATCGACTAGGGGTTGGAGTGCCGGGATGCATGCCGCAATAATAACGACATTGGCCTCGAGACTATGATCTATCGTCAGCAAGAACGGGGAGAGCATGTAGATAAAGCCAGAAGTCTCAAAATTGCTTCTGTTTTGCCTCATCAAGGGTGACGATGTCATCTTACCTTGTCCAAATGATAAGATCTGCGGAGTCATCTGGACACCCGTGTAAGCAAGCGCTAAGTCAATGAGGATGTGTTAGCAAGGGAGGACACTTGCAGGTGAAATCAGGACTGCCAAGAGACTTCAGTCTCGTGCATTTGAAAATGGCTGTAAGTAATGCTCTGTCAAGTTCATGTCAGTCCATGTTAATTCCAACAGCATGGAAATACCTTGCCATGCAGACATACAAAACACCGAGAACCAGGGAAATTGCAAGCGCAAGTCGTTTTCTTCGAGTTACTTTTAGCCTCCGCACGGCAAATGCAGCGTAAATAGCAAGGTACCCGTTCGTGGCAGCTGAGATGGCTATTTTGAGTTGTTAATACTAAACGGCGGGGTGGTTATAACTTCCATCATTAGCTTACCACTGGTGGATATGGAATACGCAACCGCCCTTTCAGGGCCAAGACACGCCGTCTTGGTGTATGTTATTTGCACCACTGCCTCTTGCGGGCATTCCGCATAAAGCCCAATCACATTTCCCAGTAGTCCAGTGACACACAACAACACCATTATCCAGAGAAAAAACCGATGAAGTCGGTTTGGTTGAAGAAGTCGATTAACCAGGGCTACTATAGCAACCTTCGGAAGCGCCAGGGCAATAATTCCAAAGGCAAATGCCATCACTTGCCACCGAAATGCTTCCTCTTTTTGCGAATCTGTGAGAAGGGCGACATGTTTGCCATGTCCCAGCGAGACAGCCTTGAGCGTGGTACCGGTCGCTGTCCATCCCGATGCCTGTCAAATTTGGATCGTTAAAACCGCGACATGCAATACAGGGGTCTGTGGAGTCCATACCACTGCCAAAAGTAAAATCCCGTCGTCGTATTGGATCCGTCTTTGTACCCATCCCTTGACAAATAGTCTCGCAAAGGCAGGCAGTGTAGAAATGATCGTTATTGGTACCAGGGATGCCACGATGACTGAACCTATGCTATGATTATCCACAGTGTCGGGAATATTGGAAGTGTCAGCATCAGGCGGCAGTGTAGGGAATGGCAGTATTGTCGATCTGGTTATTGCTTTGTACAGCATGTACATCATACGCGCTGACGCGGAGGTGTTATTGACGATATGTGATCATGATACACTGTACGAAATCAGGTTGCTTGCAAGACAAAATGTCTGAATAGAGCACTGGAAGAATCTTGGATTCGGATTTCCGGGAGGGAAAGTTAAGGATGTTGGCCACTTGAATCGCGTCACATTCACCAAGGAGCATGAAACTTGCACCCTGTTCAATGAGGCAGCAAGACTAAGCCACTACTTCAAGCATGGCGTTCCGTAGCTACCGGTATGGCTGGGACCTGAGGGAATGCTGAGTTTGCCTTCATCTGATTTTGTGGTTGGGTGAAGGAAACATGAAACCATCCGGCAAGCGAGGGCTCTGGAATAGGACAAACTCTCTAACCAAAGGGAGCATTCAATGAATCACAAAGGGCTGTGACACACCATCTGCAAACGGAGTTCAGCTGAGAAACCCGAAGTAGCGGGACAGTCATTGATCGAGATTACCCAGTTAAAGAGGTCAGTGAGTCACGTAGGCAGGTAGGCCACGAGATATGATTGAGCCCTAGCGAGGCACTAGGCTGATTGCAGCCGCGCTACGGAGCGATCGAAGGTGTTCTGAACTATTGCGGAAGCGCCCCTAAGTGCTCGCTTGGCCGAGATGCCAAGTAAATAGCCATCGTAGGTCAAAAGTGTTTCGTCCATTGTATCCGTATATTAGTTAGAATTAGCCCAACACCATTTCCGGAAGAGGATACCAGGACGTCTTGGCGCAAAAAAAGAACGCACCGAGAAACTAGGTAACTACTTCAAAGTATTCTGTCTCGGTTCTAGACGCAAGCCATAGCTTTGACAGCCATTGAGTTAACTGAATTAACAGGCAGTCAGTGCTCTGAGCTGGGCTGCATGCTTTGACCGGTATGCTCAGATGATCAGGGCGATTGGCAACTAGGTAGGGGGAGTACCGGTAGCATGTTAACGCTGCGTCTTAACTGGAAGGAAACTTTGTACTCGTGACAGAGTACCATACAGATGAGCGAAAATCGCCAACGACTCCAAGCCATCAAAGGTATTCAAATGAAGAGACATGCATTCGTACGTCATCATGTATCCTTCAGACCAATAATGAGCTGAGAGTGCGTAGTAGACCTTGCTCAAAATGAAGGGCACCACTAATGTCAACGACAACAATTCTGGCCAAGCTGCAAGTCATAATCTCATAAGCAGTAAGACCAAAAGGGTATTCAGTCCTTACAACAAGATATAAAAATTGAGTTTGGAACAACATGCCCAAAAAGAAAAACGACTAACTCGAACCGGATTCGCAATTTTGAAGGTGACCAAAACACAGAGAGCCATGTTGGATTTGATTAGAAAGCTCTCCAGACGCGATCGCCAATGTTCATCAGAGCTTACGTGGTCACGCAAGAAATGAAGTCTATCACGGGAAACAGTTTGTAGTTTTGAATAGATGATGGAGCACAATCCTGCACGAAACTTTGTTTCTTAAGATAAACGATTAGCCGATGTAAACATGAAACAATAGCAAAACAGAACTGCAGAACTTAATCTCGAGAGTTTCTGCCAGATCTGAGTGACGTAGACTCAATGGGCCTCTGATAGCCGTCAAATCCCGAGTTTATCCTAAGATGAGCAGAAAATTAACTATCTGGCCAACCGTGACAGTAACGTCTCCATAGGTAGCTACATAACTAACATTATGTTTTCTAATTAGCGCTGAATAAATGCTTATTTACCCGGGGGCCCTTCGCCTGGAGAGTTAAAGACCCTCTCCGTGAGACCTAGGGCCCCCGGGTATGCAATGAGGTCTAGACTCTTCTCGAACCGATTAGACTCTGAATTGAACGTACTGTAGTATAACGCACTGTGGCAGTTGGAATGGCCCTACATTATCCTGGCGGAAAAAATACTGAAATTGTGTAGGGTAGTTCGGGAATTGTGCGATCTAGGGGAAAAACACTACAACCTACACAAGCAACATGAGATTCCTCATCAATCAGGCAATAGCTTGTCCTGATCAGAGCAATATTTTTCCTGATTAGAAAGATCAAATCTCCGATCTAGAAAATGCTGACACCGATCAGAAGAGTGGAAATTTCTGATTGTCTTGTGTTATCACGTTGAAGGTTAATTATAGAAAAGGCTCTAGTCTGGTTAGAGCAAGAAGATAGGTCCTGAGGCCCTGATCTTCTCGTTGCCAATCGCCAATCGCCAGTCGCCAGGCTGATGCAAGCTGTGCATAAAAGTGCCTGGAAGCCCTTCCGAACGCTTTTCTGGGCCGCTAAATCTCTTTTGGCTGTGATCTTGCTGCCGGATCCGTTTGCTTCTCAGAGCTAGAATTATGTAATGATCCTTTCTGAATCAGTGGCTGAGACAGACCGGATCAGGTATAACCTATGCTTATTACCGGCTTTTTGCTATACATCCTAGCATCCTGGAAACCGCTGCCAATCGCCAGGGTCTAATGCTAGAGAAGCAAATGCTATATAGATTCACGACGGGTACGCTACGGCCTATTGCGGCAGTAAATCAACGGCTGAGCTGGTGGCAGAGTCGGTGGCGAAGTACCTTTGGCGATTGGCGATTGGCAATGAGAAGATCAGGGCCTAAAAGATAGAGGGAAAGTTTGTTGTTATTTCTCTCTAGCTGTCTACCCCCTGGCTTATATCGTCTTCACCTGATCGGCGCAACTATTTCCTGATCACATTAACCTCTCTTTCATTGAGGCTGGTTGCCCCACCCCGTTCTAATACTTCAAGCCCAGTGGAGCTAGCATATTACAACTAACTAACATATACCATTACATAGACCATATGATACGAACAACCCTATCACCTCCCAAGTTCTCGTACTCTGAGAGAGAAAGAGTTAATGCTAATGTTGTAGCTTCAGCAGTCTTCTGCTTCAAAAGAAGTGAATCACGACCATATTTTCTAAACCAACAAAGCCTTCTCCTCTACCCTCATAATTGTTGAATGGGCTCTGCACATGCATGTACTGAAAACGTAGGGGTGGATTGAACTATTGTTCTGTGATTGTATCTCCTTACTATAACCTGTGGTTGACGCATGATGGTTATGGACTCTGCCATATATGGTTCAGTCAGTTCGGTCCGGTTGTAGAATGTTTTCTACCCGTGGTCCGAGTACCCAATCTTGTGACCCTTGTCCTTATGTACTGACTCACGGGTTGTCGTGCGGTCAGGTGATATTGGTTTTCCAACAATAATAGTATTTAGTTTTCTGTAAAAGAGCATCTAACTCTTTGGGGTCTTCCTTTAGTGAAAGACGATCTAGGTCGCACTATGAGAGGCTTTAAAGAAAACAATAAAAGATATAATAGTTACTTCATAACTAAGAAGACACGCACTAAGAACTAGTAGAACTCAGTTTTAAGGTATCTATATATTCAGTCACATTTAGAAATAATTTTTAGTGATGAAAGTGCCAGCAGGTGGTTTGCTTCGCAGTACATTGCTCCATCACCCATCTGTTGTGGCATATATATGATCCTATGAAAGAACAGAAGTGCATATTATGTCCGACCATAAGCTGTTCTAACTTAACTATAGTTTCTTATTAGATATTTATTAGGTGAACCTCTCTGAATTAAAACTTCTTTCCTGCCAAGTTCAAAGCAAACAAACCGCTTTTCCATACATCACAATAGCTTGATTGATGACTAAAACTATCAGCCTCGTCATATACTCCATATCTCAGTGTCCCATTCATTGCTCGCATTAATTACTATATATAGAGGTAATCCTTTATATCTGAACTTTCAGATAATTAAACATCTTTTAGATCCGTTATCATATGTCGTACTGTGTGCTATAACTCGCGGCATCAAGATCTTGGCTTTAAACCTCTTGGAAAGGGCATTTTCCCCTCTTTAGAATTATGATTAGAATCCAGTTCCAGACAAGACAGTTACAAAACACAAGCAGATAATATTAGAACAAATACTTGTCTTCACAAGATTCTTTCAAATGCTCATAAGACAATCACACTATAACTGAAGTTGAAGCTCAATAAAGAGTTCACATATGTGTCAGGTGAGCTTGTAATGACAGAACAGACAAGAGTGAAAGTAAAAGAATACAATAGTGCTATTAATGCAATAATTTACATGTCCCCTATATACTATCCATTGTTCATAGTATGCATCAAGCTGTATTCGGCTCAATATGAGTTATAACTTTTAGGAGACACGTATAAGAATCCGGACGAAATACCCCTAACTAGTGAAAAGAGACAGTCGTGGAAATACATCTTTGATTTACCCTACATTTTAAGTACAGTCATGCTAGTAGGTCTTAGACAACATGTTATATTTATTTGAGTCTTTCCTTTCCGCCTGGCCCTCTTGTTAATTCTATCATGCTGACCTCTTCGAGAAACACAATACGACAGCCATCATGCGTTCGTGAATGACTAAAATGGAGCCAGTAGAGTTGGAATCAAAAACCACCGCTTATCTCCTACGACAATTCTGGGATGGCGCTAATGAGAACGAACAGGTGAGTCAGTGGATATGTTAGACCCAAAATGATGGCCATTGAAGCGCGCTGTGTCCAGGGCCACGTATAGGGCGGATAAACTCACATAGCTAGGTATTGTCTATGGACGCTCGCCACACGTCTGTCGGCATAGAGAGATGGCATGGCCATCATAGATGCCAAGGTCATCCATGCATTTGAGTACACACTGAACGCAATGTTAGTTTCCTCAATCCTGGTTGGATCAAAAGTTGATAGTCTACTTACTTCAGAGAGCTGGCGTTTCTCAAGCTGAACAGGACCGGCGGCGGCGGCCACCGCCACAGCAGTGGCGAAAATCGCGAGGGAGAAAATACGCATATCTTCAAGAGATAAAATCTGCAAATCCTAATTTACTTGAGGGTAGAGAGTGCTTTTCTGTCTGATTCTTCTCTGTTGACCGAGGGGCATGCTCGGCTTTAAATATAGGTTTTTTTGTATCCGTCCAGGAAAAGGATAGATAAGACTCAAACAGAAAGCTCTTGGCTTATGTTCTCGAAACATGAGGCATCCTATCGGAGTTGTGGGTTTGGAGCTGGGCGTAAGTATCGCGATCCTGTGGGATCTGCCAAGGTCTCCAGGCTGAGCAATCCTGCACTACCAGATTCCTATATAGGCTGGAATTTGCAAATCATACAGAGCCGTAAGCGCTAGTTTACTTCTCCTTCCATTCATGATCTAGGCCATTGCGTATCTTCTTCTACTTTTCCGGGGGTATTGTTAATTGAGCTTCCTCGAATGGATGCTTCCCTGTGACACAGCATACTCGGGGCTCGCTGCAGCACAGAAGGTAGCCACTGGGCCATTATCTTCCTTTGTTTAGACTAGCTCATTGCTCTACAGATTGTCTACTAATCTTACATAAAATAGTGGATAAGTACACGGTGCATCGATAAAAGCCCAGGGCAGCTGCATGCAACCCAGGTCGAGCGTGACTGATCGTTGTTTCTGTTCCCCAGTGACAAAGGGCTTACGGGTCTTCTGGCCCCTATGTAGCACTGTTGTCATACTGGCGCAGACATAAACTCAGTCTGGTCAAAAATCAAAATCGGGCAAATTAATCAGTGGACGAATCACGCTATTGAAGTGGTCAGGCATCGGGCGCGGAAGCAGGCCTCCAAAGCTACACATGGCAATAGCATCATATATATATATTATCCCTTGGAACCATTGTACAAATGACGATTTTTGGATAAGAGAATGACTTGAACCTGAATATTGGGTTATCTGCTGCGAAAAGCTGTTCGGTTTTGTTTGTTTGTCGGGATATTCAACCGGTCGATGGTGGAGCCGATCCGGAATCACTTGACCCCATCTCACGTGACCCACCTCGGCGGCTCACTTACACCATCACAAATATCCACGGCAGAAACCTCTTCCCTTTTCTTTCATCATCATCTTCAACCAGCAGCCAATAATCGATTGATACTATTGCTGCTACCACGATCGCGATCCCTGTGATACCAACATTATTCCTTACACCCTTCGAAACAAGTCCAACTTCGCGTTCTCATCTTGTACCGGCATTTGTCGGCCTTTTTAAACTAACTCTAAATTTTGGGGGAGGGCCATTCCCTATTGAAAAATTGGCTTAAGAGATGGCTTTCACATGAGAAGTCTTGAAGTAAACATATAGATGGCGGAGTACATGTTGCTTTTCTTTGAGAACACGGTGATCTAGTATCTCACCTCAATTGATTCTTTTTGCAAGACTTTTCTCGTCCATCTGGTCTTGGCTGGCCCACTCTTCCGTCGTATCTCCTTCCTCAGCTAAAAATGAGTGGAGGCAAGCACATGGCATCAAGATAACTTGTTAACTATTGGATGGACTTTGTACATGCATGTACTGCAAAAGGGTATATATGAACCAAAGTATTTTCATTCGTCTCTGTCTCTAGTGTCAAGAGTTGCTTGACGTATGCGCCTTAAGTAAACGGCTCATACACCTGAGTCAGTCCGGCTTGACTCGTACAATGGTTATACCCGAGGTCCGAGTATCCACCCTGATGACCTCTTATTCTCAATACATGAATCATTAAAGTATCGTACGGTTGTGTGATATTTCTGTCCCAACATTGACCATATTTATCCCATTTTCTCTACGTGCTTGATATTCAAGCCCAGCTATGGCCATGCAGAACCAAGGAGCAGATTCCCTGCACGTATCAATATGGGGGAACTTCGCGCTATTACCCTGCACAGTGTTGTACATCGCAACTCTTTTCATCTCTCATAGTGCCGCTCAAGCGCAAGATGATCCTAGACCATTGTCTTTGCGCAACATGTCGGCATACATTGCCTCGCTTTCGCCTTTCTCCTCTGATACATTCTGTGCCCTCCCTAGTCAGTAGACGACCACAGCAACAGCAGAACTGACTCAAGTCGACATGTCTTAAAAGTAATACGTTTTATATAGGAGGCTAATGTAAATTGGATGCCTCATCCGGCATATGGTAGATAGGAATCTGTTTGTGATTCTGAATATTCCCGTTAGAAATTAATCCATATTTCGATCGAAAGGGACTGCAAACGTGACAGCTCGGGTCCAATAAAAAGGTGGGAACCCATCTTGCATAGCTTGGGATCAACGGTGCAGTAATTTGGTTTTAACCTGAACAGCACATGACTCAATACAGTCAAGCTATTTTCTGCCCCTAGAAATCATCAGCTTGGTCTTCCCGCCATTATGAGTTTAAGGTTGATGGCTGGGCTGGCTTGCTTGATTGTGAATATTATGATGGCATCAGTCTCGTTACCACGCGTGGTTGTCTCAAACATGATATCACCAGCGCCGCCAAAAAGGGCTGCTCCATTGTCACCTTGTGCAGTATGATATCACAACGCTTAAGCAACTTCAGTAAAGCTCACAGTGACTGCCGATGGGCTGCATCGCTGCCGAAGTTCCCAAATCTGCATGCAATGCTACCGACATTGCGTGTATTTGCACCCGCTAAATGCAGCTATCGACATATGCTTAGCGCAAAACTGCACCATTATCGAGTCTCATCGTAAGTGAGAACCTTGCCGTTCACTTGTGCGAGTATCTGATCAACTGATGACTCATTGTATTTCAAGAACCTCATGCGGTGTGCCAGTCCACCGCAACATACAGCAAGCCCCAGTCGCCTGGACTTTATTCGGAATCGCTTTTGTGGCTGTATCTGCACGCCTGCTATCGAAAACCCCTCCCTTGAATCCATCATTCACCTTTCGCTTAGACGATGGAGCAATTTTTGCCCCTATGATTGCGTTGGTAGCTTCGAACATTGGCTCCCAGACGCGTACGTTGTAGCCTTCCTTATTTTTATTTTGACAAGGCTCATAATCGCAGAATTTAGGTCCACGAGACAGCATTGAAATACGGTGATATTAAACAAACTTAGGGCAGGAAATCGCAACTTGTTCGAATTGTATCTATATTTTTGTTCTGCCGCTAATAATCCTTCAAACGCTTGTCTGACGACTCGCATTCGGGAACGACATCTGAGAAGCACGCGAGAGCCTTGCCGATGCCCCAGTGATGTTAGGGTCTGCGCCCAAGAAGTTGCCCGGGAACCCAACGTCAAACTCCTTGACACTCTCCAGGTACGCGATCTGCTCATCTGTCAGATTGATCTTGAGGGCGTCGATGTTGGCCTTCAAATGTTCCACCTTGCGCCCACCCACGATGGGTATGACGTTAGCCGCTTTGCTCCGGACATAGGCCAGCGCGATAGCCGTCACACTCTCGACTCCATGCTCTCCAGCAACCTTTTCCAAAGCCTCACTAATCTTTATCTCCATCTCGGTTTGCTGTGCAGAGCTGACAAAAGACCTCAGCCCCTCGCCGGCCTTTTTCCGCTCCTCAATGGCCTTCTTCGACTGAAATTTGCCGGATCCCAAAACATCCCATGGGCAGAGGGCCATGCCAAACATCCTAGCCATGGGCAAGATGTCGCGCTCAAAGTCACGGTGCATCACGCTCCAGCGGCCTTGGTAGACACTGAACGGCGTCTTGCCATGGTCGATAGCGTACGTGTTCGCTGCGCTGACAACCCACGCTGGGGTATCTGATATTCCAAGGTAGAGAACTTTGCCCTGCTCAACAAGAATGTGAAGCGAGTCTACAATCTCCTTGATCGAGGTCGTATAGTCCCACCAATGTAGGTAAAGAATATCGATGTAATCGGTGCCCAGTTTCTCCAGTGAGTCGCGGACGCTTATGTGGAGGCTCCGTCGGTGGTTTCCAGTGAAGTTGGCCGTGTTTCCCTTGCCCAGGGTGTGATTCTTGTAATCGGATGTGTACTTCGTGGCGAGAACGATCTGTTCTCGGTTTCCCCTCTCTCTCATCCATTCGCCAATCCAAATTTCCGACTGCTCATCCTGGTAGTTGTTTGCAGTGTCAATAAAGTTGCCGCCCGCTTCGAAGAAAGCGTCCAGAAGTTTGAAGGCCTGCTCTTTATTCATGGCACCCATGGCACCAGCCCAGGCGTCTCCGATGGACATGGCACCCAGTGCAAGAGGTGACACGCGAATGCCAGCGTTAGGCGAGAGAACGCGCAGCCTTCCTAGCTCGGTTGGTGGCTCTGGGGCCGGGGCTAGGAAGTTCGACATGTTGGCGGAGTTGGGCTAAGACGCAATAGGAAGGGCTATAGTGCAACTCTCTGAAAAGTCCGGGAATCTTTGATTCAACTGTTATAGAGTGAGAGGGTTCAAGCCTTTTTATAGAAAATAAGATCGGAAATAAGTACCGGAATTTAGCCAAGCATGGCGTTTCGACATGCATACTCATTGTCAGTTTCAAATGCGGAGGCATGGTGTGCCGATGACGTGTTGGCTGCTACAGCCTATAACGTCGGTTTGTGTAACGGGTATCCGTAGAATAACCCGTTACTGCAGCAAAGTTCTTCGGTTATAACAAAGTGGACTTTCGGAGATATAGGATCATCAGTGCTGGGGGACCCTTTTAGCTCTGCTGTGGACAGACGGCATGATCGGCACCGCGTCACTGGAGTTTGCGTGGTTATCTCCGGGATAGTCCATCAGCGCTAAGCTCATATGAGTTTGAAACCTATGTGAACACAACTGAGAGCAACAGCAAGACCAAATCTGGTTTGTCGCTTAAAGTAAACCCAGTCGCCATGTGTTGAAGAAAGCTATTCTACTCTTCACATCGTCGTCGCCGTGCTGGTACAGTTGGAAAATGGCAAAGCGTTCAGCCCAGAGCGTGTGCCAGATGACAGAAATATCCACTGATACCGTGGCGGCTTCGAGCTTACCGCTTTTGCTTCAAGCGCCTTACCAGCTTGTTCGTATGTATAATTGCCTCCCTAGCACCATCCCAGGTCTTCCTCTTTCCCGTCTCAAAGTACCGGAAAGCATGCGCCGTCTCGACGCCATGGTTCATCAGGTAGCTCATGTACGGATCTTTGAACCATGTGACCCAACCGCGCCACCCCCATCCAAGATTCTCCATGCCTGTGCCAGCAGCCTTGTGCAGGAAGCCCTGGAACTCCCACTGTTTGACTGCACCTGGGTCGGATCTGTTTTCAAGGGTCCAGCGATCTGCGATCCACTGCTGATGCTGGTCAATGGCTCGCTCCATCTCTGGCCTTGATGGAATCAAATCGGCGCTGATCCCGCGCCAGATGTTACTGATAGCCATGGAAGTAACGTCGGAGAAGGAAAATCCGTTATTTTTTCCGTACGTCGAATATGCAAGAATGGCAATGCTGTCTGCGTGTGCCGGCGGGAACAGGTTCTTATATAGTCGCGCTATGGGGCGTCCTCCGTAGGGATTCCCAGAAGTGTCCGTCTTGGGCTTGCTCATCTGAATGAAGGGAGTGAGATCAAAGTCTGCTGAATAGCCTGTGCAGCAGATGACGGCGTCGACATCATCTAGAACTGTCCCATCGGTGAACTCAATGGATTTCCCTCCAAGGAATCTCTGTATGCCGTATAATGATGTGGCCTTTCCCTCCCTTAGAATTTCAACGGTAGTGTCTACAAAGCCTGCGAGGTGAACACTGAGTGGTGCCACATTCTCACTGAGACGCCAAGAAGGATCGAGCTTGCCGTGCTGCTTCATGAGAAATCCGGAAGCAAGTGTCACAAGTTTGTTAGAGAGTTTGGGGAAATGGCTTTGCAGGAAGTACGACATCTGTCTTCGGGCGCGGGTGACCAGCAGATCCGTAGGGACACCATTTCTCCAGCGGCCTACGATAAGGCCGCCGTTTCGATGAGAGATGTAAGCCCTGTCCGTTTGCTTAACAATGACAGAGAGAATGTCACTAAGAGTGGCACCCAGGCCAACAAGAACAACCTTCTTTCCCTTGAAGTCCTCTGGTCTGATGCACGGCTGATTAGCTAGTTCTGTGATGAAAGAAAGGAGCGGATCATACTTCCGGAACTGCTGCGAGTGTATGAGGAGGCCCTCATACTGCTCTTGGCTTTCATAAACTGGCATCTTTGGTTTCGTTTGATATCCGTGGCAGAAAACAACCTTATCAAACTCTTGCACCTCGGTAAGTCCTGATTTGATCATCTCGACCCGCCATTTGGACCCATCAGCATTTCGTACGACTTGCTTAACATTTGTGTTAAAAGTCATGTGCTTGTAGAGATCAAAATTCACAGCATATGATTCCATGTACTCTTCGAAATCTCGCTGCGACAGGAAGGGTCCGTATTCTGTTAGAGCGTTAGTCTTTCGTGTTCCCTCCTTCCTGCATTCACAAGGCAGGACGTTGACCTACTATCTAGCATTGGGAAATCTGTAAAACCACAAGTGTACTTCGAAATGATTGCATTTGTAGCTACATATAAAGGAGGTTAAAGATTTGCATCAAGGCCTCTTTTCGTCTGAGAATAAGACCTACATGGCAGGGCTGTGGTCATGGTTATGTCGTCAGTATACGACCAAAGACCTCCGACGCCGCCGCGTCTCTCAAACAATTTTGCATCGAAGCCATCTTCACGCAACGTCTTGAGCATAGAGATACCAGTAGAACCTATTCCCTTAGTATCATATCTGGCTTGACCGATCGCTGTCTCAGGTGGCACTCACCAGCTCCGATGACCGCCACTGACGGCGGGTTGCCTTTATCCATCAGCGCAGGCTCAGAAGGCTACGCGATTATAATAGTCGGAAGCTATTGAAAATGACACTAATAGAGCACATTTATGAAGGAGGCTGTAAGCAATGGTCTCTAGACGGGCGAAGCCTGTCATTAATAAAGGGATGAGGGGTTATCTGAGGTAAGACAAAGCAACACTATCGCCGTCAGCACTAAATCCACTATGCCCGACTAAGTAAACACTTCGGTGATAACATACCCAATAAGCATTCATTAAAGTGTGCGATCTGGCGTCATCAAGCCTAATTTTGTGCCGCTACATCTCTCGCATTCGTATGTAGCAAAGAGTAGCGCAGACACATGTTCATAGCAAAAGTGAAGGGGTTTTAGCCTAGGTAACAAACAGATACACTCATAGCACCTCATTCATGAGTTTTTATCGTATGCTACGAACACTTTATTGTTTCAGGTAATAAGATGAGAACAAAGTCTGGTGGTGTCAGATTGTGTTGCAAGGGAACGGAAATTTGGAATACATGGTTGTGTCGGATGTATAGATGTAAGTGAAGGTTGAAAGAAAGAATATATGCCCTCAAGTAAGAAGACCGTCCAACATGAGTATGCCCAAAGTATTTCTCAGTCCAGGCAATGCTTCTTAACCGAGCTTCTACATGCACTCATGTATACCACTAGACCGTGCATTGATGACAACACGAATATAAGAAGGCAATGCTGATATGTGATTTCTTGAGTACCATTTTGAAAATAATATTCTTGACTTCCTCCAAACCGCTCACGTTTCCCAAGTTCATGATCGTCCTGAATTCTCAAGTTGGCGAGTCAACATCAAGCTAAATGAGGTTGCTCTCAGTTGACGACGTAGTATTCTATCTATACCTCAGCCGTGGTGAATCCCCTGTTCCACTAGAATTGCTAAGAAAGACGCCGAATTGTATATGGAAAATGAAAGGTGCTACCAGCCCAGATGTCTCAAGTCCAGATGTCGAAAGAAGCCTAGATTCGAGAGCGCAAAGGTTTATCCGGTGGGCTTAGATCGTTGGGACTTGTCGGCATGAGGAATACCTGTAGGGCCCTAGCTACTACAAATTTTAAGATGACTGAGACAGGTTGAACTGAGTCAGGAGTTGTGATCACTAGGTTCGCCGTTCCCCTGTCAAATGCCTCTAGGTAAGTACGTATGCCCAATATAAGAATCGATTGTGGGCATTGTTCAAATCCAAGAGATAGCGGATTCAGTTGATCAATGATCTACAAGCACGCCTCTTATTATTCCCGGGACTAGAGCAGGGTTGCTTTGGATTGCATCTACGCCGCCCAGCAAGCGACCCCATCTCACTCACTGAGAGTGTTTCTTGCAAGCAGCCATCCTAAGCTGGCGTCGCTCGTATGCCTAGGCAAACAAGAGTGAGGCATGTAAGTCTAGGGGTATGAATGAGGCAAGCTGTCTGATTTCTACATTAAACCAAAATGACGCAACTCAAGACCGAGAATCCGGTGGAGGAGGTACTGTCTCCACATAGCTGCGGCGCTTAATATCACCCAAACTGGACAGGCTCAACGGTGGTGGTCCTAGTCGGATTTCTCGTGAGGGGGCGCGAGAGGCCATCTAAATAAGGAATTGTTTAACACCTTAGCCATCATGGGCACATTGTAGGTAGACCTCTACGTTAAAAGGCGCGAGCTACATCGTTACGTTGCCAGACGTCCTGCTATTTCAAGAGCGGATTTCCTGTCCTACTTCAATTGACATTATCTGCGAACCGTGACGACATTTCATAGCCTTCACAATATGGAGGATAGGACCAGATTCCAGGCATTTGCCAACAAGCCAAGGGTGTTCATTCTCACGGACATCTCGAATGAACCGGATGACGCCGAATCCCTCGTCCGTTACCTCCTCTACTCGAACCAGTTTCAAACCGAAGGCCTCGTTGCTGTCACATCTACGTGGATGAAAAATAAGGTGTGCCCGCAAGATATTTATAATATTCTCGACGCCTACGCCGGAGCCGTCGGAAACCTCAACAGACACACACATCCCGAGTCTCCATACCCATCAGCCGATAGCTTGCGAGCTCTGGTCAAATCTGGCCCACCGGTATGTCAGAACACCCTGGCAGGCTTTGAAAAAGCTGGTTGAATGAGGCATTTGATTGATCTAACGTCAATCTAAAATTAGGTGTATGGTTTCGCCGGCGTTGGCTTGGACAAGCCTTTGACCGATGGCGCGCACCTGCTCCTTGAGAGAATCGAGGCTACTGTAGAAGAGCCACTCTGGGTTCTCGTTTGGGGCGGCACAAATGTCTTAGCTCAGGTCCTATTGACTATCCGCGACCGATACTCTGCCGAAGAAGCGGCCAAGTTACGGGCGAAGCTGAGAGTATACACTATCTCCGACCAAGACGATACCTCTGCCTGGATCCGCACCCAGTTCCCTGACATCTTCTATATCTCTTCTATCCACGGCTGGAACCAGTACGGTCTTGCCGCCTGGACCTGCATTTCTGGAGACAAATACTACGGCTTCGACGAGGGTGGCCCGGGCTTTTCCAGGGTTTCGAAGCAATGTATCAAGGGAGAACATCCAGATCGGACCTTTGGGTTCTGCATATCCCGAATTCCTCTTTATACCTGAGGGCGACACCCCGACATTCCTTTATCTTGTTGAGAACGGCCTCGGCGACCGTGAGCACCCTGAGTACGGCTCATGGGGAGGTCGCTACGCTCTGACGGATGCTAGCGATGCCGGCCAGCAGGGAAACATTATAGCGATATGTCTGACTCCGTTGTTGGTTTCGACAGTAAGACATACCGCTCAAACCAGGCCACGATCTGGCGATGGCGTGACACTTTCCAGAATGATTTTGCGGCCCGCATGAAGTGGTCTCTTAACCCCGATCTAGAGTCAACCAACCACCATCCAGTTATTGTTGTCAATGGTTCTAGAAGCCTAACGCCGTTACGTTTTGAAGCAGAAGCTGGTTCGGTCATCGAGCTGAACGCTTCGGAGACATATGATCCCGATGGAGACAAGTTGACCTTCAAATGGTGGCAGTATCGTGAGCCTAGCGCTACACAATGGCTAGTGCATTACGAAGTCTCGGAGCTTGAAATCGAGAAGTTAGACCCCGAAGGAAAGAAGATCAAGGTGACGTTGCCAGGGCCGGAGAAGTCGTGTATGGATTTGATCAGCCGGCAGCCTTTATCAAAAGGTCAGTTGCTGCACCTGATATTGGAGGTGACTGATAGTGGAACGCCTGCTTTGACGAGCTACCGTCGGGTATTGATTCAAACTACGAATAAGGGTTTGAAAGGAGGTCACCCGCTTAGGAAAGGCGCAGAGCTAAATGCAATCGGCGATGCTATGAAGGATTACATTGGCTGACTCTGGTAGCGTCCAGTCAACCTTGTTGTGGGTCTAATAACATCTTGACAAGAAAAGGTTGTCTTTTAGTGATATTTTGATAATTCGGAAGGCCAGAAACCTCTCTCTACCTAGTTTTGGCTCAATCGGGCAAAGAGCTCGTGAACATACTTGCAGTACTGTCCTCAAGGCACCGCCTAGGGAGAGGTTTTCGGCAAGACCTAGCCCCTCTAATTCGAGGTCATCTGCTTGTGTCAATATATGACAGCCACTAATAAGTATCCGCCAAGGGGACGCTAGTGCAAACTGCGTTACTTGTCCACGGACGTCAAACTCCGGGGTGGGACCGAGGATTAGGTCCGACCGCTACCACCTGCCAACCCGGTAAGCGAGATCTAGAGAAGAAAGTATGCTTAAATTAAGCTACCACCCTGGGTCGGAAAAAAAGAAACAAAGTTTCCCTTTTGGAGCGGTCAACTGTGGCGATACAGAATTGACAGAAGGAGGCGCAAGGGCCTCGCTACTCGGTGTTACATGGATCGAAATTATACTACGCTAATAAGCTATCCCTGGACACAGGTGGCTTGCGTGACATTGAGTGCTCGAATAAGTAAAACCACGGATCGTGAGATACCGTCTAGCTGTGCCAGTTATTATTTCATTTGTGACTGTACTACCTTCTTCTTCTGAGGTTCCTTGCGTCTAGCAACTTTGGGGCTATATAAACCAAAAGATCTGTGGTGGAGATAAAGGCTCGCTGTCAACTCTCCTTCAAGTATTCCACAGCACTCTGCAGTCGTCAAACTCTGGCACCATGAAGATTTTTGCAGTCATTCTAGGTCTTGCGGCCAGTGTATCTGGCCACACTATCTTCCAGAAGCTCTCTGTCAACGGTGTTGACCAGGGAGCTCTGAAGGGAGTCCGCGCTCCTTCGAGCAACTACCCGATACAGAACGTCAACGATGGTGGTTTCGCGTGCAACAACAACATCCAGTACAAAGACAGCAACATCATCTCGGTCCCGGCTGGGGCCAGAGTTGGTGCTTGGTGGGGCCATGTAATTGGAGGTGCGCAAGGTGGCAACGATCCTGACCATCCCATTGCAGCAAGCCACAAAGGTAGCCAGCTTCATTCCACCTAGTGTTCATTTTGTTTGTCTCTTGCGGCAAAATGCATGACTAACTTGGTGACTGCGTCCAGGTCCTATCATCGTTTACCTTGCCAAGGTCGACAATGCCGCAAACACGGGTACCTCCGGATTGCGATGGTTTAAGGTCGCCGAAGCTGGTCTTAGCGGAAGCACGTGGGCTGTTGACACCATGATCTCTAATGGAGGCTGGCACTACTTTACCCTGCCGTCTTGTGTTGCGCCTGGCGACTACCTCTTGCGAGTAGAGATCATTGCCCTGCATGGGGCTTCAGTCCAGGGAGAGGCTCAGTTCTATATGGAATGCGCACAGTAAGTGCAGAACATTAAAAGTCACGTCTAGGTACTTCGGAAACTAATAGGCACAGGATTCGAGTGACCGGTTCTGGAACCAACGCAGGTTCCAACTTTGTCAGCTTCCCCGGCGCCTATTCTGCCTCTCATCCCGGTATCTTGGTTGGCATATACGACAGCTCCGGCAAGCCCACCAACGGCGGCAGAGCTTACTCGATCCCGGGTCCCGCTGTCATTACTTGTTCTGGTGGCGGCAGCTCTCCTCCTCCTACTTCGAACCCTCCCTCGACCCCACCATCTTCCAACGGTGGCGGTTCCACTGCGCCCTTGTACGGGCAGTGTGGTGGCCAAGGATGGACTGGCGCCACTACATGCGCATCCGGTACTTGCAAGGCCTCGAACGAGTACTACAGCCAGTGTGTCCCGTAAGGCCTTGGCCATGAACAACCTACGGATTGGTCATATGATGTTAGGCATCGACACTGATGTTGTCGTCCGTTGACACACGGGAAAGGCGAGAAAAGATATCATCAAAGAATAAACCTACTTGGTGATTACATGGACCAAAGTTCCTGTATAATTATGCCTGAGTAAGCTGGAACACATTAGTAGTCTCGAGTCATTCCAACCCGAATTAGAGATGACAGCTCTAGCTGCTGTGGAGTCAAATCAACCATAACAAATTCGTACTGTAGAGCCAGTGAAGAATCGTTGTGAGTCAACGGAACACACAGCCCGAAGGTCGGTTAGCTCAGTTGGTTAGAGCGTGGTACTAATATACGATCGGATATGTCAAGTAATGCCAAGGCCGGGAGTTAAAGCCTCCCACTGATCATTCGCTTTTGTTTCTCATGAATAGAGGATGAAAAGACTTGGTTCAAGTTCCCATCAGAGAATGGATGCGGGAACAGTAATTGGATTGGCAGTTCTACTGCCGCTGAATCCTGCCGAATCTCTTCTATTTTGCCCGCGATTCCAGTGTCAGAGATATCTACAGGGTGGTAGGGGTAAGTTTTATCGTCCTAGTGATGTAAATCCCCACAAAGTATTTGAGCATCCTACCTATCTCTATAGAAATCTATGGTGGTGGTGATAGATAATGCGTAATAGCTAGATGGCGTTGACAGCTGGCGGGCTGGAGGGGGGGTACCTGACAGGGGCGATAAAACTTCGGCCGGATATCATAGTATATATTATTTGCTTACCATTTACATTGTCTTTCACTCTTGCTTATAAGTCAAAAACCGATTAAGTCGTTTTCTAGATAACTCACGGGCTTCGGCGCCGATGGATACCAGGAATGGCTTACATGATTCGCATTCCAACTAAATCTCGGCGCCGAAGAGACCGGGTCGCCTCGGAATCTGTTGCAAAAGCCCGGTTCCTGCAATGCACGGGCCAGACGTGAGTCGACCTTGAGGGCTCATGGGGAAATGCCCGACATTCCTGAGACCATCGCAGGCAACATTCGCCACGGCGACGCATAGCTGGGAACTCGATGCTAGATTGGTAAGCCCCCCCCCCCCCCCCCCCCCTAAAAACACTAACTAATAATGGCAAACTAGACATGCACGATGCTGTCATCAGACCCTCGACCCACGGAGCAAACTTGAGGGTTACTATCTCTCCTCTTGTCCATCTAAAAGTCTGCATTATTCATAGAAGGCCGCCAGCTTATTGATGCGGCAGTTGCTGTATGATCGTCTGTGGATTCGATTGTTCGATTTGTCTTGTAGGCGGTCGTCTAAAAGTCGCACGCCATCCTCCCATCCTACTTGAGCCTTGAAGGAAATTTCCTTAAGCAACGTGCACCAAATCCATGATGGAATTCGAGATTCCCGCAATTCACAAAGCAGTCGCTGTCAAGGCTCCCAGAGAGCCTCTCATTCTTGTCGACGCCCCGACATACCCGCCCGACGTCGGCGAGGTCATTGTCAGGGTCGAATGGACTTCCTCGACACCGTACCATCTGCACCAGGCGGATGGCGGACTTCTCATCGACATGTTTCCCCGGATTCTGGGCGACACTTTTGCCGGTACCGTGCTCCTGGTCGGTCCCGGCCCGCATCACGTTGATGTCGAGATTGGGGACAAAGTATTGGGATACTCGTTCCGCAACGACAAGGACGGCAAAGAAAAGGCCGCGCAAACCCTCATCACTGTTCCAACATTTTTGCTCGGAAGGCTACCCAAGGGCTTGACGATGGAGGAGGCAGTGACGGTTCCTGACAATCTCATCACAGTCTTCCAGGCCGCGGCCGTTGATCTCGGCCTCCCATTGCCCTGGCCAATCCCGGATGGATGGACGCCTCCGGAGGCCGATGCGCCGATTTTGCTGTGGGGCGGGGCCGGGAGTGTCGGAATGTACTCAATCGAAGTCTTGAAGCACTGGGGCTACAAGAACTTGATAGTCATCGCAAGCGGGAAACACCACGGGTACCTTCAATCACTTGGCGCCACTGTTTGTTTTGACTACCGCAATGAGGACGTAGTGGAAAGGATCCAGAAGTATCTTGGTCCGAAGGGCGTGCCATACATAGTCGACTGCATAGGCCACTTATCGGGGTCACTCAAACCCATCACTCAACTCGCTGAGCGAGGCACCAAGGTCGCCGTAATGCTACCCGTGATTATCAAGGACCCAACTGATATCGAAGCTCCAATTTATCAGATGACGGAGCCGGCTGAGGGACAGTGGAAAGATGGTGTCATCGTCAAGGGTGTGAGGACACATTTCTATCTCAAGGTACGTCGTATATCTGGGTCACCAGAAGTAAAGCCCCTCTCTGACAACGCGTATATCATGACAGAACAAACTATTCAAAGACAAAATGCAAAGCGAAATTATTCCGGCATTGCTGGAACAGAAAGCGGTGCGACCAAACCCCCATAGAATAGTGGAGGGTGGATCATTGTTGGATCGAGCGCAAGATGCTATTGTACTATTGAGAAATAAGGCCGTGAGTGGTCAAAGGCTTGTATGGAGGGTGGCGGAGGGCGATTCTCTCTAGAGTTCTAGTCTTGGACGCAATAGCTTCTTCCAGACCGGCCTTGCACCGGCCAGTCAAGGCATCAGTTTCGGCTATGGTAGTGTGGCAGCAATGTCTGTTTGTGAAACGTTGGTTGTTATTGTCACCTATGAATTTACCTATACTGTCCAGGGAGCGGACAAATTCGTCACGGGTTCAGTTTCAAATACCGTGATCAAGAAAGATAGTTAGACGTTGAATTACAGAAGTGACTGTAAGTTGGAAACTACTTGTGATAACTGATATTATTCTAGTGTAGTCATTGATATTCTATCTCAGCCGGCTCAAACGCGGCACATCCTTCCGTCGTTAGCGACACTCCACGACTCACTGCCAACGGCGTTGCGAACGTAGAAGAAACCCTTAGGGTCCCACTTCTTCTTAATGCACTTCAAGGCCTTGTAATTCTTGCCGAAGAAGGCCTGCTGGAAGTTGGGCTGCTGGAAGTCGGCCTCGTTCATGTAAGCGCCACTGGTGGGGGTGAGCGCCTCGATCTCCTTCATGACCACGTTCGTCATGAGATCCTGTTTGGCGAGCATCTCATCCCACGGAGCGGTGAAGTTCCAGACGGTAGTCAGGGTGGCATGAACGATGGTGTCGCGCCAGGCAGGAAGGACAGAGTTGGTCTCCTTGTTGCCGAACTTGCTGACGTCGGTTCCGACACCGATAAAGGTGACTCCCTTCTCGGCGGCGCTGCGGGAGAAAGATCCGATGTTGGTGATGTTGGCGCGGGGGATAAGACGGCCACCGTATTGGGCAATGCCGACTTGGATGTTGCCGATGGGCAGCGGGCCAAAGTACTTGTCGTAGTGGTTGTAGTAGCTCTCAAACTCAGTGTAACTAGCGGTGTAGTTCATGCCGAGACCATCCAAACGGGCGATGAAGGGGGCAAGAATGGTCTTGACCTCCTCGGCAGTCTTGTTGTAGGCGTTTATAGGAGCGATCTGGAAGAAGCTGGAACCGAAGTAGTAGACGACCATGGTACCAGCGTCAACCATACCGGCAATCTCCTCATGGAAGGCATCAATGGCATTGAAGAAGGCATCCTTATCGTTGTCAGCGGCCATCATGACAAGAGTGGCACCACCGAACTTGGCATCAGGGTGAGCCTTGACGGTCAGGGAGGTGACGACACCCCAGTTACCCGGGCCACCACCGGACAGTGCCCAGAACAGATCAGAGTTCTTGGTCTTGGAAGCGGTGACGAGGGTGCCATTAGCAGTGACGACCTCCCACTCCAGAACGTTGTCAGCACTAAGACCGAAGTTGGTCGAGAGGGCACTGTGACCACCACCCTGGGTATAGCCTCCAGCGAGTCCGACGGTCGGGCACTCGCCGCCGACAACGGCGAGACCGGCATTGTGCGCGACCTCCATGACCTGGAAGCCCTGGACACCGGCGCCAACCTTCATGGCCTTGCCCTGGTACGCGGTGGTGTTCCAGTTGATGACGTCGGCGCTGTCCATGTGGTGCGTCCAGACGGCGAGAGCGCCGGCACCGGTAGAACGACCAAGGTAGTCGTGGCCGGTGTTGCGGACGATGAAGCGGATGTTGTGTTCCTGAGCGAATGCGATGGTGGCCTGGACATGCTGGGGAGTCTTGGCGTCCACGGCGTAGACGACGTAGTTGCCCAACAGACAAGGACGGGACTCCGGCTGGAACGGATCACAGCTCTGGTTTGCAAAGAAGGGGGCCATGACGGAGCTGGAGGAGTTCATGCTACATAGAAGTCAGCGGTCTGCCCAGGAACCCCGAGCGAATCAACGTACTGAATCTCCGAATCCTGCCATGCGCTCTGCAGCGAAGCGCAAGTAGCCGCATCGTAGGTCGGGTCGTGACAGGGTGAGCCCAAAGGAATGGTAGCAATCAAGTTACCGCCAACGGTGGTGTTGAGGGCATCCCACTGCGCCGTGACAGGCCAGCAGCTGTCACCCGGGAAGCATTTGCAATCGGCGACGTCACGCCCGACCACAGTAGCGCCTCGGACCGAGTGACGGCCCCGAGCAGCGAGCGCGGCGCCGGCGAAAACCGCTTGAAGAACAAAGCTCTTCATTTTTAACGACTTGACGCGGGCAGAGAAGAGGTATAGATGGGAATGAAAGATGGCGTGCGGTGGAACAACGATCGACACTCGGCTGATAACTCAGCTCGCGGGGAAGATGAAGGGGGAAAGAGAAAAGAGCGAAATCCTTCTGGCGTGTTCTAGTGGACGGAGAATCTCAGCTGAGCAGCCATGAGCAGGACTTTTAGTATCCTGCATAACTGGGGAACCACACAGACGGGACCGCTGCATGAAGGCCCATCTTGTGGGATGAGGTCTTCCAACTTGGGTTTGGCGCCATGATTTGGGCACTATTAAAGGTGGCTTCGCATTTCCCCCGTCCTAGCCGTGGAAGTCTACGGAGTATCGTGTTCAGAATTACGACCAAGCAAGCACGCATCGAAACCGCTCAGAGGTGGCCGTCCTTAATGAACCTCCTAATGAGCGACCCGATTCTCGTTCAATTCTGGTGCTAAGCGGATAGTTGGTGAATTCTTCAGCAATCCCCTGCCAAGCGCGGCTATGGTTGTCGAGACCTGTGGGGTGGGGAGAAAAGAACAAGATTATATCAAGCGAAGACCAGGGACTTACGGCTGCCCTGGTCGACCACCTGGTAGTGGTCACTGGTCAGCACCATATCCATACTCCACAAAGTCACGATGTCTCCGCCCACACCTCTCTTTTACTCTGTCGCATCCGGCTGGCGGACCTATCGTCTCCGTGGTCCTCCCACAAGGCAACGAGGATACGGATCGTAATGAGCCCCTCCTTGTTTGTCTCGCCATACCTAGCCAAGTCTGGGTGGGCATGCCTCACGCGCGCGCGCATCCTTCCACAGTCTTGTTTAGCGGGACTTCGAGTGCGGTGCAGATCAAGTGATCATCCCCAGCAGTATCCCTGACGGCCTCGCTTGTGCTCACAAAGGTTTGAAGGCCTTCAAAAACTGCTACGTTCGTCGTTGCAGAGCACATGTGTATTTAGAGAGACTGAACGACAGGCTTTTGAGAGACTCGTATCTTATCTCGTTGGAACTCTAAAGAAAAATCAATGTATCCCCGAGCCGTTGGTCGCATAGACCGCACTTGACAGAAAGGCGCATAGGGATACGGATAGACAGCGGAGTTCTCCTCGGTGTTTTTCTTGTTTTTCTCAGAGAGTCAGTCGACAGTCAACTGGCGCTATGCCTTTCGGAGATGAACATGCATGGATCTTCAGCAAAACTTTATTCATGCCATCGCTGTTGAGAATGAAGCCCCACTGCCTGATCCATGTTTCTATAAGATAAGTGGTGAAATGATGCCCCTCACCACCTCCATATTTAAAAGTAGGTAAGTGAGGAGCGGACACTAATGCACTAGCGGTGGTCTAACCCAAATCTTGCTGTCTACCGATAGAATGCAACACACCCGAGGTTTCCTAAATCCAGTGTCGTACGAGGCAATGCGTCGACGGCAAGGGGCAGGTTTAGAGCATCTGGTTGAAAACCCGTGGTTTGGCAAAACGTTGATCTGACCAGGGCGTAAAGCAAATAAAGAATTAGTTACCGCATCCTTAGGCCGACCCCACGGGAAATTGGAAGAACCATTGTCTCTTCGTACCAATGGATAAGGCGACGACAAAGCAGGATCGAAACGTTCATCCAAACCCGATCCGTACGAGATCATGTGTCCCTCTACGATCAACTGTAAAGGCAGTCCAGATATACTTTACTCTCAGAGTAGCTGGGATCATCAGAGCTAATCGGCACTACTGGGAAGCGTTAGTGGGACTTGTGCAAATCTGCGTCTCTCAATTGTGCAGGATGTGCATCAGTCTACTCCGTACGGCATATCCGCAGGACCGGTCAGCCATTGCAACCTTGGAAGAGTGTTCTCGCCATCCCAGTCAACAGTCTCTATCCGTACACTACGGAGCTGACAGACACTTTGTTTTCTCATTCGGAACCGGAAGGACTTTCGCGAAACTCCTCCACGTCAGGGTGTTTGAGTCACACAACACTGAAGGCCTTTCATTTTAATTCATTCCTTTAGGTTAACGAGCCTTGTTTCTCTTTCTTTTCTCCTCCTTTTTTCCCCTACGATACCCCTAATTCTGTGGATCTCCCAGTCCTGGTGTCCTCCAAAGCGGGGTGTCGCTCCACGCGGATCCCTCCGACCCGTAACGGCCCGGGAGAAGCATTCTAAACAACGCCACCCGCGCCCAAGCAAGATACGGCCTCACCTGAAAAAGCGGCCATGGCCTTTCTGGAAGACTTTCAATTTGGGCAAGAAGAGACAGGGTTATATACGAACGCTACGGTAGCCCATCTCATATGACCTCGTCGACGTGACAGAGCCTCCAAATGCCATTTTCTGGTCCGCAGTCCCGACCAACGCCGGCGTTCTTTTGGGTCGATGGAACATATCAGGGCCGCATAATGCACAACGTTGGAGCCGGTAAACCCGGATATACATCCGCTGTCAGGGAAAGCCTCTCCTCGTCGAGACGTCCACCTTGCGCCGGTATTGTGGGTTATTAAGCCTTTGCCGCATGCGGTGCATTTCCCGAAACGGTGCCTTGGCCAAAGCTCTGCTCGTCTCATCTATCACGTCAACTGTAATTGTTTCACGGACCAACCCTTCTCTGCTTGACGTTCCACTGCCATATCTACTCCGATATGTTGACGCATCTCGCAGTCGTTTGACCCGCCGTTGATAGCACATTTCTCGGCGTTGCGCGTACTGATGGATCACGTCAGTGATACTATGACATAAGGGATTCATTGACTCAGGATGGTGTTGGACGGCGGCTCGTCTTTCCTCGCTAAACGCGTATTGTTCTGGTCCTAAGGTTCCCTGAACAATTATCAAAAATCGCAATCCTACTTTACCGACCCATGCTTGCGATTTTAGGTCGACAACCAGGGGGGACTGTCGCCAGCAGCTGAATAACAAAAATCATCCCTGGTAGCGCGCTGATTAGTGCGCCGCACAATTATGGTACGGCAGCGCGCGTAGTAAGGACGTAGTTTACACGACATACTACGCGCAATAGGAGTCGACAGCGGTCATGGCTTCTAGAATCTTGGGCGCATTCCGAACTCGGGGGTGGTGGCCTTCAAATTGACAGGTCGTAACTGTTTGCGTTTGGCAAGATGCGGACCAGGATCTGCTTGTATCAAGAGCCTCCTGGATTGCGACGCCGGTAAGCTTTCCGGTGGGGGCCAACCACGAAGTCTCAACAACCCCCCTGAGCGTCCTCGTGGCTTTCGCCATCATAGCTTTTGCGAAGGCGTGGTTCTCAAGCGAAGATAAGAACTTGGCCATTGAGAGAGATCTAAGGGACAAGGGCGTGTCTTAGCCAGACCCAAATAGAGTTCTCACCTGCAGACGGGCTTGGCCGTTACTGTAAGTGTAATATCTTTGCATACGCCGACAGGGAACAGCCTTTTGGCCCAAATTCTCGGATTTGCCCTGTTCACAGGTTCGGGTTGGGGTCCATGTCGAAAGATTATGAAAAAAACCCGGAGAAGGCGGGCATATATTTGTACACTAGGCCTCCCTCCACTCCGCTCCTCTCACTGCCATTGTAAGATCACTTCCGTGTTGGTCGGACGATGATGTTGACGAACTGATTGCCACATATACCGGTCAAATACCAGCCGGCTCTGGAGCCCCATCTCCCTGTGCTACTCCTCCTTCCTCCCGCCCGGATCTTCGGTAACACCCTTCGCACCTCACCGCGTCCCGACGACGGGTCAGTCCGCTGGCCTTCGGCCCCGCCGGTTAGCATCAAGTCGACCCAACGCAGAGCTGGTACAGGGAAGGCTTTTCGAATCCCCAGTCACAATGGATACGCCGTGGACGTACAACACCCCTCCGGGAACGGAGACCTCGGGCGTACAGATCACGACTGTCGCTTTGGCTTTTACGGCAATGTCGCTGGTAGTCATGAGTCTGCGACTGTATGTGCGTGTCATTATGTTGCACGCAGCCGGTTTAGGTACGTCGAGAATATCGAGATATCATGGAGCAAAGTAGGAGGACTAATATACGCACGCAGATGACTGGGTTATCGTCGTAACGTGGGTTGCATCTTGCGGTTTTGCAGTAGTCAGCACGATTCGTAAGCTATTCCTTCACCAGAAGTCTTTTCTAGATGCGAACCAATACGACAAGAAACTAAATGGGGGCTTGGACTCCAGAACATCGAGGATATGCCCAATGAAAACCTCTACAACTTTGGTTTGCTACAGTATGCCGGCGCACCCTTGTAAGTGCACAGCTGTATCTCCAGAACAGAGCTATCGCCTTGCTGACCCCCATCAAAGCTACATCACCAGCATCCTCGGCTTCAAGATGAGCTTGCTACTCTCTTACCTTCGCTTCATTCCTCAAGGTCCCTATAAAATAGGAACATTCATCACCATGGGTATGTGTGTTGCGTATCACTTCACGTTTCTCGTGGTTCAGATAAACCTCTGCACACCGGTAGGTCTCGCCTTTGTCAGAAGAATTGCGTCCAGCCACTGATAGCCTCAAGATTGCCAAGCAGTGGGACCCGACAATCACGAATGGCTCCTGCCTTAAAGGAGTCCCCTTCTACACCGCCATGGCCTCGTTGACAATCCTTTTTGACCTTGTAGTGTGAGTCGGACTGACTGCCAATGCTCTGTTTCTTCAGACCTGTTCGACTGACTGTGTGACTACCAGCATGTTCCTCCCCTTTCCAGTACTCGCGAACTCGAAGATCCAGAAGCGCAAGAAATTTGTGCTCCTCGGCCTTTTCGGCCTCGGCGCCTTCATCACCATCATCCAAATCATCCGTATCCAGACCGTTCACGCGCTCGCAAACTACCTCGACTCGGCGCCCCTCATCATGTGGTCCGCGGTGGAGAACAACCTCGGCATCATTGTCTGCTGCGTGCCGACACTCGCACCCCTCGTCAAGTACTTCAACGAGAAGAGCAGGTCGGGAAGCCGAAGCAACCAGAAGTACGGCGATCCCAGCGGCTACGGCAGGTCTGCAAAGGGCGGCAACGTGGGAAGCAGGTACGCGCTGCAGAGCTGGCGGCCAGGAATGAACGGAATGCAACCCCTGGGCAGTGGCACCGACCGCACTGAAAGCGGCGTGCATCACTCAAGCGCAAGCAAGGGGTATGATGAGGAAAACGCGGACTACCATGGCTCGCCGGTTATCATGAAGAAGACGGAGTTCGTGGTCACAAGCGATGCAATGGTACCAGGGCATGCTTTGTAAGGGGTAGTAGATGGGGAGGGGGAGGGGCAGATGGGTCATGATGACTTGGTATGTTGAAGGCCAAGTATATGAACGGCACTGCTGCTTATGGCACTTGGGATGTGCGTGCCATACGCAAATCTGGATGGTAAAACTTTTATGCAACGCATCGATGTGGCGCCAATTGGAAACCCCGGACTTGACTTCAATGCTTATCGTCTTTTGTAATTGCCCAATCATTGAATTCAATTGGGCCACCCATCAAAGCAAAACTCGCGGCTGTGCCCGGTATACCTGACTCGTCGTCCGCTCAAAGGCCTTCCTTCAACTTGTTCGAGATGCTCCACCCATTTCAAAAGATTATTGCTAGTAGCCACCGAAGTCATTGAAGTAGGGGTACTGTCTTGACCAAGGTTTTGAAAAAAGGCGTTCCGGACTGTGGAAAACTGAAAATTGTTCTGAGAACAAAGACAACATGACAATATAAGAATGAGCACAGCTGAGTTGACAATATCATTGCCTGCAGCAGCAGTCAGTTGGGAAGCCATCTGGCCATGTCCCATTCCACAAGGCTGTACCTTGCGCTGTGTTGCCCAATAATACAATGTCAGTTCAAAGAAAGAAAATCTGACCCAATGAATCGAAAGCCACTTGCCCCGGCGTCGCCATCTCCGTCGTCTTTCGTTACGCCTTGACGTCCAGGTTTCAACGGCACTGATATGTAACTGGGAAAACTAAGAGGATTGGGTGAAGAATCCATCGGCACCGAACTCTTCTCTCTTAATCGAAGCACCACCATGGTTCCCCTCGCCGCCCATGTCTCCCTGCATCCCGTCAAAGTATTGTCCGCAGTCTCCAGGTTCCTGATTCACACACAGACCGGGGCTGTTGGACGCCTCAGAGTTGCAGCGAGGGTGGATGTCACCGTTCCCATTACTGCCGCCGGCAACTTTCTGGACGCGTCCACCCTGGGTGTGGCGGAGAACACCGACGTCGTCCTTCATGAGTTCCTTCATCTCGCGGATCTTCTTGCGGACCTCGTGGCTATTTTTCTTGTTCTGCATGGCGTTCGCAAAAGACTCGAGATTGACCATGGTCTCGCTGTAAATGGTGGTGTCAGCGCGTACGCCTTGGAAGTCTTCGTCATCATAGAGGGCATTCTGTGCACTGATGTTGCTTCCCCAGTTGAGCATGTTGGAGTTCTGTTTGATGACTAGGTGACGGAAGATCTCGGTGGGGTACTTTCCACCGTTGATGGCGACGGCTGTGATAACGTCGCGCTGGGTCAGAGTCTGGCCCTTGGCGACCTTGTCTATGACGCGATGGTAAAGGGGATGTTCCCTCGTCTCCTCACGCCAAAAGCTGGTTTCAATGTCCTCGAGGATGATCTCAAGGAGCTGTGAGTCGATCCTGGTGACGAGGGTCTTGATGTATCTGCGGGCCTCGCCGATGGCATCCTGGAACCATTCATGATTGGCCTGCAGAACAGCCTCGACGACCCAAGCCTCAGTATGGCATCGGACGAAGAGGTCTTTTAGAACGCGATTGTATTCGCCGTCGTAGTTAACGGGAACAATGGCCTCGAGGGCGAGGAAGTCGACTAGGTCCGGACGTCGCTCTCGCTCGGGGATATTCTTGTCCTTGAGAGAGTTACAGAGCGACTGGTATATGGTATTGTCCGAGATACAGCGGCGGAAGGCATTGGCGTCAATGCGAGACTGAATTCGGCCCAAGAGTGCAGGAGTGTAGGTGGCCGTCTTGCGTATGTTGTTCTTGGCCTCCTGAACGCGTCGAACGCGCTCTTCGGGGGTAATGAGGGCTGTGCCGCGGTCACGACGGTTCGCCATGTTGAAAGAGTTGGTGTGGGTGTTGTTGGACGCGACAATGAAGTTGCTGAATATTCTTTCCTTCTCTGACTTGGATGGCCTTTCTGTGGCTGTGTAGGAAAAGACTGGAGGGCAGCACAGATTAGTTTCCATTCCTGTATACTGAACAGAAAGTTGAAGACAGTTTGAAGGTTTATGAAGTCACTGACCTTTAGTAACCTTGGCTCTGGTGGCTTTCTGCACCTGTTGGTGTCCAAGTTATGTATTGTGTCAAGGATCATCCAAGAACACGCGCCAAAGAACACACAGAAACAAAAGAGAAAGGCCAAGGAAAGTGAATGTCAAAGAGAAGAAAGTGAAGTTGAAGGGTTGAGTGAGTAAGCAAGTGAGAAAAAGTGAAAATGAGAGAGATTGTGGAGGGGTGGAAGGATGGCGGTGAATGTAAGGCAAGGTGTGGTTGGGCTTTGCGGAGGGAAGGAGCAACTGTCCCGGGTCTGAAGGCGAGTCAGAGGCTACTGGGAAAGAAACCTCGGATAATTAGATTTCTGTTCGATTGTTTGTACTCACAGTGAATATATGAAAATATTTCCGGTAATTTGCTCTCGATAGTTGCGATTAGTTGCTGTAAAGACGGCCTAAGATGAGGGCTTTGGGGTGTGACATATGTTATGTCTTCTAGTACCTTTTCTGACCGTCCTCTCTTACCTAACTAAAAGGAAAGAAGTGCTCTCTCGTTATTTCTTCGTCGTCCTTCTTTCTCTCGTCTGTCTCGCCGTCCTTCAACGTTCTCGTCGGGACGGCAGGGGACGATGACGGAGGACGAACTCAACCCAAAGTTACCGAAGAGAATATGTTAGCTTTTGGAAAGAATAACCAGTTGTAGCGGGGCTGTGACTTGACGATGTTACTTGATTTATGACGACCCTAAACCACAAACTTAGATATAAAAGAGAATGACTAGCCTAATTGTACTTTCGGATGAAGTGTTATGACTAAATTTCGTTGCATAGTATTGTTTACTTACATTATGGAACTTTGCTAATTTTGGTATCTTTCAATTTACTCTGCAGCGAGGCAAACGGTTGTTAGCCGCGTTCTCATGTCTGTCATCAAGTCATCATCTCATGAGCCGGGAAAAACCAGCTCCTTCCACAAATCAAAACAACCTTTGCCAAAAGAAAAACAACAATAATCTGAGGACCATGATTCGCAAAAAGATGAACCCGGGATGAGAGTCAGTCACACAAGCTCAAGTCGCCAACGGGTTGATACCGAGGACTCTCATGCCATTTTCGAACACTTGTCTCGCATTCTCATACAGCACAGCTCGCGCAAGGTCAGCCTTCGGGTTCTCGGCCGTTTCTTCCTCCTCCCCCTCGCCCTCCTCATCTCCTCCTTCGTCGTCATCAAGACACACAACAATCTGCTCGGCCAGCCGATACAGATAGGTCAGGACAGCAGACGGCTCGAGTGTCTTGTACGCTGCATTAACAACATCGGGATATTGGGCCATGAGCCTAAGGAGGTTTGTGTACTCTTCTTCCTCCAAGTGGGAATAGTCGACCTCTTCGAGTGCAGTAGGATCGACACCAAGCTCTTTGATAGTTAGACAAAGACGGGTGTAATGTAACTGCAGAGCAGCCCCCGTTTCGCCTTCGAACTCTGTCATTTTCTTGCTGTCGAACGCGTAGCCGTTGGCGCGCTTCGTATGCATATCCTGCGCAATAAGCGAAGTGATGCCGAAAGGCTCGGCGGCGGCAAGCGGAGCCCCGGAGTTCTGTTCTGTGGACATGGCATCTTTGACGGCGTTGGCACACTGGTTGAGCATATCTCCCAGAAGATTAGCGTTGCCAAGCTGAGAAGATAAGCCTTGGACTTTGCCAAAGTTGACATGCTGGATCTTCTTGGACAGGTCGTCGCGTCCCATTAGCTCGAGTGCCTTGATCACACCGCGGAAGTGGGAATCTTGCTCGGCGTTGACGACATAGATCATCTTGTCGAAAGCGTACTGCTTCTCTCGATCCAGGATCGCAGCGAGATCCCGGGAGAAGTACATGGTAGTTCCGGTGCGGTTCCGAATCATCCCAGTTCCGAGGCCCTTAGCGCCATGCTTCTTGAAGTCTATAAGCCATGATCCGTCACTTTCTTCAGAGATGCCCTTGTCTTTCAGTAGAGACTCGACCTCTGCGATGGACTCTGACGTCACTTGTGACTCGCCGGCATACTCATCAAACTTGATGCCGAGACGGGCATACGCCTTCGTGTAGTCTTCGACATACACATCGCGGAACCTCGTGGTAAGGGCTACCGCATCGGCGTCGCCCTCCTCCATGCGCTTAAAGAAAGCGTCACGCTCGGCATAGATACCCTGAGACTCAATCTCGGCCGTATTCTTTCCCTCGTCTTTGGCCTTGAGACTTGCCTCTTGCTCGGGCTTGAATAATTCGTTAATCTGGTTGTGTATGTCCAGAAGATGCCGGATGGGGTCCTTGCTGAACTCTTCCTCCGACCCGAACTTGTTCCATCCAACGGCAAGAAGGGCAATATTCTTGCCCCAGTCTCCTAGAAAGTTCAGTCTGACGACGTCCCACCCCATGCGCTCGTGAAGGTTGGCGATCGAGGCGCCGTTGATAGTGCTACGAAGGTGTCTGCCTTCGAACTCAGCTGCAATGTTGGGAGACGAAAACTCGACCACGACCTTTTTCCGTCCACTTTCTGGGGATGAAGCGTCTCGCAGGCCATATGAATCGTCTGCACCGTATAGCTCCTTCCGATCGACGATGAAAGGTACTACGAGTCTTGGGAGGAAGAACGGGTGAGAGAAGATGCGGATATGAACCCCATCGATGAAAGGGAACGTGTAAAGAGGCGACTTGGGGAACTAAGTGTTATTCCATGAGTTTGGTCACCTTGTCCCTGGAGAATGGATTTCTTACTTTTTCAAGCAGCTCAGCTGCAGCATCGCCTTTCGCCTTGATTTTGAGACGAGGAAGGATAACAGCAAGGTCGCCCATGGAGATGGCAGCCGTTGACTGGATGGCATCATATGCAACCGCAGGGTCGCATCCTGAAATCTCAGCCACGATTTGGGCGATGTAGGATCGGAAAACGTCAAGCGGGCGTACCAACACCTCGGCATCGGGAAATGAAGGAAGAGGAGAATCGAGGCTGAGCTTCTCTAGCGAAGACTGGAGACCACTGATTGAAAGAGTCGCCATGATGGTTGATTCAAGCTGACATGCTTTTTGCACTGCCTATCTTGCAGTATAAAGAGAGAGTGGAGGAAGAACTTATCACAAACGATGGGATTTCAGTTTGGTTCTTCGGCAACTAGGCTGAATTGATATTGATATGGATATGGGTGGTGTGGTTGGGCATCGAGGTAGCCCGACGCGGCGTGTCGTAATTGGCTCAGGTTCGTGTAAGTGCAGATGCAGGCTTACCAGTCAGAAAATGAGGCAACCTTCTACATCAGTGATCGGTGAAAACAGGCTGCATTTGCTTTCTCCCAACCAGCCTCGGGGTAGATCAATCTGGTTTTCCTGGAAACAAGGCGACGAAAGTCGCCGTAACTTCACTTCTCCTCTTTTTCATCGTAGATCGGGTTCTGTTTGTGTAATCTGAAGCCTCTCTTTTCATACCTTCGCTGTATCTATATGCACCAAAGTTAACGTAGGGAATTCAATAGTAATAATTCCCCAAGCCCGAGTTTCCTGTCACTACGCACAGCGGCTTTATGTTTCCCGCCTCTCCGTGCCTTGTTCCTCCATTGGGTAGTGTAAGTAGCGCTCGATACATCATACAGCCAACGGAGATCGCGATGCTTACCATCCTATCACTCTATATTTTCTCAAAGATTACCTTCACCATTCCGACACAAATCTTGGCCAAACCCCCCCAGAGTGTCCCGATCACGTGTCGGAATCCAGCTAGCTGCAGTGCGCTGGCCAGATGGGTCCCTCTGTCGGCCAATCGCGCTACATCGCTGATGCCGGTCGAGCATGCGGAAAAGTAGGCAAAGAACGGAGGGTTTTCCTGCAGTCTGCTATAGTGGACCGTCTCCACTTAGGGGGTTGATTTCGAGTCGTCGAGAAGTAGCTGGCTTTGTGAAGGCTCCATCGGATTCGAATCACCGTGTCCCGTGACTCATCTCGTGGGTTGACTTTTGCCCATGTATCAGCAGACACTTCTTCCAACGCTAGGCCGGCCCAAAAGCCCCATGACCCTCCGCCAATTGTGCTGATGAATCCTCTACAGGGTCCGTTCTCGCCTTCTCTAGCCCCCCACGCGGCTTGGCCATGCTCTCCGGGTCTAAGCCGTCTTATCCTAGCTGAAGGCGCCATTATGTCTCCGTTTCAAGTAATGCATATTCTTGTTTGCCAAGATCTATAATGTTTTTCTGTCGTATTTTCTGACTGAATGAAAGGTTTCCTACTTGGGTGAATAGTAATTATAACAGAGACGACGAAGACATTATTGACTAAGACAACAAACACTATGAATATAGTGATGATGATCAAAATAACAGAGAAGATAACAAAGAGAAATTGTTGGTAAAGTATCTTGCAGGAAGTAGTTCTCCTGGTCAGCTAGAAGCATCCGCCGAAACGATAAAAAACGCGTCAATTAAGTCTCCTTTACATATCTGACATTAAAACAGTGAGGATGGCGCTATAAGCAGTTGTCACCATCATCATCTCCACGCTTCTGACTTTGAGAAAAGCGGAAACTAGACATGAGAATGCTACAACACATGCTGAGACGACTCCTAACTGCATCTTTGCTCTGGGCTGGTATGAAAGCGTCGTCAAAGGGATCACCACGAAGATTCCTATCAATCCTGTCATGATGAATCGAGAAATCATCTCGCCGATCAGTACAGTATTTTGATAGTCCCGCTTCCTGTGCATACAAGCATCCTCAACACTCTCCGCGTCCTTAGCCTACCACTTAGAAAGTTAACGGTAGTGAATGTAGTATTAACAACGCCGCACGAAATGTTCCATTGGGTCCTTTTGCAGGTGTTGCCTTAGGCCTACTCTGAGGAGGCGGATGTGGTACATCTGACGAGCCGTCCGGTCTTTTCTTGAACTTGTGTGCAGCTCATCAGAGACGATGTTTCCATACCCATGATGTTGTGAAATACAACAAGTGCCTCGTCTGTATTTTTATGATATTCTGGGAATAAGCCAGTACCACGTAGAACGACTGCAGAGCCGCACTTACCGTATCATCTCAGCAAGTTGCAAAGCTTTATGTCCAGTTCTTGGTTTATGATCTTGCTTGGTTCTAGCAACACGCCGTCCCCTCTGGAATCTATATTAATTCGGTTACGTGAAGGTGGTACTTCAGACAAAATCAGTCCTGCTCCCTAAACGAGATGGTTAAACTTGGATATTTCGCCCTCGAGAAATCGAAAGTACAGCAAGTGGATTGTTCTGAAGCGGCCCGAACTCATACTTTGTGACATCTTCATCTACTCTGCTGCTTTGCCAATGAGCGCGAAACTGCTTCGTACCATAGACGTGCCGCTATTCATCCCCAAGACTTTCATGTCCAGCGGCTGGCCCTTTGAGGTGTCATTCGCGATCTCGTTTTCGGTTGACATATCAAACTGTCAAAGTTATTTTCACACTGCTTGTAGAGATGGTCAGCAACTCAGCTTGGCTAGACCAGACAACGAATATTCGCTCGAGACCTTAATTTCGAGAGCATAGGCTTGGTTCTTTTGTATTACTTCACGATGGCCGTCGGTGCCTAACATCCGATCGATGCGGGGTCAGCTGGCACACATCATTGCGACGTAAAGGTCTGGCAACACCGCAGCTGTACATCATGGTTTGGTGGAGAAACGGAAAGCGGCTGCACGACTAAGCGGCCAAGCATTCAACGGGGTCCATCGGTTACACATGGTCAAGCGGAAATCCAACAGTGATCACTTGACAATGCACGCCTTATAAAAGTTACAACCTACTATGAATGAACGATAAAGGACCTGTAGCTGTAAAATCAGGAGGCTAACTGCATATTTAACTGTAAATGCAGAAACGTCGGCACTTGAGCAAGCGTAAGACTTGGTTTTGCTCATCTGGTTGTTGATTTCCGTCATTGCGAAGCGTCACCACTATGGCAGACACAATGATTGTGCGCCAGTTAGTTGTGATAACGATGCCCAGGGTTAATCTATTGAAAGATTATGTCTTCCCAGCTTGAATAGTCTTAGCGACATATTAAAGAACTCAAAAGAACTGTATCAAATATGGGATCAACACGCATTGCCTGAATGAACCTCATACACTACTTCCGAGGCTAATATAAAGAGCTTGTATCTGTGGTGTTAACACTGTAGGATGCAAGCCAGCCCAAACCTCACCTGGAACCACAGGTTTCAAGAGCTATTATCTGGTCTCGAATCCGGGGGTTCTCGGCTACAGCTTTTCCAACGCCTCGTTTCTGGAAGACACCGATAACGCCTGTGAAAAGCGTTGCGCATCGCGGCACCTCTTGGGTGATTTGATCCGCAGCAGTTTTTTCTTGGGAGTCCAAAGCATTCAAGGGATTGCAGCTCCCTTCGATTTCATTATCCGGGGTCTTTTGGGACTGGAACAGCCATACACGAATCGCCGCTATGGCAAGGACAATGACCGTGATGACAAGCCATACAAGCAGAAAGCTTTTCCAGCTACGTTTGAATATAAAAATATCGTCGCAGCTGAACAAAGCAGCAGTGATTATCAGCGGAAACGTCAACTGATAGTGTGGTTAGTATGATTGTCGAAGCAGCTTTTGCTGAGAATGACCTACGATGGTAATCCAAGCCAAGACTGTAGGAGAATAGTGGACCGGCGTCAGAATATTCAATTGCTGGCGGTGCTTTGCAATGTGTGAGTGAGCTGCCATGTACGTGGGGAGCTGGGTGGCCTGAGATGGTGAAAAGATAAATCAGGCCATCAGCCTTGTGGGTTCTTACCATCTTACGTACGGAAGCCACTTCTTCTACCATTTCTTTGCATTTCTGCTGCATATCTCCCAATCTTTGCCGTAGTTGCTCCAGGTTTGTGAAGGTTTTTCGAATCTGCGCGAGATATGGGAAACAGATCGACGCATCGTCAGATGGCTCATCATAGTTGCGAAAATAGAGCACGTCGGTCTTCATGAATAATTCTCCACTTCTGACGTTTTCCTGCAGAACTTGTGCAAGCTCGTCCAAAACTTCTTTGAAGTATCTGAGACCGTTTTCGAGTTCATCAAATTCCTCAAGGATCTTTCTCTGCTTCGGTATAGGTGGCACCTGGTCCAAGGTGGGTGTACGTACGCGTCTGATGAAATTCTCGTGTCGCCTGATCTTAGGGAGAGTTAGATCCTTGGGGCAGAAAATTCTTAAGTGGACAAAATCAAAAACCTCCATGAATGAAGCAGTCATGGGCTGGTATACTTACGAGAGCTGTCATCCGCTGTGTGACATGAGAGAATAATGAAGCCCACTCCAGATGCACTTGGACAATTCGAACGGCAAGGACGTGAATGAAGTACGGTCGAGGAGACCACTTACTCTTATCGGCTTCCACTTTCCCCCGACAAAGTGGATCAGATAACATCCCATCTGAGAAGTCGTTCTCATAGCGAGTTACCATGTCTGGCGATGGATTGTCTAGAGCCCCGTCAAACCAAGTTTCCAGGAAGACTAATCCTGTCCATCGAGATTGGTCGTAGCCTGTAACTATGCAGCTAATGTTTGTCGCATAGATCCCGTCTGTATTGGCCGAATTCTCTTTGAAGCCGGCAAGATGTCTCAAGAATGTTACATCGCGGGAGTGCCTAAGTGTTGCCCCAGTAGCTTTACTTTTGCGAGTATCGTTCATCAGCTGTGATGTAGATCGCCAGACACGGAAGGGGAAAGAAAACTGCATAGAAAACGTTTCAGGTCCTTCGGTCTGTGCACTATTGTTAGGTGTCTTCTTCCAAGTGCCATCTCATACTTGATACAATGCGACATACCGAGAAAGACACGCCGATAGATGGATTCGCGCATGTGTAATTCAGAACGAAGTCCCCTAGCACCCGAAATAATGATTCCGGAGATGTTCCCACTAGGGCCATAATGCCCCAAGCATCCAGGTTAGCGACGTATCTACATGTAGCAATAACACGTTAGTTATGGTAGCCGCATACGGGTTTAGCTAACCTGTGATCAAGCTTACATCAACCTTCGGTCAGTGTCCACAACGCTGTCATCACCATCTTCGCTATATCTCTGATTGAAATTGCATGAGTTAACGTCTCTTTCCAAGTGAAGCAAGTAAGCACTTACCTTTTTGCTCAGCTCATCGTATAATGCTTGTGCTGTCAGACCTCCGAGGAAATCTCGAAGATGTGGTCCCGGACCGGAAGCATTTCCGTCGATTAGCAGCGCAATCTTCTCTTTCTGCGCTCTTTCGTCTCTATCAAGCAAATTTTGAATCGTAGCTTCGCGGGTAATATCAAGGACAGAGTCGACTCGCTGTTGATCAGGGGCCCAGTTCTCTTCTGTTCTTAAGAAGATGCTGATGTCATTTCCTTCTAGCTCTCGGGCATATGATAACAAGTCGATATACGGCGAGTTCTCCCAGCTCCGGGAGAATCCTCCTTGGTGATCATCGAAGAAACGTGGTGGCCAAGAGAAAGCACCATCATACCTATGGCGAGCTGAAAGATGCACATGTCTCGGCCTCGGCACCTTCTCAGGCGGTTCGGGTCTATCCAAGTCAACCGAGGGAGGCGCGAGACCCGACACCTCTGCCCCGGCATTGCCGATCATTTAAGTGGATAGAAATTCTATAATCAAGTTAGAAAACCCAAGCATAATAATAGTGATCATACGGGCATGAGGCCTCAGTGATGACAAAAAGCTTCTTTTTTTTTGGCATTCTCCCCGTAAACCGTAGAATCATAGTACCAAATTGAAGAGCCTGTCCCGACGTCGAGGACTCAGACTTAATGCCGAATTTTCCTTGTCCCGCTATTTGTAATGCACAAGTGTCGAACACTCGGAAACAATAGGTATTGATACATGGGCGGTGTAGTCCGCATAGTTTTTGAGACAAGATAGGAATCTCCCTTCTCTGAAAGCCTATTTTATATCCTGGGGAAAAGGGAAAGGGGTGGGTTACGAGATCTGCGTTCCGGGATTTTGCACTGGTTATTATAGCGGATGACGGTGAGAGGTATGGGAAGCCTGATGCTGTTGCTGTTGCTGGTGCTGGCGTGTCTGTACTCTTTCCACCCTGCAGCGAGAGCAACGAGGGTATCGGCAAGTAGGGCACGGGTCGACAACAACAGTCATACCTCCTTGCCCACAATAGCACTACTCTGATTGTTAGCCGTTTCCGCATCAAACCCCGATGGGTATAAAGAGTGCGTATAGCACATGTACTGACACAGGTCCACATGAAAGCATACTTTTTTCTCGGGGGCTAGGGCAGAGATTGGTCGTCAGTGGCTGGAGGGCTGAGCTGAGAAGCTGTGTGCTGAACGAAGTTCGAGTACCATTTTCCGAACGCGATGTAGTTCCGCTTCTTATCACTTTTCGTCTGCAGGACGACCCTGAGTTTTCCCTTCTCTCGGTACCGTAAGGCTACTCTTGAGCTAGCCGATTAGGCAGGCTTGCATATAGTCCAAGAAAGGTGCGGTCACGGTGGCATCAACATGGGGCTGACGAGGTGTGCCGGGAAAGAGACAGGATTGGTCGCGATGGCCGCTGCTATGATGGTTGTTGGATTTGGGCGTCGAGACTGAGATCTTCGCTAAGGCAGCGTGGCGAGGCTGGAGGCGAAAGTTCTACGTTGGCAGGTTTTCGCGATGCATGGTCGTCGCGTGGGTGGTGGAGGGGAGGGGAGGTTTGAAAACTCACTCCCTTGGTAAGATTCTTCCCCCCTTTCCGTCGCTGATCATTACCCTTGCATTGTAAGCCGCAATTAGATATCCTCAGCCGCTACTTAAATTCTCTCAAATTCTCTGTACGAGGCTACGAGCACACAGACATTTGAAATTCTGACATGTCTTTGTGGCCATCAGACTATTGGCTGGACCAAGCATGTAGTTTTTTTTTTTTTTTTCCCTTTTTGACTACCCGGGGTAGTGCTAGATTTTGGCCAAGTTAAACACACTCTCCTTCGTAGGGGCATTTCTTGAGCGTAGCTAGCCTCACCAATACCCCGGGTAGTTGCATTGTTCGTAGAAGGGCTACGCTGCAGTCAAAAGACGCCATACAAAGCTTCGCGCAGCGGCCCCCCACGAGCTCCCGGAGGTCCAAGGGGGACAGTGCCCCTGGTAGCCAGCAGCCCCTATCAAGCCCTCCCTGTGTTGGAGGTATAGGGTAATACAGGTGAATCGAAGGTAACAGAGGGTATTAAGGGTCATATGAATACTCACTGGCAGTTGCAACATTTGGAGTAGGTAGTTACCTAGTCTTAGCAAAAGAAAGGGCCTACCTAGTAGAGGCCGAGACGTGCAATCTAAAATGCGTCTCATTAATTTCCATAGCAAACTACGGACATGTACCGCGGTGCCGCGCAACCGAAACAGTCTTAGTGTCTGACCATTCAGGTGGCAGTGCAAAGCTCCCTCCTGTGCTTTGTCCCTAATCTCAATCTCCCAATGTTTGGGGGCCACGAGGGGCGTCTCAACGACGCTTGTATAGGTATGGTGTCCAAAACGCCACCAGAGATACCGAAAGCACACCTTTACCGAGATTTCTTTTCCACCAACTCGCCGCCAGCTGATCTTGGCAGCACGCAGACCATGGAACCTCGTGGCCCCAATAAACCAACCTTCATTTAGATGTCCGCTGGCGTCGCACACGATGCTGTTGGGCTCTCGTCGTCACTTTTCCCCCAAAAGGAAGGCTGACACGCAGCTTCGCCCAGTTGCCTCTCCGAGAAAACGGATGCCTTGCATGACGCCTTCCCGAGCCCCCGCAAGTTTTGGACTGTCGAATTGGGCGTGTAATCGCACTTTGTGCTCTCTGCTTGACTTGCAGGTCATGGTTCCAAGTCCCGATGCATCATGCCGAACAGATTAAGGACTGTTGCTTTGCAAGTGCGGGTGAAACCGCATCAGCGGTTCTATCCTAACCCATTAGTTCGACAAATCAGCGACAGGCCAGCTGTCACTACCCCAGGGTACTACATGCACATTCTTCGAAAGAGGCTGGTTTAGGGCCTATCGCATGTCTATTACCAAGTGAGCAGCCTTATCACAGTCCTCTTGAGCCATTTCTTCTACCGAAACGCTCTCTTTTAACGGCATTGCCAACCGTCGCAAAAGTACAGGGTCACAAATTCTACCTGGTCTCGTTAAATGAGACTAGGATAAGATTCGGGGTGCTGCACCCGAAACACTGACATGCTAGGTAGTGGTACTCCGTCAGTTGATGCATTCGCCGTCTTCGCACTTTTTTTGCAATGTGATGGATTCTAGGTTTGACAATGAGTGTGCACAAGAACTGTAAGCAGCCTTTGATTGCTAGATAAGGCAGGCTACGGGTATGTGGTGTTACAAGGCGGTGCTATCGATCCTGTCCTGGATATCCAATTGGACACGTCGTTAAGCTTGACAACAGCCAATGGATGAGGCTTTTCATTTATCGAGCCCAGATGTTTGCCCCAAGGACACCCACCATTGACTCGGTTCTCGGAGCCGACCGGTGTTGTCATCAACTCTCTCTACCAGTTTTCCAAGCCGTCTTATATGCGGAGGCAGTTCCGCGTGGCATGCAGCCATACTGAGTATCACAAAGGTACCCCCTACACGCTGGCCATTCATCTGCGGTCTGCGGTCACGGTGTTTGAAGAAGCCAGGATTTGTCTTCGACTGCGATGCGTCAGCTCTACTACCGTTGCCGATGCCAATCAATGTTGAATCGATCTAGGCGCCCTTCGTCACCATCATCCGCTCAATCTTTCGTCAACACACTGGATGGCTCAGAGGGCGAACGATTCTTTTTCGGCTTGGAGATCCACATAGAACAATATTACGGACACCATCTCATTCGCTGTCACAGTGATCTGGTACATTCGCATGACCGATCAAGTGATAATGTGTGTTCCATTAGACACATGGAACTTGGCTTCGGCTAATGCCGATGCTGTACCCATTGAAGTGTTTTTTCTTCGGTCGATTGATGATACGCTCGTGCGGGCTGGGAAACAAAGGGGCGTTTTCATACGCCCGAAGCCCTCTTTGATGAAGGCGAAGTGGTTCTCAGACAACACGCCTCTCATTCTTTCCGTGTCGATGTGCTACCCATGGCTTCCTTCATTTGATAGTTTTGCTTCCCAGTGAACCCTTCACTGAATTTTCTTGAGCTAAGCGCCCGATTATCCAACGGGTTTCAACCGTTCAGATATGCGATATCGTACGATCAACAATTTGTCAATCCACACCGATCAAGCCATGATGCTTATGGCTATGTAGGTCAGGAATTACTTCATGATCTAAGTCGGGGATGCGCTTGGGGATCCCGAGTGGCCAGGTATGATGTGTGATCAATGGGAGACTGGTTTGTATTTAAATACCATGAAATTTCCATTCAATGGTCGAGAACCCTGGACTCCCTTCTAGCATCAAGGCTTCCGATCGTGTCTAGGTCGAGCGAACTAACACCGCTTGTGAAGCGAATACATAATCATGCTCCCTTCACCTTCGCGATACTGGGGGGGTGGTTATACGACGGTTATATCTTGCTTGCGGCGGATCTGATAACTTCCTGGAAATGCTCTCGTCCTGTAGTCCGAGTCCATAACGCTTTCAAGAGAGATCGCTTTGGTCTTAATATGTCTTTGTTTATGGATACCTACCATGGACAATTGTCAGGCAGCTTCAAACTTCTTACATCCAAGTTGTGTCGATCACAGTATCCACTAAGCAGTGATGTTCATGACCTCCCACGGTCGACAGCGCTTTTGTATTTGGCTTTTATCTCAGCGGGTAGGTGAATTTAGCTGGTTCAGATTGTCAACTGGGCTGTAACATGTGCATTGGACGACGTCTGGAGGACTTGATATTACGCCTCGGTGCTCGCCCTACCACTTGGGTTGATACATTATGGGGGATGCTTGACCTGCTTCATCACCTATTTCACAACACGGCTGTCCAAAACTGGCACAGGGCACTCGGCGGTCTGTTTTTGACCAAGGCAAGCAACGATGGCGGGTTGAGTCGAGGTGGGACACAGGTGAAAGTTGAAATAGACGATGTCGATCCCCCCCCGGAGTCGCGAAGCCGGAGCTCGCTCCGGCCCGCATCACTCCGCCACCCCTCCGCCGAAGAGGGTCCAAGTTTAAAGAATGTGGGTCCATATAGTGCCTCTGATGGAACTTCAAATATCCGTAGGGCGCCCTGATTTGTTCTGCATTTCGACCGGCCGCTTCCTAGTCCACCGCAGGCCGCAGCTGTGGTTGAGTGATGCACTTTACGTAAGGCACCTTACGTCAGATACCGGTACGTGAGTGGGAAGGGAAGGAAAGGGATGCTCGTCGGCAAGACCGTTGCTCTTTCTTCTTATCCATATTGGGACTAGCGGTGAGAGGATTGAGCCAATAGATAAGCGCAGACTTGGAGAGGCAGCCAATGGAGGGAGGAGCGGGTCTAGACCCTTGTCCAACCCGCCCACCTTCCTCTATAGCATCCTACAGCATCCGTACACTACATATTTTCCTCTACCGGCCTTTTTTTTTTTTCTCTGGTCTCCAGGGGCAGCGCCTTTAGCCCGTCATTTATCATCCGAACTCGATCAGTCCACCCATTCTCTTACCGTCAGACGGGGACGGACTGTCAATCTGTACGTCACCTCGTTTTGGTCTAAGCAGCCTTGGTATTGGTGATCTTCAACGCAGCTGAGGGGACGCCAACGCCGGTTTCCCAACGTGGGACCAGTCAAGGGCCGCCATCCCCCGTAGGGCCGCTGCAAAGCAAACGGCCACCATAACGGAGCCCGGCCAGCCACCGCCAAATGGATCCCAACAGACCGGCTATTATTCATCCGCCACAGCACTAGACCCAGGCCCTGCAGCTTCACCGGGGTGGTGGTATCCTTTTCTCCGGCCGCCGAATTGTGTGATAAGAGCATTTCCCCAATGCTCAAGGACGACGTGTGTGTTGTGTCGCCAGGCAAAAAAATAAGCGTCAGCACGTTGCGCCCTTTTCCCCCGAGAAAGCCTCGACAGTCCCATCATCCCACGAACTTATAGCCCACGAGAAAGCTCCGACTAAAGGGGACCGGCTGCTTGCCATCAAAAAAAAGGGACATGTTGAGCCGGGTCCGGCGCCATGAATATTGTACGACGACTGCCCCCGCCCTAACCCGAGGCCTCCTCCTCCGTGACTGACCGCAAACAGCCTCTCAATGGCCAAGGTGACAGTCGAGTCGGTTCCGCCCGCGACAATTCGACGGGCGGAACCATCAGCAAACTGCAGCCGAGCGACTCCGACTCCAACTCGTTAATGTCCCTCGTCAGCACCCTCGTGCCCGTGCTCATCTATACCGCCGTCTGCCTGCTCATCTTCTGGGCCCTGCGCCGACGCAGCCAGCGCGTCTACTCGCCTCGCACCATTCTCAAAGACTTCTTCTCACAGCATGTCGTCCCATCCCCCCCAGAACTATCGTGACCCCGACCCAGACTGACCACGGCGCAGTGAACGGAGCGCGCCGCTACCTGAAGGATGGTTGGACTGGCTGAGGCCGTTCTGGTCCACCTCGGACATCGAGATCCTCAACCGCTCTTCCTTGGACGCCTATCTCTTTCTCCGTTACTTAAAGGTCCTCAGCATCATCTGCTTCATCGGCTGCTGCATCACCTGGCCGACCTTGATGTCAATCCACGCCAACGGCACCGGCGGGCTGTCGCAGCTGGATCGCATCACCATCGGTAATGTGCAGAACCCGCGCATCTTCTTCGCCCATGCCATCGTTGCGTGGATCTTCTTTGGTAAGGGCCGTTCCGTCGTCCTGCCGCTCTCCTCTCCTCCCGTTATACTGACGCCTTGTCCAAGGATTCATCCTCTTCACCATCTACCGTGAATGCATATACTACATCAACCTCCGCCACGCCTACCTCTTGTCGCCGTACTACTCCAAGCGCCTCTCGTCCCGCACCGTCATGTTCAGCTGCGTCCCGCCCAGGTTCCAGGACGCCGCGCGCCTGCGGAAACTCTTCGGCGACACCGTCAAGAACGTCTGGATCCCGCGCGACACGAGCGACCTCGAGAGGCTCGTCAAGGAGCGTGACGAGACGGCCCTGCGCCTCGAAAAGGCCGAGATCCGCCTCATCAAGCTGGCCAACAGGCGGCGGAACAAGCAGCTCAAGGCCGTCGCCGCCGCCGCCGCGAAACCGGAGCCCGTCTCCGCCCCGCCCTCGGGCGCCGCCTCCGAGCGCTCGGACGACCCGGAGAAGGCCCATCCGTACCTCGACAGCACCGCCCTCCCGGACGTCAACGGTTCCGTTGCCGCCCAGTGGGTCGGCGCCAGCGAGCGCCCTCACCACAGGCCCCTGCCCAACTTCTTCCGCCGCGTCGACACCATCAAGTGGTCCCGCAACCGGATCAAGACCCTGACGCACCAGATCAACAAGCTGCGTCGCGGCCTGCTCAAGGGCGAGGGCCGCCGCCTGCCCGCCGCCTTTGTCGAGTTCTCGTCCCAGGCCGACGCCGAACGCGCCTACCAGACCCTGGCACACAACCGCCCTCTGCACATGTCGCCGCGTTACATCGGCATCCGCCCCGACGAGGTCGTGTGGACCTCCGTCCGCATGCAGTGGTTCGAGCGCATCGTCCGCGGCTTCGTCATGCGAGCCGCCATCACCGCCGCCATCATCTTCTGGTCTGTCCCCTCGGCCTTCGTCGGTGTCGTCTCCAACATCAAGTTCCTGGCCAACCTGTTTCCTTTTCTCGTGTGGATCACCGAGCTGCCGGGCCCTGTCACGGGTATCATCAGTGGTCTACTACCCGCGTTAGCGTTATCGTTCCTCATGGCGATTGTACCGTGGCTTTTACGAGGTACGAGTTTCTTTCCCCCTCCTGATAAAAATCTTGCTTCTGTTACCCAGGCTGACTCTTTTCCGCAAAGGCTGCGCCAGGCTCGCCGGGATCCCGTCCCTGTCCCTGATAGAGCTCTTCGTCCAGCACGCCTACTTCGCCTTCCAGGTCGTCCAGGTCTTCCTCGTCACGACCCTCACCTCGGCCGCCTCGGGCGCTCTCTCGCAAGTCATCCAGAACCCTCTCTCGGCCAAGGACCTGCTGGCCGACAACCTGCCCAAGTCGTCCAACTTTTACATCTCGTACATCCTCATCCAGTGCCTGGCCGTCGGCGCCGCCTCCCTCCTCCGCGTCTTTGACGTCTTCCGCCACCACATTATGGCCAAGGCCTTTGACAACCCCCGCGGTCTCTTCAGGATCTGGCACAGGGAGCGCCCGGTCCATTGGGGGGCCATGTTCCCCGTCTTCACAAACATGGGCGTCATCGGTAAGTCAGCCGCCGCCAAACATCGTCATGATGGTGAAATCGTGCTGATTTGTTCGACAGCCATCAGCTACTCCTGCATCGCGCCCGTTGTCCTCGGCTTTGCCACCGTCGGTCTGTATTGCATCTACCTCGTGTACAAGTACAACCTCCTCTACGTCAGCGACTCTTCCATCGACACCCGCGGCCTCGTCTACCCCCGCGCGCTGATGCACCTCTTAGTCGGCCTCTACCTCGCGACCATCTGCCTCATCGGTCTCTTCGCGTTGCGCTCAGCGTACCCTCCCATGATAACGATGATCGGCTTCCTCGTCTTCACGGCCCTGGTGCACATCTCCCTCAGGGAAGCCGTCTCCCCCCTGCTCTACAACATCCCGCGCGCCCTGGCCCTGGAGATGGAAGAGCTCGACGGTGGCGAGTACCCCCAAGACAATTTTCTGACCGACGCCGATATCACGGCGTCGTATCCCGACTTTTTCGACCACATCGAGGAGGAGGACGACGGCCCTGTACACCAAGTCAACGGGAACCGGGGCCTCGAGGGCGCAAGTGGCCTGATGACCTCGGTGCACGACTGGTCCGCCAACGCTCTTAGCAAAAAGCTCCAGGCGACGGTCGAGAACTGGGGGCTGGCTGGTCCTATCGCCTACGCCTCGCAGTGGATATACCCGGACCCGTCCGTCGAGCCCAACTTCCTCCTGCGCTGGCTTCACCCGGGCGTCTTTGACGACTTTTCCACCCTCCGGCGCATGATCCCCAGCGACCTCCCGGACCCCACGCAGACGTACCCCCCTGACTACGCCCGCCGTGCCTACTGGCCACCCGAGATGGCGTCGCCGGCCCCGATCATATGGATCCCCAAAGACCCGGCCGGCGTGAGCAAGCAGGAAGTGGAGCACTGCCGCAAGGTCGTCGGGTGCTCGGACGAGGGTGCCGAGCTCAACGGCAAATGCCGCATAGAAGTTGAGGTTGAAAAGGCGCCTTTTTGGGTGCCGCGTGTTCTGTATTAGGGATTTTTCTAGCGAGGCATACGGTGTACGTGTTGGGTATATATACGCAACACCGTGACATAGGTGGCTTCGTAATGTAGGCGAGGCTAAGATGGGAATCTTTATAATAGAAGCTCTGCTGCTTTCGGGCAAGCCATCCCTCGGCTGTTTCTCACATCTTGCTAATCGTCTCCTCAATGACCCGCCATGTCTTCTCGGCGACAAGCATCTGCGCCAGGTAATTGCCAGCATGATCTTTCCCCTGGATGTAAACTAGACAGGGCGGGTGCATCCGCACCCGGGGGGTATTGCACTGCCAGACGATCCTGCCCCTCGGCGTCATCCTCTCCTCCGCACCTCCCCCTTCCGTCTTGACGATAGCAGGGCTGAAGTCAATGACCTCATGAAACCTCGCCTTGGAAACATTCGACACGGAAACGACGAAGCCGTTCGGCTCTGTGAACTGGTTCGTGCTCCCGCTTTCCGCGACGGCGTTGTACGTCAGCTTCGTTGAGGCGTAGATCTGGGCGTCCGTGAGCTGCGACCGGACCGAGTCCCGGATGAGCGCGGCGACCTTTCCGAACGGGCCGTGCAGAGACCCCAGAGCCGTCGTGCTTGTCCAGTTGTACGCCACGAGGTTGGAGACGTAGGCCCACGTCGGCGGGCATGTCCTCCTCGTGCAGGCGGCCGCGGAGGTCGAGAGCGGTGGATACCGCGATCGGCTTCGCAGGGGAGGACCTGGTGATATGCGAGCAGGCTAAGCGGACGAGCCAGGCCGTGAGAATGTCGCTGTCACTCAGGCGGGTCGCTGCCTCGGGTGACTGAGAGGTGTCGGCTTCGGCACTCTGGCGGAGGGTCCGGAGGGTCGCGGCCGGGATGAATAGGTTCCTTTGGCGGATGCGGTTCGTGAGGAGGTACCACAGGAGATTTAAGGTGAAGCGCAGCTTTCCCCAGCCTCGCAATCGCTTGTGCTCCCAAAGGAACGTCTCGTTGTATCGTTGCTTCTCTGATTGTGCGATTCTCGCCATGGGGTCGAAAGTCGGGTCTGCCAGGGGTTTGACGTCTTCCTTTCTGCCCGCTAGGACGCGGCACCAGTTTTCGACAAGCTCCTTGCGCCCCATCCCGTCTGTGACGCTGTGGGGGTACGTAATTGTCACAAACGCTGCGTCGTTGAAGGTTATCACGTGTAGTGACAGCAGCGGTCGATCCGTAGTGGTGTAGTCGGAAAACGTCGTCGGAGCCTCGGGTCCCGCGAGCATGGGGGTCAGTGTCGACGGAGTGTTGAGGATGCGAGGTCTTGACAGGACATGGGTGGAATGAGAGAAGAGCGAGGGGATCGTTGAGGCCAAAGGGTGGGACATCACACTTGAGGAGCTGGGCTCAGTCGTGAAGTGGACTGCTGGACGAGAGGGGCTGAAAGCCTCGGGTATGTGAAGCTCGAGTTTTCCGTCCTCCTAAAGAACTCTCAGCGACTTCTGCCTCATCTCATGTTTCAATGCTGAGCTCTGCTAGCCAGCAGCGAAAGCACCTACCGCCAGCCGCGGTCTACCGCCAAGCTTCCGCCAGTTCCCGACGGTGAGTAGCTCTGAGAGTGAAGTATTAAGCATTTCCGGGTCGAGAACTTCATGAAAGCACATTGACCAGCTCATGATCATCATGCGCATCATTCAGGAGCTGTCCAGAGCGGAAAGTTGGATGACAATGTCGGTCGAGACCCTTTCTGGCTGGCGGGGCGCAGGGCCCAGGACCGGGTTGAGAAGAGGGCGGAGGGACGGCATCTTGACGGACCCCTCGCGGGATGTGAGTAGTTGCGAGGTTTTGAGAGTAGCAAGATGGGGTTTTCGAGTGGTCGTGATTTGTTTAATGGGAAGCAGATAACAACAAAGATGAGATGGTGTGGTAGATACAAAGGACCAACTCCCCGAAGTCGCACATTATTTAATGGGTCGTTTGTGGGTAGGCAAGGATGACATCGTGTCAACTTTGATTGCATAGATCGTGGGGCGGTGAAATTAGGTTTGACGACAGTGTCGGCCGTCCGCTGTTCTGCGAGTTGCGTGTCTTCCGGACATCAGACGTGAGGTTCAGAGGGTCTTTTATGAAGTTGGGGTGACTCGACTAGCCTTCGGCTTCTCATATTTCGTGAGAAAACAACAAGGCAAACCTAAACTAGACGGGTCTGGACCTATTGCAGAACGATTGTTGGACGATTAAAACCCTCGGCATAATGCCACTCACGATCCGGCCCCTTCATCCAACCTTTGCAGCGGAAATCCACGGCGTTGACTTCTCAAAGCTACTAACAGATGAGGTGTCCAAGGAGATCAGGGATGCCATATCCAAGGTCAGTTCCCCTTTGGATGTGAGGTAACGTACTCGTAAGTCGGCCGCTGACAGTTTGCGATGCGCAGTATGGCGTCTTGGTCTTCCCGAAAACGGGCCTAGACGACGAGCGTCATGTCGCTTTTGCCAGCCGCTTTGGTAACTTGAACGCCGCAAGGACACTGGAGCGCCGTCGCTGATGGGCCGCCCCGAACTGACGGATCAGGGCAACATCGACAGCAACAGAAACGTCATCAGCCCGAGCGATCCTAGAGCTCAGATCAGCAAGGTTTGTTCCCTGGAGCAATAGAAAGCGAAGCAGGTCGAGCAGAAACTCATGGTTGAACAGGGAAATATGCTCTTCCACGTCGATAGCAGCTTCAATTCTCGTCGGGCGAGCTATTCCATCCTCCTCGCGCACGAGATCCCTCCCTCAGGTGGTGGCGGAAACACGGAATTTGCAGACACGCGAGCGGCGTGGGACGAGCTCCCCGAGTGTTGGAAGCAGGGGCTGATGGAAAAAGACTATGTCGCGGGCCACTCGTTCTGGCACTCGCGCAAGAAGGCATGTCCCGAGTTCTTTGCCAAGCTTGAGCCAGAGAAACACCCGATGAGCAAGCACAAGGTCGCACAGCTCCATCAGGCGAGCGGTCGGATGAACCTATTTGTGCCGTCGCATTGTCATCATATCGAAGGACTCCAGGCAGAAGAGGGGAGGGAGAAGTTGGAGTATCTGTGTCGGTATGCCACCTAAGACAAGTTCGTCGTCTCGGTTCCATGGCAGGAAGTTGGCGACCTGGTCATGTGGGATAATACGTGTACGCTCCATCGGGGAACGCCAGTTACTAGGCTTCACAAGAGGGATATGAGGAGAGCAACTGTACTGGATGGAAGTGAAGAGGCTTGGGGATTGAATGAGAGAGTCGAGAAGGATTTTGCGTTTGCGCCTGAGGTTATGGCCGATGTGTTTCGATGCCTTTCAGGGTAGGGGGGAAGGAAGGAAGGAAATATTCATACTAGGAAGGTACATTTTTGGGGGCAGATAGAGGGTTGTCGAACTCAATTTTCCATTCTCTTTTCGTCTCTCTCATTTTCCTGTTCTTTGCCTGCTTTTCTTTCATGCCATTTCTTCTTTCTTCAATCCTCACACTTCACGACTCACACAACGCAACTCACACAACGCAAGCCGTCCTCATAACAGGTCAGTTCTCAAGGTTTCCCAAAAAGAGAAAAGCAAGCCTATCTGCTTAGATTCACTGCTAATACTTGGAGGGTGAGCATTCCAGCAGCAAATAAGCCAGTTTTCCTAGCCACTGAAAGCTGGAAGCAAGGTCTCAAGATCGCCTGCACCGACTCAGCTCATCAATCTTCTTAACCTGACAACCACAAGGCAACACCTTTGTCGCCTGCCTATTTTACACCTAATTTACACCTACTCGGTCGCACGCCGACAAAGTCACATCGCCTCCATTTTGACTTCATCGACTCCTTTATCCTCTGCTGCCTTTATCATACTTACTTAAGTTCACATTTGAGTACTTTGCAATTTCTCTCATCATGCTGCAAGGCACACTACCATCTTTTCTATTACGGCCAGCACAGACAAATCATGAGGCGACTGTATCACAAGGTGAGCTATTTATGCTAATCCTCGCTCTAACGTTACCCCAGATACATCTTTCTTCAATCACATCTAACAAACCCAAGCTGGGGGTGTTGTCATCACCACCTTCTCATTTCAGTCACCATTCATGCTGCCCGGCTTGCTGCCTCGACTGTGTCATGGACTCGTCCTGCCTTCCACCACCCGCCCACTTGCCTATGCCGCCCTTGAAGTCTGATCGCACCTTCACATCAGAATATGGAAGCACCGAGACCCTTCTTGCTTCGAAGAGGACCTTCCTCACCCTCGCCCTCGCCCTCGCCCTCGGCTCCTCCTTATTCTGCCGCCCTCGACATCACGTGTCCCACCAACCCACCATGTAGAAGGCTTCTCCTCTCTTCTTCTCCTTCCAAGTCTCCAGTTCAGTCTAGGGAAGGAGTAAACAGTCAGGACACCGCGGACGCGATAGCCCTTTCCTTTCACTTCACGTCTTCGTGGTCCTTCTCATTTTCCTCCCGCCACCCCAGGTACATCGTGGCCTTCTTCTTCATCGCCATCTTCTTTTTCCTACCCTCGTCAATGGGCAGCACGAGCTCGAGAGTCTCAGCATTTGTCAACACGGCTCAGACTTCTACTTCAACCACTTCGGTAGCCAGTTCGTCTCTCCCTGCAACAGTATCAGCTTCCACAATGGCCCCAACATCGAAGCCGAAGCGCCGCCACAGCCGCTCGGCACGCAAAAGGCCTTCCAAAAAGAACAAAGTCGACAAAACGCAGCCCCTCAGATTCTCCCTCTTGCCCACCGAGATGCGCGCCACGGTCGTCGACAACATGTTTGCTGTCGGTGGTCGCCGTCTACTTCGTGACTTCAGCGTCACCAGTCGCGACAGTCGTGATCTCGCCCAGAAAGAGCTGTATCGCGAAATCAACATCCAGTATGAGGTTGAGCTTTGTCATCTTACAAGAAGTCTCATCGAGAATCCTCACCTCCGGAAGCTTATCCACACCGTCCGCCTCAACGCCAATTATTGGTGTTTCCGCCGCCATGATGCTAGGCGCATCTTCCGCGAGTGGCCTAATGCCCCTATCGACGAGTCCCATCTCTCTCAATCCGACCGTCAGCTTCTCATTCTGCTCAGGTCTTTCTGCAGCGACAGACCTTCCGACAACATCCAATGCGTGTTCGGTTTATTCCTTTTTCTCATTGACCAAACAAAGCATGTCGCCCTCGATATCGGCTACGACTGGGGTCTTTTGGACAACTTCCTGGCCGCAGGCCTCGCTTCCACCTCGTCGACAAGCCCCAACCTCGGCACAGCTCTCCTGCCGGCTATGAAGACCCTCGATCTCGCCACCAAACATTATCTGCAAAAAGCAGTCCGCACAATCCAAGCTGAACCTTACCATCCTTTCAAGACTCTCACTGCTTCAATCCATCTCCGTAAGTTCACTTTCACGGGAGACATGGACAGATGGAGCAACCTGGACGCCATTGACCCCGGCATGAAACTTCCCTTTACGACGGTCAATCTGGTTGCCAGCTCCTGTACGGCTTCGACCCTCTCCAAGTTCCTGCGTCACTGTCCGGACCTGCAGTGCCTCGACGTTATATCCCAGGGTTACAATTCGGACGTCGACACCAATGAGTGTCTAAACACCATCTTGACAAAATTCTGTCCTCAGATTAGAGAGTTGTCACTCCGCAATGGCGGACGCTCGAGAGACTTTTTTCGGTCTTCTGCCACCCACACCATCACTTGTCTCCCAGAGATGACCAACCTGAAGGAGCTTCGCATGGAGGTGGATGCCTTTTTCGTACGCGGTTCAGATATCAGCACGTTCAGGCTCCCCAACAAGCTGCCAGACCAGCTGGAGAAGCTTTTCCTCGATTGCTCCTTCGCTTTGACCCACTTCCCATTCAACATGCACTACACGCGGATGACCGCCCGTAGTCCCGAGGCTATCGCTTACAGGCAGGCAGTCGATAACATGATCCAGGCTATCTGCAAAACCCGAGAGGATCGATTTCCTCGACTCAACACCATCGTCATCGGCGCAAAGTGGGTAGCCCCTGTTCAATGGACCAGGATCGCCAACAAGGCTCTATGCAAGACCGGTGCGCGCATCAAGGTCACGAGCAGCAAAGATATCCAGAAGCTGTGGACCTGCTCTTGGGACGCAATGAAGGTCTGAATCGATACTTGGGGCTAACTCCTGAAATGGATGGTTAGTCAATGGACGTAGGGTGGGGTAGTGGATCATGTGCCGAAGGCTGCGAAGAGGAACACATCGCGAGATTTACGTCGCAAAGATGTGTTACGAAGGACGAACGTAACGGGAATGCACATTACGAGAGGACTATGCGGCACCAACATACGCGCTGAGAGCGAACTCCACGGGGGAGGAGATAGGTTTTGGCTCTCGCTTCGTTGCTCTTTGATGTATCTAGCAAATTCAAACTCTGGCCAGGACCTCTTCCGAAAGACCACATGTCGTTGATAAGTTTCCAAGCATCTTGTTCAGATGCTGGCTTTTCTCGGGCATTTCAAAAATGCTTGCTAAGCGGCTTGCCTGCAACACGCCACACGCAAAAAAGGAAAGACGCGTTTCGTAGGCTGTACTAGCTCCGGTTCGCAGAAGAGACACCATTGTTCTGAGCTGTAGAGCGGGAGTATCCCCACAACGAGTTCTCGTGCGAATCTCAACGTCTTGTTCCGTTGTCGTTGTCGGCCGCCTCCCCGTCATAGCTTCACTCTCATTCTCCTCTCTCCTCGCTTGGCCCTCCAGTAGTTGGACGACACGATTAGCTCCCCGCACCCCTCGAGAATCCACCGCCACCTCTCGACAAAGTCCTCCGTCACCTCCCAGCTCCTCGGGTCCCACGGCTCACCCCACAGGATCATGCCCCCCCGGCCGGACGGCGCGTCCCCGTTCCCGATCAGGTCGAGGCACAGCTCGTCGTCGCCCAAGGCGTCCCCGGCCCCAATCAGGTTGTCCCGCAGCCGCGGCAGGGGCAGGAGGTCGAGCCAGGGGTGGTGCGACGCCGTCAGCTGCGTCCGGGTCGGCCGCAGGGCGGACGGCAGGACGGCGGCCCACCCGTTGCCGGCGCCGTACGCGGGGTCGCTGGCGTACGGGGAGACACAGTCGTCGTCTAGGATCATGGACAGGGTGATGCCCAGCGTCTTGGAGTTCTCCATCAGCCCACGGAACAGGTTGAACTGCACCAGCGGCAGTAGCAAATCCGCCATAGGGCCCGAGCCCGAGCCCGAGCCCCGCAGGGCCCGGCTCTCGTGCGCACGCTGCAGGAACAGGTCGTACAGGTCGTCCATGTCCTCCTCCCGGAGCTCAATCAACGGCCGCGCCCGGCCGAGGTATTCCAGGGCCGTCAGCGTTGCCCTCAAAACGCACACGCGCGGTTCCTTTACTTTCCTGGGCGGCCCCGGCTGGGACAGCTGCATCTCGGCGTCTTCGTAGGCTGTAAAAGCCGGGGGTGCTGCTGCTGCCGCTACCTCAGCCACCGCCCATCTCGAGGAGGTCGGTACCAGGGCGCCCCAGGGCGTCTGTGAGGACGGGGACGAGGACGGGGACGGGGACGATGATGGCGTGCCGGGGTCGTGAGCTGCTTCTTGGCACTGCAGCTGCTGTTTTTCCTGCTTCCTTCGCTGTCCTGTCGACGGACCGGGCGCGTAAGCAGGGGTCACTTGTGGGGAAGGGATTCGAAGACAAACAAACAAGGGGTGATGGGATCATAATAAGCATGCATAAGCATGTTGCAGGAGGTGCGTGCCACTTACTCCAGATCCGTTGGTTGAGCTTGTTCTGGATCTTCCTCCTCTCGGCCGGGCTTGTCTTGCCTTTCCAGTTGTCCACAACGGACACCATTTCAGGGATCGGAGGCCGCGGCAGGGTTGGCAGCGGCGGTAACATGGTGGGCTCGGTCATGTCTGGTCTAGGTTCTCGGTGGTGTTTTTTTCTTTTTTCCCCGGTTTTTCTTTTTTGTTTCTTTTTCTCAGTAGACATCCGATGAAGATGACAGGACTCCCTTCTTGATGGGACAAGCTGCAGAGTGATGATAACAAAAAGCAAAAACAAAAAAGTGCACACAGGGCTGAGCGGGCTGAGCGGGCTGGGGGGGGCGCATCGACGGTGGAAAGCCGGGGATTTGGATTCCTGGACAAGGGATTGGTAATACAAACGCGAAAGCCTTGGTATGCACATCGAGTTAGCTTGACTTGGGTTGACGACGTTATTGCCACTAGTGACGTTGGCTTCTCGATGAGTGCGAGAACACACACTATCGTCTCTCGTGCCTGGCACGCATGGATATGACGTTTGCTGGGTTTCTTGGGTCCTCCCGGGGGAGGGCCTTCGGGGTTATCTTCAACTGATCGTTTCCCTCATTGGGAGACTCGCTGCCCCGAGGCATTGCTGCCGAACCCCGTGTGTTTACCATGTATTACTGATCATCCCAGCATTGCACGTGGGAAAGGGCGCGTTCGCTGCGCCGGACTCTCTCTCTCTATCGGTCTCTTTGCGACCGGCGCGTCGTTGGGCCATGGACTCCAAACTAGGTAAAGTACCTAAGCCTTCAGCGCGATCTACCAAAGTACGGTATGGGATTCCAAATGGCACCTGGAAGCGAAGCCCGACTTGTCTTGGTCCCCCCCTGGGGCAGATCTGCCGTGTTTTGAGGGCGTTCTTTGGCTTTTTTTAGGGCGCGATCAGGGCTTGACTTCGTGCCAATCACGGCGGCTGCCGATAGCCACCAGCGTTTAACAATGGACTCCCCCCCCCCCCGGGCCGCGTCCCGATTTGACAACCCCCCAGGATATTTGTCAAGCGCTAGCGAAGCAGCTGAAGTTGGGCTGGGGGAGGGGTTGGATCTTGAATACCGTACATGGTAAGGTAAGGTAGGTTTTGTTCGATGCTTTGTCATGAAGGGGCTGCGCGCAATGTCCACCAAGTGGCTTTCCACGACAGCAAGGCAAGTCTTTGAACGCTCTCCGCAGCCAAGAACACGAGGCAGACGCAGTTCATTGTGTCTTCTCAAATGTCTCCATGATCGCTCCGTTGTTTGGCTATTCACTTGTTTGATGTCGCATTGTCCAGGGGGGTGACTAGGTGCTACCCTGGGCAGAATGCAAACCCTCGGAAACAAACAATGTAATGTTTGGCATTGACTGTTCAAGTTTCCCCAATCCCTTTGAACCAAACACTGGTTCCACGAGTCGACAGCCAAACTCGGATCCCGAACATTCAGCGACAGCGACAGCCACAGTCTTCGCGGCTTCCCTTGCCCGAACTGGATCTCCGCCAGGCCGTGTGGTTGCAGACAGGCAGTCCGACATCACTTCCCGCCGCACTTGCTACTTGTTCCAGCAGTATTAACCCTTGCAGCAACCGTAGTCGGCGAACCAGCACTCCCAGGCCGTCGTCGGCGCTCAGCGGGCGCTCTTTTCGCGGATCTCGGCGGTGTCGACGCCGGCGTGGACTCGGGTGTAACGGCACGCGAGGACGAGATATAGCGGCTGTGGTGAAACTCGCATGGTGCTGTGAGATCTGAAGGGCGATATACAATGCCTCCGTCAGGGCTTTGTGTCAAAATCGCTCTGTCTGGGCATGGTGTGGAACATTCCCCCCCCCCCCCCCCTTCGAACTTGAAGGGCCTGGCCAGCGTTTTATAACATCCCCATCCCTCTGCCCTCTATGCCCAGATGCATCGGTCGGAATCGTAGTATTTCCATGTTCTAGCGCCTGCTTGCAGTTCCGTCGGGGCCGTTGTCCTGTCATCTTCAAGCATGAGCCTCTGGTAAGATCCCGAAGCAATGTACACCGTCATGCGTTACTGTATGCTCAACGAGTCGTCCTGAGCACGCGGTTCCTTTGAGCACTACCGTAAGCAAAGTGGTCGATTTTCCACATTGGGTTGGGAGTGTAGCTGGGGTTGAGAGAAAGGGGCGCGGTGAGAGAAGGGGAGGTCACCCCTCCTGATCGATGGTGTTGGTTTGTCCTCAAGTGAGCAGTAAGAGACGTATAAAGATGTTGCACCATTAGGTGGTAGTATAAAATTCTCAAAATACAACGTGTTCTTCACTTATTTGTGAGTTAAGATGATCCTCAAACTCATGTAGTTGTCAATATCGTATTTCGACACGATGTAGGATTGGGGGGTTATGGAGGATGTTATAGTGGGCCACGCTCCGGTGTCATCCCCGGGTGGAGCATCCATCTCCTACGCTCGACTTAGTCATGCTCGCGATGTTTCCTGTGCATTTGAAGAGACACGAGGTGCTTTGCTTTCTAGTTGGAAGAATCGGGCAACAGAAACGGATGTCACGTCACATTTTACTGGCCCTAGAACAAGGGTTCAAACGCGGTAGGAAGCTAAGGCGATACTACGCTACAAGGCCTACCCGATGATTTTGGCCAAGTGTATTTGCATTCGTCATGCGCATTGACATGGTCTACAAAGTACGCTTTTACGGGAAAGACTGCCTGAACTGGTGTGTCATGCATTTCTGTTAATAGCCCAAGAGACCAAGATGAATTCAGATGAACCCCACTACCGTTCGTTCTCTGATGCGGGCCAAGAACTTCTATTCAGTCACATGGCACACACAGTATAAACTAAGAAGCCCCATCCCATGATGCCACGGTCCAGATTCAGCAATTCAAGATGCGAGATGTATGTGCCAAGTCCAACATGCGAAATGGCCTCTCCACAGGAATCCTTCCCCCTCTACCCCCTCCCCTTCCCCCGGGACGGCGGCCAGGGCGTCGGGCGGCAGGCCGTTGACAATCATATCGGCCGAAAGCTCCAGCTCCGACGGAGAGACCCCGCCGTGGCTTATAGTGCTGCAACTCTGGGCCAATCGGCTGCTGGAGCTGCAACAACCCCTTCCCCACCGACCGCCATTTGTCCGCACGGAAAGGGAAAGGAACTCGCGCCGGGTGTGTGATGGGATGCACTGCATCCCATCTCCGGGCAGCACTTCGGCAGGACGCACACACTGAACCAACGAAGCCCAAAACCGACCAATCAGTTCCGAACCCCCGGAAAGTCTGATTTCCTTGCCTGAAGGGGCCGCATCCAAACTTATAAGACGGACCCCACGCTTTTCCTCTGGAAAAAGGAAAAAATCAGAGAAAGGGAGAGAGAGAGAGAGAGAGAGAGAGAGAAAGAAAGCAGTCAAACTGCCCAAGACAAGGGACGAGGGAGAGTCGTCAGTCATCATGGCCGAAGCGGGCTCCCAACAGCAGCCGTCGTCGGACGGCAACATGCTCACGCCAGATGCCATTGCAAACCTCCTCTCGTCCGCTTCTTCCGCGCGGCCTGATCCGGCATCGGGTGACCAGGGCCGCGCCCACAAGACAGCCCTGCTGGACGACGTCCTGTTCACGGCACAGAGGCTGTGGGACGCCAGCAGCGAGGAAATCGACGCCGTTGCCGAGAAGCTGGGCGATGGGAGCCGAGATTGTGAGTAACCCCCCCTCCCTATCTCTCCCGCTTCAGCAATGAGTGAGAATTGGCAATGAGAGGACTTGGTACTGACGCATACCACAGCTTCATGGAGGTTGCCCTTGGGAGACTCGGGCATCCTGGACTTCTTCCTCTCCATCATCGTCTCCTCCTCGCATGACCTCCGGCCCGCACTACAGAGGCATATGCTCCGCCTCATCGGCAACTCATGTGCCGACACTGGTAAGACACCAAATCTTGTTCCTTTGTCCCATACACATACACCAGAAAAGGCTGACTTGAACCCTCAGATGAGAACCGTGAAAGAGTCGTCGCCTCAAATGCCCTGCCCGCCATCATCCGCTTCCTCGGCGACGACGCCGCCCTCCCTTTCGCCGTGCCCGTCCTCTACAACGTGCTCGTCGACTACGAGCCCGCCCAGGCCCAAGCCAGCGCCTCGTCTCTGACCACCCACCTCGTCGACCTCCTGACCAGCACGCGGCTCGCCGACGCACCGCACCTCGTCGGCATCATCGCCAAGATCCTGGCCCTGTTGGCCACCCACGGTGAGTCCTTTCTTTGTCCGCCGCCTCTCTCATGGAACCCCATGGCTAAACTTTCCTCCCCCTCCAGAAACTGAGACGACCCTCGCGCCCCCGCAGACGCCCGCCGTCCTCCTCACGCTGGCCCTCACGCCCACCACCGACGCCGAGGATTTCGTCTCTCTCACGGCCGTCGCCGTGACCTACCTTACCCACGCGCCCATCCAGGCCGCCCTCGTCGGCACCGGCGCCGTCCCCATCCTCCTCGCCGCCTTCTACCACCTCCAGACCGAGCTCGACGCCGTCGAGGTCGACGACGAGGACGCCGCCGCCCAGCTCCGCGCCCTGCCCCGGTCCTTCGTCCAGGTCCTCGCCGACGTCTCCTACGCCGACGACTTCGCCGCCCGCCACCCCCTCGGCGACCCCGTCCTCGCCACCCTGCAGTCCTGGCTGTCCCTGCCCAACCTCCACCTCCGCGCCGCCGCCTGCCTCTGCCTCGGCAACGTCGCCCGCTCCGACGAGGCCTCCTTCGCCCTCGTCCGGGACCACGCCGTCCACCTGCCGCTCGTCGGCCTCCTCCGCGACGCCACCGACTCCCTGCTCCTCCACTCGGCCCTGTCCTTCCTCAAGAACCTCGCCATCCCCTCCCAGAACAAGCCCGTCCTCGGCGACGCCGGCCTCTTCGACCCGGACGTCCTCCCCCGCGTCTGGTCCCTCGACGCGAACCCCCAGGTCCAGTTCGCCGCCGTCTCCCTCACCCGCCTGCTCCTCGTCAACACCCCCGCCAACGTCCGCCGCCTCTGCGCGCCCCTGAGCCCGGACCCCCTCTCCCCCGTCCACGGCACCACCCAGCTCCACCGCCTGCTCGACATCTTCTCCCGCACCGACGCCGAGCACACCCGCACCGAGGCCGCCCGTGCCGCCGCCGCCGTCTGCCGCGTCCTGCACACCGCGCCCATCCCCCCCGTCCTCCCCCGACTGGGACCCCTCGGCCGACGGCTACGTCTTCCGCCCGGAGAAGCCGCTGTCGCCCACCGCCGTCGCCGAGGCCGAGGGCAACGGCAGCGCCCGTCGCCGCGAGAAGTTCTACCGCCAGCACGCGACCCTGAACCGCGTCCTCGCCTTCCTCGTCACCCAGACCCGCTTCCCCGTCCTCCGCAGCGAGGCCTGGTTCGTCCTGGCCCTCATGTGCCGCGCCAACGACGGCGCCGACGTCGTCATCCGCGTCCTCGGCGTCGCCGGCGCCTTCGAGGCCCTGACGCACGCCATCACGGGACGGGCGCCATCATCCGAAGACGGCGCGCAGGAGGGCGACGCCAAGGCCATCCAAGGGGCCCCGGCCGCAGCGGACGCCGCGGGGCAGGCGGTCGTCAGCGGCGGAGGCAACGCGTCGCTGGTGGAGGGTCTGGGGCTGGAGCCGCAGCAGGCCGACCCGTCGCAGGCGGCGGGCATGAAAAAGGTGGACCGGGAAAACGGCCTCGTCATGGTGGCCGAGTTGGTCAAGAACCACGCGGATGAGCTGCCGGCCTCGAGGAGAACGGCGTTTGAAGAGATGCTCAAGGAGGGCGGCGAGATACTCGTGGATGAAAAGGGCAAAGGAAAACGGTGACCCAAGGACACCATCGGAAACAGGAAATTGAGGTGGGAATCATGATGGGACACAGGCACGGTGATGATGATGCCTATTAGATTTCAAGTAGTTCAACCGGCTTGGCTCCAACACCAACTCACATCCATTATAGACAGCAATCACCATTCACAGGGGCACAGCAAGGCACACACGAGTGGAAATTAAAAGCAATCGAATCAATCCTTAGTCTACTCCTGTCACCTTGACCCATGATACACGTCACGTCGTTTTCGTACGATGCGTCTTCCTAAAACCCGTCTTGCGACGAGCTGGGGGAGAGAGAGGGGGGAGGGGGGGGCGGACAACCGACACAGGCGGGCGTGATCAATGCAATAGTTTCTTTATGACCTTGTCCTGAGTGTGTATCTCTCATTTCCACTGAACCCACGCCAGGCCAGAAGACAAACCCGACTTCCGAAGAACTTTTATCCCTTCCTCGAAAGCGTTTTTTAACGTGTCGAAAGCAGCAGCCGAAAAACCCATATCCATGCAGTTCAGCTGCACTAGCCGCAGCATCGAACAAAACCGCCCCCCGACACCACAAGAGACGATAGCAGAGCAGCAGCAGCGGTGGTAGCAGAGGCTGAGACGTGCGTTTATTTCTTGGCAGCCTCGGCCTCGGCCGCGTCGCGGGCACGCTTCTCGCGCTTGCCCAGGTTGCGAGCCTCGCTTCTCGCCAGGCGGAGCTTGCGGTAGGCGCCACCCTCGACGGACTTGGGGACGTCGGACTTGGAGATCTCGGAGAAGCCGGAGGCAGCCTTCTCGATGGGGAGGGCGTTGGCGAGGTTCTTGACGGTCTCGGTGCTGGCGAGGTCGACCTTGGAGTCGCCCTGCTTGACCTTGTTGGAGCGGCGGGGGAAGACGACGAGGCGCTCCTTGTAGGCCTTGAGGCGGGCAACGTTGGCGGCAAGGGACTCCTCGCTCAGGTTCTTGCGGCGGCCATCGACGGCGATACCGATGGTGGGTGCGTAAAGGCGGGGGATACCGGCGGCCTAGTGGTCAAACGGTCAGGACTCGTCGTTCTGTGCATGCATACAAGCTGTGCCACTTTCCCCTTCACCTCATCCATCATCGTCCTCCGGAATAGAAATTCGTACCTTAAGCTCGTCGAGGGAGAAACCGCGGCCGGCACGGACCTTGCGGTTGTAGCGGATCGTAGGGCATCTCACGATCGGGCGGAGGAGGTCGGTGGGACGGGGGGCGACCTTGGCAGCCTTGGCCTGACGGGCGACACGGCGGCTGTGCTTCTTGCCGGCCTATTGTGATGTTCCAAGTCAGATCCTGCTTTTCCCAATCCCGAAAAAAGATTTTCTTTCCATCCTTTTCCCGAGGGGGGGTAGGTTGGTGATCCTGCGCAAAATAATCATACCTGGTCGAAGTGCGTCCGGACCCGGCGCTGCCAATCCTTGCGGAAGTCTGTTGGTAAAGGTGTCAGTCCAGAGTGTCTCGGCGAATGAAGTCGTCGTCGTCGTCGTCGCTTGTCGCGGGGAGGAGGAAGTGCTCACGGTTGTGGGGGATCTGCTGGTTGTGTGCGATCGCCTGGAAGGAAAAAACACAATGTCAGTATTCCTGCGATGCGATGCGATGCCGTCGACGGCGAGCATGTATCGGGGACGCGTATCGACGTACCATTGTGCCTGTATTGCGCGATCAAGGGGGTTAGTAGTCCGGATGGGCCGTCGTCGAGATGCTGCTGAACGCTTCAAGATTTCCTGGGAAGGGACGAGTCAAAATCTCAAAGAAGGGCATGAAAACCCTACGAGGCAAGGTACGTACTGGACGCAATGGTTGATTGGGTGGTGGGGTCCACCAGTCGTGGCTGCCACGCATAGGCGACGGCCGAACCATGTTCCGGCCAGCCCGCAACGGCTGGTGTGGCTGGTGCACGCAATCTCTGCCGCTGGGTCTCGGTACGTGCTCGCCTACTCGCGGGGTAGGTATGCAGGTCGCGACTCACTTTTCTGCGTCTTGGGAGTTGAGGTTGCTTGAGAGCCCATCACATATCAGCCAACACGTAATCAGTTATGCTATGATAACTAAGCATATTATTTTCTTTCTTCCTGGACTCCAGGCGAATCGTTTCTTGATCCTCTCATCTCGATGAACCCATCACAATATAGCCCAAAGTATGCTTGCTGGAACAGGCCGATGGATAACCTAACGCGTGGCACTGGAAGACATCGGCAATATCTCTACACCGAAGCTACGGTTGAACCAATGTCGTCCAATAACACCAATGCCACATCTGCAAACCAAGAATGAGAGCAGATGCACCCAAGCACCTGAGGTACCAGTGCACCTTTTGCCAGAAAGGGTGGGGCAAGTGGGCTACAGCCACTGGCCCAAGGTCATTAGGTCAGCGTGCACGTGATAGGATACTGGTTGAGTGTATCGCGAGACGACCACTCTCAATCGCACTTCGGGGCCATTGTGGGTGGTGAAAGTAGTGTTGCCATACATTTTCTCAATCGTGCGCTCGGAATCGTGCAGATCCATGAAGGTGTTTTTGCGTATGATGTTCGTCCCGTGTACAACATGCTGAAGAGTTCCCTCCGAAGGTGTCCAAATGCAGTCGGAATGTCGTGATCAACCTATCATAGTCTGCCAAGGACATCAGAAAAGTGACGCAGATAGCTTCCAGCTTTCATAATTTCTCGCTCCACCTTTTTAAGGCGCCGCAAGACTCGGCAGGGCTGATCTATTACGTCCTTGATATATCAAAAAAAAAAAAAAAAAAAAAAAAAAGACACCGAGAATACATATCATTCAATAACCCAAGCATAATTACCTGTCTTCCAGGAAAAGCAACACAATGGGAATCGAAGCGCCCTTAGTCAACAAATTTCATTTACCAGTACCTCGAAATAAGTCGAATAGCTATGTCGTATGTGTAACGTCCTGTTCCATTTCAATACTCCTCGGATAGTGAAACAAGGAAAGATTCGAATCGCGCTGTCATCAACAGGAACCCCGTGGAATTGTACGGGAAAGGCTTGTAGTTGTAGACATACTCGTCAGCCGTATCTAACGAGGACCATCCATCACAACAGTTTTGCCTGGAGACTCAAGATATACTCTCTTTCCAAGTTCACGTCGTGAGTATCATTCATCCAAGTTGCCTAGTCTGTGGCAATAATATGATAAAGAATTGGAAAGTAATGCGGCAACGTACTATCCTCTGCAAACGTCAATGAATGTTCACAACAATATGTTTCCCACGTTCACGTCTGCTATCCTTACAATCGATTGATTTTACTGCAGTGACATGGTTCATTGCTGATTCAAACCATCGTGACATTGGTAACCGACGACTTTAGCTTTTATACCTAACCTCTGGATAGCTTAAGCGGCTGTGAGAACTTTGCTGTGGAATAAAAAAAGCTATTATACGCCATCCCCGCACTCGGAGAGCAAGTCTAATGAGACTTGTAGAAAAGCCAAACATCATGTTAACTGACTTGAATGTTCCAGGTGGGCATTGGTAACTGGGCAGGGCTTCCTACAAGCAAGACGTTACTACAAGAAAATTAGTTCTATATCTCAGAAGTATCCTGAAGAAAAGGCTTTCTGCTAAGGTTCCAGCATCAAAAAAGCGAGTTTTGCTTTCCAGGTGCAGGACAGAAAACTGAGTCGATATGAGTTTGTAAGAACACCATTTCAACACAAAAATAATTTAACATCTGAAACATGACTTAAGTGTCTTAACAAATGCACTTGGGATTATCATGGTTGTACCTGTCAGCATTTGCCAGGCTATTTACACTTTTATTTGAGATGTTCCGACTGATACTATAAACGTGGAGGACGATTGGTGGTCGGGTGCCCGTGGGCTTCTCTCTTCATGAGTTGTATGGTGCATGAATAACTGGGCCCGGAATCAGTAATTCATCACAGTTGAGTAAAGCAGGACGGCAAATGGTGTTGAGACTAAAGACCAAGCCTCGCAATATTGTATATTTGAATCACAGTCTGAAGTAAAGATGGAGGCCAACACAGCGTACATTAAAAGCCTCATTTAGTCTTGATTCTCTGTTATTCCTACCACATACAAAATGACAGCATTGTTTTTCAATCGCATTCTTATAGACTCTCCGCAGGAAAATCCACAGCACCAGCATCGCCGCCACCAACCTCGGTCTCGAATTTGCACATCAACTGCGCACCATTTCCAGCTTCACAGCACAGCATCCCACCCCCTCAGCTGCCGGCAGCTGTCAGCAGCTGCCCTCGCAAAAGAGAGCTCCCCCAGCTCCATAGCCTCGTGACCCCCACGGGAGAAACCGAACCAATGAAAACGCCTTTCCAAAAAAACGCACCATGCATGTCGCAATTAGTGGGCCCACTCGATCCAATTCGCAGAGGAGCTCCCGAAAAATCTCAATGACAAGGCTCATCCATCCCGTTTGCCCCGTGCTCGGGAACCCGCGAACCTGCGAAGCAACTTCGACGACGACAACGAACGACGAAGCACGCACCCGCCCTCCCCTGCCAAGTACTTCCTGCCGCCAAAACGCCCGCCTCTCGCGTTTCCTGCACATCTCATTTCCGGAAGGTCGACGGGCGTGGACGAGAAACCGAACGGACCAACAAAAAAAAAAAAACCGAACAATGGCATCCAGGCTAGGCCCCCGGAGCGCCTCGGACGCAACGCGCTTCACCTCGACCACCCCGCACGCCGCCTCCAAGAGCTCTCCCACACTGACGACGACGACGACGACGACGGGCGCGACGGGGACGGCAGCCGCTGCGGCCGCCCCGAGCTCGTCACCACAGCCTCCTCCCCGGGTCCCCGGCCGGCCGCCGGGTGAATCCCCCGAGGAGCGCGTCCGCCGTCTCCGTGCCGCCCACGAGGCCGCGCGCGCCGCGCAGAAGTCGAGCGTCGACCGCGTCATCGGCGGCAGCCGCCGCGTCTTCGACTTTGCGCACAAGTTCACCGTCCTCGGCCTGGTCGGCTTCACGGGTACGTTTCCTTGTGTTTCCCCCCTCCGTCCGTTCCCTACTCCCCCCCCCCACCCTTTGCATGGGGGTACATACAGCTCTTTCCCGCCGTTCTTGAGTCGGATCAAAGAGTCGCCACTCAGGGGTGGTGGAAAGGAAGAGAGAACAGACGAAAAGGAGGGGGGGGGGAAGAGACACAATTGCAAGTTGATGAAACTACGAGGACCTAAGCTAACCAATTCCTCCCCCCTCCAGCCATCGCCGGCCTCGTCTCCGTCTATTCCGTCTACGACATGGTGACGTACAACAAGCAGCGCCGGGCCGACTTCATCGAGGCCCAGCGCCTCATGGAGGAGAACTCGCTCGCCGCCGCCCGCCTCGCCTTCATCAACGGCACCGCCACCGACGCCCAGGTCACCCTCGTCGAGGAGGCCAACGCCCGCGCCCGCGAGACCGGCGTCCGCCTCCCGCCCCTCCTGTCCGCGCCCACCGTCACCACCCAGGCCGAGAAGATCTTTGGCAAGGGCGGGTCCCAGCAGCAGCAGCAGCAGCAGCAGCCGTCAACACCAGACTCGTCGCCCTTCGCCGCCTCTGAAGCCGAATCGTCCGCGCCCGCCGCACAGAAGAGCAGCAGCAGCTGGTGGCCCTTTGGGTCCTCCTCGGCCAAGCCCGAGCAGGCCAGGGCTACCATCCAGGAGAGCAAGGAGCTCCTCCAGGACAAGGCCAAGGCGGCCTTTGAGCGCGAGCGGGAGAACCAGCGGCGGGGCGGCGCGCTGGACCAGCTCGGCCTGCCGCAGGAGGAGAAGAAGGTCGAGAAGAAGGGTTGGTGGTAGACGTCCGTTATGCTCCCCACCCCCCTTCCCTATCTGAAAGGTACTCCTCCGTCTCCGTCATCTCCTGCCGATGCCTCTTCTGCACGGCAGAGGAGTTTCTGTCGGCGGAAGACGGGTGACATGTCCCCCCCCAACCCCTGTCTGTTATAATACGAACCAGAGAGAGAGAGAGAGAGAGCGTCTGCGAGGTTTGGTGTTGGTACTGCGACGATATCGGTGCATAGAAAGAGAACAAGGCAAAAAACTTGGGGGAAAATGGGTGTGAGCCCGCACTCCCCCCCCACATACGGCGGAGGGCTGCGGGAACGTCTCGAGGTCGCAGCCCGGATGGCAGGGCCGAGGTGGACCAAAGGCGCCACAGATGTATCATAAGTGTAGACTGACTGGATGTGCATTAGACGGCGTCCGGGTTTTTAGCAAGTCATTGCATGCGGAAGGAAAAAAAACCAAAAAACAAAACATTACCCTCATCTTTGTTTTTCCATTTTTGTGTTGTTCAAGACTTATTGGACCAGTATATTTGAGTGTCGTGAAAACTGCTGGCGTCATCGCCGCTTCGATTTTGTCCTCCATGGACGGGTATTATGTACAGTTGCCCTTGACGAGGGAAACGCTTCAAATAACACGATCTCACCATCCGAATCTCCGTCGGCCGCGCCGGGTCCGGTCGGCTCTTCCCAACCCCTCCCATTATGCATAGAAAAAGAAGCATCTGCCTCTCCAGGCCCGAGCGAGTGGAAATATGTGCGCTCAATATGCTATTACCGTCCCCCTCCCTCCCCTCAACCGAGACGCCCATGTCTCTGGCAAAACGTCCGCCGAAATCAGAAAACGCCATTAAGGAAAGAAAAAAAAAAAGCAGAAGCTTGCTGCGCACCTTAGTCCATGACTGTGGACGACTTACGACTTAAACGCACCGACTTTTTGTCATCATAATGCCAATCGCGCTCCAGTCTTCCCAACCCCGCCTGCTTCCCTTTTCTCTCTTGTTCTCGCTGTCCTCGTTGCAATTATTCCGAGGCTGGATGGAGCTGCCCCGGCTCTACCTAGTTCGTCTGTCAAAATAGGCGCGTCGCAGCCTCTACGAGACGACAATATGGTTGAAGTGGCCTGGAACCTTGAGGCGGCACTTCTCGCAGTCGGCACGGTAGCCGATGCTGAAACTCTTCTTCATGCCGGGCTGCCAGGTCCATGAGTTGACAGTGTGCCTCGACCGGATGTGGCCTCTGCGGCCGGGCGAGGGCGTCGCTGGGGCCGATGTGGTCTCGGTAGGCGCCGAATCGGTCGTGGTGTCACCCACCATGGGGTGGTGATCCTCGACCTCCATCATGCCCATATCATGGTGGTCGTGGCCGTCGAGAGACGACTGCTCCAGACGCATAGTGAGGTTGGAGGGGAAGCCGTTGTCGAGGACCATACCCGGGGGGCTCAGGCTCCCGCTGCCGGGGTAGCTGCTCAAGTCCTCGCCCTCGCTAATGGGCGAGGGCAGTCGGCGGTTCTGGACGGCGTGCCAGTCGTCGGCGGCCTCCATGCTGCGGGGAATGCAGCGGGATTGGTCGGCGCCGAAACCGGCGTGGATGTGGCCCATGTTAACGACGCCACTGAGATGGCTCACTGCGGGTCCGGGACCTCCCCAAGCGCCACCCCGAACCTGAGCGGCGAAGCTTGGTTGGATGGGCGTCGGCATACGGCCGTTGGCCGACGAATGCTGATCCGCATGGACGAGCTGCTGGCTCTGTAGTTGTTGCTGCTGGGGCAGGGGCGGCGGCGACATTGTGTCCATCATGTCCATATCGCAGTCGGATTCGGCGGGGCCCCAGGGCGACGGCTGGCAGGACATGGGAGCGGGAGAGGACGACCAGGGCGAAAAGCGCGACTTGGGCTGCTCTTCCGAGTCGGAGTCGCCCGGTGTCAGGGTGCAGGGAACGGAGTTGAGAGGCATCATGGGCGCCGACCAGCGCTTCGAAGAATTGGGCGAGGTTCGGAGGGGGAGGCACTGGATGCGTTTCTGCGCAGAGAAGTCAGAGGGGGTGCTCTGGGCAAAATGGGAGGAAAGGGCATGCAAGAAAGCGACATACATTTCTGTGTTCAGCGAAGCTGAGAGCGCCATTGTGTAGGTCTTCGTCGTCATCGCGGCTTCTTTTCCTGGAGAGGTCCATGTAGTGCTGGGTGCCGAACATGGTGAAAGCGGCGGCGGCGGCGGCGGCGGCGGCGGTAACGGTGGGGGAGAGAAGGCTACGGGTATCTGCTGTGCAGTATGTGGTGTAGTATGCAGTGTAGTATAGAGGCGCGACGGTCGATTGCAGATGTCAGAGGGACAAGTGCGGCAGCTAGCGATGGCAGGTCGAGAGAGGAATGTGACGGACAGAGCTGTGCGCCGTCGGTTGGGTTGAAAAGAGGAGAAAGAAAAGATGCACTGACGAGGGGAGGATGGTATTACCAACTGTGCCGTCAAGGTCCGTGGCTGGATGAGGAGGATGAGGAGGACGTGGTGGTGGTGGTGGTGCGCAGGCGCTGGCGGGAAAGTTGGAGGTGCACAGGCTGCCAAGTTGCCCCGGACTGAAGAGTGCCGGGGGGGTGGGGTGTGAGTGGCAGGTGTGCGTGCGGGTGCGGTGCGGGTGCAGGTTGCGACAGGGTGCAAGGGGAGGTTGTAATTGCCCCGTACGGATAGTTCCCACAAGTGTCGGCCTACCGGTAGTCAGCTCCTCCCTATGGCGATGCTCGATGGTGTGTTGTCGAATTAGATACCTAGTAACAGAGTTAGGTAGCAGTCGATTGATGCTGGGACTCTGGGGGTTCCTGGAGAGGCCGAGTTGAGGAGACGGAAATAAAGAGGCGAAGCCGAGGCCGAGGTTGCGTGCTCCCAGTGGGAAGGACGGACGACGCGTCTAAGTCGCTAAACTCTCGGTGAGCCGGCGAGCACTCGACAGACTGCGGATTGCGGGTTGGAGGCTAGCTGCAGTTGCAATATGCTTTCCTCCAGAGGTAGTTGATGGGAGATTGCGACAGGAATTGTTCCGGTCGATCAGTCAGGATGGGTCTGCGCCCGTTCAGATTCTTCCTTTTTTTCAATTTTTCATCTTATTTTTATTATTATTTTACCTTTTTTTTTTTTTGATTATTGATGCCGGTTGACGATCGTTGTGCATGTCAACACCGACGACACTGTATCTGAGGAAGAATGATCGTAGGTGGAAAGGGGAAAGAGGGAGAGAGAGGCAAAAAAAAGGAAGAGAGAAGTGAGGAAAGAGGCAAGCCGGAATCGAATGTCAGGAGGCGAGCGGTCGCAGATAAAGTGAGCCGGGGAAACACGAATGGAGGCAAAATACAATAAAGTAAAAAATAAAAAAACACCCAAGAACCCGGCGACGCCAGATCGTACACACACAACACACCAAGAAAGCTGCTGTAGCCTGTCACACGCCACAAAAGGGAAAAAGACAGACAGACAGATACTCAACGCACCTACCAGAAGGTAGAAGAGAGAGAGAGAGAGACACACACACACACACACAGAAAAAGGGTCCCCGAGCGGGAAGCCAAAGCACGCACCCATGGAAGTAAAAAACGAAAAATAAAAAACCGCTATGTAGCCTAGGGGGGAAAAGAGGCGAAAATAAGGAAAAAGAAAATATACAGACAAGGACAGGTCCAGACCCGTCAAGGTTCTTCCCGGACCAACGGTTTAGGGGACTGAGGGCGCTAGTTCCACCCACTCTGCTGGAATTCAAAACCGACGGTGGGGAGGCAGGGGGGGGAATTCAATCCTTGATTCGACAATTGTCCAGCCTGTTTTATTCCAGGAACGCAAGGACGACGTCAGGCTGCTCAAAAAGATGCGCCGGTTCGCGTTGATTCGCGTCACCATTCGCAGCCCTGGAATGTCCTAGAAAGAAACAAATCGCCGAGTACAAAAAGCACTTGGCACCTGGCGTAGCTCACTCTTTGACAGCTTCGAGAAACCTACGGTAGTCGGCTGCAGTATATAGACATAACTTAATGCGGCCGGGTCCAGGGAGAGAGCCCTGGCACGAAAAAAGAAAGGGAGAAGAAAACCAAGACACAGTAGATCCAAGTCCGAGCAGCGAGCGTCAGCCCACAGCCAGGGCCAAGTGTTCAAAACGCCAGAAGAAAGTCAAGAAAAAGCTTGCGACTGGCCGAGGAGGAAGACGGAACGGATGGCGACGAAAGAAAACACCCCGTTACGAACAGGCCAATCAATAAAGCAAAACCTGCGACGGCCGGCAACGTCACACGAGCATCATCGCAAGTAAGGGGGGGAGAGAAGGTAAGGAGGGACAGGGTCCGGTTAGGAGCCGGAGAATAGGGAAATAATAGTTTGGGAACCAACGGCCGTCGACGTCGGGAGGATCATATCGGCGACGTTAGGTTCAGGAGCAGATAAGAAGAAGAAGAAAAGAAAGAAAGAAAAGGGTTGAGGCGCTATTCAAGGCCCGGCGTGGGCGATATAGGACAGGGGAGCTTTAGAAACGAAAAGAGGGCGACCAAAGGGCTCTCCTCCCGAACGACTGGGATCCCGCCTCGCCGGCGACGCCCGCCGTTGTCGTTGTCGCTGTCGTCTTCGTTGTCGAGGGATGCCCTCCTATACGTGTGCAGAAATAACCCACCCCAAAAGACCATCACCTCCTCTCATATTCTTCTTCCCCCCCTCTCCCCCACCTGACGTCTTCCTCCTGCTGGGTATTACCCCGTGTGTGTCTCTCTGTCCATGACGGAAACCTCGCTCTGCTGCTGCACACTCACACTCTCCCAACGGGCCGCTGAGGCCAGCAATGGATCCGACCGGGGCCGACGCCTGACCGGACCCCCACCCCGCTCGGCATACTCGCGCAGGAAAGGGCGTTTGCCCGAGGACGGGATAGCAGGCATCGCTGTATAGGGCGGAGGGAAGGGGGGTGGACGGACGTCGTCCTTTGCTCACGTTGCACCCGGATAGCGATTTGCCAGTTCGTCCCGCCTGGGTATACTGTGATGCCTTGCCTTGCCTGCCTGCCTGCTTGCCTGCTTGTGGACGTCGTCATCGTCGTCGTCGTCGTCGTCGTCGTCGTCGAGGAGGAGATGGTGATGGTGGCGGTGGTGAGGACTGGTTTCAGAAATGCTTCATGAGATGCTGGGGGGTGTGGTGGAATGAATTGGGGGCTGTTGGGTGGATAGTGCTCAAAGGGAGTTTGAGCCTCGAGCCCCTTCTCTCTCCTTCTCTCACCTCGACTCCCCCCTCCCCCCTGCCTCTCTCTCTCGCCGCCGACGACATGCTCAACGAAGGGGCGATGGCTAAAATGGGAGGTGAGCTTTGATGTCATTGCATTGCTAAAGGGGGGGGGGGGGGGGGCTCGCACTCGTCGAGGTTACTGGATATCGTTTTAGTCACTAACTAAATGTCGGGTGTGTTTATGGGTTCCCCGTAGCCTTTCGGCTCTGTCCTTCAACGAGAGCGCTGACACGATATCGGTGTCGTTCGCCATGTCATGTACTACGTACCAGTTCGCAAACGAGTAGAGACGGCCCATCACTTCTCCCCTCAACCCTCCAAGGCGCGCGAGGTTTTACCACCATCAACCTTACTGGAAAGGAGGCCCCCCCCCGGTGTCACAGGACATCCCTCTCACCTCCACAGGAACAGTAAGCCGCCGGCCGTGATTCACATTGCGGCCGCTCTCAGGTCATCCGTATCCCGAGCGGCCCAGAATGTTACCCTCTGTGTCGTTGCCCCGTACATCACAATGAAAACTGTGTGCGTCAACGCCCGACGCACAGCCCCGAGTGAGTCTCGAGGCCAAGATTCGAGCGCGGGCACGGAGCAGCGGATTCCAACGGGCAAGAAGTTCTGTAGCATGCGGGTAAACCCTGGGCGGGGATGGTCGCCAAGCACAGAAAGAGGTAAAAAAAAAAAGACAACGAATGCTGGGCCGGGGCGATGTGCCCATCCTCCCAAGTTTCGGTAATCTGTGGATAATCAACGTCGTATGCGGTACCGCGAACCCTACTCTGCAACCGACGCTGAGGGAGAGGAGAAAGGGTGAGTGTCTCATCGGCCTCCCCCATCCAGGTTGAAGATCACACCCTCCTTCGGGGTGTACGCGCTACTGCCCCCCGTAACCGCCGTCACGGTGCCATCTAGGATTGGTCTGAGAGGTCGAGCGCTGTCAGATCTCATGATACAGTGTTTCCATTCAGAAAGTTTCCTTTGTGTTGAGTATTGGGCATGACAGCTATTCTAGCGTGTTTTTGTGTTATTGTACCTGTGCGGTCCCCTATGAGGCTCTGTCTTGGCTACGCACCTTGGCGCTGTTGTCCGTGTGCTGTTGGGACTTTGGTAGACACCTTTTCCTCCCTGCCCATCCGCGTCGTCCGGGACCCCGTATGTGCACTGGACGGCACTGGGTGACTGCATAAGGGCTCCCTACACGAGTCGCCCGCTACTACGCTCGCTCGAAAGAGGCAAAAGTTGAGACTGGCTGTCTTGACCGGACAGGATGTATCGCATAGCCTTCCGGTGGTCCCATCAACGTGAACTCGTACGAGGGATAGCGGCTGCCGACAGCCTCAGATCGAAGCTTTGACGGTCCCAGAAGGGGGGTTTGACTGTGACCGTGGGTAGCTGCTATTAGTCAGTTGGTCAGTCAGTATCAGCCACAGACCAACGACATACCTGCGAGCGAGGTGGCGTCCAGCATGAGGAAAAAAGTTGTCGTTCTGCCGCGGCTTCCGAATAGTCGAAGTGAACCGAGCTGAGGGCTGACGCGCGTACCCGCAATATTGGCATGATTCTAGGACCACGGCTCAACGGCATTGGAATAACATCCTCGACAAGGAGCAACAAAGCCGGAAAGTCTCAAACCCTCGGACCCGTCAATCGAGAATGTCGCGAGCCAAGATGATACCACCTCCCTCTTGTTTTATTTTTCCTCTCATCTGCCTCGAGTTGACGGCGATGCGTAAATGATGCTCCGTTTGGCAATATGAATATGGTCCCGAAGTGATCTGCGAAACTGATCCGAGTCGTCCATCTCTCTCCTCCATTCCCTTTCGTCTCAGCTTTCTCACCGTCTCTCTCTCTCTCTCTCTCTCTCTCTCTCTCTCTCTCTCTCTCTCTCTCTCTCCCTCTCTCTCTCCCTCTCTCTCCCTCTCTCTCTCTCTCCCTCTCTCTCTCCCCAAGCCCAGGTCCATCGGAGGCGGGCCGGGGCCAGCTGCGTTTCATGTTGTTCGCGTTCGGTGGTCGAGAGCGCGCTGCGCCGTGCGGCGGTGCTTCAGGGCATTGGGTCTTGTTCTTCTTCTTCTTCTCCTTTACGGAGTATTTCTTTTATTTTCGATTCATTGCTGATTTAGAGCGTTGTTGACGTTGACGAGTGATATGTCTTGTGGGAAAAGGTGCCGTTCTTCGGAGGAAAGAGAGTACCTCCCCGGTCTGGTCGCTACTGCTTCCAAGCAGGCTCAGAGGGTTCACCGAGGAAGGTGTGGACTGACACTGGCACTTACCTCGGTGAGGGGTCGGTGAACGATCGGTGAACGATCGGTGAGGGAAAGGCAGGTGCGGGGGGGGCAATTGACCAATCAAAGGCGCTCTATTGCTCGTGGGGTTTTCCTCTCGTCTGTTTTTCCTTTCCCACAAGATACCCACAGAGGGGTTCAACGGCGTCTCATATCAGTGCAAGGCCATCAACATCTATCTGTCTAAGCATTTCTCTCTCTCTTCTCATATAAGCATTTGTTCATTCAGTCCCGCACGATTCCACAGTTTTCGACGTTGCATTTCTGTCTATCTGACCACGAGGAGGTTGGGAAAAGTAAAAAGAGAAAGAAAGAAAAAGGCAGGGAGAAAGGATCCATCCTAGCGGCGGATTGCCTCCGGGACGGGTTGTATGTCTGCCCCGCCATCGGCCCCTCTATTCTGACTCTTTCTCTAATGCCCCTCATCCACGATGTCGAGGAGCACCGAGTTTGCACCGATACCACTGTCAGAAAGTAGCCCACATAGCATGACAGGATTTGACATATGCCCGCCGTGAGGACGCTCTCGGAGTGAAGGATTTTGACAGGTCATCATGGCAAGACTCGACTAACACACTGGGACGTTGCCGCCGCCCTGCCGTAGTAGGTAAGCACTTACTTGTTTTGGCCCGCATCACGCCGCATTACACCGCATATTGCACGTAGTTCCCGTCCGCGTTCGGAGAGGCACCTCGTCCCTTTTCCATATGTATGTACTGTAGGAAATACTGTAGAGAGGAGAAACCCGTTCGATTCTAGTTTGTGTCGGCGGGTCTGCCTCCGAAGAGAGGAACAAGGGGGGAAAGACGAAAATCAAACCGCCGATGCACACAAAGGCAAAAAGCAAACAATTTTTATTTTTTATCCCGAGTGTGAGAATCCACTTTCTGAGTCACACACTCACACACACACCTAGCCCAACTCCAGTCTCCCACTCGAGCCCCTCCCCCAAAAAGGCCACTACCGGTTGTCCCCCTTCCCCTGTGGACGAACATTCATCCTCCCACTCCTCGGTCAACGACGGCTCAAGCAGCACAGATTCACCACACGATACCCAGTCCGATCCAATCCCAGCCCGATAGAACTTCGTTTCTATCGCTAGCATCCGTGTAAGCTTATCTTCCCTCCCCGTGATTGGTCTTGGGCCCGGCCGCTCCCACCGCCCGGTCTGGCCCGCTTCGCCCCCGACCGTTTTAGGACGGCAGGCGGCGGTGCGGCGCGCATCTCACGATCAAAGGCACCCACCAAAACCCGACGCTCACGGGGCAAGAGCCTCGGGACCGCCGTGCCGTGGGTGGACTTTAGAGGTGCAATGGCTGACGGACGGCGCAGTTCTTGATACCCTTATAGACTATACAGTCAAAATGCCCGGTCTCGACCTTGAGCATGAGCCCCTCGCGGCCGACGACGTGAGAAGTGAGTCACTTGATTTTTCTCCCTTTTCATGTCATAATTTTACCGACTCGGATTTTGAACCGAACCCACACCCATCTTCGATATGTCACTCATCCTTGGGACCCTGTTCTTCCCTCAGCCCCACTCAGGCTGTTGAAGCATCCGATATTATCTCAAGACAATGGCATCAAGTTGATGACGGACAACCTGCATTCAGAACCCGTCTAATGAGATCCAAATCATACCCCCTCATAATCCTCACCCCACCCTCACCTGAACTCACTCACTGTCCGCTCGCACTCTCACTCACTCACCCACACCGCCGCCGGCCACAGTCACCATGACCAAAACGCCCATGAACTAACTCGCCCTCCAGTCCTGGGACAGGACCCTCTGATCCCTCCCGCCCTCCTTAGCTCCGAGATCCCCATGACGGATGCCGCCCTCCAGACAGTCGTCAAGGGCCGCAACGAGGCCGTCGACATCATCATGGGTCGCGATGACCGCCTGCTCGTCATCATCGGCCCCTGCTCGCTCCACGACCCCGCGACCGCCCTTGAGTACTGCGAGCGTCTCAAGGCCCTCGCCGAGCGCCTCTCTGGCGACCTCTGCGTCATCATGCGCGCCTACCTCGAGAAGCCCCGCACCACCGTCGGCTGGAAGGGCCTCATCAACGACCCGGACATCGACTCCACCTTCAAGATCAACAAGGGCCTGCGCATCTCTCGCCAGCTCTTCCGCGACCTGACCGCCGCCGGCATGCCCATCGCCAGCGAGATGCTCGACACCATCTCCCCACAGTTCCTTGCCGACTTCATCTCCGTCGGCGCCATTGGCGCCCGCACCACCGAGTCCCAGCTCCACCGCGAGCTCGCCTCCGGCCTGTCCTTCCCCGTCGGCTTCAAGAACGGCACCGACGGCAACCTCGGCGTCGCCATCGACGCCATCGGCGCCGCCGCCGCCAAGCACCACTTCATGGGTGTCACTAAGCAGGGCCTTGCCGCCATCACCCGCACAAAGGGTAACGAGCACGGCTTTGTCATCCTCCGCGGTGGTTCCTACGGCCCCAACTATGACAAGGAGAACGTCCAAAAGGCCAAGGACACCCTGACCAAGAAGGGCCAGAAGCAGGCCATCATGATCGACTGCTCCCACGGTACGTTTCCTCCCTCGTCGGGAATGGACCAAATGCATGTATGAGACAGCCTGGACTAACAGCCCGCCCCCCTCCCAGGCAACTCCAACAAGGACCACCGTAACCAGCCCAAGGTCGCCGCCGTCATCGGCGACCAGCTGCGCGAAGGCGAGACCTCCATCATCGGTGTCATGATCGAGTCCAACATCAACGAGGGCAACCAGAAGGTCCCCGCTGAGGGCCCCGCCGCCCTGAAGAAGGGCGTCAGCATCACCGACGCCTGCATCGACTGGGAGTCCACCGTCGACGTGCTCGAGGACCTCGCCGCCGCCGTCCGCGCCCGCCGTGAGCGCAACGTCGGCTCCTCCAAAAGCAACGAGGACTCCCACAGGGTCACCCACCTCGAGGAGGAGTAAAAATGTCCTCTATTGTGGGAGGGTAGCGAGGTTTGAGAGTGCCGGGGTGACATAGTACAAGAAGGGAAGAAGGGACTCGATTTGGGCGGGACAAAAGAACATACTACACGTGCATTGCATTTGCATGATTCCAAGGGGAGGGGTCAACAGAAAAGTCTTTTTTATTTATACGTTATCGGTTTTCACGCTTGATGGTCACGATGCTTGGGTAACGAGTGCTTGCGTCCTGGGTCGTCGCCGAACACTGCCCGGGACGGGACGCTGGATAGAGGTCAATAGCTTTGCGAAACATGGCTCGGCACTTCTATTTTGCTACTTGTCGACAGCACGTCTCTGTGTTGTAAAGTGACAATTCGTACATGGCCCCTCGCTCGTGAACACAAATGTTCCCAAACCCACCCGGAACGCCAACACCCAGATACCAGTCGACAACATCAATTCGGCGTCGCCATCGGATAGTAATTCCCTCTCCCCGCTCCCGCCCTAGCAGCGTCGGCCGCGCGCTTCCCCTCGCGCAGCTCGTTGACCCTCTTGAGAGCGGCCCAGCCCAGCAAGCCCGCGGTGCCCAGGATGAAGCCCCAGACGATGACGCGGTCCTTGTTGCTGTCTCGCTGGAAGCACATGGTCTGGACGTTCTCCTCGATGGCGTCGCGGCAGAAGCTGATGCCGCTGGTGAGGCAGAACGCTTTGGTGCACTGGGAGCAGGACGTGGACGCGGCGCGGCGGGAAGGGGCGCCGCCAGATTGATTGTCCCGGTGTTGGGGCCCGAGGGCTACGATGGTGCTGTTCTTGAAGCAAGTACATCTGCAGAATGTCGGCGCTGCTTGGAGACAGTGTTAGTAAATGGCCTCCGAGGAGTTGCTGATCATTGGGGGTACGGAGGGGAAGCGATGGAGGACTGACAATCTGCGCCGACAAGCGCTATGAGCCCGCAAAGAAGCAGGAGAAGTAGAGATATACGGTTCATATTGGCTGTTTGGGTCAGTGGGACTGCTTCGTCTGCCCGTTGCGACACAGTCTCTCTCTCTCTCTCTCTCTCTCTCTCTCTCTCTCTTTCTCTCCTCCAAAATCACTTGAGGTTGTCGCCGTCAAAGGCTGAGGCTTCAGAGGTGACGGCGTGCACGAGCCACATTCGGTCCGGCTGCGCGCAATACGCCCCTGCTGTGGCAGCACTCCTGTGGCTGAAGCTTTCCGGTTTCTGATTCGTCAGCGCGACCCCCCGGCATCCAAAAAAAGTTCAATTGGAGACTTGCAGCTCCCTCTCTGGCAACATTGTGCCGTAACGCAAGGAGGGAAAAACCACCAAGCTTCCTCACAAACCAGGTTCCCTTCCCCGAACACCAACCGCCCATCATGCGCCGCGTACCACGTCTCCGGCAGCCGGGCCTGCTCGCGGCGTCCCCGATGCATTGCACCTGTACCGCCGCGCCCGCCACCCTCCCCATCCAAGCGACGGCACGACGAGCCCTCTCGACTACGCCCGCGACGCACAGCCGCCTCCGCAAGGCCCTCTGGAAAGGCGGCGAGGCACCCGGTCCCGAGGACCCCTACACGCCCGAGTCGTCGCAGGCCCTCCGGCAGCAGCAGCTCGAGCGCGAGCTCGCCGAGGCCGAGGCTGAGCTGGCGGCGTACGAGGCCGACGCCCAGCAACACGTCAAGACGCAGAAGACGGACAGGGAGCGGAGGCACGTCACTAGCCGGCTGACGGGCAAGATCAAGAACCCGCGCGTGTGGGCGCCGACGGAGAAGGAGGGTGAGGCCAAGGGCTACGTGCCGGCCCAAACCGCCGCCGGGCTCGAGGAGATCGGCGGCCTCGATGGCTGGTGGGATCAGGAGGGCCGGTGGGGCAAGGAGAGCCAGTACGTCACGTTCACGCGGGGCGGCAAGATTCTCGACGCAGCCGTGTGCGAGGCGCTGGTCAGGCAGGCCGTCGTCGAGGTGCTCGCCGTCCAGAGCACGACGCCGGACCACCTGACGGGCACGTGGGCCAAGGGCGGCCGCAAGAACTTCAACCGCGCGATGATGGTGCGCCTGGTCGCCCAGGAGGACGGCAGCCTCGCTCTTCAAGGCGACGCCGAGGTGACCGCTGCCATTGGCCGCGTCGCCACCATCAAGTCCAACGAGACCGAGGCCGAGGCCTACCTCACTCCCGAAGAGGCCCAGGAGCAGATCAAGCATTGGGATCCGAGCTGGAAAAACGCTTCTCTGCAAGACGTGCGCCTTAAGTTTGCCGTAAGTTCAGTCACAGCCCCGCGTCCCCAAAGGCGACGACGCACTAACAGGAAAAAACGCAGGTCCACAAGCGTGTCTTCCAACTGACGGGCCATCACGTCCACGACGCCAAGCTCGCGCAGGTCAAGACGGTGGCGGATCTCATCAGCACCATCGTCAAGCCGCCCAAGCCGACAAAACTGGCCGACGCGGTGCGCGAGCGCGGCGAGCTTCTCGAGCTGCCCAACGTGCGCGTCCACGACCGCCGCGTCACGCCCATCGACAAGGAGACGGCCGTCGGCCGGTGGAAGGTCATCACGGAGGAGCTCGAGAAGCGCGGCCTGCCAGTCACGGGCCACGAGCACCTGCCCAAGCCGGTGCAGAGGAAGTGGATCCAGGGCCGGACGTAAGCGGGGCTGGTCCGGGGGGGGGGGCTGTCGAGAGGGGGAGGCGGGGAGAACAAATATGGGGGAAAAGTGAGGATTGTGTCCGGCATAGAAGAGGCTTGTACAGATATTGTACTCTTTGTAACATATGGAATATCATCGATTCTTGCTCTGCCATTTGTCCTACGGGCGCTCATGGATTTGGAGACTCCACATGGAGTGATTGTTGTTGTTCGCGAGGGGAAAGATATGGGATATTTGGTTATGACGATACAGAAAGGGGCCTGCTGGAAGCCTGATCATTGCCTGTTGCACCAATCCCCGTCTGACTTCACACAGCTGCTATTATTCGTCATCCTCTGTCGTAATTGTACGAAATACAGATGGAACCACCAGCAACGCCTCTTACCCCCTTCGATTTTACAGAGGTCATGTTTGAAAAACCGTACATGATGAGACGTGCTGGGCACGTGATGATTGTCATGAGTGGGAAGGAAGGTCTCTTCGGCAGGCAGGAGCACCTTCACCCGGCCGCGCCTTCCCTCGTTCTTCAAGAGTCTCACACTCAATCCCATTACTTGTCGCCGTTCTCTGCAATTTTCTCGCTCCCATTCCATTCTCCTGCGATTGCTCCGTCCTTCTTTTGCCTTCACTGTCTCCTCGCCTCTCTGCTTCACCACCTTCCCTCGAATCTTTCACGTCTTTTCAGCGCGTATCTATCGACTGGGAACAGAAGCGCAGAACCCTCGTGCCTTCTCCACAACTCCCTGTGTTTAGATCTCTTGTCATCGTCACAATAAGACTGTCTTTTCTCACCCGCCATCGATTACCGCACCCTGGGGATTAGCTGCGCAGGCCCGTGAACAGGACATGAACTCATACGCGTAAGTCATCTTTTCTATATGACTGTTTACATTTCGTTGGTCTTTTCCATGGTGATTAAAAGCACCCCTTCTACGCTTCTTTGCCTGTGTCTCCACTACAACCAACACTCCACGCCAAAGTCGCAGCCACCAACCTGCTGCATTTTCCTGCGGCAGAAGGACAGCGCTTGTGGAAGGAATGAGCCATGATCCAAATAAACTCAATTTTCACCAGATACCCGGGTCTTCGTAGCCAAGTTATGGAACAGCTGGAAAAGCCGGTGTTTGAGATGGGATACAGTTAACTACCCCCATCGTCCCAGCCAGCATGGAACCGTCTGAAGGCAGTTTACGCCATATTGAACCCTTTCGTGAGCGAAATTTCCAGTCCCGTCGACTGCGAGGTCGTCAAGATCGCCAATAAAGACCCCGTGCATAAGTACGTTGATGGACTTCTAAGAGCCTATGGATGGTGCCTAGTTAAGTATTGCGGCCCATCCATCGATGCCTTGCAAAGGGTACTGCCCATGCGAGTTTTCACAGGCTTGACAGTCAATTGTCTCCTGGCAAAGATCTAATCGATTGATCTTGGTGTTTCTTCTTCCGCAGTCGCGAGTTGGGGTTTCGAGCAGACACATCAGCCGATTCTGCGTCCCTCAGGGAGCAGCAAGCCTTCTTATTCAGGATATAGCGGCCAAATTTCTAGCCCTGCTCGAGCAGTGCCGGCGACTCAGGTGGCGCCTTTACAGTCATCTTTCCAAGGACCAGCGTCGAAAACCACGTCTGCATCACAGATATCTCAGGTCAGGGGGAACAGACCAGCTCGATGGGCAAAAAGGCAGCTCCTCCAGACATGACACCATCAACGATCACGCCGGGGGCTTCTCAGCCATGTCAAAGTTCGTAGCAAAGGTTCGACCTGCCACGGACGGCCAACCTCTCACAAAGGCCACCGCAGTTTCTTGTCAGTCACAACCCTCTGGACATCCCTCTTCGAACACATCAACTCAATTGGCAGCTTCCTCCGCCCCGATGGCTAGAGAGAACGATGTACCCAAGACTTCAGCTGCTCCCGGTGCGGAACCGGGCCCCTCGATCGGCAAGAAGGGTGCTGCAAAGGCTTCAGTCGCGTCTCCATCAAATCTCAACATGGGCAACCGTACTAGTGCCTATCCGAAATCGAAGGAGACTCCTCGCCCTACCAAGACCGAAGAAGACATAGTCTTATCCCCTCATCTTGCGTCACAGACAGCAGTCATAGACATTAAGGATGATGAGGAGGGAGAGGTGTGCCAGAACGTGCAAGGAACCCGCAGTCAACAGGTCAAGCACCTATCGGCTAGACTTGCGCGCGATCTGCGCCCAATGCTCCACGAATACGTGCGGGATAAGCTTAAGGTTGTCAACCAAGATGCTGCCACTCTTACGCAATGAAGAACCCGCAAGTTGCTGGGTTTCCAGAGTAATGCACACTTTGGGTTCTTTGTTCTTCGCGATGTGGAGGTCAAGACGATGGAGAGCATGACGAATGAGGCCTCGGCGCTCATTGAGGGCACCCTTGGTCAGATCGCGAACCCCACGAAGAATGCTACGAGTCAAGGAATCGAGCGCGAAACGGAGGTTCCTGGAGAGGCCGCCACCGAGGGTGACTGACCTGCGAAGCGGCTGTGAAATCGGAGGGCTTAGATGCTGCTGAACAGATAGCGCTGATCCAACGCCGGTCCGAGGTTTTTGATGCCGCATGGTGGCGCGCGGGTCGAACATCATGCTAACCTGATACACCATGCAGAGTTGACCGCGTCCGTCGGCCGAAATCTCGGTATGGCCTCGACCATTGCTTACAGGGCTTGGAGAAGCTGATAGTCAGCTCGTTCGAGTGGGCTGAATAGTAGGCGAGTTTCTGCGTGTAAGAACTATTATCTTTAGAGACTTGGCCCCGGTGGAGGAAATACTGAGGCGAGTCGGATTTGTAGAGCACACCCTTGCAGCAGAACCTTTGTGTCGTAGCCTCAGAGACGCGAGATGGGTACTTTTCCCGTCTTCCTAGTTAGTTTACACCGAGGTTCAATCATGTCACGCAGTGCTACACCTTTATAGCTCCCGGAGGTATCATTCAGGTACCAGCGGCGCAGGACTGCAAGTTCATTCGAGCCTCAAGTGGGCGAGTAGCTTAATTGGTGCTACCTGGATGCGTACTGACTCTAGGTCCTCTGTATCGTCATCTCTCATCACGCCGTAAGCAACGCTCATGCCAGTCATAAACCTCCGCCAACTCCTCTGAGCAATCCCTCTCGCAATGCCATCGGTCACGTCCGTCGTTTCTGTTATTGGCCGTCGTCAGCACACGTCAATCATGCGGGCACGAAGAGAAAGGAGAGAGTATGGGAGGGGGAGACTCAACAGTTGAAGCAGAAGCAGCCGTTGTCGTTGCCGATGCGCTCGGACAGGTTGACGTTGCAGTCGACAGCCTCGCCCTCGACGTTGAAGAGGCGGGCGCGGAGGATGGGGACGCTGTCGCCGCCCTCGATGCTGAAGTGGATGTCCTCGGCGCTCTGGGAGAAGTCTGTGTTGAACGAGGACGGTTAGTTACCGTTGACTCAGTGGATGACGGTGGGAAGGGGGATGGGGAGGGAGAGAGGAAGTGAGTGCTTACTGCTACCGCCCCACTCAAAGGAGCCGTTGTTGTTGCCGAGGAAATCGTTGAGGTTGCACTCAGCGTCGACGCACTCGCCGTTCTCGTTGTTGAGGCGGGCGCGGAGAATGTGGCCGTCGTCGACGCGGATGTCCTGGGCAGAGATGTGGAAAGACATGGTTGCTGGTTGGGGAGTTGGGTAGGTTTGGGGTATCAAAAGGTGTCGTTGTAGCTCAAAGAAGTTGAGGTTGTTGCAGAAGGAGGGGATGGGAATGGAGGGGAGGGAGAAGGCGGTGACTTATATAGACGTCGTCGTCAGGGGAGGGGGTGGAGGGGAGGAGGAGGAGGCTCGTTGAGCTCATCAGACGGTCTCCATTCCAACTGAAAAGGTACCTCTGCCGAAGAGGGCGGGGAAGGTACAGCTCAGGGGAAGGGGCGAGAGGCCTCCATCGAATTCACTGGGGAAGTCGGTTTCGTTGCTGGAGACACGTGGAAGGAAAAGAGCGGTCTTGGGCGGAAGTAGTGATGATGTCTTGGCGATCGTGGCACTCTTGTTTCTTTGTCTTGGATGCTCGCGGGGTGGGATGGCGGGCGTCGGTGGCCTTGATCTTGAGGAGGGGCAAACGGCAAAGCTCGCCCGCCCTATGGCCATCTGAGGGACCAGTTTCCTTCACATCTCTGCTTGTGTCAATGGGGCATCGAAGCTGATTTTGCTACACTACACCAGACCCCTACAAGATCCATTGTCTCGGTTTGCGTCTGTCGACTCCCATAGGGTGAACCACCCCGTCGTCCACCAACGGACGTCGTCTTCGTGGAGCCAAGGATCCTCAGGCCTCCTCCGCCGTACAGGGGGGACGGGACCGGGGGGGGGGGGGGGGGGAGCTCCAGGAGCTTCGTTGGTTGGTGTGGAGGGGAGGGGCAGCTAGCTCGAGTGGGAATGGAATGGAGGGGCAGCTCTTTTTCGGACACGATGGCCGGTCCCGCTTAGCTTTAGCTGTCTTTGTGGTTCGACAAGCGGTCTGTTTTAACTACCTACCTACCTACTTGTGTATATTGCATCGTAGTCCTTACTGTCTTAGGAGGCGACTTCTATGGTTAAGATTGAACTATAATTCTCGGCTGAGAACCTAGCTAAAAATAGGGTAGTTAAATACCCGGATACTTCCGTGGTACTCTGTTTCAGCTGGAAACCTATCGTGCTGAGTACCGGGCATGATGCTTATGCTGTGTGTTTCCCCAACCGTGTCGAGAGCATTATTGTGTACCTGTGCCTTGTATATACGTACATCAATGTAGGCGTAGTCAATCCATCGGTAGGCGAGAGGAGCCCTCGTTCGCGACGGGGTCAGGTCCCTAGGACCCCGCCGGCAAGCTGATGCCGACGACTCACGATGGGGGCCGCTTGGCGGACATGGGGTTGAGGGGGGGTGGTGGCTGTTGGACATGCATGCAGGGCGACACGCGCAGTGGAAAGACAGACGCTTTTGAGCAGACGGAGGCGAACGGCAGGTCGACGCGTGAGATGTGAGGTGTGCACCGAGATGACGCGGCCTCTTGTCGTTGTTTGCCCTGCGGTAAGGGCGTTCTCGAGGGGCCAGAGGTCAGGAGCGGAAGCGGGAATGTCTTGGCTGGCGGGAGGCAGCCGCGCGCTTGGGTCGGTTGAATGGTGCTTTCTTTTTCTTTCCTGCTGTTCCTTCTCCCCTTTCTCCTCCCTAGCTTTTGATTCGAGACGGAGTGAGGGGTGACCACTTGGCGAGGCACTACCTACGCCCCTGAATGGGCGTCCCGTTGTTACATATACTATTCAGGTACGGAGACATGAGACGGATGTGAGCCCAATTCACCATCATTCGATGCAAGCTCAACGGATGGCATGACAACCACGTGCCACAAAGTCTATTACCATGTCATTCTGTGCCGTGTCCTCACATGTGCCTGATGGTGACAGAGCTTGCAACCCCCCCACCAAATCGTCAGTCCCAAGGTCATCCAAGCTGCAGCGGACAAGAGAGAACTTGGGGTTCGGATCAACGACGCTGGCAGGGCCTGACAGTCGAGAGACCATGGCAAAGGTTGGTACGGCTCGAGCTCTCGGCCGCGTGGAATATCACAGGCTGCTGGTGGAAAAGGAATACACAAACTCCTGCTATTTTCTTCCATCGGCTGTGGCGATGAGGAGGTGGAAATGGGACATGCCGTGACGTCTGTTCAGCTGAGGGGCCTAGGTAGCATGAGGCTGTCAGAACCCCTGGACCCTTTCCCCCCTCACCCATCCTCTCCTATCCTTTCCTATCCGTTGCACTACCTATTGAGACTGAATCGGCAGCATTCCCTGACACACCTTCAGTCTCCTGCCCTCCCCGGTCCCCCGGCCTCGGGGGAAGGATAGACCTATCACAGGGGCCCCCGAGGGGGTTTCGGCCGGGAACGGGGGGTCGTGGGCTCGCGGCATGAATCGGAGCGTTCCCGTGTGTGACGCTGGCAAAGCCCGCGGGGCCGGCCCTTGGGGTCCGTGATCTTAGTAATGGAACCTCTGTGAACATCACACGAAACACGCTGGATGGGGGGCGTCTTGGCGGTCTGAAAATGCAACTGTACTACGTACGGCGACAGCGGTCACCACGGGTCGTCGGGCAAATGGCGAGGGTGACGATCGGTCGTCGCACAGGCCACCATCCGAGGGGTTTTTCTTTTGGAGGGGTTCGGAGGGAACCAGAGAGCTAAGGCGGGGCGGGGCGGGGTTCGGACGCATCACAGGAGCGGTCAGAGGCTCGTTGGGAGAGACGATCCCAAGAGGGTTTGGAGTCGATCGAGTCCATCAGGGTTGATACGAGGCACCTTGAGGGTTCAGGCGAGTTGTATAAGAAGGGGACGGGGAGCCTAGTCTTCTCATACGTTGTTGTACTACAGCGTAGGCAACCTTTTGGGTGATTTGTTTTGTCTGGTTGTTGGACACGTCATTTACGAGATCATCACCATGCACCATGCTACGCCGCGCGGTGAGACTAATCGCGCTGCAGGACGAGAGCGAAAACTTTCGACGACTCAATATAAAAGTAGTATTCAAATGAGCGACTACGCTAGCCGACAGGTCCGATCGAATCATGTGGGAAACGAAGCAAACCGTCCGCCGGTTACGGCGACCGCCGATCCCGTTCGAACCTAGAACCGTAACCCATCCCCGAAAGGCAAGAAATTCATATCGTCATTGTATCGAGAAAGGATGAAATCGTGAACTAAGGATCGGTTCGTCAAGAGGTCGTAAAAGGGAATAGATTATTTTCCGCAAGAGGAGCACGAGCAGTCAGTGCCGCAGTTGCCTAAGGTACATTAGCGCCGGTTTTTATTATCCCCGACGCCGACAGCGAATGCCGTGACGAAGTAGGTAAGGGTAAGTAAGGTGTTAGGGGAGGTCACATACAGGAAGAAGCGCCGGAGCAGCCGCAGTCACCCTTCATTTTAATGGTATTTGGTTGGTTTGGGGGGGTTTTGAAGAAAAAGAGTTTGGTTGAAGATGATGTGATGAGCTTGGTTGTTGCGTTATGGAGATCAATCCAAGAGAAGTTGGGAAGAGGGAATGAAAGCGCGCACTTATATATTCAGAAGTCTCTCTCCAAACAGGCACACATCCCATGGCCAGCGCCAAAAAAAAAAAAAAAACACAGGAGGGGGGCCGCTGCCGTCGTCGAGTAGCAGGAGGAGGGGGGTCGGATGTCAGATGAGGGCGGCCAGATGGAGCCGGATCGAGTGGCGTTATTGGGCGGATGCGCCGTTTGTGCGGAAAGACAAGGCTCAGTACCGTTGCGCTCGGGGCTGGAGTGGGGTTTGCGGCCTTTGTGCGTTGACGGTGGCCAGTCATCCCTCTTTGGTGGGATGTGGACTTGGGAACCGGCCATGCATGCCCATGGAGGGGGAGGGGGAGGTAGAGGCGTGCTGCTCCCCCCCTTCTTGGACTTTCTTGCCTCTTTCGCGTCCTTTCTGCGGCCCTCCCGATCCGGCTTATCGCATCGTCGCCGGATAAGGTTCACGGATTGCGTCTTTTGTGTGAGATGGGCTAGGATTCATCGAATTGTTCCTTCATGCGTCCTTTGCAGTCAGAACCCCCAGATCCCTGGATGGAAAGGACTAGATTAGATTTACGGCTAGTCAAGGCCGAATACGGTAGGTATTTGATGGCATCTTCCAGCACCCACGGGACCGAGCTAGGCGATACCTAGAATGGTCTCGTTCTCTCGTTCAGGCAGGACCCTGAAGCTCTGGTCTGTCGTCGAGAGCGGCGGGGGAGTGGCGAGGTCAAAACTCTCCCCATGCGCTAACGCCCGCGCTGATGGAGGGGTGAGGGGTTGTCGGTGGTGGCCATGACGTCGCTTCATATGCGTATTTGTGGCTATACTGCGTTGCGGCTTTTGTGCGTGAATCTCTTCCACTCGCCCGTGGGCGACCCGACGTAGTTGAGACCGGACTAGCATCATCGGGGAGGCATTTGTGCCTTTGCTGCGAATCCGAGACACCCGCGTTTGTCGGGAGTTTCGCGATGGCTCTGTCAGGCGGCCCTTCTCGCGCGGGCGGGCCAAGGGTCCGTCCGTGTCTTTCCATTTGGTACCCGGTGTTATCTCGTCGCTACCTACCGCTTCTTCAGCGGTAGGCAAAGTGTACTTGACAGAACCCCACCATTGACACGACACGACGTCCCCACGGTGCTCAACGTTTGTGGATGTACCTACCGGTATGTGTGTGCTTTGGCCTCTTGCGATGCCGATGCGGTATGTTTGCTGCCGGTTCCCGTCGCAACCACCGGTTGTTGACCAGCGTGTCAAAGTGCTTCCTTGGTTACCACGCTAGCCCTCGACTGGCCTCCTCCTCCGCGCCCCCCATCCTTCACCTCTAGTCCATGGGACGTGATATCGGGATAGAGCAAAGAGCTAGAATGCCTCGGTATTGCAACTTGCCGGATGAGCCAGGCTACCTAGTGGCCGAGATGAGTGCATAGTAGTTAAACCATGGACCCTTCCCGGGCAATATATCCGCGCCATGCCGCTGGGCCTGCATCATTGCGCTGCATCCAGGCGTCTTTGATCCCCAGCCGTCCGCGGCGAACAGTTGTCAGGCTGTTATGCCGGGCTGATCTTGTTGGTGGATCGGCAGCTCGCTTCGTCTTCTTGCAGCTGCTGCTTCGGGTGAGGAACTCGCTCAAATAGTGACCGAGACGCCAAGCAACGGCAATGGCATCGATATCTTTCTCAAATGCGAGCAACACCAGTCAACCGTAAAGCCTGCGAATTGTGCTGCATTGCCATTCGTCGTGTCGAACAATCGCGCGGGTGAAGGAAAGGGCTGACAGACACGAGTGACCCATTTGGGGAGAGATCGGCCGATACCGGGACGAGGACATCTCCCCGCACGTGAATTGTGCAGACTATTCAGCGACCGGCAAGTCACGTGACTATCTTCTTCGGGCGCTGGCTCGGACCTGTGTGGTGGTTGTGTGTCATTCCTACGTCTTACACCAACCACAAGATGATGGCCGCAAATCACAAGGTTTTGGAGTCCTTCGCTGGCTTCAATGTCCCTTACCGCTCTCCTAAGGTCACGAGGTGTGATGAGCACTTCCCCCCGAAGGATTCGTACTTAGAAACTACCTCGAAGCGTCAAGTCACCTTCGAGATTAGCCTTGCGCTAGCATAGAGGCCGGGCGAATTCTTTCACGTGGCTGGTGGCTGGGCATCATCTGTGTTCATGTCCGTTGCCATCTATCCGTCAGCTCCACGTCAACTGCCGCCGGATCGACTCGAGCGAACAACCATGGCCTGGGGGGCTAAACTCATGCATGACCTGGGCAACGCATCCATCTCGAGGCTCATGCCGACGCGTACTTCTTCAAGGCACACTAACTGAGACTGGTTCTCGTCACCGTGATATCACAGAGACGAATGAGCAGTATCAAAGGCGATGCATCATTCATCTGTGGACGCTCATACGGAACGCATCATTTCATCACACGCACAAGTATCGGGTCACAGTCGCCACTTGCTGTTCAGCGCAAACTATATCCTCCATTCACTCTCCGAATCTAAGCCAAAGCCAAGTCGAAGTCATCGGGTATCCTTCAGAATGCATGTTAATGGTCAAACCCGACTGTTAGTCCAAACTCCGGAATAAACGCTCCGCTCCGCGAGGCCTCCTATCTACACAGACGTGCCCATTTGTGTTACACCACCCCATTTGGTATATCATCATCCCGAACCCGGAAGCCCGACTCACTAGGGTTAACTTGTCCATCATCCACAGCTGTGTTTCTCTGTCTGTGAATCCGGACTGCAGCACAGTGATCATAGGCCATAACATGCACCAGGCATTGAATGCGATGCCCTGATTCCTTGACGCAGGTTCCCTGCCGTCAAACCCAAACAAGACACGGACCTGCTCGCAGATCTGCTCTACCGCCGTTAAACCGTGGGGGAGGCTGGTGAGTATCCCGAGCTCCTCACAAGTTGGTTCGCCGTGCGCCATGGACAGGTTGAGGATGAACTCGATGACCTGGAGTCTCACGGTGAGATACAACCCCTTCAACGCGGCCTCGGTCGCGTACGAACTTCGACTTAGTAGGTTGTTGAAATTATTCGACTCCTCCCCCATTGCTCCAGTTTGCCGTGATGTCTTCCGCGGCCCTGGCGACATGATCCTGTAATTTGCGGCTGCTTCAAGATCGCGGATGATGTCAAGTCCTGTCTGGAGAATCCCTGTGATGGGCGCCTCCCGACTTTTGATAGACGTCATGACGCTGTCAACCGTCCCCTTGAATTCCACCGCCCGTGCCAGTAACGGCTCTACCACGGCATGTCTCGTCCAGGAGGCGCTCTTCACGACAGGAAAAAGCAGGTCACGACGTTCCCCCCCGGCAAAAACCTGGAGGACCTATACGTCATCAGCAGCGCTGTTGATTGGGTTAATCTCAAGGGAATTACTAACTCCGATATGGGCGACAAACGCCAATATGCGACTATCCAACGAGCTGGCGACCCCTTGATCGGCTCGGTATCTCAGGATCATCAAAGATCCCTTACAGTGCGACACGGCCTTTGGCGACATCTCTTCTGGTATTAGTCCCTGCACCCGCGTTAGCACGGCTCTTGCCACTGTCGCTGAATTGCACGTCTCCAACCGCCCGACGTGCTTCACCGACACCCACCTCGTATATGCACATTGCAAGCAGGGCAACGGCGACCGAGTCGTCCTGCGCCGTCGTGGGATTTTGCAAGGCCGAGTTGATCTTCGCGATGGCACTGCCGTAGTATCGTCTCGCCAGGACCATCAGCCCCGCCTGCCTCGTTTGCATGGCACAGCTTGCGAGCGCCGTGGCCCGGATCGCCCCCTCGAAGGCGGCAGACGTGGTGCGCGACGCCCTGAGGCCGGCCAAGAGGCTGAACCAGGCCGTCTCGTCCGCGCATGCGTAGTTTGAGTAAAACCGCTCCAGCCAGACGAACTCCGAGTCGACCTGGAGCTGCTTCGGCACCGTCGACCTCCTCCTCACGCTTTCACCCGCTGCCGCCGCTAGCGAGTTTGCTTTGCCGCCGCCTGCTATGCTTGCCGCGTCACTCGGGGCCTCCCTCTCCTTGAGCCGCTTGGCGATGCGGAGCTCGACTTGGAGCGCTGCAGTTGCATTCTCTGAGCGGTGCGCGACCGCCCAAGGGTCTGCGTAGCCAGGGCATGGCTTTCCCCGGCCTTCGCAGCGGCGGCAAGAAGGCTTCTGCAGGTCGCACTGAGTACGCAGTTAGCCGTATCAGCCTGCGACGAGTGAGTTGGAAGAGTGGGGTAATTATACTTTAACCTTACTCGTTCTACAAGCGAAGCAACTCGCCAACGGACGGCACCTCATGATGCGAGTAAGTGAACCTCCTTTTGCAATTTGATAAGTGGGCTAGAGTCCAGTCTGGCATCGCGGACCGGGTCTGCAATTGATGTATCGACGGCAGACCGTTGAATCGATCCGCAAGATTCCAGGTCAGATTGCCCAGTGGCGCTCGGCCATCTCCAGAGATTCGTAAATGAACAAAGCGCCCACAGATGGACAGGATGAAGTTTAGTGAGATGCGTCAATTTGAACTCTAAAGCCCTATCGCCGATAGACACAAGTGATACTTTTATCCGGAACATTACTCTTGAGTCGAGGCCTCCCCCTTTTCGAGCAGATTCCATCATACATGGTTGTGGCTATGGGGTGGGCAATATCGTGCATAGTATATACTAATGGTGTACTAATAGCTTGTGTATCTTGTGGTTTCTTTCGATTATGATGGGGATTGCCCCTTAGATATAGATCGGCGTGTTTCAAAGAGGTCAAAATAGACTTCCATTCTCTGCGTGGGTGACGGGCCCCTTAGTCCGACATAAAACTCATGCAGGAGAGGGTTGCTGAACTTGTTGTTCGTTTCTGGACAAAGGTCAATGTTTAATTAGCATCAATGCGAAAGCCATTCTGACGGCAAAGGGCACACAAATGTGAGAACAACTAAATGGTATTGTCTGAGTTCTGAGAGGACCATATACATTCTCAAGTTCTAAAACACAAGGACGCATATCGGCGCCCAAGGACTGTTCCTCCTTATCTTTTCTGATCGCTTCCGAAGAGAATAGGGTAAGAAGGTTATTGGAAATGTGCGCCTATGATGCGAACTCCAATGTACCATGTTGCGTCAGGTCAGCTGCTCTGCTCTGATGAAGACCTGACTCTAGTGAGCATAACAAGCATGCCTATTCGACCTCCGCCTATGCGGCAATACCTCAATAGTTCCACAGCTCGTATTCTGCAAAATTTCTCGCACGGATGGTTCAATTCCAAGACCCTCAGTCTTCTTCGCTGGACTCCAACACCACAGACAGTCTTCTCGGCCGTATTGACGCTGACACCCTCGCGGCTTCTTTGGACCTCGTCAAGATCGTCTTTCTCAGCTTTGCCTTCTCTTCCGTTTCCTTGTTGACACTCAGCCGGACCATATCTCTCAAGTCGTCCTCCCAACCCCTGCTGCTTTCCATCGTGCTCGTGTTGGTGAGGCCCCATTCGACAAGCAGTGCGTGTTGCTCGCTGGCGCAGTGCTCCTCCTTGATGCCCCCGTTTCTCCCAGGCACGATGCAGTCGCCAAACTCTTTCCTAAGGCCGTCGAGCTGTTCCTTGAATCCTTTGGCGGCAGCCGTCCTCTCCTTGGCCTGCAGGACCATGAATTTTGCAATTGCCAATTTCTGGTGGACGTAAGTGCAGGCCGATCTAGCACACTCTTCGTAAGAGGCCGGCTCATCGAAGCAGCTTTGGCCAGTACACGAACTTCTGTCCGATTCCCAGTGACGCTTGGTACGCACAATGGCCGCGTGATCTCTGAGCGATCTTTTGAATCTCCACAGATCCATGGCGTGTTCTTCTCTGAGACTGGCTTGCAGAGTATCGTGGAGTGTCTCGAGAACGCGGCGCTCGATGCTGTAGGCTGCGACTGCAATTTTGATACATTTGGATGCTGTAGGTTCTGAACCAATGTTGTCTGTGTCGGTCCTGGGTCTGGATACCGTTTTTTCAAATCCAGTCGATGGCATCGCTCCGTGTTGGTCGAGCGATGGGGACGCAGCACCTTTTCTAAACCCAATATGCTTATTGAAACCCATTGTCAATCCTTAGGCCGAATATGAGACCGTAGAAGACTGCTAGTCGCCTTTGGAAGTGTGTTGATTTGGATTGGATGGTGGAATTAGATGAGCTTTCTCTTCAAAGGTCTTGATTATCTCCCAAAAGGATGAGAATGGTCGGCAAGCTCATGCGCAGGACGAGAAACTAATGAAGGTTCTGCCATCTTTCTCCGAAACATTTCATCTCTTGTCAATTGAGTGGCGGGACAATGGTTTCTATTTGGCGGTTCTCTCAAAAACTTGAGGTGACCATTCCATGAACCATCCAAACTGTATATTTGTCACGATCGGTAACTTCCAGCTGTCCCGGCAAATACATGTCTCTGAAATCTCATCAGAACTAGTGTCTCCGTTCTTTTTCAATCCAAGGGGGGTGAATATATATGTTCAGAGAGGCTCCGTCTGCAGTTGACGTCCCCTTTTGGCCGATCAAAACTCACTTCACACGCGTCCTTAGCAAAGGAAAGTACTTTGACTGTTGAATCCTTCTCTGCGTACTGCACAAAATATCGTCATGGCTTGCTTGAATTAATATCAATCTCTTGTCATTGGTTACGTAGTGGGCATGGTCGCACAAGAGGAATAATGATGAAAGATGTAGGTTACTGGACATGGCCGAGATAAACGAAAAGGATCTACATATACACCTGGCTTGTGGCTTGAAACTTTTTGAAAGATACCCGATGGGGCTAATATTGTGACTCTTAAATCGCCTACATGAGGATTCTCGTTACAGAACCCTTATCGGCACACAAGACAATCGTCTTCAGGGGCTGGTCAAACTACTCTTTGCTACGCCAGTTTCCAGACGCAAGAGACCTAAGCGGTTGCGAGGGATTGCTGTTACTACTGGAACCGTTGGTGCTGGATTTCCTCCATGATGGACGCTCGCCTGCCGAGGACTGATTTTTGCGCGTGGGTTTGTCACTCCAGACCGTGTTGTCCCTACTGGGGAGGTCCCTCTCATTCCTGGGATGGGAGCGGTCTTTCAACTTGTCCGGCAGAGGCTTGGCCACGTTGACGCGCAATTGTTCGCCATCCCACAGCTTTCCGTTCAACGCTTCAACCGCGGCAGAAGCCTCGTCAACAGTTGCAAAGTCGACGAAGCAGTAGTGATGGTTCCCCGGCATAGACCTCGTTGACTCGTGAGGAGTGATCCGTTTGCTGATGGCCACCCTGTTTCATCAAATTGAGTCAGCAGCTAATTACACGAACAGTGCCATACTGCGAGTTCTGAGGTGGTTTGGGTAAGGGATCTCACGGATCGAAACCGGTCAAGATTTCACGCATCTCATCTTGACTTTGCTGCTGGTCGATCATTTTGGGCAAGCCGCCAATGTAAAGCCGCCTTCCATCGGTATCTGTGGCAACGACCTCGTCAAAGTGTTCGATGGCTCCATAAGGGCCATTCTCGATGCGGCGCTTGTCGCCCTTCCCATTCGACACTCCTCCCTCTGTCGAGTTATCTCCAGGCTGGCCTCTCTGCCCGGACCAGTTGCCCCATCGGTTGAAAGTGGGGTCCCTGTAGCTTGTCCCACGGTTTGCCTGCTGTCTCTTGGGCTCACAAGGGCCAACTTTGAGAGGCCTGCTGCGGATGCTTGTGTCAAGGGACGAGAGGGCCCGCTCGGCGTCGGCGCGGGTCTTGAAGTCGACAAAGCAGTACCCGGGGTTACGAGCGGTGACGGGGTCCATCGAGATGTGAATCTTGTCGTACTCCGAGAAGCCGTTGTCCTTGAGCATCTCCTCGATTTCGACCGGCTGGACGATGTAGAGGAGGTTGCCAAGGTAGATGCGCCGGCCCTCGGCTAGAGCGGTGGGCTGATCTGGTGATCCTGATGAGGCCATAGTGCCAGTCCCGCAACCCGATGGAAGAAGTATTGACTTGAGCAGTCGGCCACGATCCCGAGTTGTGAGAGTAAAAAGGTGCGGGATGAATGAGCCGAGAGGGAAAATCTGTCATGCATTGGACCCTGAAAACAGGGATCATGGCGGGGCATTCCAGCGAAGCGATGGTGGGGTAAACCACCAGGGTGCAAATGCACCGGCCAAGGTTCACATCTGTACGAGTCACAGGGCATATAATATACTGTAAAACTAGGTATTCTATAATTATCGGAGCACGCGTAGAAGTAACAATTACTAGATTCTTTCCGAAACCCTCTACATACCTAATATAAACCCATTCCCTCCTCAAGAAGGAAAGGGACAGACGCTAATAAGTACTACTCAAACTCACAAGCCTCGCTCCGGATCGTGGCTTTCAGTACCGTGACAGAGTCGTCAAATATCAAAAGATTGTTATCTGAAATAGGCTTGTACCCGAAGCATAAAATAGCCGGCTCAGGTATATTTCAATATTAGATAGGTTGCGACGGTGGCCGCCCTCACCTGCTCCTATTGGGTTTGTCCGTGGCGTCATACGCCTGCTCGATGAAGGTTGTATCCAGTATTTGGGGAGACAATTCCACTTTCTTCAAGTTAGATTTGAAGTCTTGAATTGGGCTCTCGAACTTATGTTGCACCGGGTCCTCATGATGGCGTGTTGGGGTCATCTCAGGTTTGGGAAGAACGATGTGAAAGACGGTTTACATTGAGGCCACCGGCAGCCTTATGAGAGCCTGGCAAGTATGCTTATCAAAATGCCCAACAGTAAAGGAGGGGACGGGCATTGTTCTGCCGTTATCAGATGCCTAAGTCTATCTGCTCACTTTGCTTACATTGATACTTATTTCTAGGAACATAACTGCGAAACAACACCCTATCTATTCACACAATGAAGACTGTTTGTCTGTTTCCAATTAACTCGCTCTTCGACAGCTGCAAGTCCTTCTTGTCAAAGTCGTGCAACATCAACCAGCAAATCATCCGAAAAACGAGTGTATACCATATAGCTACGCGTCTCATTTCAACATGTTCCGACGCAATCATTGTCCAAATGCGTTGTTTGCAAATGGCTCTCACCTTGGAGGCCCCTAGTCTTTCGTGCTTTCCGGTCTCAACTCGGGGAGGCCATGATTCTCTTCTGCTTATGCCGGGCGTAGGCGGCATTGGTTCGGTCTGGGATCCATCGATATTAGGGCTCGTTCCTGACTTTGGTGCGAAAGGCGATTGATCACCTTCGTTATGAAGCTGGCGTATTTCGGTGTCTTCATGTATGGCCTGTGAAACTACTTCGTCGTCCCTTTTGCTATTCTTGGCAGAACTTGTAGCTCGCCAGAGGATACTATCGAAGTACGTTTCCATGAACCTCCACTCCCTCATCTCCAGCGGTATGTCGAGTAGGTGATCGAAAGACACCTGAACCTCATCTCCAGAGACTGGGTTATTGATGGCCGCCAACACGTGTTGGAGGTGGCGGCGCATGACGTCCAATACAATGTCCTCTTCTTTGAGCATGCCGTCTGCCATCGCTATGGCTTGGTGGAGAGAAGTCATTTGGTCGTGAGTTAGTTTCGGATAGTTCTTAACGGCATCGTGCAAAGCTTTGGCCGAATCTGAAAGGACCTGGATATCCGGGATTGCAGTCAAAATCCCGCTTTCCAAGGAACTGTCTGGAACAGTCTTCACCTCTTTGATTCCTTTGAGGTCGTCGCTAATGAAACTGCTAAAGGCGGTCAGTAGCCGTGGAAGCGAAAACGATTCCCTGTCCCAAGGGAAAATGGTCGGATTGGGCAGAAAGCGGAAACACCGCTTGTCGATATGCAAAACTCTCGCGAGCATACCGAGGACTTCAAAGGTGACTATCAATGATAATGAGCGAATATCCAACCCAATTATGCAGAGGCTTACGAACCTGGGAAAAGATGACGATGTTTCTTCCCCTCCGTGTAGTACAGCGTAGTACTGCCGTTGCATCCAATCTGCGTGAGTGTCTCTGCAATCTCTTTCGTGCTGCCCATTTGCAGGATCTCAAGTCTGATCCCCGTCCCAGAAGAGGTCATAAGCGGGTTCTGCCACTCAAGGTCCTCATCTGCATTAATCTTGTTTCGGAACAGTGTAGGAACTCTACCAAAACAAAGTTCCTTTATCTCCGACGTAGGTATGACTCGTCTCGCCTCGAATGCCGTTTGACCAGTCTTTTCGAAGACAAACTGGATCCCGAGATCGGGTATGCGAGAGCCTGTGAGGCTGTATCCGTTTCCTTCTGCGCGGTATTGATTGTTGTCTCGGTCAAACACTTTCCAGTAGATCCCCAGTATAGCGGCGAGTTCAACTATATGAGATATTGTTGTTGTGGCGAATGGCTTCTTCATCGCCGGAACTGTGTCGAAACTTCGCTCTTTCGCTTGGATCTTTACTGCCAAAGTTGGTTCACCTCGGACCGTTGCCGCAAAGGTTGGTTCCGGTAGATAACCCATGACGGTCCGATTTTCCCAATCCTTCGAAACTTTCTCCATTGTCTCAATGGCGATCAATAGGTAGACCCACGTTGCAAGCTCCATATCAACTGTGTGCACGGAGGAGTTCATACCTTCGGAACCAGAACTTGAGAACAGCTTGGCGTAATCCAGGCGGTTTTTCTTACAGCTCGCCTCGGTGCCTTCAGCGGACCACATCTCACCAGGTTCCGGCTTTCTCTTGTTTTTCGGAGGAGCAAGAAAAATGATAGGCGCTTCGAACCTGACCTCCAGACGCAGATGCTTGAATTTGGGCCTGATTTTTGTACCTTTGGACCATCCTCCCATTACAACTTCGTTGCAGTTCGGAAGTCCTCGAGCTGATGCGAAAATTGCCTGCAAGATTTGCAGTTCAGCTGCGAGGAGTGCTGCAATTGCAATCACAAGAGCTGCGATGGCAACGCGCTCCTGGCTGTCATCTCCGGCCATTTTGAACCGGAGTGCGAAAGGGCACCTGCGGCCTTGGAGATTCCTGTCGATCAGGAGTAGAAAAGATAAGATGCGATAGGGTGATTCCCCAGCCGAGGAACACGGAACTCAGTCGCTGGGTTCTGGTCCTATGTAGAGCAGAGACGGACGCTTTGGTAACAATGATGTCGAATGCTGGCTGCGGCTACCGAACGTATCATACAACAAGTTTGTATCTCGTGGATATACTACTGTTTTTAAGAAATGAGGGCTTGTGGAAAGAAACTAAAGAAAATGACCAGCAAGAGAGACGAGGCTCTGGTAAACTCACAGGTTTATAAATTCCCGCTGGTTTTCTCCCTTGCCCGAAAGGAACTGTGACTGCAGCTGAGTGTCACTTACGCAGTATCCCTAGTGAGTCCACGTCATGCAGCCCAAATCAACTAATGGCGCACCTGAAAAGAGACACTGCAGTTTCCCACTCCTTTCCCTTCGCAGCCTGCTTCTACAGATGCTCGCCCGTGAAGTCAGCCATTGGCCGCCTGCTCCTGCCATTCCCTGTAGTGTAACCAATACACTGACAGGCTGACGCACCAGCGTTATCATGTCAGCCGTCATAAGTTACAAATCCGCCCGGTGATCTTCAGTCAGGCTGCGCAGAGTCTCCCTTGCATGAGGTTTTGCTTAAGACATAGATCGGCCAACTAGCCAGCACGAAGAGGTTTACAATCGAAGCCACCTTGTATTCTTGCTGATGTTGGAACCGTTCCACCCGTTGCTGAGAGCTTTTTTTGTGCTGCTTTAACTCTCCAAAGCAAAAGTAGAGAGGAATACAAGTTTATCTGAGAATATCCGAGCAAAAGAAAGTGTGTGCATGGTAACCTTAATACCTGGGATGACAGGGTCTCTGTTTGAGACGAACATATGGAGTAAATAATTAAGTTATGTAGCCGGAACCTTGTCAAGAGTTACCCCAATGGATTGCGTCTTACATTCAATGCAGAACGGCATTCAGTCATGCAATCCATTCAATTCATGTGCTAGTCATTCTACTCGATGAAAATAAGAATCCATTACCTCGTGAGCATACCATGATTACTTGAATGGCTCGTTACATTCTCCATATCATCAGACAGATGTATGTAATTCCTGCCTTTACGATCTGCCTCCTGCCTGAACTCTGAGACGATTACCTCCTTCGTTTGTATGATTCCATCCATATGTCCCATCTTGTGCCGCGAGTTCATAAGAAAAGATTCATCCTGGTTGGTGCGTATAACTGTAGACCGGTGACTCGTCAATACGTTGCTTTCTCCACCATAATGATTAAGCCCTGATGGGTACCCAGAGGTCTTCACTGTTGACTTCGCTTTCCTTGTCTTGTTCCACAATCCATACAGAGTTGGGGCATTGACGACGATAGCGGCGGTCAGCAATTCGGTGCTGGCCCAGGTCGTTCGGTTGACCTGGCTATCCTTATTGGTGACATTAATCGGGAGACGGATGACGGTAATGGCAATGATAAAAATTCCCAGTGTGAAAAGAATGTAAAGCTGGAGCTTGCGTTGCCAAGGGGTCTTCAGTGAGAAGACCAACGGCAGTGGCAAAATAAGGAGCATAAAGTCGGTGATGATATTAAGAACGCCGACAACTACAAGTTGCATTTGTGCCTTGGCACACGAGCCTGCGGAACTGAGATTTAGCAATGCCTCAAGCCGCATATCGGATAACCAGCTGGTCACGTACCTGGGTCAGGAATAACCTGCCAATATAAGTGGAAGGGATTGCATTCACTGAATGTCGTCACCTGGCAGGCGGCATAGGTGCCGAAAAAGACGACGCCGTAGAACCACATGACAAATGTTTCTTGACGGATGGTCGACATCAGCCGACGATAGACGTCCAGTAGTACAAGCTTCTGCAGCCATAGACTTGGGACAAGATGTTAGTAAAACCAATTCCAAGGCTGAGAACATCTCCACGACACAGTTGGGATACATTCGTGGGGATGTAAGCACCTGTTGAGTCTGAGGCATTTTGCAGCGCACAGCGACGACATCGGAGGGGGGAAACTGACTAAGAGTTGTAAAAGACCCGGTTGACAATGGACAGCTTGCTGCCAATCTCCCGCCTGTAAATCTCTTCGTCGGTAAACATGTGAGTTTTACGATACGACGCAGACACGTTGTTTGTGCCCCAGGTCAAGACGACATGAATAAGGCCCAGCCGGGTCATCACGCAGACGATGGCCGCGAGGGTAAACCAGTCACCAACGTTGAACTCTTGCTTGGCAATTTTCTTCCACGTCAGTCTGACCATCATGATTGAGAAGGCCAGGAGGCTAGAGAACCAATGAATGAAAATCGTCGGGTCGTCCATGACCGGCAAGGTTTCGAAGCGCCTGGACGCATGTATGCCAGCGTCGGGGATAACGGGAAAGGGGATTCAAAAGAAAGAGAACGAGAGGAGCCGTTTAGGAGGAGCGCTGAAGGCGGCGGATCACGATCATTATTACCTCCTGCTTCTTTTCATCCACAAGAGCTAGACTAGGAGAGTAGGGAGGTGGGAGTCAGATTCGTACATGGTACAGCACGTAATCTTCAAGATCCTAGTCGTCCGAATACCTAGATGGCCAATGTGGACTTCGTATCGGCACCACCCTGAGCAATGTTCTCGGCTTGGCTATCCTCCACACCACACACATGGAAAAGCCGACCTCAAGATGAATAGACCAGGGCTTAAATTCTCGCATCTTAGATCCTGCCATATCCTGTCCTCAGGTGCGCGTTAGCTGCTGCGTTTCCTGGATCGAATGACGATCGACCGTGGGGCTGTGCGGTGCTGTCCTGCATTCAATAGACCAATGACCTTATACAAGCCGAAGAGGGTGACGATTAACTAGAGCGACAACTGATATTCCTATTCCGTCCGTAGTAGTACTGCAGATTATCGATGGCTTGGAATGCACCGACTGCGAGTGAACCGTGGTATGCACTCCCACTCCCCCAGATACCGGAACGGTGGTGATAGTTGACAGCCACAACTCAGAAGGGTTGCATGTCTTTTGCTATTGGCCGACCAAACCCCATTGGATGAAGTGAATGCTATGTTGAATCCCCTTGCAGCATCTGCAAACTTAGAAAGTCAGGAAACAACATTGGGGCAAAGCCTTTAGGAAGAAATGTGATAGGGTGACCGTTAGTCCATCACTGGCTAGCAAAGTCTAATCAGTGCAGCCACGGCCAGCCGTCTTGAGCTACTTCAGAGAACAGGCTTAGCAAGCGAGACTCTCGGCGAAAGCCCGATGATCTAAAATGGAATATGGTTGTACCAAGATTATCGTAACCAATACATCGCCCCGCTGGCCGATCAGAAAGCCCTGGAGCCATGTTGGAACTCACTTGCCTTCGGATATGCTGCCTAGCACATGGCAACTTTCCACAGTACGACACAAGTTTGGCCCCCAAGATGCGCCTCAGTGTAGCGCTGGTGGGCATTTCAGACATGCATACGGATAGTACGTGTAGACAGAATCGAACTCTTTTACCTGTCATCAGATGTGCTTCTCTTGTTCTCGCTTAACCGCGGATATTAAGGCTCGGCCTCGACCCTTGGCATTGCTTCAGTGAAAGATCAACATCCACGTCTGCTCCATTCTAGTTTACTCATACCTTTTCCCGATGTGCGGGCACCCCATCCTTGTTGAGGGACTGACTCGTGTAGCAGCACGTAGATCGATACACCTCTCTACTATGTAGTTAGTATACGCAGTTCAGCTTATGTTTAATGGAGAAATGTTCGAACAGGCTAGCTGTGCGGCACCCTTGTTATTATTACCTATTGTTTCCCCCCGCAGTTTTACCCTTCTTTGCCCGTGAGTCCCGTTAGAGGGACTATCATCTCGCTACGGTTACGGCAAGTAAATCCGCCACGCTCTTTTGGAAGATCGGGAATTAGCCGCCTGGAGTCTTGGAATCGCCTTCTGCGGAGGACTGCTAATCTGATAAATAACACGGACTGAAGCGGGTGGATGTCGCTTACTAGCGTTCGGGACAGGCTTGATGTCGTATCTCTTACTACTACAAAGCACCGATGACCCGCTCCAGTCAGCCTTATCCTTGAAACTACCCGAGGATGGACCTCTGTATGCGCTGCTAGGCCTAGCGGTCGGTGTACGTACGTAACAAGGGAATTCTTTTAACTGTTAAAGAAGCCCAAATACCAGCTTCACCCCGATCTCGTCGGCGGAAGTTGAGTCTCCCCCCTGTTAACCAACCGCAGTCGCTCTTTTATCCTCGTGCCCGATTCCAACACGCTCCTTTTCTTACTTTTGCATCTTGATGCTTGTCTTGGGGGCTCCTGTCCGTGCCTCACTTCCTGATCATCTCGAGACGCCGACGCAGCGCAATCATGCATTTCCTTAAGCTTACTGCCACCGCTGCCCTCTTGGGTCAGGCTGCTGCGTCCCTCCCCGTCCTCGACTTCGTCTCCAACCTCATCCACCTAAATACAGGTGACTCTGTCGACTCCGAGGTCCCATACGTCCGCTCGTATTTCTACGTCGGAGGGGGCTACGTCGACGATGGCTCCGGAGGTCACATCTTCCGTGATCAGATGTACGTTGAGAAGCTACTCCCCGTGCTCGGGGTTACCCAAAGTACACCGATCGTCCTCATCCATGGACAGGCTCAGACGGGAAGCGTAAGTGTCCTGCAGATCCTCTTCGGTGGGACCCTGCTACGATAACGGTGAATGACCGAGTTTGCTGACCTATTCCCAAACAGAACTTTCTCAACAAGCCTGATGGCGGCAGAGGGTGGGCTTCTCGCTTCGTGGAGCAGGGCTACGAAGTCTACATCGTTGATCAGACATTCCGTGGCCGCTCCGCCTGGATGCCCGGCTACGGCGCCTCCGAGCCCTCCACCTACTCTGCCGAGATCATTCAGCAGCGCTTCACCGCCGTCCAAAAGTACAACATCTGGCCCCAGGCAGTGAATCACACCCAATGGCCCGGCACAGGCATGATGGGCGACGAGGTCTTTGATGCATTTTACAGCTCCAACCTTCAGTTCGTCAACAACGGCACCTACCAGCAGAAGACCGTCCAGGACGCCGGCGCCCTTCTTCTAGACAAGATTGGCAAGCCCGTCGTCCTTGTCGGTCACAGCCAAGGTGGACTCATGCCCATCATTATTGCCGACGCCCGCCCCGAGCTCACCAAGGCTCTGGTCCTTCTTGAGCCCACTGGACCTCCCTTTCAGGAGGCCATCTTCAGCAACAAGTCGTCTCGCGCCTACGGTCTCACCGACATCCCTGTCGCCTACTATCCCGAGGTCATCGACCCCGCCACCGACCTCGTACAGCAGGTATACCCTGCCAAGGGCAAGAACTTCGTCCAGTGTGTCCTTCAGGCCGAGGAGCCTTCCCCGCGCCAGCTTATCAACCTCGTCGATAAGCCTATCGTTCTCGTCACGTCTGAGGCGTCCTACCACGCGCCCTACGATCACTGCACCGTTGAGTTTCTGCAGCAAGCGGGTTGCAGCAAGACTGAGCACCTCGAGCTCGCCAAGATTGGGATCCACGGCAATGGCCACATGTTTTTCATGGAGAAGAACAGCGACCAGATCCAGAAAGCGCTGCGAGATTGGATCCAGGCCCTGTAAGCCGACCTGTTGTTGTAGGGAGGCTTGTCGAGTGATGTGGATACACACGTGCGATATAGAAGCGGATAATACCCCATGTTCATGAACATCGTAATCTAGTAATGGCATATGAACCGATGTTTTCGGCCCTAATCATCCAGAAGCCTTGTAGCCAGCCAATGCAAAGCACCTCATCCACATCTCAACCGACGAATCCCACCCTCCGCGGATCGCATCATTGAATAACGTGTTTGAAAGTATTCGGAGGGCGGCAAGCTAAAATTCTCTTGCGGAACCCCGTTGGACTCGAGTGCTTTCAACCGTGCACTTACAAGACGCTCGTCTTTTCTAGCACTTGTGAACTGCCACTCTAAGCACGAGCCCCGAGATCTGGGATGGAAACGTTCACGGTCGCCGCCATGGCGGCATTGGCTGCTGCTGCCTTCTCCTCATTCTCACAGACGTTGCGCTTGGCTTCAACCGAGACGCTCTGGCATCTCGACACGCTGTGTGCATGTGACAGCAGCGTTTCGACTTATGCGGCCACTGCGCGTTGCGAGCGTCTTCACAGCCACCAATATAAATGTAGGCTTCTACTTAAAAGTAGCCAGGCACCGGGTGGTTGGGTGCCCTGCGAGGGCTCACTCAGTACAACGGGCACGTTAACATCATGACTATCACAACGAGTGAAATCAGAACGGACAAGGGGAAAGAGGGGGCCGCTGGCCAGAGCCACTACACGATCGTCCGTAAAACGAGTACGTCAAGCCAATGCCTGAGCTGGTGATCTCTCTTACAATGACCCCTCCCAGCAAACCTCGACCGCATGTTCTACCTCTACCACCGGCTAGGGATTCAGTCCAATGTCCTGGTTTCGGCTCGCTATGCTGCTGCCCAGCCAGGCAGCCAGCGTCTCGTCCTTTCCGAAGAAGCGGTCTTCACTGCTCTGCACGCCCTTGTCTCCAAGTACCCGGAACTGGCCCTAGTCGGAGTAGTAGAGTCGGTCAAAGACAAGAAGCATCTTCTTTCTCTGGCGTCGCTGAACACCGTAGACCTCGACTCGTGTGTCGAGTTCATCGGCGAGGAGCAGGCGGTGGACGCGGAATTCCTCGAAGCCCTCCACGCCCAGTGGCATTGGGCAGATGCAGAAGTCAAGCCTGGCAAGCCGTTGTGGAAGGTCATCGTGGTCGGGCATCGGGACGTCGTATTCGTGTTCCATCACCTCGTCTGCGACGGCGCATTCGGGATGACGTTCCACCGCGAGTTCCTTGCCGCACTCAACGCCGCGGCGACTTCGAAAGCCAACTCGGCGCCCTCGCATACGGTTCACTTAGACGCCGAACGCGTGAGACTGAGCAAGAGGCTCGAAGACACGATTCACAAGAAGCCGTCGATACTCGGCGTCATGTACAACCTGTTTTTGTTTCTCTTCTATCGTTTCTTTTACGCCAAGAAGCTCTTCTTCGTCGACTTCCCGAAGCCAAAGGCTATTCTCACGGATCCGATGATCATCGCCCAATCCGCAGATCGAACCGCCACCAAGGTAGTCACATGCCGCATTCCCGCTGAAAAGACAACAGCCATTATCGCTGCCTGCCGCGCGCATGGCACGACATTTACACCGTTCCTGGCTGTCATGATCGCGGGCACGCTGGCGACGGACTTCTACCCAGACGCCGAGGTCGGGTTTACCCGGTACGCTGTGGATATGAGGGCTACAGGGTGCTTCAAGACTCAATCCGAAGACGAGGGAAAACTGCTCAACCTGGCCGCAAGCCTCCCGGAACTTGAACGGTTGAAGAAATACCGCCAGGCGTTCCCCAAGTCGGCATTACAGGGCGGGAAGCAGCAGGTAGCCATCGACGCCAAGGCCGTGTGGGCGCTCGTCCAAGATTACGGGAGACGGATGAAGGAGTCGTGTGCCGGAGGCGAGGAGTCCCACCTCTACAAGGCTTGGCTCAGCGGCAACGCGCTAGGCCCATCGCTCGAGGACTTTGCGGCCAAGCTTCCGAGCATGGGCTTGTTCATGCAGAACAGCTTCTCCATCTCGAACCTCGGGGCCCTCCAAGCCGTACCGCAGGGAACGAACCTCGAGGAGCCGGTTGTGAAGATTGAAGACGTGCAATTCTCGGCCGGACCTGTCCAGGGGACGGTTGGTTATCATGGGATCGTGTTCAACGTAGCTGGAGCTGCGGGCGGCGAGACTGTCATCAATGCTTGCACTGAGAAGGACATGCCACCAGACGGAATGTCTCAGGCTGTCCTGGATGGTCTTATGGCCCGAATCGATGCGTTGCTATCGTAGCGTGGCTTCCTTGAAAAGTCATACGTGTCTTGGCAGCTTTTTCTTTTTCTTTTTTATGTTTTGTTTTTCCCGCTTGGCAACGGCTGGCTCACCCTCCACTTTGAAGCCCCACGGACGAGATGAACAGAGTGGATAAGGTTGGTATGGTATGTTGCTTGCGTAGTAAGCAGATAGGTAGTAGATAATCTATTAGTGATCAAGTATTGAATATTATCTATCGAAGTTGTATATGACTGATAACGACTGCTTATATCGCTGCTGGGACAATGTCACCTATTCTAGCATACCCATTGTGACACACAACATCACTATGTAGGATGCAGATAACATTAGCAATGGAGCTCGAAGTTGACATGCTAACTTCTCAAGACTAGGCGGCAAGTTGACAGACATATAAATTATAGTACATACATTCGTTATATCATCCGTTGAATACTCGGCTACAATGGTTTGACACTGAGAGTTAGGGTGGACAGGAACTTACTTGATGCAAATCGGGTAAGCCGAGCAGGTGAAACTGGATTTGTCGGTTTGTTGCGCCGGCACCTTGGTAAGTTTATTTCTCTATCAAATCTGTTGCTTTCCTCTTGGCAGAACCAATCCTTGTTCAAAAAGCGTCGAGACCGGTGTGGGTAAAGTCAACGAAGGACAAGGTTGGCGCCAACCCGCGAGTACTCGCTGGCTATGAGAGAGCGTGTGGCCAAGAGCACGAATCAAAACTCTCCACGCCACATTTTCTAGCCCATGCTATCTTTACATGAGTCCAGAGCGATGCCAAAGCGCGGATGACATGTAACGTGGAGACTTCAAGGTTGTGGGAACAGGAATTGGACCTGGCCATGCTTCAGCAACCGCCGTACTCAACAGCCGAGGTTTCTTCACAGGACAACAACGTCGACTTCGCGGACTAGAGCTTGATCAAGACCATGATGGGTTTCCCAGACTAGGAACAGCAGGAAACATAGAAGCCCCGGGTGTTGTCGAGTAATAGGGAAAAAAAGGTACAGAACGTTTCAGAAAGATGACGATAGTGTTATGGGAAACCGAACACAAGGTCTGATGAATACAGAATCTGTTGGAAATACCTCGTGCCTCAACGAGGACAAGCAGCAGTTTCCTGTGCTAGACTTGGCAGATTTGGTCAACGTTGACCGTTGGCAAGTTAAAGTCCATCTTCCTCCATCTTACTAGGAACACGAACCCTTGAACTCCATTCAACGCTTAGAGTCATGTTGCCTGGCGGGATCTACACGATGCTCGTATCATACAGCAAGCTTCGTGACCGGTGCGTACAGTCTGCTAACCGCTCTGCACTGTACTTGTGCACTTTGTTCATGATTCTGTAGTTGAGGAACGGGCCCTGGACAGACCAGACTGGTTTGGATCATCACGTTCGAGTCTACCTGCCATTCGCCTGCGGTGCACGCTGGAGGTTCAGCAACGCACAGAAACCCACTCAAAGGTGTTTGCAGTCAACCCCTCGACCAATATCCACCATCAACGCCTATATAGGCTTTATCAAACCCAGCAGGAATTGCCATGTCTGGAAGGTCGAAATAAGCACCGATAACAGTCGAGCGGGCGTGCGGCGCATTGGCGAGCTTCTAGGTTAATGCTGGCTAGGCTTCTTGGCGTAATGTCTGGTTCGCCGGATATGTTGCACTTCTGCTTCCAACAGTCAATGTTTGCTCCCCCCCCCCCTCCCCTGCACCCGTCCTGCCCCAGAACCCGGTCCATACCCGTCGAATCAGACCCTGTCAGCGCGACGGCCCTTCCTGATCTGCATCGTAAACTGTTTATTTCTGCCTTTAGCGGGGACTGAGACATTGTGCCACTGGCCTCCATTCCCGAAGAAGTGCGGTGTGACTCTCGACTGCATGTTTGCTGCGGCTATCTTTTGACAGTGGGAACGCCTCTGCAAGGGGTCCATGATTCCAGTCAATAGGCCTGTCGTGAATTCCCAAGAAAACATCTCTTATCTTGGTGGACATGTCAGCTCTTGGGATATGAAATAAGCCCGTCCCCTCTTCCGTCCAAGCCTTCAGTACTCTCGCGCATCACGCACACGTACACCACAGCCATGACCACCGCGGACGAGTTGATAGCGAGTCTCCAAGACATCCAGAGCGACGCCTTCACGGACAAGGCGGAGCGGATACGCGCGCGGGACGCCCTGTACGACGCCCTGCGCAGGGTCCAGACGCCGTGGGACATTGCATGGGACCATGTCATTGTCAAGGGCGCCGGCAACGCCGCCATCAAGACGCTCATTGACGCCGGTGCCTTCAAAAAGTGGCACGAGGCTGGAGGCGAGCCCATCACCTGCGACGAGCTCGCAGCGCTCACCGGCGCCGACACTCTCCTCATACGTACGTCCCAACAACCCCCTCGTACCATCCTCCCCCCCGAGCCAACCGTTGATTTTGCTCCGTGACCAGGACGGTTAATGCGAGCCATAGCGGGCCAGCGGCTCGTCATCGAGACCGATGTCGACACGTACGCGCGCACGCCCTGGGCGCGGGCCCTCGGCGAGGACGCCCCGTTGCCGGCCATGTACGGCGGCTTTTACGGCGAGCTTACCAACCCCCTGTTCCGCAGCCTGCCGTACTTCCTCAAGGAGACGGGGTACCGGAACCCGACGGACCGGAACAACTGTAACTTCCAGCGCTGGCGGGGCGACCCGGATGCCGTCTTCTTCCGGTACGTCGGCACCAACCCGCTGCTGACGTCCGACTTCAATGACGCCATGGAGTGCCACTCGCGCGACAACCTCACGGCCTGGCCCGAGGTGTACCCCACAGAACGGCTCGTCGAGGGCGCGCACCCGTGCCGGGCGATGGTGGTGGACATCGGCGGCGGCAAGGGCCACGACCTGAAGAAGTTCCATCTCCAGCACCCGCAGGTCCCCGCGCGGGACCTGATCCTTCAGGACCTCCCCGACATCCTGAAGGAAATCGGGCCGGACCCGGCCTTCACGGTGCAGCAGTACGACTTCTTCACGCCGCAGCCCATCCGCGGGGCGCGGGCGTACTTCTTCCACAACGTCCTGCACGACTGGCCGGACCCGACGGCCGTGGAGGTTCTGAAGACCGTCGCCGAGGCAATGGAGAGGGGGTACTCGAGGCTGCTGATCCACGAGAGCCTCATCAACGAGAAGGAGCCGCTGTGCAAGGTGACGGCGACGGATATCATAATGATGGCAGCGCTGGCGTCGGCGGAGAGGACGGAAAAGCAGTGGTGCGACCTGATTGCGAGCGCGGGCTTGAGGGTGGTGAAGATTTGGAGGCCCGCGCAGGCGGTCGAAAGCGTTATTGAGGCGGAACTGGCGTAAATGGCATGGCGGCGATGGAGTTAGGTGGCTTTGAATGTCATCGGATTCCCTCTAGCACTTGACTTGTATGTTAAAAGTACCCTCGATAACAGGGATGAGCTGCAAACCGTGGGGTATTTGTTCACCATCGTATGAATTTATTGCTCTCTCGTCCCCTGGGCCATGCCCCTTGCTGGTAGCGGACCACGTGATGATGTCAGTATATCGGCCGTAGGCTTGCCTATACACCGGCCGATTTTGCAAGACGATGATGCGGTTGGTAGGACTGAAGAGTCTCGAAGCGCACCCGAAGCCTGGTTGAGTGTAAGGCTGACCCGGTGAGTTAAATTGCAGGAACGGTGCCGCATGACCACGGTGCCCGGAAAAGGCACAGTATTGGGCCTGTTAGACCCAGACGTGAGCAACTGAAATATCATTGGTAATGTGTATGCGGGCGGGCAAGCTCGACGGCATGCCCATCCTGGTATCCCTTTTTATACGCCCTGGCTGGCTTCTTTTCGCCCAAGCCTCCATCCTCATCTAAAATCCACGCTCCTTCTTTGTTGTCGTCTCTCCGTCTTCCTCACATTGTTTCGTGTCACTGGTATACGTTTGTATTTCCCCATTTCTTTACTTCCTCTGCTCAGCGGCGTTGCGGTCGTGCTCGTCAATGTCGATGGCCTCCCAGGGGTAGTTGATCCAGATGTCGTCGACGGTACGGGCGGCGAGGTAGTGACCGGAGTTCATCATGTCCTCGGGCAGGGTGCCCTTCTTCTGCTTATCCTTGTTCTGCGGGGACGTCAGTACCGGTCACACCAAGGGCAGAAAAGGTACATGGGAGGAGAGGGAAGGGGAGGGAGAGGGTGTGACTCACGTGCAAGACGAAGATGCCAAACTCGGTCTTCTCGCCCTTGCCGAGGCGCTGGCTGGCGGCCTCGACATCCTTCTGGAGCTCCTTGACGGCGTACTCGAGAGTGGTGCGGGTGTCGTCAACCTCGTCGACGATGAGGATGCGCTTGCCGACGAGGTTCTCCATGTCGCCGATGGCGTTGAGGTCAAGCCATTGAGTGCGGGTGACCTTTGTACCGGGGACCTCGGGCACGCCGGGGGTGGCGTTGCCGCCAAAGGTCTCGGGTAGGCTCTCGTAGAGGGAGAGGCCGATGGCCTGGATGGGGATGTTGGGGTTGCCGGGCTTCTTCAGGAAGGAGCGCAGGATGCGGGCGGGGACGTAGCCGCCGCCGCCGATGGCGATGATGAGCTGGGGCTGGAAGGTCTCAAGGATCTTGACGGCGGACTCCTGGCAGAGCTTGTGTACCTGAAGAGAGGGGAGAGGCATGTCAGTCGGAACATGTTCTTCACGGCGCACGGAGAGTCGCTGTGAGAGCAAAGGCGTGGCGGGCCGGACGGGACGTAAAGGAAGCGGGAGAGACATACATCGTTGTACGTGACGTAGAGCTTCTCGACCATCTTTGCGGTATTTGGCGGGTTGGTTTCTTTTACTCGACTTCGGCCGAGGAGGGGTGAGATGTACTGCGGGGTAGAATGAACTGCGAGTTTGTGCAGATTTGGAGATGTTTCTTTTTTTGCGACGCAGACGGGTTGGATGTCCAGTCAAGTGAAGAGGGGGAGGAAGAACGGGAAAGAGAAAAAAAGAAGATTGGATCGTATATGTTGGAAAGTAGGGGAGGAGTAAAATATACAGAACCAGGCTTAAGTAGGAGCATGGGACCAAATTTCCGCCGAGAGTGTCGCTATTCACAATAGAGCGGAATAAAAGAACAAAAAATCAAATAAAAAAAAAGAGGCTGCCATAGCGACCCCTCGTCAAACGCACCGAAGGAGTAACGATACAACCCCGCCATGCGCCTTGGGTACGTACCTACACTACCTTGCATCGCCTGTTGTGTTGGTGGAAGGTACGAAGTACGAAGTACCGCTACGTGGATAGGTAGTGTACTAAGTGTGTACATGAACCCACCTTCTACCGGTAGTGTACCTGTCTGTCATCGGGCAAAATGGCGCAGGGCAGGCGCGGGAGAGAAATTTCTTCTCTCTCTGGCGAGCCCCGACAGCATCGTCACCACGCCGAACCCGTTTACCCCACCTATGCATGGCGTAAATGCATCTTGATCCTACGCCCCGCGTGTTAGTCACTCAAGAATGACACATGAGTGGCTGCTGACCGAAACTGCTTGACGCACGCTTCACCGAAGGCATCGGGATCCGCCGTCTCGTCGGTGAATGGTATCCACATATAGACATTGTAGCCAATGGCAGAGATTTGCGATGCGGGGGGAGTGGGTCGCTTGCTTAATACCTCCACATCTCTTTCCCTCCGGATCCCTGAGAAAGCGCGTTACTACCTACGTGGACTGTCACTGAATTTTCTGCTTTTTTTACCCTTGTCGCCCAGCAGTTCCACGATAATTTCCAGGCACTCAGACATGCAGTTCAAGTCATTTTTCCATGCTTGGCCGCCCCTTGGGACCAGTCCCCCGAATACGGAACCCGACTACTGGTGGGGAAGTCTTGTTCCGGAGTAGCACGACTCGTGCCGCCGCCTGCAGCCTTCGCCGACCGAGATGGCACTGCGCCGCCAGCCGCCGCACTTGGGATTTCGGAACATGTAGGTGAGACGTTGCCGGCCTCGATGACATGCAGACCCAAGATCCATCCCATGCTTTCTGCCCACAGCGAGCTGACAAGAGCGGTCAGTCGAACTGTGATGTACTGCTGCTAGCTCTTGAACCTCAAACAACTCCCAGGGCTGCCTGTTGGCTCGAGAGATGGTCACCTGGGTTTCATGCATACAAAACAGTCGTGTTTCAATCTGAGTAGTGATCAATCACACCGGTCCAGCGCTCTCGTGCGGAAGCCCTGAACACGGGTCTCACCATGACACGATTCCGAGTTCGGAGTCTCAGCTGGCTTTCGTTATGAGCCGCCATTGCCATGTAGCACGATTCCATCACCAAGCCCTTGTTTGTCACGGTCTGGAGCGGAGACCTGGTGTTTGACGATGCCTCGCTCAAAAGGGGAGAGAGACCAGCCAGTCTTCATGGCGACGTTTCGGGCATCGAGTCTAGAGCAAACCAAAGTCCTATTCCCGTTGCTGACCTCTCCGTGAAAGTGCCAAACGGATTCCCCAAGATCACCGGCACTCGTCCAGTACGTGAAAGACTCTAGAGGCTATCCAGATGCTCAAGCAGCACCTTGATCATCAAACTCCGCAATCCCGCGTCCTTGTCCGAGCCCTCGACTGCATTCTCCATCCGCCACTGCAGTATCCCCTCGCTCGCCAGGACGTACGCCGCCCAGAACGCGTCAAACACGCCGTGACCGACGCCGGGGCGGGGATAGAAGCGCTCGTTCTTCTAGACGCAGTCGCCCGCGTCTCCCACGAACCCGTCGCCCCCCTCGTTGACCTTCAGGTCCCTCATGCACCCCAGACCGCACACCCAGAGTTTGGCCTTGTCGAGGGCGGGGTTGTAGCCGATCCGAAACCTGATGTCGTGCGCGTCCTTGTTCAGGTCGTAGTGGATCACCGCCAACGCCGTGCCCATCTCCCGCGCGAGCTCGAGGACGCCGCGCCGGCCGATGAACCGCACGAGCTCGTTGAGGTACGCCGGGCGCGTCGAGAGGTTGGGGTGGTTCCGAAGCATGTCCCTGACGGCGGGGGGCTGCTCGAAGCCGAGCCAGGCCTTTGGGTGGAGGTTGTAGTTCTCGGGGTTGGCGATGGCCCTGCGATGGAGCGCCGGGCTGATGATCTTGTCGATGAGGACCCGCATCACGGCCGGCTTGACAGGCCGCACGCGCTCCATGACGAGCCGGCCCTTCATCTCGGGAAAGGGCTCGACGAGCTGGTCGGGGAGGTGGTCCGAGTTTCCGCTGCCTCTCATGAGCATGTACTGGCGGGGCGCCATGGCGATAGCGAAGCGGGAGAGGTAGGGGTGGTCGCTGCCGAGCATCTCCCCGAGCTGCTGGGGGAGTACACGGAACCAGTGTCGAAGCTTTTCGTTCATTTCGACGGCGCCAAAGTAGCCCTGGCTGAGGCTGGGAAAGGACGCGCGCTCCTTGAGGACCTTGCCGTCCTTGAGCATGTAGACCTGGGTGTCCCAGGTTTGCGAGTGGTAAAGAAGGCGAAGGCGCGGCGCGTGGATGGGCGGAGACGGAGGCCTAGCCATTTCGTGGGGAAAGAGGAGCCCCGGAGGGGGTGAGAGCCGTTCACTGTCTTGGCTGTTTTCGTTGTTTTCGTTGCAGGTATCATCCGAGGAAGAGGAAGCGTCCTCCCAGTCCTCCTCTTCTTCAGGGATGGCTGGTAGCGTAATATTGGGGGCCATCTCAACGGTGATGCGGTTACTAGTGGTTGTCAATGGAAGAAAGGGAACACGAAACAAGTCGAGGTCAGCTTATTTAAAGGTGGCCAGTCATTCGTGTGCGCTTAGTCGTCGGATTCCAGCGTCCACAATGGAACTGGGCGCCGTTGGATGCCTCTGTTGTGTTGTGGTGTAGGTGCATGTGGTAGATGTGGTAGGGCAGTGCGCAAAGGGCGGCGGATGGGGTCTGTTGCAGATACTGTGACTGGCAAGTTATGCTTGGCCAGCATTGCAAAATCAAAGAAAGGTTTCGTCCTCAGCTTCCTTGTCTTGGAACATCACCTGCCATTCCATCCATTACTGAATTACGTAGATTCACAGGGAATACACTCATGATACATGGCGAGTGACAAAGGCTTAATAATCAAGATCTCGAAAATGATAATAATAAATTCAATGATAGTCCAGCTGGCCGTCACTGCGAGAAGAAGCGAGAAGGATAGGGACTAGGCAGCAAGGGCCGACAGCTAGACGACAGGAAACAAAAGTCGAGGCTGCTTTGCGAAGCGGGAAATAAAAAAAAACTAAAAAGAAAAGGTCAGGTGCTTGTGACTCGACGATACCTAACATACTCGGGAATGGACACGAACCAGATCGAAGATACTCTAATGTCATAGATATTTGTAGAAGAGACGGCAGCTTAGACGCGAATGAGCCAAATAGGAGAACATACGTAGAACGGGGCTATACACCTTTACCCAACATAACTGTAGCTGTTTTCAAGGGGTTTACAGCAGCGGGTTGGCAGGACGCATATGTGGCTGACGACAAAACTGATATCGTTCTTTCGGGATGAACTCAAAAACCGTTTAGCATTGATTCATCAAGGGTATGGGGTGCCGGCCCCAGCCAAAATTAGTAGAGGGCGCCGTTCCCATGCACCATTACCCTGGCTGGTCGCTGAGCTATGCTTGCTTGCGCTTCGATGTCTGGCTATGTATTGTAACTAAGATATATGATATTCATGACTTTGACACGTCTTTGAACGACGTCAACAGGGGTTCTCTATGACTGGTGACTCCGGCACCGGCTACGAAACGAAAGGACAAGAAAAAAAGGGAGGGTAAACCGAGTTCCGTAATCCTCAATCGCTCTGGGTTCCCTCTTTTTCGTGTATCGCTTTCAGCTTCTTCTCCGTCTTCATGAATTCGCGAATGCCGACGGGGACATCGTTGTACAGCTTGTCGTCCCACATGTTTTTGGCGATCTTAGGGTCCTTGGGCACCCAGTTGGTCTCGGAACCGCCGCCGTCGTCGTCGTCCATGCTTACCGAATCGCTCACACCCCTTTGTTGGCGCAACTTGAGTTGCGCCTCCGCGTTGGCCGCCGACCAATCTTCCATCTCCTCCCTGTACCGTTCCCACACGCAGTTGACGCACCCGCTCATGCAGCAGTTATCCGGCTCCTCGGGCCGTGGGGGCACGAGCACGCCGGCGATCATGGTGCTCTTATTGCGCAGCTCCTCGAGACGCTGCTTGCGCGCGGCGGGGCCGGCAAGAGCGGAGCCAAAAACGATGGCAGCCTTTTCAGCCGCGCTTTTCGGCGGCGGCGTCGGCACCGGCTGTGCGGATTGGGCTTCAGCAACAGGGTCCGGGGTTGGGTCTGGGGAGGGAGGCGACGTCTTACGGCCTTGCTCCTGCTTGTGAACGGAGGAAGAGGGGGGCTCCTCTGACTTCACCTCGGGGATCGGTTGGGGGTCGTTGAGGATCGCCTCATAATACGCGCCCAGGGGGTGGGCTTGGGTCTTGGAGGGCTCAATCGGCGCAGGGCCAGTTTGCGACTGGCTGGTGATGAAGGCACTGCGAGGCACGCGGCCAATGCGAGGCACAAGAGGCCGGAGGCGAGGGAGCAATCTGGCAGGGGCGGACATCTTGTACGGTGTTTCGTAGGCGGCGGTCCGATTTCAGGTAGTTGAAGTTGGGTATTGAACGTTTGTTGGGGCTGAGTGAGGCAAGCCTGTGATCACTAAAGAGGGAAGAGGAAGCCGGGCAATTGGAATGCGGTCATAGCCACGGACGTCATCGGTCCAAAATGATTGATTATGTAACCATCAGCAGTGTAGTATCACGTGCCTTCGTGCTGTTGTTTCTGCGCAGGACTAGGCATGAAGGCAAGAGAGTTAAGGAAGAACACAGTGAAGCGTTAAATCAGAAGGCAATATGATGGCTTTATTCAATTATTATTAATCGTTTTATCATACGGATGTCAAAGTAGGTAAATTTTGGGGTTTTATTTGAAATTTATTGAAGCTTTGACTGTGCCTTCCCTGTTTATTTGACCGTTTTGCATCCGTATTAGGAAGGCGGTCGGATCGCATGTACACAAACGCGCTCCATGCGCATCCCACCACGCGCTGTTAGTTCACGCCTGCAATCTGCCTTCGGTTGCCAACACGCCCGCCCCGGAATGTTTTAATCGAGGTCACGACCACGAGGGAATATGGACGAATCCGCGCCCAAGCGCCGGAGGGTTTCGCCACGCCTCAGCAGCCAGCGCGACGGCGACAGCGATAATAATGATTCAACCACGCCGCCCGGCCCTCCCCCACCACGAAGCAGAATCCCGAGAAGGCCTTCTTTCGCGTCGCCAACAAGGGCAAGCTTAGCACGATCAAATCCCGATCTTCTGCGGCAAAGAAGCAGAAGCCTGAGCCCCACCAAAGGTGGCAGCGGCAATCCGTCAACACAAGCTCCACAAGATGCTGTGGGAGACGAGCCAGCCGCCCAAGCTGGGGGCCAGGCCGAACGTTTCCTAGAGAGGGGGGCTACGCGTCCGAGAAGTGACATATCTGGCTCGACAGCTGTCGAATCCCAAAACTTGGGCTCTCCTGCACGAAGAATCCCGGCATCGAGGCTCAGCGGTGCACTGGCAACGAGACCACGCCGGTCGGGCGGCCTGCCGAATCCCAGGCCACTCCCCGACCCCGGGCCAGATGACGAAGAAATAAACCCGTTTGCTGGGCGCGTTCTGAATCGCACGCCACCGACCGGTGTCATTCCCGCGCGAGCACCACCTCCCCAACCAGAGCCTGACGAGGAGCCCGAACTCCCGCCCACACCGACCCAAAAGGGACAGGACGATCCTGTGGTCACAACACCTCCCTTGGGCATCCACGATACACCTTCGAGACGGAGACGACGTATTTCTTCACCGTCAAAAAGTTCGCCATTGAAGCAGCCGCCTCTTCGCCCGCCTGAGTTTACACAGACGACAAAGGACCCATTCAAGAAGGCAATGCAGCGCCCTGTACGGGAAAGGAGCCCAAGCAGGCTTGCGCGGAAGACGCAGTCCACCAAAGGTCCTTCAGGGACGCACGAAGCCCGCGGGATCCCCGTACCAGACCCGAACTCAGATCTCAGGCAGACGCGAGACGCGCTACAGGCGGAGATTGCGAAGCTCGAGGCGGATTTGGAGTTCGCAACTGTGGAGAACGAAAGGGTGCGGAAGACGCGTTCCCTAAGATCGGATGCCCAGCCTCTCTCAACGTCCCGCCGAGAGCAACTAGTCGACTTGCTGCGACGGCATCTTGTACGCCCAGAAAAGGAAGCCAAGCCAGATGCAGCGCAAGAGTGGTTAGACCTCGCAATGAACCCAATAAGTTGGCTATCATTCGGGTCTCTCGGCCAAACTTCGGTCTTCTCTTCTACAGAGGAAGAAGAGGATCTCCCTCCTCCGACGTCGCATCACCCAATCGCGCTGTCGGCCACCGATGAGCTTCCGTACCTGCAGGCATTTACTCCATTTGAGTTCTCAGGGGCAACAACCATGCTGCCGAGAGAAAGCGACTCGGAACCCTTGCTGCGAAAACACAGCATCGTCATCAGATCAGCACATCCCGCAGGGCTCTTCATGGCCAAGATTGAGATGACTGTCGACACCGAAAAGCTGCAGATCACGGAGCTCATTGTACCCCGCCTAGACCCCGCGGCCGTGGCAGAAGTCGGCCCCTTTGTCCAAAAAGTCACCCAAGGAGGCTCTAATACCCACATGAACCGAAACGTCACCATTGTCACTTGGGCGATGGCTGAGTGGTATCGTATTGCGATTGAGCGTGCCAACGTCTGGTACACACTGGAGAGCGAGCTCGGCGACAAGGAGAAACTGGTACAGAGTGTGGCCAAAATACGTACAAGGCGAAAGAAGCGCAGGAGGAAGGCCGATGACGAAGACGATAGTCAAGAGGCCGCCGCCGAAAATACCCACGCCGAAAACCTTCCGCGGTCGGCGTTACTACGTCATCTTGGGAAGACCGCCTACGAGATCCCTATCCCCGATGCTGTCAAAGAGGAAGCATCGTGTCTTAGGATACATTGGAAAATTGAGTTTGACTGGACTGGCGAGGCGCAGAGCAAGGTTGGATTGATGATTGGTATGCCTGGGAAGTGTAAGTTTCCCCAAGGACGATCTCAAGACAAGGCAAAATGACTAACAGCACGCAGGGCACCGGGGTGATAAGCGCGGATCACTGGCCGCGGCGTCTAAGGTTTTTGAAAAACTTGTTCAGGGTAACGAAGGGCCGATGACGGCTGTACGGACTGTTGTTGCCTTGTTGGCTGGCGATGCGTTGTCTTGAAGGATACCACCACGGCGTACTGCTTTCGCGCCGTTTCACGAAGATCTGTATATATCTCTATCGGGTATCAGTAACGAAAGAGTTGACTACTGGTCGCCTCGCGGGATCCTTCATGCACCCCGCCCTTGATGCCGAACCCCATCAATGATCGTACTTTTTGTGTCTCCCCCCCTCATCCTGCCATCCGCGATGTCATACCAGACGGCCTACCACAGTAACATCCAGGCTATCAATACCCAGGGTCTTGGCCATTGCCACTGCCGCCATGGCCCCAGGCGTTGCCGTTGTAGCCCCCGTGACCCCAGGCATTGCTGTTTCCGTGCTCATTGTCATTCCCATGCCCATCCGCCATGTTGTCTCTTTTCACGTCACGAGCAGGACCGTAAGATGTTCCGGGCTTGGTGCCGGGCCAGCCCGAGCCCGCCATGCCCATCGGGACGGGACCGTTGGGGCCTCTCCAGCCGCCCCCGAACCCGCTGCTCGGGCCGCTGCCGTTGCCGCCGCCGCCGGGGATGTACCCATTCGGGTTGCGCGCCCGGCGCGCCGCCGTGGCGGCCATGTCCGCCGCGCCGCGCAGGGCATCCGCGCTGGGAGGGCCGGAGGGGTAGCGCGGGCCGTCGGTCCAGGTCGAGCTGCCGGCGTCGTAAGTGTTGGCGGTGGTCTTGGTGGCAGAGCGACTGCCGTAGCCGAAGCCCATCGCGGTGGCTGAGTTTGGGCCGTAGGTGTCCCCGTAGGTCGGGCCGCGGTTGACGCCGTGGCCGTAGGGGGGAGGGAAGGCGGCGGGGAAGGCGGCGCGGTTGGCGCCGGCGCGGGCGGCCATATAAGACATTGCGTCGGCTGGAGAGTATGAGCGGGCGGGAGAGCCGTTCGTGTCACTGTACGGGTTCTGGCCGTAGCCGTAGCCGTTTGGATTGTTTCCGTTTCCGGCCATCATGTTTGATCGCGATGCGTATAGCGTTTGTGGAAATGTAGTCTGGTGTTTTTTGTATCTGTCGTCGTTGTAGGTCTTTTGCTTGCTTGCTTCAATAACGGCTGCTCGGTGTTCTTTCGAGGTTGACTCTCCAGTAGACCGTGGGGGGGGGGGGATTAATATAAATGAAGTGAAAGCGCAGCAGTGAATATTATCATTCTCTGTGGTTGAGAATTGACGTGTGATGGCTGCAAGTGGTGATTGTCTGACGGGAAGCGGCAACCCGAGTTATTCACTGTCACACCATGTTCAACAGCAATTCCCAGTGCCGCTGCCGTCTGGGCACTAGGTATAGCAACTAGGAGAGTCATCTCCGAACGCTCTGGCAGCCTTAGTTGTTAGGGATGTTTAGTTCCGAGGTTCCATGGTACTGTATTTCTATCTCGAAACCTACTTCTATTGTACTGAGCATTGGCCACGGTACTTTTGATGTGTTTCTCCGACTGTGGTAGACCATCGTTGTGTACCTGTGCGACCTCAAGCAGGACCGCCTTGGCAACGTACATCAAACCCTGATGAAATCTTTGTATTATTCAGGCTTGCTCAAATGAATTAGGAGTTGGCAGCTGCAACCGATGCCGTCTGTGATATATCAATGTGACAGTAATGACTTCAACTCCAGGGCCTCATGATATCCTCCACAACAAGGACTGTCATAAGAGGTATTCCGTAGGTTGGTAACCGAGGCAGAAGACTTCTTTCCTTGGAGCGCTGGCATGAAGCGTTATACTCCGGCGACATGATTCGCCCAGTGCCTATTGGAATGTGCGCCCGCTGCGCTGGGTTGTCTATCTATCTAGCTGGTTTTGCCCTTTGACAATCATACTGCCTGACTTCAACACTACTTAATCCCACGTCCTAGGCAAGAGTGCGCCTGTAAGTATAACAGATGCAAAAGATTTCTTTTGCTTTTACGTAGCCTACAGATATATCAGGGTTATAGAAAATAGTAGACTAACAGCTAAATCAATAGTTAGTAGAGTGAAGGCCTCCCACTGCGCTTTTGCCTATAAAACTAGCACTAAGACTGATCTATTATAATATGTAGAAAGTCACTAAGTAGGTTTCTTATATACTAATAATTATTTCTCAACTAACTCTACACAGTAAGCAAGACGTATGGTTATAGTAGAAGGTGTACTGAAGGATAAATCGCGTCACACTAGACTAACTATCTAGCAACGACTATAGCAATGAAACTTCGCAAAAGCTATGCGGGCCTAGACCTCGTAACCGTCGCCGATCTCCTTGGTTGCCCGCAGCACCGTCCGGATCTGATCCATAGACAGAGCCGTGTCCTCTTGCCTGGCGAGAAGCATGGCGATCTTGAGCACATTCTTTATCTGACGCCCATTCATAGGTAGATGCGCCAGATTCCTGAAGTTTTCGTCTGCCAGTTTGTTCTCCATCTGTGAGCGCTGACTGAACTGTCTCCATATCTGATCCCTGGCCGCTGGCTCAAGGTCAGGATAGTGGAGGGTAAGGTGTATTCTGCTGTAGAAAGCCCTATCGATTGTTTCAGCGCGGTTGGACGTCATAAATAAAATGCCGCGGTAGTATTCTAGAAGCCTAGTAACAGACTTGTTAGCTGAGTGAAAGGCTGTTGAAACTTCTTGGTCATACCTAAGGAATACTGCGACGATCTTGTTGTGTTCTAGGTGTTCCTTAGAGCGTTCTTGTATGAACACATCACATTCATCGAACAAGAGGACCGCATCCCACTTCTCGGTTAGTTCAAGGACTTTAGTCAGCCTGTCTTCAACAGCAGTAGCATCATTGCCTAGCTCTACCGCACTTAGGATATAAAGAGGCTTCCTGACTTCATCGGCAACAGCCTCAGCAGTCAAAGTTTTGCCAGTGCCCGGATTCCCGACGAGCAACATGATGATGCCAAGGCCCTTCCCTTCGATTAAGTCATCGAAGGCAGTCTTATTAGAGACCTGGCCCTCCACGAAGGAAAGAATCAGGTTCTTGAAGCCCCTTGGCAGTATCAATTAGGGAAACGCGGCATCGTTCCAAGTGATTTCCCGCACATTCTCCACCATAAATTCGGCCCAGACTTTCGACTTGAGACAACAGCCTCGAACGTGCGTGCTACAGAGGAGGAGTTCTTGTTTCGTGAGATCAAGATCTAGAATCAAACATCAGTATGGCCTCGTTTACACAATTGTACCTGTTTCCGATTCGTGTTGTCGACTCCTTACCTGGTTCGGTGGCTTCTTCGGTTGGCAGGGGGATCTCCCCGCTTTCGAGCTTTCGTTTACGGACACGATGCTGGTAGTCATTTCCCCCTATTATACGTGTGCCACAGCTCCATCCCTCCGAGCTGTCCGAGCGTAAATGGGCATCTTCGGCCACGTTGATCGACGGCATGACAGAATCATCTGTTAACGGCGCCAGATGGACCCGTTCGGATGGGTTGGCACGGAAGTAGGAAGCTGAATCTACGACGATTCGTTCGTCGACCTAGCAGTACTATAGGTCAGCATTGTTTATCATAGCAGTAAAAAGCCTAATTAACAGTGATGATAAATTACCGACATTTCGCTTCACAATTTCTCGACCAGAATGGCACTTAACGAACCCCGTATAGGCCATGTAATGAAAGCCCCGGAGGTTCTGGAACTTGAGGCCCCGATCGATGGCTGCCGCCTCTGCTTTCGATCTCGACTCGAGAATTCGGCCGGGAAAACATTGGCCTCGGCAATCTCACTCGTCCCGGCGAATGGACAAATGTTGAGGATACCATCTGCGTACCCGAATTGATCCAAGTCCCAATCAATGAACCTGACTGAAACCACCATCCCGTTCTCCTCGGTGTAAACGCAGCTCTTAACGAGATAGAAGCGCGTATGTCCATCTTGAGTTGTAACAACAAGCTTGCCAGGCTCAAATAATGCCCAGAGAAGCCGGTAAATGATGACTCCGTGATTGAGATGGTCCTTGATTTCGACCATAGTTTCATGGAGTTCAGCATGCAATACGCCATAGAGGAGTTGAGAGAATATAGCTGCGGCTTCACAATTTTGCGTTTGACGCTCAAGTATCTGCGTAAATTGCTGCCAGCGGTAATAGAAGGGATGGAATGGTGATTTGAAAACCACCTTCTTCAGCGATGCTGTGATGCCGGCATACCCTTCGAAGACTTCACCCAAGGTCTCTTTAAGTGATTGATTTTGAACAACGATGGAGTCCATGACCAAGAGGCTTGCCGTCGTCATGGTTCCTTCGCATACGAATGACGAGGGCTTTCAGTTTAACCTCAGATTGTTGCTCAATAGAGGCACGAAGATCATCGGGGTACTCCTCAACCCAATTCTTGCAGCATTGGAATTTTGCAGGACCTTCGTACAGAGTGTGAACTTCGCATTTGTTTCCCTCGGTAGATTTCTCCTCGTTGTTGTGATCTCTCGATGGACTCGAGGGTTGCGTTGCATCAGTTGCCAGTGATTGTTGTATGGCCGAGATTTGCGAACTCGAGTATCCATTTCCCGGTGCTTCCAAGGGTATTAGTGTCTCTATCGTACCGGACAACGATGGACCCGACACTGGTGAGATCATCTCCAGTTCACTATCGGAGCTTTCCCCGTGTCCATTGTGAATGCTGCCAAGTGGCCAATAGGGGGGCGTCGGCAGTGGTATCCCTAACCCACGGAATATTCGGAGTGCGTTGATGAGAAGCCAAATGACGCAGCGGCCTTATGCATAGAGAAGAGAACACGGTGGAATGTGAAGGTCTGGTCGTTGGAAAAGCTTTGCTCGTCGGCTGCCTTTTTAAAGCCATGTGGTGTTCTCGTGATCCAGTGCCTAATCTGGGCCGCAAAGTGCACTTCAGACCATGACAACATAGCCTGATCCAGCCGCTGACGCGAATGTTTCACCTCCGTTGCCTGTATCATTACCTAACGACACTAAGAGTTGGATTTGCAGCATCGGCAATAAGTCGTGTCTAAACCTCGTGTACTGATTGGAAAGACTTCCATGTTGCCTAACGGGGCTTTCGGTCGCACAACAGGAGTAGAATATGACATTTGTGCGCTTGCGCCCGTCGGTGGCTACGTGTTCATGTATAGTACCTTTTACAACCTTCAGTCTGGAGACGACATACATTGGTGTCAATGCAGGGCAAGTTGAAGGCTTGGCCTTCCCTCTCTTCCTGGTGATATCACACTGCTTCTCGCCTTTGGTGGCACACTTGGTTTCAAAGTCTCAAAAAGGTGTTTCACATTACACATAATATCGCTATGACTTGAAGAAGCTCAAAGAAACCAACGGAAATCGGGACTCTTCGGGCCATCACCCAACTTAGAGGTCGACACTTGGCTGGCAGTAAGGTTTACGCCCTGTGCACGGTTCCTTCTTTTATTATCCCAAACCATATAGAACCCTAAGCAGAGTGCACACAGGGCGCCGACTACCCCAAAAGCAGCCGTCGTGATAAGAGCGGGTGCGTACTTTGGTGCATCTGGTTTACGGAAGATGTTGCTGCTGACGAGTCCCATGATATTCGCCAGCGGGACACCGATCGATGTCAGAAGCACGCCTGAAGTGCAAGAATTAGTAGACGTTCAGCAAGAAGGCTGTCCCGGGACGGAAGACTTACGTTGGTTTTCGTTCACGACGTTGTTGTTATACCACGTCGACAAGAGCACGCTCGGCGCGGACGTGCCCCAAGTCATCATGAAGCATGCATAGTACGCAAGGTTGATCTGCTTCTCGACATCGTCGATGGCTGCGTAAATGATGAAACCGGTGAAGCTCAGCATGAAGCCGAGCGCGATGAATGGGAACCGGAGCCGGCGCCAGTCGGAAAGAAAGGCGAGGATGAGAAGCATTACGGCGCCGCTGACATTTGGGGCTACGGTGTAGAGGTTTGTCTTGATAGTGCTGTATCCCAGGCGCTGAACGATTTGAGGCATGAATAGGCCGACGCTCTGGAGGGGGACTCCCAGGCATATCTCAATAGCCAGAAAGCCGTACTATAATAAATTCAATCAGTTGTCGGGTTCCAATTAAGGGGTTCATAGTTCAAGGTCCCGCTGTATCTGAACCCAAAATAGCCGCATGGAGTATGCTTACCGTCGTCGGATGCTTGAAAACCTTGGCTGCCTCTCGAATCTTCATCTTCTCTCCGACCACGGAGGAACTATCAACTCGGATACGATGGAGGGCCAGCTCTTTCTCTTCAGCCGTGAGGAACTTTGCCTCGGCTGCACTCCTAGGTAGATACCAGAATGCAAATACAGCGAAGAGAATAGTTGCAGAAGCCTCTATGATAAACAACCACCGCCACGGGCGTAGGCTGGTTCTGGTGATGTGGAACACCGCAAACGCCAGCAGCCCCGAGAACGCGTTGGCCTGTCAAAAGTTGGCGTCAACTCAACAACGTCACTACGCAGAAAAGTGGCGGTCTTACAATGTTCGACGCTGCGTAGAAGATGGCCAGGCGGCGTGCCAGCTCACCGCGGCGGTAAAAGGTGGTCAGGTAGTAGATGACGAGCGGGAAAAACGCCGACTCCGCCATGCCCAAGAACCACCGCAGAGCAAAGACGCCACCAAAGTTCTGGGCTGCGGCCATAAGCATGGTCATGGTACCGAAGCCGAACATGAGGATGGGGAGCACGATCGCTGGTCCGAACTTCTTGCCGATGAGGGCCACGAAGGGCGCCGCAGCCACAAAAGGCACGAAGAAGATGCTGACGATGAGGTTGTATTGTCCATCCTTGAAGTTGAGATCGGTGCTCAGGCCCTCCGTCTCGGCATTGCCTAGGTTTCCCTTATCAAGCGCGTTGAACAGGTCTGAGGGAATGCGTCAGCGACCTGACTCCTGCTGGGTGAAGAGGCTGGGTGAGCTAGTCGGGAGGCTGAAAGGCTTACACATCACAGCCAGGACGGGCAATATACGAAAGTCCAACTTCCTGCAAAGCCGTCGTTCAGCGGCTTTATCAATGACCTGAACTACGTCGTCGTCGTAGTCGCGGCTCTTCGTGCTACGTCCCTCAACAGAGCCATCTCGGATTGATCCCGCCGGTTGAGATGGTGGCGAGATCTTGTTGTCCTTCGTGGCATCGTCCATTGCGAGTTTCAAACTACTTCCGACCGGGATTCAGCCGAGTCGAAGATGGAATATACAAATCCGTAGCTCGTGCTTGATGCTATAGACTATACGAACGTGATATCACTTTATCGCGGCTGGGGACAGTCGGATACATAAACTTTTTCCAGCGTCGCACTTGCTGATCGGTATATCACTTCCTAATCAACGTATCTCTTATCCTGGTCACACGGAATCCATGTGACTGGTTCGCGATTCTGCTCTTGATGGATGCTCGCCGGTGGTCAGAGATAAGGATGATACTAGTAGTGGGGTCAGTGACGCAGATAATCGCAGGTACATTGAACATCCTGCTTCCCAGATATATGCAGAATCACGATGGTCGGGACGCTAGCCGGTTAGGCGGAAAGGTCTTCCTCCCTGGGGTTCGTCGTTCTTCTCTTCCATTATGAAGCTGGGAACGATGGCCACAGGCCACAGCCCCAATTCGAGGACATATCACACGGCAAGTTTCAAGACTATTGGTCAATGCATCCAATTCTCCTTTCTGACCTAATCCAAGAATGCATTAGTCGTGACCCCTGTGAGTTTCTTTAACTAGCTATCAACTAGCATCAGAGCACCATAGTGCACAGTGCCAATACTTAGGCCTTGTTCTCCTGCAAGTAATTCGATCTGGCAACGAAATGGAGTGGCTACTAAGATATGTTTTCAATAGATCCCTCTTAAGGTTGCACAGGTACACAATGATAGTTTGACACAGTTGGAGAGAGGAGTCGCTACGCGCTGGTGATATGAATCCTTTGCGTCCTGGACTATGGCTGGATAAGAGCCGATGCCGATGGACGGGAGCTAGTGAGCCGGTCCCGTGTTGGTGGGGGGTTGGTAATCGGGGGTCATACCGGTATTCCACCCGCAAGAAGGAAGTTTACCAGAGATGATGCCGGCGAGAGCTGTTCCGTGGGGGTCAGATTATACAGAGCGAGGTACTCCGTATAGACTGTTTGGCAGCCGACCTCGGCTCAGTACGTTGAGGGTTGTTGAAGATAACGATGGGCCTGCTAGGTATTATCGAAACGCCGCGATAGCTTGTCCCACCGAGTGTGCGGGGTTGATAGGAAGAGCCCACAACTCCCCGCGGACAGTGAAATCATCCGAGAACGGAGAGTTGGACAGCACCCAAGCTTCCGTTGCTTCAACGTACTTGTTAGGTTTTCCATCTTATTCCAGTTTTCCTCAAGCAAAGTCTAAAATACATCTTATCCAAGAACATCACACAAACTCCTTTCAAACACCACAAGCGCCAACGTCTACTACAGTCACCATGTCCACCAAGACCCCCGTCCTTACCGATAAGGCCCCTAAGCCCCTACCTGGTATCTACAGCCAAGCTATCATTGCCAATGGCATGGTTTTCTGCTCCGGCGCTGTTCCCATGGACCCAGTTACCATGAAAATCATTGACGGTGACATCCAAGCTCATACGGTATGTGCACATAGTTCTGCGCCGCCAGCGCGAGGTTCGCTATGTGACCCTGGAGAACCCAGCTGACAAAGGTTGCAGCACCAATGCATCAAGAATCTGACCGCAATCCTTGAAGGCGCAGGCACCACTATTGACAAGGTTGTCAAGGTGAACGTCTTCCTCGCTAACATGGAGGATTTCGCCCCCATGAACGAGATTTACTGCCAATACTGGGGCGATGTCAAGCCCTCTCGAACGTAGGTTTAACCCGATCACGAGTGCATTACACTTACATGTGCTGATAACGAGACCGTCCAAATTAGTTGCGTCGCGGTTAAAACTCTGCCTTTGAATGTGGACGTTGAGATTGAATGTATAGCAGTGTTGTAAAGATGAACATGGCGTGCACAGCCTTGAACCAAACAAATGAAGTAATAAATTGCGCGGGCTGTGACATTTGAGATTAGCTATAAAACCGTTGTTTCCGAAATAAACTATGGCGCTACCGCCTACCAACGCGAGAACCCCTAACCTAGGCCCCTTTGGAACATCAGGTACAACTCCCAAGCCGATAGAATTGGCCAGATGTATCTTCTGCGGTCGCCGTCTAGAGTAATTCCAATAGCTTATTGCAAAACAGAGTAATGGCACGTCTCCCATCTTCAAGTGCCTCATCCATTGCAATAAAAGGATGAGGTTGTCCCTTCATGACATGCAGGTCAACCTGGACTCCGGCATCGTGGAGCTTCTTCCCAAGAGCTTCTCCTTCGCTCCGCAAAACATCGAGCTCACCCACAACGACCACTGCGGGAGGAAGTTTTGACCAATCACCTTCCCAGAGCAGCGGGCTCGCCTCAGGATGTTGCCATGTCTCTTTAACAGGCAGATAATGGAGGCGATACCACATCATTTTCTCCGCCGGAAGGGCGGGCGTAAACTCGTTCTCCTTCCATGATGCGTGGTCTGGGTTCTGCGAGTCAGTTGTTGCGGTGTTGTCTGCAACAGGGACTGAGAGCAGCTGAACGGCGATTGGTGGAACGTCTGATCGCTGGATTGCCCTCTGACACATCACGGCCGTGAGGTTTCCGCCGGCGGAGGAGCCGCCGATGGCGATCCGGGACGCATCGAGCTCAAATCTGCTAATGCCTTCGGAGGCGGCCCATAGCAAAGATTCCCAGCAGTCATCGATTGCGGCAGGGAAAGGGTCTTCTGGTGCAAGACTTGGAACTGTTAGTGAGGATTCGTTCGTTCTTTAGACAATAACCTTACCGATAATCGACGCAAATCACAACGCACTTGGCTCGGTTGCAAAGATGCGTTGCAATCACATTCTCCGTGTCAATGTTCCCCAGAACCCATCCTCCACCATGAAACCAGAAGGCCAACGGCCATCCTTTAGTAGGCCGCTCACCCAGAGGTGTAAAAGCTCGGATCAAGATATCTGGACCGGTTGTTTCTTTTCTCGGGATGGTGATGTCCTCGACGCTTGCAACCTCCAATTTGGGACCAGCACCCGGAATCAGTGTGCCGCTGGCTCTAGACGCCGAGATGGGTTGGCGATGGACGACTTGCTTGTCAAAGACGTGTTTGTTGTAAAAGTCCCTGTATTCGGGGTTGATGCGGTCGATGACTGACGGGTGCAGGGGATACGGCGGCTCGGACATTTTGAAAGTCTTGAAGGCTGCAGTGATACTTCTAGGTGTCCAGTCGATTGGGACGTGCAGTGCTGGTGGTGTGTAGCGGCTCGGTTGGATACGTTGAACAGTCTGTCTGTTTCGCGGCGTCAGGTTTACCACCAGTGCTTTAAGCCAGGGCCGGTCAGCTTGTATTCGATTCGGGAAACAGTCCGGATCACCGAAGAACGGAGGCCGGCAGTGAGGTCTGCGCCTCGCACGTACAGGTACAGCGACCCCCACCTAGGACCCTCAATCTCAACACTTCGGCATTGCATCAAGGATACGAAGGTCGGGTGGCTATCTAATATGTGGAGCCGCACATAGCAACTATGCAGAGTCGGCATGTGCTTGTCCTTGTCTTGCGTCACAAAGTTACCAACCCCGCAGTGCCATGCCATCTGATTTTGTCCATTCATCAACACTAATACTAGGTACGTGCAATGCTGTTCTCTCACAAGTGGACCCGGCAAACTAGTTATTCTTCTACTACTTGCAATAGATATCTTATAATGTTTCCATTTGATTAAGTCTGTGTTCTTTTTTTTCTTATGCAAACACCTTCAGTTGGATGTCTTCAAGCTTCAGGCTTTGGGACGGAGTGCCCAAGCGCAACATTTTTCACGGGCCAAAATACACAAGAGGATACAGGAGAAATAGTGAGGGTATATCAAACATGTAGACCCAACTCGGAGCCTTAACCAATGGAGATAGCACTTAGTAGGGCTAACACCAAGATTGGACTGAAGTGTCAAGTGTGGGTGGGTATCTCTCTACATTATAGTAGCTTGCACGGTTTCCTAGCTAAAGCCTACTTTACGACTTGCCTTGCTTTTCTCCAAGTCATCAAAGTGACTGTCAAGAACACTGAGTCTAGTCCCATGCCAAAGCCTTTACAAGAAACTGTTGTAGTTGATAAAGTGCTGCGCTGCACGGCCTTCTGCCGACTTTGATGCCCTTATTGTGGGCGGTAGTCCTGGCGAAGACCTGCTATCCATACAGGTCAGCTGGGCCGGCCCAGACGTGTCGTTTAGCGGTCATTATAGCTTTTTTCTGATGTTGGCCTCGGAGTTGACCTCCCGGCCGTAGAATCCTATGCATCAAGGGCATTGCAGAGTGTTGTTGAGGAAACTTGATATTGGTTCCAATCAAGAGGATTCTGTTCCGATCTCTAATGAAGACGGACTTGAACGGTAGGATTATCTTCTCTAATGCATAAGATATACCGCAGAGCAAAGCTTTCGGAAAGATCAGCATATGGCTAGTACCTTCAAGAGGTATTTTGTTCAAAGTATAGATATAAAATAGGTCATACATTCTGCATTTTTGATCTTGTGGAAGAAGCGTTATATACATTGGGAACTGGAGCTCTTGAGAGCCGTTCTATCGATGCATATCAGACGTTTCTACAGAAATCAAGCGTCGTTTTCAAGGTGTCGTAGTCGATCCATATGATATAAGGCGTTAATTGCTGCTTGCGATTAATGGCGTCGTTTTTGCGACACAAGGCAAAGTCAGTAAGATGGAAGATAATAACATTTTCTCCAATGTCTCCCTGCTGCGCCATGGGCTTCGACGACAGGCTCGTCGCTCGACTGGTTGCAGAGCTGGAAAAGGAGAAGCAAACGGTGTTAGTGATACAAATAATTCCAAAAGGAATCAAATCACAGGTTTCATATATATAGCGAGTCTACTTCTGGTGTAGACAAGGCAGAGAGGGTGGGAAGCATAGACACGCATCGCGCCGCATTTAGAGGTCCAGAGTAAGTGCACCCTCATAGGTCTTTCGAACACTGGCAACAGGATGAGAGCAGAGATTTCAGACTTGTGTACCGATAACGCGGCGGGTGACTGGTGGCATACTATAGTAAAAACGCTTTATCTATCGCGAAGCTTTGTCGCAGGGTTGTGTGCAAAATGCACCACGGGTTCTCTTGCTGTCTTATATAAGGGAAAATCTGCGCGCAGCTAACAAGCCACAGGTCGTGTTGCCCCTACAGGGTCTGTGCGACTCAGTCAAAAGCTTGTCTAGGTCGTTACAAGATTAAAGCCCCTGGTGCCGTGGACTGGGGCTGTTTAATCGTGGAATACTAGGATGCTGATTCGACCTAGCTCACCCATGCAGGGCCATCCCGTCCAGATAGGTTCTGGCGTACCCATCTGCGAGACGAAGCTGCAATGTCTATCCCACGTGTCGCCATAGAGACTTGCTGACTGGCCAGGAGTTCATTCCGAATACCACATGTGGTCTAACGAAAGAGGATTCTCCTGATTGTGCTAAACAAGCAAATGGTGGATCTGATTTACTGCGTTATTGCAGCAGTCCTCGATCATTGATAGATGCTCCGGTTCCGCACACTCATTCCCTTGGTTTTCGATTCGAGATATTCGTATTTTGTCGGCGCTCGCTGGCTGACTCTTTGCAAGATGGAAAGCTTTCTATCGATCATGGAACGCTTGCGTCACGTTCCAAATGAAGAGAAGATCCAAGTCTTCATTGCTAATCTACCTCCTCTCAATACGCCGAACGTCGCGAAAAGTCTTGGTCTTGCGGCAAGTCTAGTGCCAGTGCTGTTCAAGACAGGGAACTAACTTTCGCCTGACCAGATCCTTGGATACATATTCTTTGTCAGAATCGTCTACAACCTCTATTTCCATCCCCTGCGCAATTTCCCAGGCCCGAAACTGTGGGCGATCTCGCGAGTTCCGTGGCATTACACCAATCTTAAGGGACGAATCACTTGGCGGATTCGAGAGCTCCACGATCAGTACGGTCCGGTTGTACGCATCGCGCCAGATGAGCTGTCTTACACCACATCGACGGCGTGGAAGAAAATCTACGGCCAGCGCAAACCCGAGTTCCCGAAAGCCCTGGATGGGCGCGGTATCGCGCCGCCCAGCATTGGTGGGCGTAGGAGTTTGATGACGGAAACGCAGGAACAACATTTGAGACTGCGGCGAGCGATCAATCCGGCGTTTTCGGAAAAGGCCTTGAGGGAACAGGAGCATTATCTCCAAACTCACTCGAGCAAGCTCGTCAAGATTCTGAAAGAAAAGTCGAAGCAAGGCCCCGTTGATATCACGACTTGGTACAATCTCGTCGCATTTGACATCGTTTCCGGTACATGCGATTCCTCTACCTCCTAAAACAATGCGAGTTCCGGCATATTCTGACGAAGACAATGCAGACTTGGCATTTGGAGAACCGGCTGGCTTCTTGGACAATTCAGATCAACCCTGGATTCAAGTGATCCTCCAGAGAGCGAAAGCCATCGTGTGGTTTCAGCTTGCTGTCTGGTACGGTTTCTTTCCACTATTGAACTTTCTCACCCCTAGATACGTCACGGAGTCGCGCAAGAACCATATCGCCTTGACCGAAGCCAAGCTAGAGAGGCGAATGAAGGCTGAGAATCCGGGCAAAGACTTCATGTCGTTCATCCTCGAGAACGAGAACGAAGCAGTCGAGAAGCTATCCAAGGTTGAGCTGGTCATGCTGGCGAGCAACTTCATCGTCGCCGGAAGCGGCACATCGGCGGGCGGTATGTCTGGTCTCACATACCTCCTGCTCCGGAACCCGGACAAGCTTGAAAAGCTCAAGAGGGAGATCAGGGAGACGTTCCAGACGAGCGAGGAGATATCGATGCAAGGGACGGCCCAATGCAAGTACCTCACCGCCTGTCTTGACGAGGGCATGCGCATGTACCCGCCTACTCCCGGCTCCCTGCCTCGGTTTGTGCCAGGCAAAGGAGAGGTGATCGACGGCAAGTGGGTGAAGGGCGGCATGGCCGTTGCCGTCAACCAGCTCTCTGCCGGCACGTCGGAGTTGAATTTTAAGCGCGCCCGGGAGTTTCATCCTGAGCGATGGCTCGATCTACCTCCGGACTCTGAGTTCGCCAACGATGACAAGGCAGCCACCCAGCCCTTTTCTATGGGCCAAAGAGTCTGCATTGGAAGAGCGTATGTTTGCAGCTTACGAATCCGCTATGCATACGGAGTTTACTGACGCCTGAGACATACAGTATGGCATATGCAGAGATGCGTTTAACAATGGCCAAGATCATGTGGCATTTCGATCTCGAACTCGCCGAGCCCGAGCTTGATTGGTGGAACAAGCAAGGGACCTACTTGGTATGGGAGAAGATACCGTTGATGATTCAACTGCGACCACGGTCTATGTAGTCAAATCGTGCAGGCAAGGTTATTAGTGGGCATATCACGTACGACAAGGTGGTTAATTCCACGCAGCTCATACCTGCGGCAGATCTTAAAGCTAGGAGCTGGTTGATGAAGCTGCCTACCGACTCTCTTCAATAGTTGGAGATTTAATGAAATCACCAGAAACATACGACATACAAAATGACTCCTAGCGAAGCCTCTGTCAATCTGTGTTCTATGTCTTATTTTGGCAGATTAGCTAGCTGTTGTAGCGAAGCTATCACTATTTACCGTCATGGAGCAACTATATCGGTATTAGAGGTTGCCATAATTACAGTCACCCCACGCTACGTTGCTTACATCCTCTTGGTGACAAAGAAGCGGAGCAATTTGGGCTTGCTTCGACCTGCTTGTGTCGAGTCAAAAGCTCACTCAACAGTAGCCAGTGTCTGCACGTGGGCGGACTGTTTGTCAACCACTGACCTGCACATGCCTGTACGTTACCCCTGACTATGCTGCTTAGAAAGCGGTAGTTGGCGTCTGCAGACATGGGTTCAGAAGCTTGTTTGGCTGCCAGGGGTCGGGTTGGACAGGCAAGCTGCCGCGATTCATTCCATCGTAGCATCACTAGGTATCACAAGTGGAACCCGCAATAAGAGACCGCTCGGCTGGGAATCGTTCGCACGTGTTCACGAAATACATCGTGAGTGGTTGTTGCTAACAATGAAGTACATCCGCAGCGCTTCTTGCTCTTATGACTGATACTGGGCTTAAAGCATGGCCAGTATTTGGTGTATTTGTGGCAGAGGCTGGGCCGCATAATGCCTATTACCTCCTCCCCACTCGAGATTCTTTGACGGCACGAGCTTGCAGAATACCTAACCATGGCGGAAACCACAAGATCGGGGCCGCAGGTCCTATCCCTTGGGATGACGAGAACAGGTAAGTCCTCATTACGCACAGCTTTGTCCATCTACCGGCACTAACACATGCCTACTCAGGGTCCGCCTCCATAACGCAGGCTCTCACAATTCTTGGGTATAAGAACGTACACCACGGCATCCAAGCCATCGGCAACCCGAAAGACTGGGAGGTTTTCTCGCGCGCATGCGATGCGTTCTTCCCCACCCTCCCGACGTATAACGGACAGCCGTTTGGGCGGTCGGATTGGGACCAGGTCTTTGGGCAGTGCGAAGGCGTCACCGACATGGCCTCGTTCTTCGCGGTTCCGCTGGCGCACGCCTACCCCGACGCCAAGGTGGTTCTGGTAGAGAGGGACATCGAAAGCTGGTACGCCAGCATGGAGGAGGCCATCTTCGGCACGACGTGGGGCTGGCGCGCGGACCTGATCATCGACGTCTTCGGCCGCCTGATGGGCCTGACGGGGGGCCTGACGATCCGCAAGATCATGCTGGGTTACTACGAGGCGCGTAGCGCAGACGAGATGCGCGCCAAGGCGAGAGACAGGTACCGGCGCCACTACGCCGAGGTGCGCGCCGCAATCACCGGGAACCGGTTGCTGAACTACGACCTAACGGAGGGCTGGGAGCCGCTGTGCGCGTTCCTCGGCAAGCCCGTGCCCGACGTGCCGTTCCCGCAAGCCAACAAGAGAAAGGAGCACGTCGCGCGGGTCAGGGCTAAGCAGAACATGTTCTTCAAGGCGATGGGAAAGAAGATCCTACGGATGGCCATACCCTGGGTTGTGGGCTCAGGCGCCGTAGCTTTCGGGATATGGGTGTTGCGCAACCAGGAACACGCGGCTGCGCTTCGTGCCGATGCTGAAGCCTGGGTCGGTGTACTCAAGTCGACCTGGAAAGATGCCAAGACTTCATTGTTGATGTATACTAGATTCAAGTGACCACCGTCGCCCCGCCACAACACTCTCAGAAAGCAATTGCATGAGACTGCCAGTTCCAGATGGGCTGCGTCGAAATCGAGGGTCTTTGCACGGCAGTAGGCGACCCGGAACATAACGTCAAAGAGGGGCAAAGGCACCTGAGTTGCGGGAGAAGATTGAGAGCGGTCCTTTGCTGGGGACGCGACAACCCGAAGCCATATTTCCGTCATGCCTGATCTTGCAAACTGAAGCAATTATGCTCAAGTCTCGATTGTGACGATGTATAGACGGCAGGGTGCCTCAGGTGCATCTATGTCAACACAAAAGGGTCCTGAAAACTTCAAATCCCGGCCTGGAAGGATGCCAGGCATGTCAAGCCCACTAAGCCAGATATTCTGCCTGAAATTTCCCCCTGAACTCCCCAAGCCCTGGCCCTTTAATCGACATTATACCAATTCGCAATCGACGTTCCTTGCCTGTTTAGTCAACGTCGACGCCAAGCTTCCGCAGGTCGACGACGGCCTCGTCAATTTCCGCCATCAGCTCCTTGTGGGCCTCGGGCACGTCGTTGAAGGTCATGACGTTGTATCCGAGACGGGCGAGGAGGTAGGATCCGAAAGAGATGAGAGCCCAGAAGGGCAACTGCAAAGGCACACAAGGGTCAGTAGAGGTGGCCGCAAGGATTGTTGGCGAAGCCTTTTGGACGGAAGAGGAAGGACGTACGACGGGGACGATTTCGGTCTGAATTACGGCGGGAATGGGAATGAGCTGGAGATAAAGCGCGAGGTAGAGCTGTAGGCGCTGGTCAGTATAGATTCGTGGACCGGTGGGATCGGTGGGATGTCGCTGGCGAGAGAGGGAGGAGGGGTCGTACCGAGCTCACGAGGAGCGCGAGAGAGATGGTCTGCTGGGCGCGGGTCATTGTTGCTGTTGGTTCGGATCGCCGAGATTGTCTGGGGGATTATGGACGGATTGGGTTATTGTTTGTGTGGGAGCGATCGTGGCGGGAAAAAGAATGACTGGAAAAGCTGACGATGGTCGCGATGCTGCCCCCTTTGGTTAGGGCCACAGATAGATGGTGAAAAGGAGTCGCAGCTGTCCAGAATTCGGGATGGAGCTTGAATGACTAAGCCGTGCCCGGACCCCCTGCGGCCCCATGAGTTCCCGCAGTTTACGCGTGGGACCCACCCGGAGCATCCTGCCGGGCGCGCCCCGGCTCCCACTCGGATCATGTCAATCTTGCAGTCGTTCAGATATATCCATTCGTGATGACTATCGTTGCAGCGAAGTAAATAAGCGCTCGCCGCAAATCTTCGGTACGATTGATCTTCCACTTCCAGGTCGGCTTGGTTTTCCTCTCACTTTTCTCGGTTCCCTTACGTGTACGGCCCCACGCCAGCCAGCCTGCTGTGTGCTTGTTGACCCAGCTTCATGGCGGCGTTCGGTAAGCGTTCACGTAGTTTGCAGCAAAGGGCGTATGTTGTTGCATGTCTATGTATGCCTCAGGCATACACAAACATAATATATCCATACTTAGCTGGCCGCACATCCATCCAACTTACAACCCCATACAAGAGACGACCCAGCTCTATGCCGCGCACCGGTCGAGGCAACCATAGGTTCACTGCATTTTTAACCCCCACGCAGGCCCCGCACAACCCTTTGCATTCGCCTAGTACAGGTTCCGACAGAATTAAAATACATAAAATACGGTTTAGGAAATAAAGAGCTACAATTGCCAGCTGAAAGATCCGTTTAATGCCAAGGAACTAGTCAATCAACCGGACTTGAAATAGCGCAGCTCTGGCATGCATAATGAGTCCGACCAGGATGAGATTTTGGAAGACTATCAATCATTGTCTTAAGGTTTCGATTTGCTATAGAGTCAAGTTGCTGTCAAGTGCGCTTTACAACATAGAGTATCACAAGACGAGGCCGGTCTCGAAGACTGTCCAATTAATACGCGCTGCTCTTCGACCTACCGGCTCCCGCTCGGCCCTGCAGCCTGCAGCTCAACGGCGTCAATGATATAATTCGCGCTCAAGAAGTCCTGGTCGCCAGAACCGAACACCCCTAGAGTAAGAGTATTGGTGCCATTTTTCAACTCAGATGCCGGTACGCCCCACTCGTACACTTCGCCGAACCCACGGTAGGCGCCTCGAGTTACACCGCGAGAGTCGATCCGAGTCTGCAGAAACTGCTTAGTGATTGCTAACGGCCTTCGGATCGTTACGCTTACCGGAGCACCGGGGTCAGACGCCTGCCAGTTGTTGATTTGCACCTTGGGCCGTCCACCTTTGAAGGATAGCGTGGTGCCCACGCGTAAAGTTACCCCCTCCAACTGGTTGGCCGCAAGATCAAAGGTGACGCTCGCGTTGCCTCCAATCTTGGAGAATAACGCCATCGGAAAGTCATTCGCTTGTGACTTGCCCACCGTAAACGCGCCTCCCCAACTCGCCATACGAACATCCGACGGGTGCATCCGAGTAATCTTGTCACCGTTTTTGAGTTCAAACGGCTGTCCGTCAAACTCACCGATTCGCCAGAGAACTGGCGGGCTTGGTTCTGTTGACTGGATGTCCTGAGTGACTTTGCAGCCCGCAGTGACGGTGACGGTGTCGTTGCCAACGGGAAATTCGTCTCGATATATCTTCATCGTGTATGTCCCGGGCTTCATGAGCGGAGATTCGAACTTGCCAGCAGACGCCTTGGTCCAGTACTGGGCATCCTTGTTGAACCAATGGACAACTGTCTCGAAGTTGCTTGGGATGCCACTTGCAGTGCCAGAAACACTCCCTCGTCCGTTATTCGGTACATATCCCTCTATATCCAGAGAGTCGAAGAAGGTCGTGTCAAGGTCGCTTGATGGCTGTTGGCCGTTCCTTTGCTACCTATCAGCAAATATGCGAGATTTCCTTGGGGGTTCCTTACGTGAATCGCATAGCGTATGGGCCTAAGAGGCCGAACCTCCAGGGCTCCGTTCTGACATGCCCGCTGTTCATATACCAGTACAGCTCCTGTTCGACCGTGCTTTGAGAGTTAACATCTCTCATAAAGGGACCTCCGGCAGAGTGTTCGTATGCATTGCCGGGCATAATCATCCAGACGCCCACGCCCTGTAGATGCCGGTGTTAGCCAGACGTCAGCTCAAGGAACCATGATCACTACTCACGTTACCCGTCACGCCATGGACCTTATCCTCAATGAACCGATCAGACGTGTACATCTTGCATCTCGTCGTGCCATCCGGGCACTTGAACGTATCTTTACCCTCGAATGCCACGCAACCATCGAGGTCCGCAACATCTCCGTGCACTCCAGTCGGTACGCGCGAGCGCTGGAGCCGTGCAAGCCATCGAAGCTCGCCGGGATCAATCTCGCCCGTGATGTGGGTCGCCATATAGACGGTCGGATCATCTGGCTTTGCCACGTAGTAATGCGTGAGAGGCTGTGATCCGGCCTTCACGGTGATTTTGATAATTCCGTTCAGGGTTTCGGCTGCGACAGTGGAAGTCCCTAAGCCGGAGTTGATCTGCGACATTTTTGTCGGTTCCTGGTACTGGACACCATTGTAAAGAAGGCTGATGATGTCGCCATTTGATCTTCGTCCGTCATCAGTATTACTACCATTTGCATTGTGTACGCAGAGTGTAATGCATGGCCTTTCCAGTGAAGGAACTCACTCACCGATCCACTTCAAAGACGAGACCACCATCAGTATCGACTGTGTACGACGAATTCGTCTCGACGATCCCAAAAGCAGCATACGCTGTTTTCCACAGGAGACTTAGCCCGACGGCGAGACCAAAGCGATGCATTTCGTTGATGATCGTAGGCAGATTTCAGACGACATGGATGAGCGAAACGTCTTGCATCGGAAGAACTCTGCCGACAGATATAACGTTCAACCCTTTGGACGATAAACTAGTTTCTAGGAATGACTACCTCAGGGGGCAGGGGTTAGTCATCCTCTCATTTTTCTCTACCATCCATTTCCTGGAGAGGGGTCAGTACAGCAGCTAGCTGCTCGTGGTGGATCAGCCTAAAAGCTTGTTTGGAATAAGTGCCGAAGCCCCTCCCCTAATTGACCTACCTCTTCAGGTAGAGTGCGGACAGTCGGTTTGTAATGCAATTAGTGGAAGCTTTCAACCCATGGCTTTGCCATTAATTTGCAACGACATTAAGGGCCTGATCGGCTCCGCCGATATCATTTGACACTTCGGATAAGGACCAATATTACGGACCCCGCACCAGCCACAAGTACTAAAAAACTTAAATTATACCACACTAGGCTAAAAATAGGAGAATATATTATAATTTTAGATCTATATTATAGAACTCCTATCATATTAGTGTAGGCTCTATAGTGCTAGGAAATATGACTTTCTTATTAGTAGATAAACTAAAAATCCTAATTTCCCTATATAAATTATGACCAGCCTCTTGACTTAGGTTAAACTTTGTAAAAGGAAATAAGGACTAATATAGCCTACTGTTACCTACTGTTACCTCTGTTACTAAGACAGCCTTCCTGGCAGCTGTTGCGGATCTGACAGGATGGAGCTAGGCTGCAATAGTGACGTGAAGTGACGCAGTGCAAAGGCGAAGCGTAACAGCAAAGTAGTGGAGCAAGGCAAGTAATAACAAGGAGCTAAACAAATAACACAGGACAAGATAGGTAATAGTTAGTGAGTGTATTTATTAACGGTTGACCTCCCCTCTGTAGGAGGTCTTGTGGTGGCAGTCTATATACCCGATAGGCACGTGAGTAAACACGTGCTTGTGGGTATTCTACTTACTACTCTATGCTATCTGTTGATATGGGCACTTACCACTTGTTGTCCTGTGACAGTCACCTACTGTTACCTACTGTCACATTCTGCTGCCTACTATTACTAGCGCCTGCCTGCCTACAGTTGCCTATTATTACTAGTGCCTGCCTACCTACTGTTGCTAGCACTACTTAGTAGGCAGGTGCTAGTAACAGTAGGTAGGCGCTAGTAATAGTAGGCAACAGTAGGGTACAGCTGTTGCTAGCTGTAGTAGAGGTCCTAGTAGTACATTTAATTAACCCTTAACCTTGTATTAAACTCTTGTTAACCCTAACCCTATATATTTCTATATTAGAGTACAGGCGATATTGCCCTAATATTAGCGGTGCTAATTAGGCCCTAACTTGTAACAACATTAATTAGGTAGCAAATACTTAGTAGACTTGACGAAGCCGGCCGGAGTGTATGAATTTCCTGATAAACACAAAAGATAGAATAATCTTTCATGCAGCATTTCTGGCTGGTAAGCAAATTAAACGAGGTATATAATATCAGGTGTAATATTGTGCAGCAAGTTATTAGTTGTTTGAATTTCCGTGAAGTATGTCTGCTTGCTCGTCTGTGGGAACAGAAAGTAGAGAACGTCTTTATCGCAAGAGTATTGAATTTATCACCTGGCCCGTAAATCAGATAGGACGGCAATTCAATATATCACAGGAGGCTCATGTCTGTGTGGCGGATACCGTCAGCCACACCACGTGCCATGTCACATGGACAAGCTCGAGGGCCCATATTGCCACACAGACATGAGCCTCCTGTGATACAATACTAAATGTATACATGAAAAATGGCTATCACATTTCACCTACAGCCATGACCTAAATACAGGTCAGCCTATATAACCTAACAAACTGAAGGAAGGTTACATACAGACAGACCACAATCATGCAAAAAGCAATTGGACACTGGGGGATTTGAACCCCCGGCCTCTCACAGTCGCGATCCATTAACTCTGAAGCTCTCTTTCGAGAGATCAGTGGAAAATGCGAAGCGAAAATCATACCCCTAGACCAAGCGCCCGATGACTGTATGGTGGATTTGCCCACAACACACAATAGGAAACCTCCTCAGCCGTGTGCGTTCTGTCTCAGTGTCCGACCCACCTTTGACGAAATCTCAGTCGCTAAAGTACACAACTTGTGCTTCAACAAGACTGGGCTGTGGAAACCTTGAGACCAATTCTAATCTTCTAAGCACTTTGTTTTCAGAGACCACGGGCAGAAGTCTAGAACCGGGAGCTCTGGGGCGCGGTGGGCCGGCTGACGAGTCAAGGAGCCAGGGACCCCGATGAGTCCCTTACTAATCTAGGCTCCAGGTACGGATATGGTTTAACACATCACCACTTGCCGGAGATATGATACTTGTGCAATAAGAGGGTCATTAGCTAATTAGATCGAGAAAGTGCCGTCTCAAAATTGCGCTAGGAGGGGTCCACATGCCAAAGCACGCAAACTGAGACGTGCTCTTTTTGGTACCGAAGACCCTTGGAAGCGTCTTTCACCTAGGCCTTGTCAGAGCCTCAATACCTGTGGCACTCCGGGGAACCGAGTGATCTGAACGAAGGAACGATAAGTGAGTCATTTTTATGAATGAGAAGGCTCTGCTGGGGCTTTAGAAAGATGGTACATAGTTATGAATATGACAAGGTAATCTGATACGCTTCCGATTGCGCCTAACGATGTTGATTGAACGTCCTTGTGAGTGATACTGTGACCCATTACATGTTGGCACGGAACCATGAGTTTTTGACGCAAAGAATAAAAAGTTACCTCGAGTCCGAAGCATGATGTAGACATTTTTTGCATGTTTGTTTGCGATATTGATATTGACCACTACGTGAGGCTCCATGGATGTCTTCGTTTGGTGAATCAACGTATTTACTCTACGGATTTCAAAACACATTCGGTCTACCTAGAGTTTCATCGCTGAAGACCAGGCTCAGAGCCGCATTTCACTGAGTCTGCCTTAGAATACATAATACATGATTCGAGATGCATGAGAGCTACGTTTACGAGCCGGCTCTCGACATCGGCTCTGCTCCCTAGGTATGGGTGATATAAAAATAGCCTATCTTCAAGAATTGGAAGGCAATTGGTTCCATCCATAACAGTCCAAACGCCTCAAGAATGCTATGAATATAGAAAGGTTATCGAGAATGAAGTAAAAGGTAAAAGGGAACAATAATCAGGACCGGCATGCGCTATCTATTGAGAATCTTTTTAAAAAATGGTCGCCAAAGTGGCAACCATTACTCGGCAAGGCGAATGCGGCCATTCGTCCGTCGCCGACAAAACACGCTCTTGGCCCATTCCCACGTGTGAATGGCCATGCTCATCGTCCCGAATATGAAAAAGGGTATCAAGCTGTTCGAAAAAAAGTACATCAGACCGCCAGACTGCTTGACAACATCAAACAGTTCGCCTCGCATAATACGCAGTGATTCTTCCTCATTTTTCCATGGGCCCACCAAGCGAAATTTAGTGTTGAAGTTGCTGCCCATGGCCCATGTGTATACGGCCCTGAAGCCCTTGGAAAGGACGTAGGTGAAGCGGGGAGCAGAGCCGATGTCGAGAGCCAGCTGGTAAACGTAGCTCTCATGATCAACGCCGCGCTTCTCGGCCCAGGGATCACGGCCGCAGCGAGGATGTAACTTCCAGTCAATGTCGTATCCAGGCAGGGCATTCGGGTCGAGAGGATCAGAGTTTGGCGAGTATGCGAGGCCTGGGTTGTTGGGATACTCGAACTGGAGGAGGCGGAGGATCCAGAACTGGGTTTGCATCTCAGCCAATGGTGGAATGGCCCCTTGATGCGATGTCAGCAATCGGCAAAGTAAGAATTTGATGGAGGGATGTTACCCAAATTCGGCCTCACAAAGCCGATGAAGCCCACAGAAACGTCGTTAGAGTGGTATATGGCCCGGACATCCGCCGTGTCTGGTGTACCATAACTCTCATCTAGAAATGGGAAGCGGCGAGTGTATCCTGTCGCAAACAGAACCACATCCGGTTTGACAACCATCTGCTTCATCTTCTCGGATTCCGGCCTTCCAGTGTCACGGAAGTGCATGACGCCGTCGTCGTCGACATACTCGGGCCAGGGGGCGACATCAATGTACCGTCCCTTGGTGTCGACGTCGAACTCCTTGATGTAGAAGAAGAATCGACGAATTCGTTCCATGATGGAAAGCGGACGGCGCCAGGGTGCAGATATGTAAGGGACTGCTCGGGTAGATTTCGCGGGGAAGACTATGGCCATTGGTCAGTTGGTTTCTGCATGCACTGATCCAGAGATGCATACAGTGATCGATGTGCATCCTCTCCCGAGGCATCCATCCAATAAGTTGGTCCCAGCCACCAGCCGCCCCGCCCATTAGCGAAAACGTAACGTCTATCTGTTGGTTGTAGAAATCCCAGAGCAATTGACTCGACTGCAGCCTCGAAGGCACATATGCAGTGTCGAACAAACTTGCAATTGAGCAGTCAACAGGTTTCTCTTTGAAGTTGAACCCCTTTCCCCAGAACCCGAACATGGCAGGAGCCGGCGCAGTCTGTGTCATTTAGTGCTTGATCGGTGATATCACTGGTAGGAAGCAAGCGTACCTTTGGTGCCACCACAAAGCCGTCCCTGTGACACATGACAACGTGCTTCACGCTCTTGGTTGTGGCAGCGAGCTGGCCAAGGTCTTGTCCGGTTTCTCCGGTGCCGACAATCACGACTGTCGGGTTTGCACTCTTGATATCCCGCAACTGGTCGCGGGACTTGAATTCCGATGAATGGAGCACCTTGGGAATCTTTTCGAGGCCCTTGAAAGGTGGAATCCTTGGTTCGACGTTTAGCCCGGAGCAAACGGCGACGGCATCGCATGCGTAGTCCAAGGTAGTGCCATCGGAACGAGTAACGGTGACGATATGGCCTCTATCTTCACCTCGACGAACGCGAGTGACTTTGGATGAACATTCGATGTGAGGCCGCAGGTCGAAGCGGTCACAGTACTCGTTGAGGTACTGGACATAGACCTCAGGGGTGACGTAATCAGGGACATCCTGGGGCAGACGGTGATCGGAGAAGGCAGTGAGATATTTTGACGATACAAGCTATGACCTTATGGTAAGTTTCACCCATCCATCAAGGGGAGCGATACATTCGGGTGATGCTACGTTGACTGCAAAAACTTACCTCGGCATCCTCGTAGACGCGATATTTGAAAGTCCCTCCAATATCTTCTTCGGCCTCAAAGACACGAAGTTCGATGGGCTCAATTGCAAAGTACAGGTGCGCCCACTTAAGATACCTAGCTGTTGACAGGCCGGCCGGTCCGGCACCGACCACGGCGACCTTAAGCGGCATGGTTGTCAGCCAGCGCGCGGCGGCCGAAACTTTCTAAGTTGCTTTCTTTCCAAGGTCCTCCGATGTTATAGTGCACAGAAAAGAAAAGAAAAACTACCCGGGGAGATTGGGAGCACACACCCTCGGGCGCCACGAGGAGCTTGAAATTAAGGGTCGGAATGCTGGCGCAAGGAATAGTGGCGGAGGGAAAGTTGCCCATGGATGAGACGACGGGGAAAACGTTTCGGTCTTATGGCTTACCTCCCACTTTCACTAGCATCTGCACAGACGAACTCAATCACACCTACGCTAGGGACAACGGCAATACTCGGTGGGCTTCTCGTAGTTTCTCGTTTCCATCCAAGAATATGCCTGCCGAGCCCTACTCCAGAAACAGGCATCAACGAGGAAAGATCCGGAGTCAGCACTGAGCTGAGTTAGTGGTACGATTCTAGTGTACCTACTACCTACGTGCGTAGAACTGGTCTGTTGGAGGGTCCCGATGGAGAGGTTCGGTAACTGGGGATAGGCCTTGCCAAAAGTGCAGTAGTGTGACTTGTGGTTCTGCTAGTACAATGTAATAACAAGGGTTGTCCTTGTTCCTGTCATGACAACCCAAGACCTAAGCGGAGTCAGTAATATCTTCAGCGGGGCAGTCCTGCGGGGTTATCGACTCTTGATTATTGATTGACTCGGATTGGATCGGGACGTCTTCTTCTTCTGTCCCGGAAGGTGATTTGGGAAGTCGTCGACCGCTGGACCTGTAACTGGTTCTTGAATAGGTTGTGGAGTCGCGTGTTTATGGCGCCGGAGATATGGAGCAGGGTATAATTGACTGCGCTATCACAATGAGCCGTCTGTCTCGTTCGCAATTGAGGCTTGGTGGCATTCGGTCTGGGTCCGTGTGGACGCCGGACCAGGTAAAGCACAAAGGAAATCGCCAAGCGGCGTCGCGCCGTAGTGTGTTCGAGAACCAAACTAAGAACAACGGCACTCCTGCCCGGTGCTTTCGGACAACATATCCGTCCAGTCAAGCCAGGAAGCAATTGGTCGAAAGGGGTTGACACCCTCACCGGCTCAAAAGTTCATTAGCTGACTGATGGCTGTCAACTCGAGTACGAGATAGCGTTGCGGACGTATACACCAATAGAGAATAACCAATCCGTGTCTGTCACATTCATGTGTTCATGTCAGCTTGATGTTAGAGCGAGCTAACTCCAGATTTGGAATCAATATCTGACTGCCACTTCAGCTGTGCGAGACCTGCTCTGTCATGTCAGTAAGCCCTTTGTTTTTTCTTTTGCAATTGCCGCCACGGTGGAGAATGGGCCTACTTATTTCCAAGTGTCAGACGTCTCGGTGTCGAAGCATGAGTCGCTGTCGCCTATTTTAGTTACGCCATCTAATAGCTACTTCCTGTCACAGCCACTCCCGATTTCGCTTGCTGCATTCGTCTGTTTATTCGACGCTACAAAAAGGTTAATGTTATTAACAAGTTTCGTCTGACTTCATCGAGTTCTTACCGAAACTTCGTTGTTTTCAGCCATTTCCCGTCTTGTGCGCCTATATTCGTTGAGGATGGGCAAGTCGAAAGACAGCAAGTTCCGTGCAGGCACTTCCCTTGCAGTCACCCCATATTGAATAGTGACGTGGCTAAATCCTATTCTATGGGTCACTCTGCTCAAGAGCTATAATAACTCAATTCTCACATACCGCAATTACACGCCATGGCCTTAGCCTGTAAACCCGTGCTTTCGGCCCAGAAGCAAGGCCAAGCACCTCCTCAGCAAACGTATGACGGATCTTGGATGGCGGCGGCAGTATAAGTTCCCAGTTGTGGATCTTTCGGGAGAATTAAAGTATTGTCGTAGTGGCAAGAGCCAATACAAGCGCGACACATTACCAAAAGAGGGGATTTCTGCACGTGGGCGTCGGCGGGCGGGCGGGCGGGCCTGTTCCCCGGTCATAGAATCCAAGAAAGCCCAATGCCACCTCGATGGCATAGTCAACTAATATAGCAACAACTGATTCTACCAGTGTCAAGCAATGGAATTGGGCTGTTGCGTCCTTAACATCAGCCGGGATGAGCTAGAATGGGTAAAGACTGAGCTGAGTTTGGGTCAACCACCATGGGCCTTGTCTTTGCATTGTTGGGTCCGTACCACTCTTATATAGTACCATAGTTGGACAATATGACTATCCGTTTTTTCATGTTCGATTTTCAAGTGCCGTATCCAACACAAACCCAACTTGACGCATCATTCAGATTCCCTTTGCCACCCCATGATGCATAGCCTGGGTACTTGCAGATCGGACGCTGCCTCAAGATGCCGTTGCCAACAGTATCTGTTGGTATACGGTAGGTATGCTTCGGGGGAGGTGGTCACGTGATATTCACATAACACACCGCCTCCCTCAGCAGTATCTACCTTACCACTAGTATACCACCTAAAAGTCTAGATTCACTTTATAACTAACTAATATAATAAGTAACTATATTCTATATTATAATTTATTATATAATCTATAGGATATCCCTTGTTACAGCCAGTTTCTAAGCAGTAGGGTTTCTACTAATAGTAAGTAGAGGGAGATACTTAGTAACAGTAATTATTGTCTTGCTAGTCTGTTAATCACTCAGTAATTAGTCGTGTGGTTAACGTCGTAAGGGTAGCTTGTATAGCTCTTGTTAATTAAATTACTAAGGTTAGATACTAAAAGGTATTTAGAGAATATATTATAAGTTAATTACTAAAAAGCTATAGAAGTCTGTCCTTAAGTGTATCTAAGTCTATCCTATATATAAGTCCTAGCTGTTCCCTAAATAGTCTTATTAACTAATAGTTATAAGTAATTACTATTCTTATATAAGGTAAGCGCTTAGTAGATACTAGTAAGTGCTTACTTTTATAATTACTAGTAATTACCTTATTATATAATTACTTTCTTATTTTTATATAACTTATACTATAGTTCTTCTATTCCTAAGGAGTTATTTATTTATTCCTTATTTTTTACTTATATAAATATTACTACTACCTATTATCTACTTATTAGGTAGAGTAATATAGCTTATAACTTATTAGGTTATAATATTAAGTCTTCCCTCTAAAAGGTCTTACCCTTAAGACCTATATAAGTAGGTTATATCTCTTAGGTTAGGGGGTTATTAATCTTAATCCTTAATTTCTTATACTAATACTATATCTAGTAAAAAGGATTATTAAAAAGCTTTTTTTATATAGCGTTATCTAAAGCTTACCTTAGAAATAAAAAAGTTTAGTTTTAATATTATACCTTACTTATTTTATTAGTTAGTAGGTTATTATTATAAAATACTTATAAGAAAGTTAAAGTATTATAAATATACTTACTATAGTTATTTATATAATATAACTATAAATACTATTTATAAGTATAAGGCTTTTTTTTTTATTAGTTTTTCTTATTTCTAATAAGTAATAGTAGACTATCTCTTAACTAAGTCTAATTATTTAGATTATAAAAAAGAAAAGGCTAAATAGCTTCTTTAAAAATATACTAAGGCGCTAAAAAAAGTATAAGCTAAAATAAATAAGTCTTTAGTAAAGTTAGATTATCTTTAGTAGGCAAAAAGAATAGTGTTTAAGAAAGGTTAGAGTATCCTAAATACTTTTCCTAAGGAGTCTAAGGGGGTTCTAGTAAAATCTACTGTTATTTATAAAGTCTAATCTAATAGTGCTTTTAGTGTTATTAATTAGAGTGCTATATAAGATAATCTAGACTTAGTAAGTTTTAACTTTAGTATACTTATAAAAGCTACTAAGAGTACTAAAGGTTCTTAACTAGTTTTTATAAGTTATTTTTATATTTATAATTTTTCTATTTAACTAAGTATTATTTTTCTTTATTTTTATAGTGTTAGTTAATAATTCTTTTAACTTTATACTTTAGTTTATAAGGTTTAATAATAATATAGTTATTAGTATTTAATCCTTATAGTACTAATTCTAGTAGTATAATATAAAAGACTAAATAAATCTTTATTATATTAAGTAAGTTAAGTTTATAGTTAATATTAAGGATTTTCTTAAGAATCTTAAATAGTCTAAGTTTCTTATAGTTAAGTTTATTACTTAGTTACTTTATCTTAATGTTTTTTTATAAGAGGTATATACTATCCCCCTCTTTAAAGGTTAGTCCCTTAATCCTTAAAGTGTTAGTATATTTCTTTATTTATATCCTAATAAATTCTAAGTCTAAAGCTACTTTATTTTAAAGTTCTCTTATTTTATTAATATTAGTTATAGCTTTTAGTGCTTATAGGCCTTCTTAAGGTTCTTTATAAGTAGTTAGCTAAAATCTATAGTTTAAGTAAAATAATAAGTTCTAAGTGCTTTTTCTAATAGCACTATTATAAGTAAATTAAGCTATAAGTAGTAGTAGTATTTAATTATTTTAGTTATAGTTAATATAATATTATAAATACTATTTAAGTATTTAGTTAATTCTTTTTATTTATTTATTAGTTTATAAGTAAAATATAGTAAATAGTTTATAGTTTATACTAAGTTATAAAATTAAGGATTTCTAGAACTTTAAGGTAAATAGCTTATCTTTATTAAAAATAATTTCTTTTAGTAAACTATAGTTACTAATAATATATTTTAAGAAGGTATACGCTAGGTCTTTTACTATACTTAACTTTAGGTATAGTATAAAGTAGGCGTACTTTATAAGTTAGTTAATAATTACTAAAACGCTATTATAGTACGTTTTTATAAGGGGTTCTTTTAACTTAGGTAGTTTAATAATAAAGTCTAAAGAGATTAAGTGCTATACCTTTAGTAGTACTAGTAGTAGTTATATTTACTTATATAGCTTATAAGGACTATTCTTACTTTTTTTATATATATTATAGTCCTTAATTACTAAAGCTACTTCTTTATATATAACTTTCTTATTATAATATTATCTAATTTATTTAAATATCTTTATAATTCCTTAGTGTCTATATACCTTAGCGCTATATATCTTATAGA